TAGTTCTGATGATTCTGGTTTGCGGATGACTGAATGTGGTCAGTCCTGCGCTCCTCTCCAACGAAATCAATTATAGTGTTGTACGTGTGGACATTGCAAAGTTCAGCATTTCAGAAGGGGTACTGCTATGGTACTTTGCCACATCCTGCAAACTACCAGGGGCTATCATGGAGCAGCAAAGAATTACAAAATCCAACGAAGTCAATTAGACTTGTCACGTGGATATTGCATGTTTTAAGCGAAGCCTTTTTTACCTCACAAAGAATCACCATGGAAACGACAAAGGGTGATAAGATAAACAATCGGTCAGACCCTTCCCCCACGAAGAAGGGCCACTTAAAGGAAGGGTCACCAAATGCAGTTGCAGTCACAGTCCCACGGCAAAACGACATTATTCTGGGCCGCGGAAAGGGCGCCCAAAATCACCCAGGGAATAGGATAATGCGAAAAACCCTGACTCAATATTGGAAGCGGTACGTTGAAGCAAAACATGGGGTGAAACAGTGCGTCGTCAAGGAGGCGTATCATGAACTAGTTCAGGGTGATATTCGATTCTTGAAGCGAGATGAGAATGATCACTGGGTCTTAGTGGACAAAGAGACTGCTCTGTTGAAAGTTGGTCACTGTCTGAGGGGCGCCACCAGGAAAGAGCAGCGACCCCAATTGAAGCCACAGGCACAGACTGCGAACATCAACAGTTGCGACGAAGGGGCGAGTCGTCAAGATCGGAGTGGTACCAGGGGCGACGAAAGGGTGAGTGGTGGTCAACATCAGAGTGGTATATTGGGCGAATGCTCAACAGATGAACTATCCCTCGTCCCACCACCTTTTGGAAACCTCTATGGTCCTTCTATTCCGTCGCCCGGGTCGATATCACAGTCGCTGTTGTGGCAAGGCATGCAAAATCAATATCCCATTGCTCGACAAGAGCTGCCCGGACGGAGCTCACTTCAGATTCCCAACATTTTCTCTCGTGCCGAGTTCCTCAGGGCTCATTCCAGTGTCTCAGCCACACCCGCTGTTGATGCGGTTCATCTTGCTCTAAGGGACGAAATTATGAAGGAGTTGCAACGAGCGCAGATGATGGGCGCCGTGTTACCATATTGAAGAGCGATAGTGAGTGGATGGAGGACACCATACGAAAGTCGGAAGGGTTTTCAATTTCTTGGATTGCTTTTTTGAACTTTTTTGCGTGATCAAAATATTTTATTTGAATAATCCTATGATGCAGTATTGATTTCTTGTCAATTGGACGAAGTTAATTGGTATCGGTTGTATATTGTGATATAGCGGCGTTGGACCAAGGGCCTCGATGAGTGTCCCAAGAGGCGCTGAGGCTCGAATAGGATCGATCAGTTGCGGTAAATGCGTAACGATTGGTATCTGGGCACCATACAGGTGATCTTCAGAAGTTTTATTGTCGTATGCTGCCAGAAACTCGGAGAACCGCATGGTCCGTTCGTCATATGCCGATTTGGAGGTTCCAGGAGTGACGAGTCGACGAAACAAGGTGCCACTAGATGATGCCGCCGTTGACGACAAGGCGCGTTTGGCAAAGCGAACGGGGATTTCTGCATCTGGACCCACTGTTTCGAGCATCGCAGCATCGTTCGACCAGTACTCGAGCCGGCTCTGAGGAATGCAGGTCCGGCAAACAAAGGGTTCGTTTCGATCCACAAATGGAGTTATCGTAGCAGCCACATCCGTGTCTTGTTGCAATGTGACTCCAGCAACACCACGTTCATCCGCATGTCTTGACAGCCGGCTCTCATGTTGCCCTTTCCCCGCACTATTTAAGACACTAATTGTCGTAACAATATCCCCCAGTTGACTAGCAAGCATCCCAATGAGAATTACGAGTATGGAAGCAAGTGTTAGGATCGTTCCATTGAAGAACAATCCTTCTTCTACTGACTCCTCCTTTTCGATACTCCCCGTTGAAACATCATTTGACTTCTTGGTCCCCCCATGGCACTTCACAAACCAAGTTGTGAGATTCTAAAATTTTGGCGTGTCAACAACGCAGTCTTGTCTGTTAAAAAACAAGGTGAAAAGACTATGACGACAACAACAACACAGTCTGTGATGAACAAACATCATCCATCATCATCATCCCAAATTGCCTTGCTGAGAAGAAATTTCATACCAGTACTGGGGGGGACCAAAAATTTCATATATCGCGCTAAAGTCAGTACGCACCATCTCTGCTATCATATGATACCGGTAGGACATACAGTACCTGCACCTTCAGTATTTATTGTGAAATGTCACAGAGCCTGCGCGTTAGCGTCACGCGAACTACTGCAGCTGACTTTCTGAAAAAAGGCGATTGTCATATCGTTCGCTACAGTACCGCCAAACTCGTACTTTCAAGAGGCTCAATAGCTACATACATTCCAGCAGCTGTACATTGAGCAGCATCAGCAGGAGGCTCATGCATATGAATAAAGAGAAACCCGACATGATTACCAAGGGGCTTCTTTGAGCCGGTATCCTTGGTTTCAATCGATCCATAGAAATAAGCTTTGGTCGGTGTCCACTTTGCATGATATTGCGGATGGGTGATCTTCAGAATCTTTCAATGTGATCTCTGTTTTACCTCTTTCAGTGTCCCCATTGTAAACTCCATTTGAAAGATAACAGTTGAAAATGAATCCTGTCACCTCCTTTCGATGCAACATGAAACTGGAACGCATCAGTGTTGTTCGAAATCAATCAAGATTGATTCATTCACTCTCTTCAGACTGGGATATTTGAAAGCCTGCTACAGGATGTATGAAAATCACATGTCGCGGAGGCGGCGATCACTACGAGTTATGATCAAGCTAAGGAAGCAGTGGCAATTTGCGGACCGAGCAAGTCTGAAAGTCACGAAGCACAAAGTAAACAAGCTGGACAAGTACTACCACGTTTGAGTAAAATGGCTTGGTCTACTACATTTTGACTTTTTAATATTTTCGCCTCGGATATGAGCTGGCCAGCGGCACTTTGGAACAACTTGCAGGCGGTATGATGCTTACACTGGACTATCTTTGTCTTGCTCCACTCGAGTTCTTCTCCCCTGCATCGGCGAATAAATGACTGCGAACACTGAAATATATGAACTAGTTCGAGAATATCTCTATATCATTGCACTCAAAGCGACAATATACAAAATTCATTGCATGAAGGACACCCAATCCTGCACTTTGCATTCCCGGAAAGAAGAAGGAGCACCAGTGACAATTTGGGAAAGTGTCCGTGATTTTGCGTCCTTTGAACACTTGAAGCAAGTTACCACTGTGCTACCGTCAGTTTTCGATCTGTGCGAAGCACTAAGAGGGGTATCACAATCAAAGAATCTTGGTCAAGCAAAAGAATATTGCCAAAAAGTGTAATGTGTATTCTCCCCTTGTCCCCAACCTTTCACTGATGAAAGACGAATTGACAAACAGCAACTGCTATCCACAAGCGTTGTCATGAGCACATACTGAGCAAGCCTCTGCCTTTTTTGGTTCATGTATGAGTCTTCTAATAGACTGCTTGCTCATTCTGCAACGAATGCGGTCAGTCCTGCGCTCCTCTCCAACGAAATCAATTATAGCATCGTACGTGCGCTCTTGGCAAAGTTTAGTGTTTCAACCGAGGTGAAGGGCCGCTCTGGTACTTCCGCAACATCCTGCAAATGACTACCAGGTACAGCATAGAGCAGCAAAGAATGACAAAAATCCAACGAAGTCAATTAGACTTGTCACGTTGCATCCTTAAAACGCAGCTTCTGCCTCACAAAGAACGACTATAGAAACCACAATGGACGACAAGAAAAACAATCGGACAAACTCTTTTCCCAGGACGAAGGCCACAGCCCCACGGCAAAACGACATTATTCTGGGCCGTGGAAAGGGCACCCAAAATCACCCCGGGAACATGAGAATGCGAAAAACCCTGTCTCAATATAGGAAGCAGTACATTGAAGCAAAACATGGGGTGAAGCAGTGCGTCGTCAAGGAGGCGTATCACGTACTAGTTCAGGGTGACGTCCGATTCTTGAGGCTAGATAAGGAGGATAAGTGGGTCTTAGTTGACAAAGAGACTGCTCTGTTGAAAGTTGGTCACTGTCTGAGGGGCGCCACCAAGAAAGAGCAGCGACCCCAATTGAATCCACAGGCACAGATTGTGACCGGCAATAGGGGCGATGAAGGGTCGAGTGGTCAACATCAGAGTGATAACATGGGCGACGAAGGGGCGAGTCGTCAACATCGGAGTGGTAACATGGGTGAAGAAGGGGCTAGTCGTCAATATCAAGGAAGTCTATTGGGTGAATATTCAACAGATGTACTTTCTACCCTCCAGTCACCTTTGAGAAACCTCTATGGTATCTCCATCCCAGCGCTCGGATCGTTACCACAGATGCTGTCGAGGGAAAGCATTCAAAATCAGTATCCTGCTGCACAGCATGAGCTGTCAGGATGGAGCTCATTTCGGATTCCCAACGTCTCTTCTCGTGCCGAGTTCCTCGGGGCTCATTCCAGGAGTGTCCCAGCCACACCCGGTGCTGATGCGATTCATCTTGCTCTGAGGGCAGAAATGTTGAAGGAATGGCAACAAGCACAGGTGATTGGCGCCATGTTACCATATTGACAAGCGATAGTGAGTTGATGGGGGACACCATTGAATCACTAAAGTTGGAAGAATTCTTGACGGGTTTTGAATTTCTTGCATTGCTTTGAATATTACTATTTACATGTAAACAATCATTTGATACAATTTTGATCTCGTTTTCGGCCCACAGTTGATGCCGTTCTAAACTCCACATATACCGGTAGCACAGCAAACAGTGTGAAGTTCTAGCATTCTAAGCGCGATTACTCTACATTAGCAAATCTTGCAACTACCTTCAAGGTCTGCTTCTAGAAGTAGCTCCTGTCGAAAAATCAGTCTTATACCGTTTACCATAGTCAAAGAAGAGCTGCAATAGAATGAATCTCAACTTAGTAAGTGACGAGGGCTACGTGAGCTGTAAAAAAAAACTTACCTCTGTCTCTGCGGGTATAATTCGGCTCCGCGCAAAAAAGGCAATGCGTGGGCCACCATCAACTTTCATAATTGCTGCTCGAACGTTCTGGTTCTCGTGACTGTGATTCATAAATCTGGTGAAATTGCCCTGGCGCAACCCATCGACACAATGCCCGTTTCCTAAGTCAAAAAGGTAGTCGAGATTCTCACCAGTTGCTGTTCTCCTATTGATTTCGTCCTCGTTTATCACCTCCCCAACATACTGCTTTGCATGAGATTTGTAGCAAGTGATGGGAACTATATATCGAATGAATCGCGTGACGTACCTCGCCAATAAACTCTCCTCGTTTGATTTCTGTCTTGCAAAAGAGACCCCAACCAGCTTTGGGAATCGTGGACTTGCCATAGAATAGACCTTTGTTTTGACGATGCATGCGTATGTTGTCATTGCGACATTTTTGCTTTCTCTCTTTGGGAATACCTGCAGGGTCTGTGCATGTTTGGCAAGTCTTGCACAAATCAGGGTTGCACTCGCGGCCCGCACGATGACAAGGACAATTAGGAGTCAGGCATTTTGACTTGCACTGACAGCCTAACGAAGCCAGCAAATTATCGGAGTTGACATCCTGACAAATAAGTTGTACAACGCATTTGGGACCCGAAGTTGCCTTTTTTTTCAATTGCTGACACCAGATGTGAAAGATACTTTTCGCTGACAAGTTCATTAGTGTGGCGATATACGACTGCGCAACTTTCGGTAGTTCTCCTGATGTCCCAAGCCGTTTGCATACGCGAGAAACTACCTCTTCCGCTTCCTTGATGCGCCGCTCAATGATGTACCTTGGGATCATTCTCTGCTCCTGCAATCCCTCCTTGTAATCTAGCCAGCCCATGCATTCGAAGTCATAACATACATCGAGTAGCTCAGTAGGATGCTTATCAAAACATCCTGTGCTTTTTTTTATCGGTATGAACGTGACTTGACATTTGGGCAGCGGGTGGTTTGGGTCATCCAGATACTCTCCACGAATCAGACATGGCTTCTCAGATGACTGGGTAGGAAACTTCTTTATGTTTTCTTGCGTCTCGGCCACCACTGTTACTCGTGTTTTCCTTTGAAAACGTTTCGCTTTTCTACGCAATGTTTGCTTTCGCTTGCTGTGAACTTTTCTCACAGCCTCCTCGACAACTACTAGTATCTTCTCATCCTCTTTGGAGTCGTGATCCTTCTTGAATGTTTCAGCCATCTCCCTGATGGAAACGCGTGGTCTTGTTGGAGCCTCTTCCAGTAACTCCGGTGTTTCCTCAACGACTAGTTCGTCTCGCACTTTGGATTGCTCATTGGTCATCATAAAACTGGTGTCGCCCATAAAAGGGGCCTCATCATCATCAGAGTCTTCTTCTTCAGAAGAGCTCATTTCAATGACGGATACATCGTCGAATTCTGGATTCACCCGCGCGTCCACATCCACAAGGGAATGAACACTAATGATACTGCTGCCGTCGCTTATATCGATTGTGTCTTCCATCGACCTTCCTTTTTCAGTCGATTCGGCAATAGGTGAGTCCAAGGTTTGCTGTATCCTGGGATCGTTTTTCATTCTCTCAAAAACTTGGGCTCTTGTCAATCCCTCTAGAGAATTCTTCAGTTCGGCTATCGGCACGACCTTGTCTGGCTTTGGTACACTGGCACGAGACCCCAACCAAACGATCTCGTCATCGTTTGAATCGCCATTATCATTGGTATTCCGTGATCCAACGTTGTCTGCTACGAACGCATTCCCATCATCGTCGTGTTTTACTAGTGTGTTGTGAACGAGCTTAGGTTTCTTTCGAGTTTCTTCTGACGGAGGAATATCATTTGACTGGGTCAAACTTGCCCTCTCTGGAATATTGACTCGCTGTGGTAACTTGGTTCCAGAATCTTCCCGAAAAATTTCACCGCCATCACTTGACTTGGCTGCCTGAAGTTCAGCTTTCGCTGTTTTGGTATCCGTTGCATCTGTTCCATTGTCGCCTTTAATGTATATGTTTGCTTCATTTTCTGTCGTACAGCTATCACCAAAATTGTCTTCCTCCTCTGATGATGAGGTATCTGCTAGGTTGATTGGATCGTTAGCGGACATGGCTGAGAGCTAGTGTTAGGTACCATGACGATGGCAACACTAACCCAACACGCTCAATGAACACCACAAGATCCTTCAAAGCCTCTGTCATGACTTTTACATGCGCGTTTCGCGTGAATCAGCCGACCAACACGAAACCAACCAACACAATAACTTCAAACTACACAGAACACATAAACAGGAGACGGAAACAACCTATAGCACCACAGCTATGCAATGCCGGATACCTACACCGCCAAACCACGTGGGTCACACCAACATCTAAAGCAGAACAAAAGATTACGAAAATGCACCAGAGTGACGCTCTGGAAAGACAATTGGGAGCTAGAGTCGGTTGGAAGAGCACTGGTGTCAGTTGTTGATCCAACTGCTGCCACCGATGCGGAGCAAGCCATGTCCATCGAAGAAGCGTTTGACACTGTTTCTGTTTGGAAGGCAAGGGCACATTCTGGTGAAGGATTGCCACATGCCGTGGAATCCACCTATCACTTGGCCCATGTATACTGGAGAGATCACCACAATCATTTGAATTTGAACAAGATTTCTACCACCGAACTTCGACTTAGCTATTCTTCAGCAATTGTGCGTACCATCAATGGTTTTGCTGACGTTCTGCAACAGCAAAGGTTCGTGGCATCCAGTGTATCCTTGCTGTGCTCCAAACTGGGCATACCAGCCTGGGTTGTAGACATAAGGCATGAATCATCGCACAATGCTTTGCCATCTCTCGGCGTCCTTCGACTGGCTACTTCCACCCTCATGGACTTCTTGAAAAGCGAATATTGGATTCCAATGTGCGACGATTGGAACATTGAAGATGAAGTGGAGGTTCTGGAGTCCAAGTCTATCACCGAAAACACTATCGTCAAGACGACTACTGTGAAGAACGAGGAAGACAAGAAGCTGCCAATAGACTATTTGTTGGCATATAAGGCATGCGCCACTTCGTTTTTCTCACTTGCATCCACCGATGACAAAACATCAAAGAAGGGAGGAAAAAAATCCGATTCCAAGGAACAAACTGCAGAGTCAAATCTTTCATTCGATCCTGTGTTCGGAGATGAAGGTAGCGATGAAGACGACTGGGACGATCCTGTCCTTGGGGGTATCAATGGAAAATACATTGGTACCACCTCCAACAGGTTCTCTCTTCTCGAACTACCCAAATCGAAAAATAGCAAACAGAACAGTAAATCCGACAAGAAGAAGAAGAAGAAAAAGAAGAGCAATGACAATAGTCGAGCAACCCCCAAGAAGAAGCCTGGTGAAAAATATCCCATGGATCATGCCAAGGATTTTGTCACTGCCGTCACCCCACAAGAGGGGTTTCCAGCCGCTATCATGTTCCTTGTTTACGGTGGGATTGGTGGATCTCCTCTGGGACGAGGAGTTCTCATTCCAGGATCTACTTCAGCCTTTCCAGCTACCGAAAACGGGGTTCTCAAGTCTTGGAAGCGATACTCACCGCTCGTGCAAGTACTAGGTCGTGTTTGGCCTGGATTCTGTACCTGCTTGCTGGTGAATTTAGTCGATTTTGTTTTGTGCATTGAAGAATCTATGATTGAGGAACAAGCCCAACGAAACAGTGATGAGCCATCGATCGATCCTGGCAGTGCTCGAAAACTCTTCTTCCTTTCGGCTTGGATTCGTCTTCTCTTATCTCAACAATATGTATCCGCTGTCGACCCAACATATGTGGTACCCAAGGCCAGCAGCAAGAAGAATGGATCCATCGAGTTGACACTAGCCGAGCTTTCATTCATACAAAAGTTGGGATACCCCTTGAATTCCATTGCGGATCGCTGCAGTGCGCAAAATGGTGATCCAGATTTGCGAACGACGAGTCAAGATATACTCCAAAGTCTAGAAGAAATACTTGGCGAGAATCGAGTCCCGAGATTTGGCCTGCTTATTGCATCACCTTCAACGGACCCAAGCCCAGTCGAAGGACCCTCTTTACCTTCTCACTTACAGCTGCCGACTGATTCAAGTGATCATGATGAAAATAGCAGTGTCGCATCTCAAGAAACCTGCACTAGCTTAGACGATGGAATGGAGGGGGCACGTCTACCTTCGTCATACGAAACAACCGAAAATCCAGTTGACGAGGTGGGTGAGAACGCATCGGCGCTAGTTGATGGTATGTCATTGGCTGAAATGGAAGCACTGTTGTCGGAGCAACAATCACCAGCAAGAGCAATAGGAATGGAAGATGTGAACAAACAAGAAACAAAGCATCCGGCAACACCGAATATCGTATCACAGGAAATGCCTTTCGGGGGCGATACCACCATGGGCGATGCCTCAAAAAGACACGAACAACCAAAGAGAATAGCATGGACGAAGTGTTCATCTTGGGATTCCTGTTCCCTCGGAACACTTCCTGGTCATCCAACCTAGTGAAAAGCCACAGTGCTACTAATCACCAGAATTGGTGCTCTAATTTTATTGCTTTCGGCTTGAAGTATTCCCCTTTAGTGTCTTCACGTAATACCCAATATTAGCAGAACTTCCAGCCCAAAAGGGGTTCCATCTATGTCCTACGTCACGATAGCCTATCGAATCGACGGTGAGGCTTTGCTTGAAGAATCAACACCATATCTGGTACATGTGGAAGATTTACGAGAACTTACCTTCTGATTTGTACAGCGAGAGAGCAGCAACATTGTCTTCATCCACATGTAGGTACATCCTGGGCATGCCCCAGGACGACAGGGCAATATCTTCGACACATCGGACGAGTCCTCTTCCAATCTTCTTCCCCCTAAAGTCTTCTGCGACGCAGAGATTGCTTAGGTAAGGCTGCAAATCACGAATACCAGTTCCAATACCAACAGTTGCCGCGATTCTACGCTCTATTCTATCCAACCATGGTAAACTGAAAGGGATCTTGGCGTCACTTGGCTGAAGAATGTTGTGAGAGTGTTCAAAGTATATAATGATGTGTTAAGAGCACTGCCAAAAAAAAATCTCACCTGGAGTCGAAGCTCGATCGATGCAATGAAGTCTATAGAATCTTCGTTCTTCTTCCCCACTGCCAAGATTATTGAATCTTTTTCTGCAATGTCAATCAATTCTTGTCGTGACAAGCCCTTCTTGAGATCGGGAGGTGATACATCCATCTTAGAAAGTCGTGTCTCGAGTCTTTGTTGTGTTCCCGAGAAGACCTCTGCAAACGCCACGACAGATGAGTAGCTGTTCAGCAGTTCTGTTGCCGGGGAGAGCAGGAGTTGCTCAAAAGAATTCAGGTCCTTGCTCAGGCTTATTGCTGCCGCTCCAAAGGCAGCCACCACAAATCGGCACATGTCGGGCAAGTCCTCTTTCTCCACCAAAGCCAACTGGTAGACATCATCTCCATCTTTAAAGCATCCATTGGAATCGAAACAACATCTGTCTTCGTCTGCTTTGGAAAGAAATGTTATGTCGTCACTGAATTTTGATAGTGGAACCAAATGAAGCGGTTCAGTTTGTGAAACACGATAGGTTTGCTGCGTCTGTGAGAAGGAAGTTGTGCATGAGAACGCCACTGTGTATGAGGTTGAAAGGAGAAGCGATAGGGCGCCAGAGATGAACCCTTGTTTCAGTAATCGGTTGTCCATGGTATTCCCAGAAAGATTGTGTTTTTGAACGAGATCTTGTTCGTTCAACAAAATGGAAGGTCTAATGTAGTCCTAATTACGTCACTGTACCCAGATTCTGATACGGTACCTAAAAAGGATCTTCATTGTGATCTTTTATTATGCAATTAGTGGTTCTACCTCATTGTGGATATTATTTCAGTCCTTCTTTTCGGCTGCCTTCAAGGCATCCTTCTTTTGTCCCCTCTTTCTGGTGGCCATGTGCATGGACATGATTTGCGGGGTCAAGATGAATTCCGGCAAAATATCCATAACCCATCCTTGGAAAGCATGCAGAAGGAAGGGGGAAACGACACAATCAGCAGAATATCCGACCCATTTGATGGCAAGGCTCACGAATTCCGTTGCCGTTGGGACCATAAGACTCTTTCGCATCTTGGCCAACTTGGTGGCGACGTAGAATGGGGCTTGGCACTGACAGGTGACACCCTTGGAACTGTATTCAGCATTGATAGCACGAGAGAACTTCTCAATAAATCCCTTGGAACCAGAGTATTCGGCCAATCCTGGAAGAGTGTACAAAGCCGATGCCGAAGAAATGTTGACAATAGCTCCCGACTTCTTTTCCAACATACCGGGCAAGACCATGCGAGTCATCCAAACAGTGCTGTCAATATTCATAGTCATCAAGTTTTGAACCTCATCATCAGTAAGCTCATGGAAGTACATTGGGTAACGGTAGCTGACTCCAACGTTGTTGACAAGAACACCAACATCCAGCGGCTTAATTGCCTTTTCGACCTTTGCTTGGGCAGCCTTGTCAAACTTGGAATAGTCACAGACAACATAGGAAACTTCAACACCTTCGTATTTCTTCTCCTCAATTTCCTTCTTGACATCTTGAAGCTTGGCCTCGGTTCGACTGATCAAAACAATGCTAATTCCCTTCTTTGCCAATGCCAAAGCATATGCTTTTCCAATACCATCTGAAAACACAATGACGGAAATGAGTAAGAAAAGCATACAATAATCAATCAGCATAAATTTTCAAGAATTCCCTTGCAATCTAGTAGAATACAATGTACGAAATGCGACGTCCATCATTCCCTGCAAACTCACCAGTAGCACCGGTAATGACGGCCCATTTCCCAAGCTTTTTGAGGTTCTTGCCAGGACGCAAGAAAGTCTTGTAAACATGGAGCAATGCCTTTCCAGCCAAGTTCAAGGCGAAAAGGCCCACGATGGCGACGGCGGCAGTTTCGATAGTAGAGTCAACCATGTTGCAATACAAGTTCAAAATGAAGAATGACGGTGGGAGATGATGATGATGATGATGATTCGTCAAGTTTGGGACCGGGTTGTCGACACGTGACTAGCTAGATCTCATTTTTCGTTCCACGTACGTGTACGTCCGTTACCCGATGATGGACAGACTGGATTCTAATTTTTATGTCTTCTTGTTCTGTCTGTCTCCTGTCTGAGATTCATTCCTTTCTTCACGGGTACCGGTACCATACCTGGTACCAAAAACTGAGACTATACTGCAATCACCGCTATCTCTGCTGCTTACTTAAGCATACCTCCGCCCTTAGCTCCATTCAAGGTATTGAGATAATCGTTGGAATTTCGGTTTCCGTAGACACCCGATTCTTTTCTTGCGGCTTGACGAGCCGAAATGGATGCTTGGATTGCTTCTTGATATTCCTCGGGACTCATGGAATCCATGCCCTCAATGACCCTAATTTGGGATAAAATAATTTTGCGATCTTTGCGTGAGTGCTTGTGGTTGTGTGTATGTGAAGACAGACACAATTAGTACGCATCGAAACTTACCAAGTGTTGGCTGTTCCCGCGGCCAAACCCATTCCTCCTTTACCTTCATATGCTGGTCCATCATCTTCCGACGTATTGGCTACTTCAGCACTCTCGCTGGTGGATGCAACTTGGGCTGCTGGTGCTGCGGGTGCTGACACTTCAGATACCACGGATCCTTCCAATTGTTGTGGAGGGACAGCCGCAGCTGCAACCGCAGCAGCTGCTGGTGCCGAACCTGACGAAAGTGTAGCCAATCGTTCATTCTCTTTTGCCTTCATTTCAGTTAGTATATTGGTTGCCATGGCTTGAAGCTGTTCAATTTCCAAGAGTGGAATTGATCCAGCTCCTTCCTTGACACGGGTTTCCAAAGTGATCAAACATTGTTGCATGTCTTCCAACAAGGCATCGTCAAATATCTTTTCTTCTTCTTGTTCTTCCTCCACTCCAGCCGCTTTGCGAGCACGGGCAAGAATGTCGGCGGATGTGGACGAAAGAGACGATGTGCTAATGTGCTGCTGATGGTTTGTTCTTCGTGACAGAAGATTTGGCGATTGGAAGGCATACGTACTTTCCGCCAACATGGCAAGCGCAACACATAATATAGTTTGGCGCATCATTTTCAGTTAAGAGGTTCTGTCAGTGATACAAAAGGAATGAATGGATGGATGGATGGATGAATCTTATATTTGCGTTCTTGTAAAGGGAACTTCTGAAAGTTGATGGGTGCGATGCTTGATGCTGATGTTCGTGTCATGCGTACGGACGTTCAATTGGTCGAAAATCGGTCAATTTGAGCCGTTTCGATTCTTGGAATTAGATGTCAAAATAGGCCATTTTCATTCAATCGTGTCGAAACAGTTTTCGAATTCCAAAGAACGAAAATCCGTGGTGCGATGGTCAGGCATCGTCCATCGAGATGATTCTTGGAGATGAGCTTTGCGCCTGTCACAAAAACACACAAACAACACACACAATACACAAACAATACACAAGCCAACAACATGGCACCCAATTTGAAATCCGACGATTATTATCAAATCTTGGGAGTACCAAGAGGCGCAGACGATGGCGCCATTCGAAAAGCTTACAAGAAGCTGGCAGTAAAGGTAAGTTAGATTGGTTGCAGATATAGTCCAGTACTTGCTGGATGAGACGTGGACCTGGTAGACTTTTGTACTTACACCTTGACGTGCCGTATGTTGTAATAGTGGCATCCCGACAAGAATCCTGGAGACGAAGAAGCAACCACAAATTTTCAAAAGATTAGTGAAGCCTACGCTACTTTGACAGATGAAAAGAAGAGAAGAATCTACGATCAATATGGCAAAGACGCTGCCAACCAAGCCGACCAAATGGACGAATCCGACATGCCGGGCGGTGGTGGAGTGCCATTTGGCTTTCGACCGGGCGGTCATGGTGGTCATAGTCACGGCATGAGCCAAGAAGATGCAGCGAGGGTTTTTGCGCAATTCTTTGGCGGTGGCGATCCATTTGGAGGAGGAATGGGCGGCATGGGAGGTATGGGCGGCATGCCAGGAGGCGTCCACATTGATTTTGGTGGTGGCGGCGGTGGAAGAGCATCACAAGCAATTCACGGTGGCGATCCATTTGCAGCCATGTTTGGGGGTGGTATGGGTGGCATGCCCATGGGTGGTATGGGAGGCATGCAAGGAGGTGGATTTGGTGGTGGTCGTTCACGTGCCAGTTTCCCCAGCGCCATGCCCCAACGACCACGGGAAAAGCGATATGATGCCATTCCAGAAGGAACAATTGTGTCATTAAAGGGATTGGTTAGTCGACCAGAAATGAATGGGGACCGTGGAACAGTGAAACATTATGATCCAAGTTCTAGTCGATACATTGTGGTTTTGGAAGATTCCGAAGAAACCATGAAGGTCAAACCATCCAATCTACTCCAACATGTCCATGTCAAGCTGCATGGTCTAGAAAGCAAACCAGAATGGAATGGAGAAAAGGCAACAATCATTGCGTGGGATGCCAATAATGAAAGATACAATATCTATGTTATTGGAGTGTCCAAGGCCATTAGTCTGAAACCAAGTAATGTCATTCTCGATAATGGCACAGTGGGAATGATCACTGGGCTCCAATCGAAACCAGAATTAAACGGCAAATTTGGTACAATCAAGAGTTTCAACATTGATTCAGGGCGATATGATGTCCAACTATCCAAGGACAAGGTTCTGAGACTGAAACTTGAAAACATTCATGTATGAGTGAGGCAGTGATTGCTTCATTCATTTGTTCTAGAATAACAACACTAAAAAATGCGGTTGCGAGAATAATGGTTTCATTAGTAGTAGTAGTAGTAGTAGTAGTAGTAGTAATACGGTACCTGCTTGATACCAAAATGCTTGATTTTGGTATCAAGCTACGAGTAGACAAAAAAGATGGGTTTGAAAGTTGTCGTCAGTTGTTAGTCTTCAGTTCAATGAATTCATTCATTCAGTGTATCAGTCAGTCAGTCATCAGTCCAAGTTGATGATTGTTGGTCGTCTGTCCTTCGCACAAACGACTGGACACGAAGACAATGATGGGTTCGTTGAACTTCGACGTTCAATTCATTCTTCCATTAAATTCCATTCATTGTACCTACCGTACTGGCAGACAAGTACTACCTGTATATGCTGACAATGACAAGAACAAGCTCCAATTTGCTGTGAATCAATTCGGAATTTCTTTGAATAGGAGCAGAAAACTGCGGAGATGGGAGAACAACATCGACAACGATTGTCGCTTCTTCTCTTTCGTCTTCTGCTCTGTTATGTACTATGCGAAAGGGCAGAAGCTTTCCGAGCAGAAAGATACTCACGCCGCCATCTTCGTATCACCAACAACGAGTTTTCATCACCCGTTGCACTTGCCGCAGTCCAAAGCACCGAGATTGGAGAAAAGTCCAAGTCCCGGAAACTCTCTCCCGTCATCAAGATTGGAAAAGTACGAAAAGGAATTGAGATTCCCTATGCGTTTACCATTCAAGCCTTGAAACTATATCACGAAAATCACGGTGATTTGATACTTCCCCGTCGATATGTCATACCCGAGTCGGATATCTATCCTTCGGAACTGCATGGAGTCGATCTTGCTGGAACTGTCTATCACATAAAATGGTGGCAGCGGCATGTGAAACAGCGACCAGATCGAGTGACAGAACTGAATAGTCTTGGATTTGTTTGGGAACGACTGCAACCAGAATGGAATTTAGTATTGGAGGGACTGCTGACATATGGAACAATTTATGGCAATCTCCTGATACCCTCCAAGTTTGTCATTCCTTATGAAACCAAGTGGCCAAAGTCGACCTGGGGATTGGCCCTTGGAAACTGTGTTCATAGAATACGAACGCGAGGGGAATACATGCAGGGCGACAATGCATGGTCAAGAAAAGAGCAGCTTGACTCGGTGGGTTTCATTTGGTGCACCCGCGAGTACAAGTTTGAAGTCTTTTGTCGAGCCCTCCGATTCTACGCGCAGATTGAAGTCAAGGGGAGCGGTTACAATACTGTCGGTATCATGAAGATTCCTTCTTCTTTTGTTATTCCTACTGGTGATGCAGCATGGCCAAAGGATCTGTGGGGCTACAGATTTGGCGAAAAGTGTACGGCAGTCCGACAAAAGCAACTATACGTCAAGGGACATCCCGAACGTTCCAAAATACTGTCCGAACTAGGCTTTCATATCGCTGGCAACGACAATCTGCGATGGCTCGAAGTGGTACATGCATCAGCAGTTTACTCTCAACTACATGGAAAGAAATTAGACGTCCCCCTGACCTTTGTCGTTCCTGCTCCACCCCAGCGTAGTGTGGAGGATGGTGTCGTCACTGGAAGCGACGAGGCATGGCCTTGGCCGGAATATTTGTGGGGATTTCCGCTGGGCCAACGGCTCAAGGACATACGGTTGAATGGGTACTACCTCAAGGGCAAAGATGCCGTCGAGCGAAGGAGTCAACTCAATGCCTTGGGGTTTGTCTGGTCTCCCAAACGCGGAAGACGAAAGAAAGCAACCTGAGGTACTATACAGTACCAGTACCGATATAGTCTTTTTTAAATATACCTAGGTACATCTGTAGTCTCATTATTGGAATGTTGTGCAATATTTGTCGCCTGTGATGTTGACAATTTGATGGAACAGCGTTCAATACACTATCAAACAGTCTACGGTACAGTATTTATTTTGCACAGTGCGATGTAAGAGTAGAATGCATGCATGAGTGAATGAATGTGTCATGAGAGAGAATGAAAATTTAGTAGCAGCTATTATCACCTATCTCATCATGACGGTCTTTGGAGAATGGGGATAAGAGTCGTTCGATCTTGATTGATTCGAAGGAGAAGAATGGCCCTTGTTGTTGTTTGTTTGCGCAATTGTTGCGGAAACAATTTCGCAATCGATTGCATGAGCAAGTTCAAAGCGAAGACGCTTCATCTGTCCACCACACATGGTAATGGTGGAGCGAAGAACGCGCTCCATTCGTCTTACATATGCATCTCGGCCAAAAGCTACTTCTAGTGCGTTGACAACGGCAGCGGCGGCGATTTCAGATGGTCGGGTTGTGCAAAATTCATACTTCAATACTGAATGGATGACTTGAGACTCGATTGATCTCATTATTTGCTTGGATTCAATGTTTAACAGTTGAAGAAATCTTCTGGCAAACCAAATGGCAGTGGGAGGATTGACAAGCCAAGTAATGGTTTGCAGCAAATGCATTTCCATTCGTTCAACATCCTTTTTGGTGCTCATACCACCACTGAGATTTGCCACAAAGGCAGGAGAAATGGCCTCCTTCTCGTGAATCTTAATCGCCGTGTAAATGGCGGCCAAACTGGCCAGTTGAAACTTTTCACGATGAATGAGAAATTCCTTGGCAGCTGGTGAGGAAGCAAAGCGATCTAGAATGGAAACCGCAATGGCTGCAGTGTCTACACTCATGTCGCATCGCTCTACAATCATCAAATACCAATTGCCAATCGCTTCTCGCGCGGCTCGATCCACTGGGTATTCTCCATACTCATTCGCTGGAAGGTAGGACAAATAATCAGGAACTTGGTACGAACTTTGTTCTCTGTGCAGCATGGCATCGATGCTGCTAACAACTTGGTCCATTTCGAGTGCTTCGTTTACCATTTTGAATTTTGGTGTAGTCGTTGTTTTGTGGTAAAGTGACTTGTGACCCGTCGTTAGAATTATGTTTTTGTGAGTAGTGATCTTGGTTGGAACAAACAGTACTGAAAAACCTTACTATTTATCGTCTGAGCAGTTTTCAAACAGTATTGTTTTTCCGTCTGTCACCTTAACACCTTTGGAAGCGAAACGCGCGCAAGATATATTACGAAATCGTACGATCGGTCATAAATGAGGAATCACGATCGTGAATCGTAATAATATCACCACATGTCTCCACATATCCTCAAAATGTCGCTCCACACAAAATAGCCAATCATAATTTGATATCTGATCTTGAAACGATGCAATTAAGTGTATGGTTCCCGAGTGGCTTATTTGTCTCTTGAATCACTGCATTGACTCATTGACTGTCACGTATCGCATACTGGTGGTACAACTGCCCTCGGTTATTTCTTAGATTCACTCGACTGCTCTCATGCCAGCTTTGTATTGGCCAATCTCTTTTTCGGGGGATTTGTTTCCGTTTACAACGAAATTTTGGGTTGCCAAAAGTTCACCACCACGTTGCGCATGGATTTGAACTTCACGTGGGGATGCGGTCTTCACGTTGGAGGGAAACTTCGACCTTCACGCAAGTCAAAATCAACTTCACGTAAATATCTCACAAGTGTCTGCAAGTAATTTAAAACCCTCTCACAACGGTAATTCGCGAGTACATTTTCCACTCAAAGAGTCACAAACTCTAGAATAATATGAATTATGACCCTTGACATTGATTAGCTTTGGTGGGGATCCGATTGTCACTTTGGAGGGAAACTGAAAACTGCACGTCCTTGAACTTCACGTCAGTCAAAACTAACTTCACGTAACTCTCACAACAACGATAATGCGTGATTGCATTTTCCATTCAAAAAGTTACAAACTGTAGACTATTATGAATCATGACCCTTGACCTCTATTAGCTTTGGTACCGGTACTAATGTTAGCAGTCTAGCGACGTCCTCCTCCTCCTCGCCCTCGACCACCACCGCCTCCACCACCACCACGACGTCCTCGACTTCTATCATCGGATCGTCGATCAAAGCGTCTACCTTCTCCACCTCCACCACTATTGTTGCGTGGTCCACCGCCACGACCTCCTCCCCCTCCGCGTCCTCCTCGGCGAGGGCCATCGTCGTTGCGATCGTCTCGTGGTCTTCCACCTCCCCTTCCATTATTGTTACCATCAAAGCGATCGTCTCGTCTGCCCTCGGCTCCATCTCTAGGCTCTTCTTCTTTGCGGTCGCCGCTGCCACCGCCATGTCTACCTCCCCGTGGTGGCCCGTCACTTTTGAATCGATCGCCGCCTTGTCTACCACCTCCCTTTGGCTTTCCGTCATTGTATCGGCCCCCACCGCCGCGTCCACCATCACGCCCTCCGATCTTCCCATCGCGACTGTCACGTCTTCGTGGATGATGATGATGATGATCACTGCCAGCACCATTATGTCGATCGTCGTGTCGACCACCTCTTGGACCCTCTTCACTGCGTCCACGTCGACCGCCGCCGCGATTGTCATTTCGAGAAAACGAACGATCCCGGCTTCCCCTTTCGTTGTTATCCCTACCACCACGTTCTTCGCTCGTGGTGCGTGACCTTCTACCGGGTAGCCCATCATCACGAGGTCGCTTCGACGAGTCCTTGATGTCATTGTTTCTCCCAGAGTTGTTCTTGTCAGGATACTTTCGTTTGTTCGAATTATTTGTATTGTTGTCCACGGCGATGGCAGTTTCTTCCTTCTCGGAAGAGGCCTGCCTTGACCCCCCTTGCGATCCTTTCTCTTCACTGGAGTCTCTGACTTTGGTGGCGATATCAGCCTCTTCTTTCTTGACATTTTTGTCATCTTTCTCTTTCTCATGTTCGTCGTCTTCCTTTTTCATACGTGTTTCGTCTTCCTCTTCTTTGGTCCCTTTAGCGATATTTGTGTTGTCGGCCACATCCTTTGAGTCACTTTCTTTTTTCTCCTCATGTTCATCCTTGGAGGTAGCTTCCTTCATTTCGGTCGATTCAGTTGCCGTGGCTGCCTGGTTGTACGCGGCTTCATCCAAAGCGCCTTCCTCGTCGCCTTCAGTTTTGGTTGGATCTTCGGCCGATTTTGATGATTCACTGGTTTTCTCAGCTAAGTCCTGGTTCTTGGTGTCTTGGCCTTCTTCTGGATCATCCTTCTGTGGCTCTTCGTCGTTTTCTACTTCCATGGGTGCATCCTTGCTAGCTTCGCCCTCAGAATCATCATTTGATTCTTCTTCCTTTGCATCATCCTTGTCTTGCATCTCGACATCATCATCTTTGGTAATCTTTTCTTTGTCGCTATCCGCATTCTCGTCATCTTCTTTACTAGCATCTTCCTCACTTTCTTCCTCGTTTTCGTCTTCTTGTTTCTCGTCGTCTTCTGACTTATTGTCTCCAGTTTCACTCTTGTTATCTCCTTCTTCTTCACTCTCTGAAGCCTCGGAATCTGGCATCTCTCCAGGAAGATCTTTGCCATTTTTGTCCTTGTACCATTGTCGTGCCATGGTTTCCAAATGGTTGGGTTTCTGGCACAATTTTAATAGAGGAAGCTGATGCTTAGCAAAGAGTCGCATGGCCCTCCAGGTGAATCCGGGATCATTCTTGGGATGATACTCTTCTTCAATGCCAGCATCCGGGTCAAAAGCATCAATGAATTCTTCCATGTGCTCTTCCAGAGTTGGTTCAAAAGAACCTAGTTTGACACAGGCCACCTTGACTTCTTCCTTGGAGACGGGCGCAAACTGTTGAATCCACTTGTCATCCTCAGCTTGTTTCGTTTGCTTCGCCGCTAGTTTGTTGGCAGCCGACTTGCGAGGCATTCCTTTCATGGCTTCCTTGACAATTTGGGCACCTTTTGTGCTGTGTTCGTCCCATTCATTAGCTTCCAACACGCCAATCGTTTCCATCAGTCGCTTGGGCGTGGCAAAGGCACTGGCCGCACAGCGTTGTTCCTTTTTCCATTTTCGCCAGTGAGCTTCGGAATGGACCAATAATACGTCACATAGCAGATGATACATCTCAGGGCTAGCCTTCTTCAGCAGATCCTTGGAGCGTTGGTAGAGTTTCGACAAAGCATTGCCCAAGGATGGGGATTCCGACGAAAGGTGATTGGTCACAATGATGAATTGGGATAGGAATTGACTTTGAAAGTTTGCTTGTTCCAGCTGGGACAAGAAAAGAGTGGATGATGTCAGGTAGGCTTCCGAAGTGGAAAGGGGACTGACCAAGTTGCTCTTGTCTAGAGTGTCGTTCTGGGACACTGACTCCATGGCCGCCAAAACCACCTTCATCTTTTTGATAAAATCGGCAATCTGAATGCTATTGGGATTCGAAAAGTCCTTTTGCAAAGACCAGAATGCCTTGTAGAGACTGTATTCCTTCTCTCCCTGTGGTTCCTCCATGTTGTCTACAAATTCATCAAAGGATTCAAAGTCTTGTTCTGCACTGTCCTCGTCAATTTCCCTGGTACTCCCACGAAAGCTGCCCCAAACTTTAATGGCCGATCGATCAGCAATGTCAAAAGCTTTTGCCTGTACCAGTAGTATACTTCCCTTCCATTCATAATGTGCCGAGGATCCTTGGATTCGATGAAGTAGAAGGTTGCAAACCTTGAGAAACTGCAAATGGCACACTTTGGAGGACTTCCAAAACAATTCGCCCAATAAGATGGGTGACAGAGATGGTTCGATATGATCCATCCACAGTGATTGAGATTCCGTTAGAGTCAGCCCGTCAATGCAATCTTCCAGCAATATCAGCGGTAGTTTTCGTGGTTCCATATCCAGATAGGGAGAGGAGTAGGAAGGTGATTCCTTTGTTGCGTTAGTTTCCGTTTCCTCTTCCTTTCTTTCTTGTTCTTTTTCCTTCAATTCTTTCTGTTGTTTTTCTTTGTGCAGGGTGGCAAAATGAATCATGTGATGGCACATGTCCAAGGCCGTCCTCCAAGCAGCTCCAATTTTGCCTGCTTTCGAATCATCCTCGTCTTCCATTAACAGTTGGAGTAGATGCGATCGACTCGACATTTCCAATTGTTCCAGTCGTATTGATACGGTTGTCGAATAATATGATGATGATTCTCCAGACGGCGGAATGGCTTCGGAAGCAATCGTCTTCCAAGGCTCGGGCAAAGTCGTCAAAAAGGATTCATTGGCATGTTCCATGTTTTGAGCTTGGTTCGTGCTTTTGGCCTGATCTGTTTCGTCCACGTCCATGGCAGAAGTGCTTATTATGAACTTGCTTGTATCCGTGACCTTTTCGTTTGGCAAAAGAATGGCCTTTGATAACGCTGGCCTTGTTGCAAGATGGGTGGTCGATCGTCTTGTGAAATGTTGGGTGTGTTGACTGTCGAATGTGGCACGATGGATTTGCGGTGAGACGGACGGACAATACGCCTGGATCCAAACATGAAACTGAAAACTTGAAACGCACTCACACGGCAACATCAATCTCAGTTGGTGTTATACATACAGTACTGTATCCATTGATCTTCCTTCTGTACCCATCTACCCTTTGATTCATTGACCATGTCCGCTCCGCCAGCTGATGCCGATCCCGATGATCTCGAAGTCGAAGCAGGCGATGGACAACCCACTTTGCTCGTGAGCGAGTTTCCTCCAGCACCTTATTATTACGCTCTCGCATCCGAGGGCAAATTGAAACCACCTCCCATTCCAACCGAAGCACTGGCAAGAGGCACTCGGAAGGCAGCGGCTGCGGGTGCCAAGGCTCGGGCAGAAACAGAGCGTTTGCGTCTCAACGACACGGGTGCTATTTTGGGAGGAGTCCAAGAAGATATGGAAGAAGAGGGAGATGTGGTGGCGGTCTTTGGAGAGATTGTGGAGGATCCATTGTTGGTGGAACCACAAGATTATTGCGAAGATCCAAATGCTATTGCGGAAACTGTGAAAAAGTACGACCAATCAATGCTGGTATTATTTGTGTTTCATGTGCCATCTCATGATACTATTGCTACTAACCTAATTGGAATCTGCTGTGCCTACAGATTGAATCGTCAAGTTCTCGAAGATTTTGTCAGTTTGGTCCAGGATTTGGTGCATCGACCAGCCGAAAATAAGTGAGTATAGGTATACATGTATTACTCGTTTCTTGAATTGGGCCGTCTATTGTGGAATGCATGAATGAATCATTCAATGACACCAATTATTCTTGCTCACACACACAATGTCACCTTTTTTTTTAAATTACAAAACAAAACTACAGAGTCACTCGAGATCAATTATCACACAATATCTTTTTGATGTTGCAAGAGACCAACAAGTTTAGAGAACACCAAGCTAGAGAATTTCTTATTGAAGTATTGGAAAAACAGTTGGTACAACGACAAACATTGCTGGAAGAACTGCAGGAGGGAATGCAGCATGTTGATTCCATAGTGCCAGCAGAGGAATTGAAGGCTCTAGAAGAGGCAGAAGCAGAAGAGCTGGCCAAGAAGGAGGCAGAGGCGAATGCTATGCAAGTGGATGGCGGAAATTGATTGATGGTCGAAATGAATTGGGGAAATTGATTGATTCCTTGATTCCTTGATTGATTCCTTGATTCCTTGATTGATTCATTGATTGATTCATTGATTCAATGATTCATTCTTCAAGACCAGGCAGATGACGATTCAACGGATGGAGCAAACTTACAAAGTTCTGACTGTCAGCCAAACAACCTGCTGACGAAGCCTGTATTTGCAGACAAACCAGAATTTCGACCTTTTGGCGGAAGAAAATCATCAGTTTGCCCATCAATGACTTGGCATTCGAGCTTTTGATCAACAACTAGCATGAATTGGAGACCATGATCAGCTGAATTCCCATGTTGACTACAACTGGTTGACTATAACTTTCTACAGCTTCGCTACTTGGCTTTCATAGATTTTTCTTCCGAAACTACTTCGTCCAGTACCCGTTGGGCAGCCTTCCGACCTGATATCAGAGCCTGTTCCAGTAATCCCATGCCATATTCGGTATACGATCCCGCATAGTAAATCCCTTGCTTTCCTTGTGCTGCTTCAATCTCCTTTAGTAGTCTGGGTGTCTCTTTGGTATGAACTACTCGTTGAAAGCTAGCCTTTTTCATAATGCTGTCGGGTTTGGGGTCATGGAGTGGGGCCCAAGTCTGAAAGACATTGCCACTAAAGTTGGAATCAGGGTAGACTTCATTGAGCCAAAAGGATAGTTGTGGTTCGTCACGGTCCTCCTTCATTTCCACGGTCCATTTGCGCCAATCCTTTTTGTCGGGAGGCATGAAACTCTCATCGGTATGTAAGTAGATAATACTGGGATGGTATTTAACCTCCGCGAAAGCTTTGGGGGCATTCTTGAAAACTTTGGAAATGGCTCGGGCTTCAGTGGCACAAACAATGGCATCGTATTGGACACCATCGATTGTTTTTTTGTCATCCAAACCAGAAATTGGATTGCCGCACTTGAGTTCCTTGACACCATATAACAATGTTTGCTCCATTAATTTGACAGAGGGGTTGACTCGGACCACCGATCCGTCTCCAGTGGTTTGCATGCTTTGAATGTATAAACTACGAAGGTAGGGAAGAATGATGCCAGCAGGATAGTCCATCAACTGTTGGTAGGTGCAAGAAAGCATCCACCCCAGTGAACCAATGACCAAATACAAGAATGGATTGTTTTGGCACATCTCAAAGGAATCGGGGGTGCTCGCGCAGCATAGAGAAGTTGACTTTAACCAATCCCCAAAGGTCAGTACAGGTGATGTGTCGTCATCATCATTGCATTCCTCGAGCTTAATACTTGACATTGCACTCCCCAATGTCCACAAGTTCGAAAGGCCCCCTTCGAACAGAGCAAACGAAAGATTGTTGAGCGTATTTGAGATATCATACGATGCAAACGTCTTTTTCTTTCCGCTCTTTGTGTCTGTACCATAGTAGGTGCAGTCGGCCTCGACCACTTGCGTTGGGATATTCAGGTGTCTCAAGAGTTTCCGGTATTCTTTGTAGTATCCTTTCGATGCCATTCGTGGTGGAATATCGACCAGATGGCCTTCGTACCAGGTGCTGTTCCCAGCAAGACCGGGCCGATCATAAGCTTCGTATATGGTAACTGCAATATCCTCAGTGGACATGATAAGGGAATGCGCCGTGGCAAGGCCAGCAAGACCTGATCCAACGATAGCTACTTTCTTTGTCGTCCGTTCCGATTTTGGATCAGCTTTTGGGGTAGAAGCAACAATTATGGAGTAATCCAAATATTGCAGCAGCCCTTTTGGAAAGAACATTTCCCATCCCGTCAATACGTTGCCCCCAGTGCTTCGAACAGAAATATCGGTGAATCCTATGTCACATAGGTACTTCATATACTCCTTTTCTGTCCAAAGATTGTGACGTTGCAAACCACAAGCAAGGAGCATGAATCTGACCCACTGTGGAACTGCGCCAGGACGAATGATAATGTCGCTCACAGCCACGGTTCCGCCAGGCGGAAGGAGAGCTTCGCAGTCCTGGAAGAAGTTGAACTTTGATCGGTAGTGATACACATTGTCCAATGCCACAATCTTGTTGAAAAGTTTGGATCCAAGGAGCTGCTGGCATGGTCGAGATCTCAAATCTTCCACACTAGCCATCATTCTGCGAACATTGTAATCGCCACCTTTCAAAAGCCTGTTGTTCTCCCAGTCCATCATGCGATCCATGTCGGGGTCAATACCAGTAATATGCTGTATTTTGAAGCGGTCTTTATACAAATCTAGTTCTGCACCCGAACCACAACCACAACAGAGTACTCCATCGTTCTCTCCCAAAGATGCAGCTTTTCCGAGGGACATTGCGAGTTCTTCACAGGCTTCATCGTACAAAAATATTCGATTTCCTTTGCGGTCGGTCCAAAGTCCGAGGTTGCACCATGTAGGTGCTCCTGATCCCTGCATCATATTGTTTTCCTTTGGGGATAACGACTCTGAACGTAGCTTAGTGGCCACCCATTGTTGCCCTCGGGCAACTAGGGTCATATGTATGTCATCCGCACATCGGGAGCCTAAATGAAACGCCAACACAGCACCAGGAGAAAACAACGCCACACCAAGTGCTGCCAAGGAAGCCCGAAAGATTGCCTCATCTTTGGAATGAGTTTCACTCCTTTTGTTTTGTCCCATCCATCCCGCTTGCGCGGATATCATTGTGTCTCGATAGATTGCAAAAACCGTGATGAGACAACTGCAAACCATGTCAGTTGTGATGGATATCTGGCAATCCGTCATCGAAGTCGACAGAACGAATGAAAGTCCGCTCTGATTGCTCGATGCTAAAAGCGAAAAATGCCATAGTCCAAAGACAATGGATGCGGCAAAGTACACAATGGATGCGTCAACTCGAATGCCGGAAAGCGGCAGCGGAAGAACTTTACCCAAGGCTGGAACGATGAGAACGTAGTGCAGACCATGCAGCCATCGATCGTAGGAAGGTCGAAAGGTTCCAAATCGTTCGTTTTGTATACATTCCGATACTTCATCTTCTGAACATGGCGCAATGTTGACAATACACACAAACCCAACTACCGCACAAATTGCAGAAAGCAACGAGACGCTGCGATTTCGAGCCAAACGACTTCGGTCCATTCGCCAATACAAGGATGGTACCCATAAAACAAAGGATGCCCCCATGGCTCCAAGAAAACCATAACCAATGAAAACAAGGTCTGAAACAGTGCCTTCATCCTCCATCCAAAGCACTGAGACAATTGCCCACGTCAACAACTGAGTACTGATCATGTACTGCCCTTCGTCTCTCAACACATCTCGGTAGGCGTCGCCGAAATAGCTTTCTGAAGTGTGAATGTGAGTCGCGATGAAGCGAAAGATATAAAACCATGTCATCCCAAGAACGCAAAGGGAGATCAAGGGGGGCAACAATGAGAGTGGTGTCTTGCTCTGCTTTTGGAATTTGAAGTATCTTGCAAAACTCAAGCAGATGGCTGTTGAAACAACAAACATATACGCTTGGGCACTCCCATCCTCCCAGAAAGTTCTCAGCTCTCCAACTGGAAATGACATGGTGTTCATTGGGCACAACTTTCAGGTTGATTTCAGATCTTTTGGGAAACGCTGATGCTATCCATTCACCGTCGACTAACTCGACCACACGTTTGATCTGAGTGCCTTGTTTTGGTCGTAGGTGAGATGATGTTTTGGTTGTTGAAGGTTTAGCAACGCTATGTTTTGGTAGTATGATATGTGATAGGTTGAGTTGTCTCCTAATGTTTAGCAAGGTTATGGTTAATATCATCCTGCTTATTTTGCCCTGCATCGCATTCGTGCTGGGGTCTTGTTGGCTTTTTTGCTTGTCAGTTTGTCTTGCATCTGTTCGGGGCATATTCAGATGGTGTTTATAATAGTTTGGGGCGCAAATAATTGCTGCCACTAACTCGCGTAGTGTGCCTAGCATTTGTTTGGGTTTCTCCCATCCCATCCCTCTTATTTATTGCCAATGACCAAATCGGTTGAAATTGGGACCGGCCATGTGTGGGGGAGGAGGTGGTCCACGCCATTGTTGACCAGGACCAGGTGGTGGTGGTCCTTGTCTCTGTTGTTGTCTGGGATCAAACATTTGGTTGTGGGGTCCACGATGATGTTGGGGAGGAGCACCGTGGTGCATATGGTGATGGTTGGAGCTGGAGTTGGAAGAATTTCTGTTGCCCTCCCTGTTCTGGAAGCGGTCTCTGCTAGTGAGCATGACAGGGACAGTCTCGATTCTGTTTGGATCACATTGACGAACAACACGAAGGTTAACTGTATCTCCCTCCTTTCTTTCTTCCACAGCGGAAAGCAAGTCCTCAGACTCGGTGACGGGTTCTCCGTCAATGTGAGTGACAATGTCACCCAAGATGATGGATCCATCGTAGTCTTGTCCAAAGGATTCGAGACCAGACAGCATAGCAGGGCTGTTGTGGAAAACTTCACCGACCAAGCAACCCTTAAGAGGCATTCGAAGTTGTTGTCCAATGTTACGCGCGACTCTGTCATCGACAATCGACATTCCCAAAGTAGGTCTGACAACCTTGCCATGGACAATGAGTTGGGTGACCACACGGCTGACGGTGTCCACCGGAATGGCGAATCCAATTCCAATATTCCCGGGTGTGCCATTAGGAGAGAAGATCGAAGTGTTGATTCCAATCAAGCGCCCCTGACTGTCTAAAAGGGGTCCACCACTGTTGCCTGATGAATTGGAAAATTAAATGAGGTTAGAAAAATCAGATATGGCTGTTCGCGTTATGATGATTTCATCGTCGTACCTGGGTTGATGGCAGCATCGGTTTGAACGCATCCGTGAATAGGGCGACCTCCTGCACCGTCAATATCTCTGCCAAGAGCAGAGACAACCCCAGTTGTCAGTGTATCATCAAGACCGAAAGGATTGCCAATAGCGATGACACTTTGACCGACTTGAAGATCGCTGGAAACTCCAATCGGAATGGGAGATGGGAGATTTCTGGGATCATAATTTCTCAATTTCAAGACTGCCAAGTCTAGCTCGGAATCAAAGCCAACCATCTCAGCATCCAAGGCATTTGCCATACCAGTTAGCTTGACTTTAATGTTTTTTGGCATGGATCCATCTTGTCGTCCACCAGAGGCAACATGAAAGTTGGTGACGACATGACCCTTGTTGTCCCAAAGGAATCCACTTCCAGAACCGGAAGGAATGTCCGTTCCGGACATGGACAAGTCATCATGACTGTTGGAGTCAGTCTTGATGTGTGCGACAGAAGGAGATACCCTACGGAAGGTAGAAATCAAAGATTCTTCTTGGCTGAATAGTTGTTGTGCAGCAGGGGGGAAGAAGGGTTGTTCTTCAGCTCCAGCCGATTGCGATTGTGTCAGCCTTACGATAAGCTCTTGCTTACTTGAACAATCGCGAAAGTCAACGCCACGTTCGCTTAGAAGGTGCTTGATCTCTGACATGGAAAGCACATTCAAACTGTCAACGACGGATGGGGCTGTTCTTTCGCTTTTGAACGATAGAGAAGTTAGTTTGGCACGGTTACCGAAGCCGGTGGATGGAACAACGAATCCATTGGATGTGCTCAAGGCAAAAGAGAGTAGAAGACATGGAATTTTAAGAAACATATTGGATTTTCATGTGCAGGTATCAGAAGGGGAAGAAATATGAGTTTCGATTTCGATGATGGGTTCGTTTATTTGATGGGCGATGATGGGCGTGAACTTCTGGCGATTGAAAAGGGAACGGCACACGTACTTCGTGCGCACTAGAACTGTTCTTTGTCAACCAATTTAGCCAGATGTTTTTAAATGCCGTTGAAGTTTGTCAAGCAGAAAAATAAAATTACTTATGGTGATATTTTAGTGCCGTAGGTTTGTACCAATTTGTGATCGGGAGAAGTTCAGTTCGCCAAAAGACAGAAAAAGTTCCTTTCTGTCAAAAAATCAAATTCTCGTTCTGCAAATCGCCAGCCATCTAACGCCGGCCACGTTTTCAGTACGAAAATACATGTGTAACAATAATCGAGCCTCTACCCGCGCAAAATATGATCAATCGAGTCAAACGTGTCGGATTGGTCAAACACCGACGAAGTTGAAGTTTCGTCACTTCCCCGTGGAAGATTTTGTACAAAATTCATCTCATCTTGCCGACCATTCTCTCAAAACAAGACACCATGAAGTTCTTCACCGCCCTTACCCTTTCCTCTATTTTCGCCGGAGCTTCTGCTTTCTCCGCTGTCGCCCCCAATGTTGGAAACACTGAACCTGTTAACAAGTCTTTGAAGGGTATTGATTCGAACGAAGATGTCTTTGACCCAACCGGAGGAGACAACAGTGCCTTGATCCGAAACAACAATGATGAAGTTTGGGTTCCACAGGTACGAAACGCATGTTGAAGAAAGTGATATATAAAATGTTGCTGCACTATGGTAAGGCTAATGCATGTTTCTTTGAAGAGAGCAAGACCTCGCAGAAACCGTAAGAATGCCACCATGCGTGGAATGGTCAGAGAGAACATTGTCACTCCATCCAACTTCATCTACCCTCTTTTCATCCACGAGGAGGACTACAACACAGCCATCCCTTCCATGCCTGGATGTGAGCGTCACTCACTTGAAAATATGTTGAAAGAAGTCGGAGAGGCGTACAATGTGGGAGTCAAGACCTTTGTTCTTTTCCCCAAGGTCCCCGATGAATTGAAGACCAACCTTGGACAAGAAGCATACAACCCAGAGGGTATTGTCCCCCGTGCGCTTCGCCTCATCAAGGCCGCATACCCTGACTCCATTGTCTGTACTGATGTCGCCTTGGATCCTTACTCTGATCAAGGACACGACGGTGTTGTCGAAAACGGAAAGATTTTGAACGACGTCACCATCAACCAGCTTTGTAAGCAAGCCGTCTGCCAAGCCAAGTCGGGATCCGATGTTGTCGCTCCTAGTGATATGATGGTATGTCTTTCAATTCAATGGTTTCTTTTTATCTGCTTGTGATTCTTTCTCACTTTTCAATTTTAAGGATGGTCGTGTTGGTGCCATCCGTGACGCCCTTGACTCTGAGGGATTTACTGATGTCTCTATTCTTTCTTACACTGCCAAGTATGCTTCCGCATACTATGGACCCTTCCGTGATGCTTTGGACAGTCACCCTGGATTCGGAGACAAGAAGACTTACCAACAGGACCCTGCCAACGGTCGTGAAGCGCTTATTGAGGCCGCTCTTGATGCTGCTGAGGGTGCCGATATGCTTATGGTCAAGCCTGGTATGCCTTACTTGGATATCATCCGCCGCTTGAAGGATGCCACTCCTTTGCCGGTTGCCGCCTACCACGTTTCTGGGGAATACGCCATGATTAAGGCTGCCTGCGAAAAGGGATGGTTGAACGAAAAGGATGTTGTTATGGAAACCCTCACCTGCTTCAAGAGAGCTGGTGCCGACATCATTCTGACTTACTATGCCAAGCAAGCTGCTCAATGGATTGAGCAAGACGGGCTATATTAAATCTGTTGTAAATTTTTGGTTGTAAAGGGATTTCATTCTGAAAACCACCTCCTGTAGTCTTTGTTTCATGCCTCTACCATTGGTGCCAGCTCTGAACTCTCTCATCCAAGAAATCACCGGTCGAGTGCCAGACGACGAAAGGAGTCGGTTTTGATGGCTCACAGAAAAAGAACGAAACACATCTTGTCTTTTGTGATGAACTCAAGCGACAATGAGTGAACCAGAGGATATCATCTCGTCTTTGCTATCAAAAGAAAATAATAATGATCCGTCAGCCTGGAGCAAAATCTGCCCAGGTCTGACAATTTCAAAAGATACCACCACTTCATCGAATAATGGTGCTTCTTCACCTATGAAGAAGATCAAAATTGACAAAGCATCTTCAGAACGCAAACGGCAAAAACTAGTGTCTCATGGATACTCCCTCATAGACGAAACGTTCGATATGGATCTCGTCGGCTGCTTAAGAAAAGGCATCGAGCAACTGTTCCACCTCGGGCTGCCTGCAACATGCATCCTTCTTTTCGACGAGGCTTGGGATCTAGCCAGGAGCTCGAGGACTGCTTTGGACCAATGTACGCACAATCAAAATCAGCTCAACTTTGACCTACTTGCCTGGTATATTAAGGCGGGGACAAGTGGTTTTTCGGTAAGCAAGCAGCAAGAAGCTGAATGGTGGATGTCACTATGATTTTTAGTCGCTCAACATGAACCACAGCCGCACAGAGACCGACAACCAGAAAACGCAAAAGACACATTTCACAGCGATGACCAAGCGAAGTTTGTCACTCAATGGATCGCACTATCCGATGCTACAACTGAAAATTCATGCCTTCATGTGATACCCAAGATGGATGATCCAGGATATGCTGAAGGTGACAAAGACGATCAAGACCCAATGATCAGGGCTTTACCCAACAAGGAATCATACCAAAACATTCGAGCATTGCCGAGAAAGGCGGGTCAATCAATCATGTTCACTCACAGAATTATACATTGGGGGTCTAGAAGCGATGCTGACTTGACTGGTGCACCACGGATTGCTATATCGTTTGTTAGCTCGGACCCTAGCTACGAGCCACCCCTTGTAGATCCTCAGCACTTTACGGCAGAGAAGAATCCTCCGTTCCGGATTCGTCTTTTGCTTGTTTGTGCGCAGCTTCTGATCTACTATCAACGATTTGAGCTGACAAAAGAGGCAGTGAAATGTTGTTACAAGTTCTGCAAAGAACACGAGGACGATTTAGATGAATCATATCGACACAAAGTATTCGTAGAATTCGTCAATGCGATGAAAGAGACTTCCGAGACCACGGACAACAATGAAGGAAACGGAAAAGCTGCTGTAGAACTAGTAGTCACTGAAGAGGGAGATGAAGAAGACGAGGAAGATGCCATGATGCAAGAGATGCTCGACGCTGAAGAGGGAGGTTATGGGGAGTTTAAAGACGATTTTGATGAGCTAGATGGAGAGGAGGAGTACGATTCGGAGGGCAGTGTAAACAATAAAGACGATTACGAAGACGACGAAGATGACGAAGTGAATCTGTTCGGAAAAAGAAAGCTAGAAGAGACCAAGGAGGCCAATGGGAGTGCTAAGAGGCAGAAGTAGATTCTAACGTCTGTTGGTCGTCGGACTTATTTATTTTCGAAGTCTCTCAACATCACAAGTTCATGTTTTAAAATCTTCTCCATTCGATGCTGATGTCCTGTTTAACATTATCACATCGGGCATGCTTTATATTGGCTGCCCTGCAGCTTTTTAGTTGCTGCAATGGATTTTCGCTGATCCAACCGAATACGGGACTCTCTTCAAGATCCATGAGACTGCAATCCTCAGGTTCCGACGACACATCAGTCGATGTCAAGCCGAAGAAGCTCTCCAGACCCGAACGAAAGGCACTCGAGAGGCAGAAAAAGGAACAGAAATCTGCAAACCAAAAACGAAGCCAGGCCAGAGCCAAGTACAATCTCCACTCCAATGCCGTATCAGAGCTGACGCCAGAATCTGGCGCTGAAGATGTATTGAGGGCAATCAAGAGAGCACAGAATATGCATGACCATCACGATGTCAGAGTAATTGCCAACTTTTTGCTGGATGAGTGCGGGGAGGACTTTGCTTATGGCTACCGAGGCTCTCTATTGGCTCGATTAGCTGTTGCGGCACTTCACTTTGGAAATCATGAAGTTGCAGGACGAGCGATCACTATTCGACGCCTTGAGCATCGCTCAAGCATGCTACCGATGGAATCTGCAGCCATTATTCGAGGACTTCTCAGATCTGAGAACACAACAGAAGCCATGGAACTATTATTTGATGAATTGAAACTTCCCTTGGAGGTACGTTACGTTTTCCACTCAGTGCTGCTGACCATGTTATTGTTATCCAACAGCTAGGTGTTTGCGAAACCACAGGGCACACCATTGGATACAACAGAGAATCAAGAGCTCTTGAAGCATCGAGCATTATCACTGGGATCTATTACATCACGGTATTTCTACGAGTCCTCGCCATCGCAAGCTGTTGAAGCATGCAAAATGTTGGCACAGATGGGGCCAATCGTTCGCGAGGCGAAGATAGAAGCAAGCTTCATTGATATGCCATGGCTACGTATCATTCGAGGAGCTGCGCAGTGTGAATCGCGCCGGAGAAATGGCGAAGCTGCTGCCGATGAAGATAGCGATGTCGAGTTGCCATGCAATTTGGTGTATGCTGTCTTGGGAGCAATGACAACATTTCCATCAGATAATGACGACCGCGTCTTTGAAGCGTTATCCAATGCATTGGTGAGGCGAGTGCTATTTGTAACAGGAGCAATCAGCATGGCGGGCTGCCCCCCTGCTGATCGCGGAGAGGCGGTTTTCATCGGACGTAGTAACGTTGGAAAGTCAAGTCTTGTCAACATGGTGACGAATCGAAAGTCGCTAGCGTACACCAGTAAACGGCCAGGAAAGACGCAGCAGTTCAACTATTTTGCTGTTAATGACAAACCTGGTAGAGAAAAGGAGATCAAATTCGGAGATGTAGTGGAAGGAGAAAAAGACCTTGATTCCTTTTACATTGTGGACCTTCCAGGATTTGGCTTTGCCAAAGTACCGGATCAACAACGAAAGGAATGGGCCGACTTTATGAGAGATTTCCTTGCAAATAGGAGAACACTGAAGGTTGTATTCCATCTTGTGGATGGACGTCACGGACCGATTGATGAAGATGCCACCATCATGAAGCAAGTTGGTGAAAGTCTTCCAAAGAATGTTGCATATGTTGTGGTGTTGACCAAGGCTGATAAGAACGCTAAGGGACCAGCGAAGAAGAAACTTGGAAAAGTTTCGATCGATGTTCTCAACACCCTTCGAGAGACGATGAGGGAAAACAAGGTTGGCAATGCGCCAATCATCGTAACGTCAGCGGAAACCAAGCTTGGCCGTGACGATATTTGGAGATATTTAAGGATAGCAGCTGAAGCCTGAACTCTAACTAGTGCAGCCCATGTATTTGTAACGACAGTGATATGTTGTTGTTGGTAGTCAAAAGATTAATAATAGAATTGGGACATTTAATTCTTCCCTGCGGCACTCTTTCGCAATGATTTCTCCAGTCGTTTCCGTTCTTTGCGATCCCTTACTTTTCGTTCCTTAAATTTCTTCACTAGCTCATCAAATCCAATATCCATCAGTTTCATCTTTGCCAGTCGAGCAGCCTTGGTGACTGGGCCCAACATTTTGATTGCAGCATCATCTGTTATGTCGGAACACTTTTCCAATGGCCGTCCAGTGATCTTCTCAACGGCATGTACCAACGAAACTTCGGTTTCGGACACCAGACTAATCGCCTTACCACGACGGCCCGCTCTAGCAGTTCTTCCCACTCGGTGAACGTAGGAGACGGCACTTCGGGGAAGTTCCGAGTTGATAACCAAATCCACAGATGGGATGTCTAATCCTCGAGAAGCGATGTCAGTTGCCACAAGCACCCGGACCTGCTGCGATTTGAATGTTCCAAGTGCTGCTAAACGTCTATTTTGTGACAAGAGGGAGTGCAAGGCCACATTTTTTACACCAACCTCGGCCAAAATATTGGACACCAAAGCGCATCGTTCACATGTTGAAACAAAGACAATAGTCGACCGAGCTTTACCAGCTTCTTCGTCATCCGAGTCTTCATCCTTGGCTCTACCAGACCATGCCTTCTTACCCTTCGAATCCCGAGCTCTTCCACCATTCGACATTAGAGTTCTAATAGTGGACAAGAGATAGGCATCACGAACTCGAGACGGCATAAAGATGTATTCTTGCTTCAGCCCGGCAGGGATCCTAGGAGTGAGTTGCTCTTCTTCTGATTCTTGTTCGTCTTCCGCTGTTGCATCACCTTCCACTTTGTTTTCATTGGCATTCTCCCCTCCCTTGTCTTCTGTCAGTTTCAGCTTTCTCCGTTTGTTCTTTTCTTCATTGTCTGCCTTGACGACAAATTTGCAGAGCGGAAGTCGCCCTTGCCCTGCCCCCGCGATTTCTTCAATATTTTCCAAACTTCTTGTCATGGTAGCACTAAAGAGCAAGGTTTGGCACTTGGTTCGCTTATCACGATTGCAATGCAAAAGAAGTTCGGCAACATCTTTTTCAAAGCCAGAATTGGCCGCCAACAAACGATCCGCCTCATCGAGCACCAAATATCGCACATGCTTGAGATATGGCGGACTAGGACCTCTCAATAATTCTCCTAGTCGACCGGGCGTCGCCACCAAAAAGTGTGGTTTCTTGGACAAATCACAAGATTGCCGGACCATGTCCATACCACCAACCACCAAGGCAGATTCGACATTGTACGAACTTCCAAGAGCCAACACCTGTTGATGAATTTGCTTGGCCAATTCTCGAGTAGGACTGATAATCACTGCATAAATTCCATATGGGTCCATGGACAATCGATTCAAGATGGGCAAGGCAAAGGCTGCTGTCTTTCCACTCCCCGTTGCCGCCAAAGCCAATATGTGTGCTGATTCTTCTTGAATCAAAAAGGGAATAATTTCACGTTGTACCGGCGACGGCTTCTTGAAACCCAGTTTCCTACAAGTTTCCAACAATGGTTCCGCCAAACCAAGATCTTCAAAGGAAGCCCATGGCGATACTTTCTTGTGATTAAAGTCTTCGGGATTTCTTCTTTCAGCGGATTGGGCATCCAACCCTTCGGATGAGGACCCATTTTTCGATTGTTCCGCATCATCTGCATTGGATGCATCAGCTTGTTTTCGCTTCAAGCGCTTGTGTGACTTTCCAAACAAGGTTGACATGTTGTTTTTCTGTTTCCAAAAGAAGAAAAATGGAATGAACCGAGGTTGAAACTTTGTTGGTTCTCGTTTGCACCAAACGGACAGACGCCTCTTTGACCGCTTCGACCGGTTTTGGTTTCCATTCTTCATCTTCTTGCTACGGTAAAGCTCACCTCTGCACTGCGATCAAGTTAGACAATTGCTACTTTACTAAAAATTGCCTATTGTCAATGTGGCAAGGTGAATGAAGCTCTGCCACAGTAACCATTGCCAAGTTTTGAAAAAAATATCACTTCGTTTTCTTGGGCCAAATGATACTAGCTTGTTTCTGCAACATATGTGTACAAAATAGTGTGCAGTACCTGGTACTTTACTTTTCCATGGTAGCAATTCTATCCTTGTGTGTTTGTCACTTTGTGATTGTGCCGCAGCAGCCCTGTGTCGAAAAAATAATGGCCATGCTGAACGCTGCTGCATGTTCCAAATTCGTTCCAAGTTCGAAACGACCTTGGCCAGCAAAGCTATTCCTTTTTTGGGCGCGAAAAAAGACCGTCCCTCTGTGCCCAGATGTATGTACATATGACATTCAAAAGAAATTTCCTGACTGCTTCTTCAAAATAATCATCATGAGTTGACGCACTCGGCAATAATACCGATGCTTCCCTTCCTTGCCAAGAGTTTGCTCAAAGCCATTCAATGCGATTCAATATTCATACGGTAGTATGCTGTCTTCCGCTTGCTTCATCGATTCCTGTGCACAATTCGCTTAAAGAACACTGACACTTTGAATCGACGTCTATTGTTTGTAGCAGCTGCTGGCCGTCTCAAATCCTCCAGACTTCCTCCCGATTCATGAGAGGCCACGGACGGCTCTTCTGGCACGGCCGCGTCCTCCATGGTAAAGAATTTGGACGGTCCATCTTCCGACTCGTTTTCCTTGACAAATTCAAAAATCTTCATTGCCTCCAAGCCATGTTGTTGGATCGTTTCTCGTAGTTGATTTTCGGCCCAGGCAACATGTGCTGGAGTCACTTCAGACCTTCGTCTGCAAAAGGGCATGCTGGAATTATTCATCAAGACAATTTGAACCCAAAAGGTGATATCGCCCTTGCCATGACCATGTTCTTCCAACCATTTCACCAATGGATTGTTGGGATCATGTTGGCCCAAGGAAAAGACAGAATCGCCCAAGACAAAATATAATTCTCCATTTGTTGTAGACGTCTCGCACAAGTTTTGGTAGGTAGAAAAGGAGATACGGGCCACCTTTGGAGCGTTTGGAAATTTGAGATATTCATCAACGCATCGGTCCGGAATGTATGGAATATTGAGAATGGAGTCTTCAATGTACTCGCGCATGATTCTATTTTGTTGCATTCCTTCGGCAATCAATTTGAGATATCCTTCTTGCGGCAAACTCTCTCCTACTGGATTGTTGCTCAGCAGAGTTTCTTGCACATCATCAGGAAATTCAATAAAATAAGCCATGGCACTTGCCAATTCTTCCTTTTCTTCTTCTGTATCCTCATCTTCGTCATAGTTGAATCCGCCTTTGGGGTAGTGAAAGACCAATCGTTCTGTCACTTGCCGCCGAATGTCATAACTCTGCAACTTCTTGAAATCTCTCAGGGAAGTCAGAGTCATTAAGACGCCGTGCACTCGGTAACCTCGTTGACGGACCACATTGGCGACTCCTCCAAATTCAAAGGACAGTCGGTATCCATCCAAAAAGGCAGCTTGTAGATCCGTGGTTCGAATGTTTCTCCGTTTGCGAACAATTTCATTGACAATGGGGCCGTAGCCAAAGAATAGAATGTTGTTTCCAGTCTGGTTGGATGATTGAGAAAGGTCTTCCTTTTCCGACGAAATGACGCTCATTTGATCGGGAGACAATCGATCCGGGGAGAGTGAGGAGAAGCTATTGCGCTTCATCCTTTGTTATTTGTGGGCTGGTGGCGAATGGACTGAATCAATCAATGAATCAATCAATGAATCAATCCTTCTTCGTTCCTATTGCTTTCCTTTGCTTCGATGAACTGAACTGAACTGAACTGAACTGAACTGAACTGAACTGAATCGTGGTGGAGGAATGAATCGTGGTGGCTCCAAAAACAATATCACAAACAAAGTATACCGGTAGCTATTTCAACGAGAAGGGTTGGAACCCAAAACGCTACGACGCGTGCGTTGACCGCAAGTGGAACTTTTGTAAGGTTTTTGGTTGCTGCCGAAACAAAATGTTGTCGGTAACTGCAACCACACCACCCCAAACAACGGACTCCTCACAAGTCGTAAAAATAAGTGAGTCGCCTTTTCGTCCGTCCGTTTTGTCAAAATTTCCGGTTCGAATAATTCGCACAGATGACAGACGACTCAGCAGGAACCTTCCAACATGTTCTTCATTCATTCGTTGTACAATTTTGAGCGGTGCGAACAGAGGCTTTTTAGAAAGTTCTTTTGAACGGTACATACGTACCGGTACGAGACACCCCGCCACTGTAGTGGCGGGTGAGCAAAACGCACTACTTTTGATCCCCCATTTGGAAAGTTTTTTTGCAGGCCCCCCAAATCCAGTTTCGAAAATGGCGCGGCAAGTTTTTTTTCATCATTGTGGACTGTGGTCTGTAGTCTGTGGTCACAATCAATATTGAATATGAGCATCACAACGCATTGAGCAATAATGAAGGAGCATGAAGGACGGAGACTTACCCATCACAATCCCTACCGAAAGAAGAATAAAACAGCATTCCACACTAGTAGTAACAACAAACATAATGACACCAACGGAAACGATCCAGTGCTAGAACACATACTCAAGCAGCTTCGACCATTTCAACGAGAAGCCTATGACTTTTGCACCCAAGGCATTTTGCCAAAGCGCAACTGTTCCAATTTTGATGATGCCAAAGAGAGTTCAGGAGACTATACCAGGGACAAAAATACAGTCAAAGTAGAAGCCAAACCGGCAGAACCAACAACAACGACCATTGTTCACAATCCAGATTTGATTGGCAAGGGACGCATTTTATTGGCAGATGAAATGGGATTGGGCAAGACGGTTACTTCCTTGGCCATTATGGCGCACTATCGGGCCACAGATTGGCCCTTATTGATACTATGTCCAGCATCCTTGCGATATACCTGGCCAGGAGAAATTGAAAAATTCATGCCGTCCCTACCGGCTTCCAGCATTTATGTCGTCCAAGGATTTGACGATGCGGATTTTTACGAAAACGAAGCGAAACGAAAGAAGATTCAAATTGTGGTGGCGACCTACAGTCTATTGCAAACTCGGTCGGCAGCTGCCAAGACACTCGATCAATTTCAATTTCAGTCCATCATTGTGGATGAATCCCACAATTTGAAACAAAAGAATACCCAACGAAGCAAATTGGCCTTGCCAATACTCGAGCAAGCCAAACGGTTGTTATTGTTGAGCGGAACACCTGCTCTCGCGAGGCCGGTGGAATTGTGGACGCAAATATCGACGCTGGCACCGGGACTCTTTGGCGATAATTATACACAATTTACAAAGCACTATTGCAATGCCAGACGAGGACGTTTTGGATGGGATGTCAATGGCTTGTCGAATGCGGACGAACTGCATGCCAAACTCCAACAAATCATGGTGCGGCGATTAAAGGCAGATGTCTTGGACGAGTTGCCACCCAAACAGCGAACCATTGTCAAGATCAATGTGCCCAAGGGAGAAAGAAGAAAGGAATGCGAATCCATTTTGAAAGACTTGGCCAACACTCGACAATCTCTTGCTGATTTGGTCGGAGACGATGCCAATGGTGCCAATTTTGAAGCTCGTACCTTACTCATGCAGGCCTATCAAGCATCGGGAATTTCCAAGAGCAGCGGCGTCGTGGAATATTTGATGGAGTGGCTCAAGGGTAGCGGAACTCAAAAGGTCTTGATCTTTGCGCATCACAAGGGTGTCTTGGATGCCTTGGAAGTGGCCGTCTCCAAAGAGTACAAAGCCACGGCTCACATTCGGATTGATGGGTCGGTCAGCAGTTTGGAACGTGCCGCTCGAGTCCGCAAGTTTCAAACTTCTTCCAAAATCAGAGTGGCCATTTTGAGCATGACGGCAGCAGGAGTGGGTTTGACCCTGACGGCAGCCACGACTGTCATGTTTGGTACGTAGTAATTGTTGATATTGTTGATATTGTTGCTGCTGTTGCTGTTGTTGCAACGATGGTGATAGTGCGACTCTGGACAACTGACTCACTCATTCAAAATCCCCGTCAAATCTTTTTCGTCGCAACGCAGCCGAATTACATTGGACCCCTGGCGTCTTGGCACAAGCGGAGGATCGCTGCCATCGGATTGGACAGAGAAATGCCGTCCACATTTTGTACTTAATTTGTCAGGATGGAGACATGAGTGTGGATCCCCAACTGTGGAAAATGCTGGCTCGCAAGATTGGAACCCTGGGCAAAGTGATTGATGGAGAAAAGAATGCTTCGATGAATGCCAAGGAGGCTCCTGCGAATGGAATGCCCAGCAATCGCAAAAGACAGTCTGTCCAAGACGAACTCCAGAGTTTTTTTGCCGAGACGTCCCCCAATGATACGTCGGCAGCCAATCCAAAAGTTCCTATCAAGGGTACTATCATGAGTTTCTTCAAGAAACAAAATGAATCGGCCAAGAAGGAACCAGCAGTGAAGACAAGCCCAATAACGCCCAAGGAAACTGTGCTTTCTCCTTTTGTACAGAGTGTCAAGAAATACATCAAGGTGGCTAGCCCACAAAATTTGACAATGACTTCGCCACAACAGTCAACTGTAGAATGGGCCTGCGAGAAGTGCACCTTTATGAATTCGCAATTGAGGGCCAAGAGTGGCTGGTTGAAGTGCTCCATGTGTTTAAAAGTACACTTTGAAAACAAGAAAACCAGTCCTACGGTGACACCCAACAATACCCAAAGCAGTCAGGAAGAACCAATTGTCCTGGATGATAGTGATGACAGTGAAACAGAACCAGAACTAAAACAAGGTACACTCAAGAGTCTAGGGAATCCAAAGAAACGAATGCAAATCAAACTATCCAACAGTGAGGTTAATGTGAGGGTACTTGATGCCGACCAATGCCACCAAGATCAGAAGAAAGAAAAGGTATTCTGCAATGTAGTAAACCTAACCGGCGACGAGAATATACCGGAGAGTCTCCCATTGCAAAAGAAACGAAAGGTGGGAGTCCGAGATGTCATATGCTTGGACGAAACTGATAATGCAGCGAAATGCCGAGTCCAGGTGAAATCCATAAAACCTGCGCCCTCTCGCTCCTTTCTTTGCTTCAGTGTGTCCAAGAACAGTGGACGAATCACAGTCCATTTCGCTTCCACCAATGAATCATCGCTTATCAACTTTAGCCTCGAGGAAGTCCTTACCGAGGAGACATCCAGTCGATTGTTAGACACCACGATTCACCGTCGCTCAAGTAGTACACTAGGAATTCCACTTGAATTTGACGTCTCAGCAGTCAATCAAAGTAAGTCGCCGGCTGACTCTCTGTTTCGGATACGATGATGACATGTTGTTCTCAAATTTATTTGCCACACAAAGTTATATCAAAGTTGAACTGTATGTACCACATAGTTATATCAAAGTTGGAGAGTTCAAAAATGAATGGACTAGTTCAACGAGAGTCAATGAGGTCCGAAATTGAAAAGTTCGTGTCATCCTTCCAAACGCTGCGAGAAGTCGAGAAGCAAGCGATCAAAGAGAGTGGTGAAGCTTTCTCGCCCCATGCTCTGAAACAAGCCGCTTCAAAGTTAATAGTATCATCGGGTGAGAGCAGCATTGAACGGTATGCTGGTGGAGCGAAAGAGCGTGCTAGGGAACGAATGGAAAGTGGGATTGCGGACGAAAGGGACAAAGCTACTCTAGAAGGAAGGCTATGTGCATGGTGTGGTGGACAGCTGCCAAGAGTCTCTAGATTAGAAGGTGTCGAATCGACTTACTGCTCCCGAGAATGTGCAGAACAAGGCCGTTTGAAGCGGGGTGGTATGTTTGCATCGTCAAGAGTACGAGAACAAGTATTCGCTCTGGAAGGGGGTATTTGTCGTCTATGTGGAATAAATGCCCATGCAGTCTATACTCGGGTTACTGCGCTTCATCCAGCGGAACGTCTGAATGCATTGATCAACGCCAACTGGAAACTTCCAAAGACGGCCAAAGCACTGGAGCGGTTGCTTCAAAGTCCCAAAGAAGGTGACTTTTGGCAGGCAGATCATATCAAAGCTGTCGCCGAGGGAGGTGGAGGTTGTGGTCTGGAGAATCTTCGAACGCTTTGCGTACCATGTCACGGTGAAGAGACCGAGAAGCTTCGTGGACGACTGAAACTGGCAGGTGGAGCAAACCATGCAAGTGACATTGCTCGAGGGCAGAGGGACATTCGCAGTATGTTTGGTGTTCAAAAGTAATGTAAGATCGATCGATTTGGGGTGAATATTTAGTATACATAACACAACTCTATGTTTCAATCATCGATCGTCGAATGGCTTCTGCTAGCATTGCTTCGTCTGCAACAACTTGAATTCGGTTTCTCATGCCTCCCTGCTGTTGTAGATCAAAGGCTTGTTGAGGCATTCTTCTCCTTGGGAAACCGACATACAGTGTAAAGATGAGGACTAAAAGCATAAAAAATTCAGTACTCAGTAGTGACGTGACCAGACTCATGATCCAATCCACTACAAGAGCAACGGGAGCAGAGTCTCTCATGAAAAAGAGTAAGAAATGATACAGAATCAACTCCCGTGGTCTGGTCCTCCCAGCTTCCGATTCCAGAGTGCGATCAATCCAACCTACAAGGGAGTCTTGTGTTCGTTGTTCGACATCACGCTGGAAAGGAGATGCATTTACTCCACCATTGACACATTCGTATGCTTTGCAATTCGAGCGTAGTCTCATACAAGCCCAGCAGAATTTGCATTTGCAATGGAAACACTGCATATGATTGCAGCCACCATTCTTGGTGATCGGTGCTGAACAGCTTGGGCAAAGTCGACTGTTGCTCTTGAGCCATTCTTTGGTTTCCTGATCTTGTATTGTGGAAGTAGCTGGGAGGACAAACTCAAGGGAGCAGCACGGGCATTCAACGGAAATTGGCTTGAACAATGCATCTCTAGCCCATGTTGCGGCAACGTGATCGCAAGACCTCAGCACAGAATTCGGTCTGACAATGTAGATGAATACCGTTGCTAGCATGAAGAATATATCCACAACCGGAGATCTCGAAGGATCAACAGCAATATGACGCAACAAAAAGCTGCACCACAGGAATATTGCAGCTCTTCCCGCAGCAGAAACCTTGACTTTCCGACGCAATGCCTCCTGACGTCGACTTGTGTATTGCGGAGCCAAGCACTCTGACGTTACAAAGCCCCCACCTGTTGAATTGCTGGTTGGATCGTCGCTACACTTTGGACATGAACGATATGCTGGCAGAGCTCGTAGCAGCTGATTTCGTATCTTCCGATCCCACTCCTTCAATAATAATTTATCATCCTTCAGTGCAGCAATGGCATCAGACTTCCTTAGGACTTGAGGGCAAACAGGGCATCGCAGTGGCCCACTTTGATCCTTGTCTCGAACTTGACTGGATGCATACGCTTTGAAACAATCAAAGCAAACTGCATGCCCACAACTGCTGGTAATATGCCATTCATCAGGCTCGCAGAAGCAAACAGGACATTGGGTTCCTTTTGGAGGTGGCCCGATGATAAACCGGTTCCGAATGCTTCGTCGCATTCCACGAAACAAATCCAAGACTTCAAAATCATCTGATCCATGTCCTCTACCTGCCCACGTTTTCCAGTTGTCCACACCGGCAGTTGCCGCAACAACATCATCAGCGCCGTTGCCCCTGCGTCGTTTCATCTTCAGATATGAAGGAGAATTTGTTCTTGATGGAAAAGGAAGTAGCACGTTGTAGTTTTGTTCTGGTTATGCGCTCCTGCGTTTGAAAACGTTTGAAACAACAGGGACCCGGAGGGTCTGTCCGTCTGATGCCGATCTTCGCTTTCCGATCACCTGGACTTGCGGACGAAAGAAGATCGAAGAACGGTACCAGTACATACCGGTATCAAGACAAGGATCGGAACGCTAGTGCACCACTTGTGAGTGTGACTATGTCAGAATTGTTCCTACGGCAATCACACAATTATGTAACGTTATTTTAAGTCTTACGAAAGGGGGACAGCATACCGTGCTAAGTTTTATCTTTTCCTTTCAAGGGTTCATAGTCCAGCTGACTTAAAACAGTAGGTACCTACTAACTTTTCTCTTTCGGCTTTGCAAGATTCGTAGTCCAGCTGACCTACAGTGCCTACTAACTTTTCTCTTTTGCCTTCGCAATGTTCGTAGTACAGCTGACTTACAGTACTAAGCAGAAAATCTCATGTAGTTCCCTTTTTATGTTCAACTCTTGCTCATAACTTTTGTAGCCTATTAGTACCATCTATGATAGTGACTGGAACCTTCTTTCAGTTGAGGCACATGATCATGGAACTAGTTCCGACCTGAGGTATCATGTCCATATTTGCGCATGTCGGACAGTTGATTCAATCGAAGCTGATCGTAAATGTTTCCTTGTGGAAGAGATGGAAAGGTTGTAGAGTTTGCTTGCGGCAAGGATTGCAGACCAGTGTTTCCCATGGCTCGTGCTCCCACCATTTGTTGATGAAGGGCCATCCTGTCTCGAAGCAACAGATCCTGCCTCATCATATTGTAATAGTCGACGTTTGTATGCATAGGCTGCATCAACGATGTGATACCCGGCAGTCCTGAAAGGGAAACGCGATTTTGAAGAGCTGCAAGCCGTTGTGCTTCCATTTCTACATATGGGTACCCTGCAGATAGGGAACCACGCATTGTCATTGCTGACCTGTCTTGTTGTAGCATTGCCAAAGATGCCCGAGAAAGCATATCTGGGGGCACAGAAGATGTCGTGTCGAGTCCTTGAGCATGCATATGTAAGAATGAGGCAGACGCAGAGGGTACTGTGGCAGTCTCTGGAATCTCAAGCTTCTTACGACACCGAAGCGTATGGCTGACCTTCTGCAAAGCTATTGGAACATCCACCTTGACCCATTCATCTTCCCCATCCACTTTCTTCAGAAACCGTGCCCCATTCTCTATTATTTCTTTGTACACCTTTTCCACCATATCCCGCTTTCCCTGCCGTCTTAAACTGTGGTACTCATTTTTGTACCTTTCAATGATCGTTCGCATTCTCAAATTCCCTGGATGATTTTGGAATCCGCGTCCCCTTCCAAAGATAACATCGTTCTTATTCAAAGCCTTTACCCGCTCTGCATTGGGATCAATAGCATCTTCGAATCGGATTCGGTGATTCCGCAATGCGGCGTATCGAGCGGCAATGTCACTCGACTTCTGATCGGCTGCAGTTTTACTCAGGCTTTCATCTTCCATTAGGGTCCTGCTGCCTTCTCTTATGACATCTGCATCATCATCATCATCATCCGATGAATCCTTTGGCATTTCCTTGTCGTTTCCTGAATTCGATTCTCTTCCGATAGCTTCGTTTACGATGACAGATGATTTTGGTGGACTGGTTACTTGCTGTTTGTCTACTATTGCCTTTTCTCTTGGAACGGATTGCATAATATCGAGAGTAAGTATTGTCTAAAGATGATGATGTGGTCATGTACCAGTCGGTAATGTGTGTACTCGTACAGTATGAATGAAAGGACTCACTCAAAAAGAACGGATAATATATTGTGGAGCGGAAAAGGGGTGTTGAGTAAATTCCGGGAGCGGACAGGAATTTTTGCCAGAAGTCGACATCGTGGGCATCGCACTTCACGAACTTTGTTGACGTGGCTGTCGAAATGGGACATTTTGGTTTTCTTCGACTGTTTATCCCTGTGAATGTGATTGTTCGACACACCTAATCAACTGCGGAGAACCTAACATTTAGAGTAGATCACGATTAAGTGTTTTCTGGTTCGTATTTTTTCCATATAATGCTTGTCGATTTTATGATCAAAAACTTTTTGATGGGGCTCAAGAGCAACCACAACGATATATATTGGACCTGATTTCGAACTCTGATGAAGTTTGGTTGATAAATAGTTTGTTTCTTGTCAGGCAGGACTTCGTCGGCGTATCGTGTTTTCACGAGCGCAGCATAGAAGCGCTTAAGGCAGTTGCAGCTGGAATTTAGTGTTTTTATTAAATAATAAAAATATGATCACCACCGGTTGGATGCCGCAATGAAGATGGTGTCTCTTCAAAGGGGGTACCAGACATTTAACACTATTAAACATCATCTTCACCACTTGGATGCCGCAGTTGATGTTGAATATGCCTCTTCGAAAGTGGTACCGTAGCACCAATACCAGGTGGTACTCGTCCCGGTACCAGTACTGTGCAGTTGTGCGACTTTCAACAGAGTCCGGCTACCCCCACAGCCATTTAGTCGACACTAGAACGGATACCAGAATATTATTTACAGTACATCATGTTAGCGCATGAGAACTTTTGGCTCCTTCACAGAGACCGATGAGCCTACTTTACCGCTACCAATAGCAGGTGCGGTACTGGCACGAGCCCTCGATTGGTTTCTTGAGCAACATTTTCCTTTGTTGCAGTCTGGTACCCCTCACGTACCCGCGAACAACGATCATCGAGTTGCGATTTTTGTGCCCGAGTGGTTGCGTATCCGCGCAATCAAATATTGGTTCTATCTTTCGGTGGAGTAGATTGAGCGGGGTAGATTGAAGATTGGTAGGGGTCCCATGACAAGGAAAAGAAAAGGGCCCCTAAACATAAAACCACTCTTTCTGGGGCCAGAAACCAGTACGGTAGATACAACCAGTTTACCTAATGTATTGAACATGGTCACGGTGTTTTGGAATGAACCTATCGGATAGAACATTTTCTCATGGTCGGTCTGTTGCATTCTTCCGCTGCCGAGGCCTACAGCAGGAGGCAGTACCGGTAGTGCACTGTAAATAGTCTTCTCCTTACAAGGCGTGGATCTCGTCGCGTGTCGTCCTTGACAGCCTGCTCTCTTCTTGCTTTGGGTCTCATGGTGGGTTCATCGTCCTTGGATTGTTCTTGCTTCTTTTGTTGTTCTTTTTCTCTTCTTATACTGCGCAATGTACTTTCTCCACTTGCCCTTCATGTGCTTGGGATTTTTGACAGGATGAATCCAAATGCTCAAATAGGCTTTGGGATAAGACATGCGCACCACCTTACGGGGCGTGACATACTCCTGCTGCAACGAGTAGGCTTCGTAGGAATGAACATAATTGCCCATCGTCATGTCCTCGTGGGGAATGAATAGCTCGGTTCGGGGACAACGGTGCGAAGAAATGTAGTCTGCCAAATCGATGCTCACAAAGTACAAGGCACCGCCCATAAAAACAGGTGTTTGGAGCAGGGCACAATGTTCGTGTGATGGAAAGCCACACATTTGCTTGTCAAAGGCACTCCCTCCATAGATGGCTTGTCGTACGACTTGCGATTTTAAGGATAATGATTCCAGGGTTTGTGGAGTGTCGCTGTCGACCACTGTTGATGTCTGGTTTTTTAATCCTTTTCTTTGCTCTTGCTCTTCTACCCACTTAAAGAATCGTTTGGGAATAATCAACGTATCACTGTCCGTTTTGATAATGTAGTCAAATGGGAGAAAATTGTTCTCGCTTCCATCGTCCTGTTGCTGGTCGTGTTTTTCACTAAATTCTTTCAATAGCAAAGTGGCATATCGAAACCAAGTGGGTGACTTGCCAAATTTGCCATTCTCCTGAATATTCAAGGATATCACATCCGATTCCGAATGAAGTGTCCTCGTCAATAGTTCGGACGAGACTGTGGGCTCCAATAGTTCCGTCCGATTCCAACTTGGGTTATTGTCCACTGTCGTTGCACCTCCCACTACAAACGTATACGCCAGCTGACACTGATTCCATAGAATTTTTGAATCATCCATCATTCGAACACTATCGTTGTTACTGTTATTCGCCTCCAATATTAGATCCTTGAGTGCACAAATTCGGTTTGGGCTTATGGAAGCTTCGTATTTGGAAAAGAAGGAAAGGTAGGTACTCCGAATGGTAGCTCGTCGGTCAATTTCTTGCTTGTATTGATCATGGCTCATTATTCCCAGTACAAATCGTGGGTCGCCGGGCGTAAAGCTGGATGATTTAGAGGATGACTGCACGTGGATCGGTGGAAGAGGGTCACTACCGATATGTGTGGCTATGAAGCCTCCATTAAGATTAATGGAACCTTTTTCTAATCGATGAAAGTGAATCACCGGCAGAGTTGTTACCAGAAGCAAAAGAATAGCCAGAAATATTCGAAAGGGCCGAAAAGTGGATCGTTTGGAGTTTGTCGTCGTCATAGTCACTTGTTGCTGTCAACTTGGTATATGTAGGGCAAAGTCCGCTCCTTTTCCTGCTTCTCTCTCCAGTTCACCGCCACCAGACTTTCTCTCAGAAGTCTATGGCATCGGCGACAATTTATTGAACTTCGACTAGTCAACCAACGGCTGCTGGTGACTTTGCGTTTGTTGATGGGTTGAATTCCTCGTTGTTGGGTGTTTTGTGTCGTTGTCGTATCGTGCGGTCATTCGAAGAAGACGACTGATTCGACTTGAATGGTTTCGCGCCATTTTCGAGGGTCAAACCTTCGCACGATAGCCGCCACATTGCAGCACAAAACAGTAACAGTTTGCTCAACCAAGGACGATCGCTCCCTCCAGTCCATGCTCATCAGCACAAAACCGTGATGGAATCATCTGCAGTCTCATTGAAAGCAGCGATAGAACGGCAACCAAGTGCCACTGACGCCACAAATGAAAATAATGATGAGAGTCATCCCTCAGACATTGCCGTCGGTCGAATGGTGGAGGTATTACCAAGAACTTGGCCAGGAATCAACAAGCCAGGAGGTGTGGCCAGAGTCATCAAGCTTTATGTTATCGAAGATCAAATAAAACATGTGGACGTTCATTATATTTTGGCACGCACGAAGGAAAAACAAGTTCCATTGGACTATGTGAAACTGGCACCCCAATACGAAGGAACCGCCAACACTCGGTCGAGTTCCAGAAACCAACCAACGTCCAGTTTGAGAGATCGGAGCATGTTGTTGGGTAGATGCAAACGCTGTGGATCCTTACGAACGGATTGTGGGTCATGTGATTGGGCCTTTGAAGAAATGCATCAGCAACGAATCTTGCAACAACAAGAGCAGATGAAGCAAGATCTACAGAATTCACCATTTCGAAAGAATGCAAGCTCCAAATATCGCAAACGACGAAGGGGACAAAGAACATTCAATAACGATGGTACTTCATCGAGGTGGGAGCCATTGGCTGTTGACAATGATGATGATAGTTCGTTGGGGTCTTGGGATGATTCGTCAGACGACGAGGAAGAGGATGACGTCTTGTTGCAGGAGCTCATGGCCCAAAACATGGCCAATTATCGCAAGTTTCGCAAATTCCGAGTGGCACAGGTAATGAGAGAAGAAGAAGAAGCAGAGGCCCAAAAGACTGCTTCTGCCAAAGACATGGTTTCGGATGGATTCTCATCTGCTTCGGACAGCGAACAAGAAATGTACCAATCGTACTTGAAAAGGAAGAAGAGTTTGGACCAAAACAAAAGACAAATGAAGAATCGCTATAGAAGTATAACCGAACGAAACCACCACCGATCCGTTTTGGAATCCATTGCGACGAGTAAAAATACTGGGCGTCCTGCCAAAACAATTACACCATTCACCAAGCAATCCGCGGCTCCAAGAAATGATACATCCTCGCATACCACTACAAGCAAAACAAACGACGAAATTTCGAATACTCTCAGTCGCCAGCACATTCCTCCAACTAGTCAACAAACCAAGAAGAGAAGAAGGCGGCGCCTCGTCATCCAAGAGGAATCTCAAGATGTCAACCATCTTCTGGAGCGTGCTGACGAGGGCGATGCTTCAGACGATTCGTTCGGTGCTGGAAGAGACTGCGATGCTTCTTTGCGAGAAACCGAACTTGACAATGAAATGAATCAGGAGCAAGAAATGGAGCTGGAACAGCATCATGTCACCCGTTTAGTTCGTCAGGCACAAGAGCAGCAGACTAACGATTTCCTGAATTTGAGTCAATTCATTCAACCGGAAGGCCTGGAAGTTGCCGAGAATCTGCCCGATGACATTGTGGATCGGACCCGGAACCTAGAGTATCGTCAACTCCCTGACTTTTTTGACAATTTGGTGACGCAAATGGAAGACGAGTGGATGCCGGATTGGAAACTGAAAATTGCAAGGTTGCTGTCGGCCAAGCGTCGACTGGAATATTCTGGGTTTTCCACATTGACGAGTACTCGAGGCAGGGGCAGATCACCGTTAAAGGCGGCACTCGAAGCCGCTTTGGATCCACTCCAAGTCTTGCAAAGGTGTGAAGAAATCCAAACAGGACTTCGAGATCATTTGATTCGAAACGGATTGGATCAATGCAAGATTTGTTTGCACAAGCTCATGGACGATCGGCTCTACAAGAAGCGGAGATCCAACTTGAACAGTGCCGAACGAAAAAGATGCCGTGGATTGGGCGTCATGGATGCTCGCAACTTGCGTTTGGATGCCTTGGAAGATACAGTAGATGATCTGGTGCGCAAAATCAGGGAGGTGGAAAAGGTTTGCGAGAATAACCTTCAGGAGAATGCACCGTTGGATAATGGCGACGCAAATTCAACGCAAATGGAAATGCAAGATTCTGAAGAAGAAAATTTGAAGAACACAACTCTGAAGGCAATTCGAGTCGAGCCAAGTACTGCATGCGGCAATGAAACAGAACCGACTTTGCCACCTTTTCATCCCCATATGCATGCGAATCGCCGCAAATCAACGCAAACGAGTACACGAAAGCGATCACAAAACAGCGAGGTTGTCAATAGATATCAAAAGAGAACACAGGCTGGTCATTCTGTCTCGAGAAGCTGTAATAGAGCTGAAAAAAGGATCCAGCGGGTGAAACGAATTCGTTTGGAACACGACATCCAAGTGAATCAATCGGAAGAGCCATCCGAGTCTATTGATATGGGTGAATCGTTTACCCCTGATAGTGACGACGACGAAAGAGATATTGAGGAGACACAAGAAGACGATCAATTGCCAGGTGTGAGCATGTTTGTGGATACGGAAGCTTCTGTTGGTGGACGGCCAAAAAGATCCGCAGATGAACAAGACGAGTCATCAAAGACAAGGATCCAAAAACGCGCTGGAGCGACTACTCGTTACGATTCAAAAAGGATTAGTGATCAAAATCCTCGGTCATCAAGACCAGCCAGATCTTTCGAGCAAGATTCATCAGTCCCAACATTCAACTTGTTTGGCGACGATTCGCCGCAATCTGAGGTTGAAGAAAGCAGAAACTACCTACAGAATCAAGGTGGCAGACGACGAGGTGGCTCACGTATCCCAATATCCCAACGAATGCAAGCCTTTTTACTCGCCAACGAGGAGGGTACCTATAGCTTCCAGCAATCGATGGATGATACGTCATCTAGCCGGGAACAAAGGAGTCGGGCAAGCGGTCAGAATCGCCAAGCACAAGAATCGCGAAGGTCAAGCATTCATCCTGATAGTCAAAGGAAGCGGGAGGCTTCTACATCGAGGTCAGCCCCACAACGGGCTTTTTCCCTTCCTAATAGTGATGACGAAATGGAGAACTCCTTTGGGTCTGACAGCGATGATGCCATTATGGTGGATCTTTTTGATGATCTGAGAGCAAGCCAATACCAACCCACCCCAAATTTGAATGCAGCTGCCTACTCTCAGAGCATTGTAGCTACCTGTCAACAACTACAACGACAATCGCAACGACGAGAAAAGAACTTGGAAGATTTACATACAGCCTTGCATCGAGTTCCCATTATCCCAGGAGAAGAGAGTCTTACTGTTTTAACGACAAGCCTCGCTCTGCTGAAAGAGAACGGCACAATGACCTTACTTGAATTGGCGAGCACAAATGTACCAAACTTGAGATCGCATGTACACCTCTTATCAGTTTGTTTATTGTCGTTGAATTCTGTTACTGAGTGCACCGAGTCAAATTTCTGTCCCATGGTCAAACGTGTCGTTGAGAACCGCAAAGCATTTTTCAACATGCTCCTATTGCAGCTCATTGATACAATGTACGCAGTGTTGCATCCGTCAGCTTGGTCTTTCAAATCCAAGAGAAGAGCGCACATACTAAGAGCGTTGAAGCCCCTGCGGAATTCTCTAGCAAAAGTGACTGCGCTGACGGAAAGTGCTTGCCGTTGTATTTTGGAGCATTTTGGCTGTCAAAAGTGGAGAAGAGGACTCACAAATGGCTTAGCTTTTGTTTCATCCATTGGTGCTTCTGAGTGGAAGGAGTTCTTGCTAAATGGTACATTTCCTCAGCAAGTAACAGGTACGTTCTATTGATCTGGCGTGTCGACGATTCAATATTAGCAAAGCCTAACTTTTAGTTGGTGCTAGACGTTCGACTCAAACAGCTCGGACGAGTCTGGCCACGAGTCGAAATTGAAACTCTTTGGTCCATTTTCGCATACCTGGGCGAGTGCTCGTCACGAGTTGACGAAGGATCAGTGAGTTGTTGGCAATTGCTATCCAAACTCTTTTCATCGGGTGTTTTGTTTGAAAATGATGTTTCGAATGACACGGCGCCGGCGAAGTCTCTTCCTCCAAGTGTCGAGCATTTAAATACATGCGAGCAAGAGATTGGTTTCTTCACGGACCTATTGTCAAAAGGAGTTATGAAAGGCGTCCCGAGCTCGGATAGTATGTTGGTGAATTTGATCCGAAGGTCACTCACGCTTGAGGGTGACAGCTATCAAAGAAATAAGTACGCTAGGAAGAAGAGTATCCCAAAAATGTCACATGGAAAGGAGAGTAAGAGATTGGTAGCTCGGCTGTGGAAAGCTGCAGATCCATCAAACTTTCTTGCACCAGACAGAATAAGATCGAAGAATCTACCTTCAGGTATCTTGTCACTTGGTAAAGCAGCAGAAGGGGAGGCGGCAACGGTAAAAAATTCGCTATTGCCAACATCCAACATGTTAAGACGATGCTTGGAACTGATTCATGTATGGATAAAGTATTTGCCGCAAAAGAAAGTGCGACGAAATCGGTTCCTGAAAGCAGTCAACACCATGAGGGCCGCGTTGGGTAGTGTTTCATGCACAACCCCAAGAGTTGTCTCGCCAGTGAAATCGAATTCATTCGAAGCAGCATTCGCAGTCCAGCATGAGAAAGATTTGCTCGTTGACGGTGCAGAGCACAAACAAACATTCATGATAGAAGCGGTAGCTTGGACGAAGATCATCGAGCAAGTAGCTTTGTCAAGCAACGATGCAATGCATTCGAATCCATTCGTTGGTACAAAATCGATGTCAGTGGCAATGGAGGTGAGTTTATATTCGGAACAAGCCGATGGTTACATGCTTGTCTTTCTCACATCCCTCGATTTTTTCTTTTCAGATTTGGGACATCGTTGCAGATGGCATCATGAAAGAGCGGAGAGTTGCACTAATCGAGAAACAGGAATCCCAAGGAACTTGTACGAGCAATTTGCGGATGTTTGCTGCAGCAAAAGTTATGGCATCAATTGCAATGCTACAGATGAATATTTGCCCCTGGTTCCTGGATACTGGGGAGAAGGTCACTCATGTATGGGATAATAGTGAGATACATGGAGGTGTGACGCCGAACCACGATGCAATTGTTTTCACAGTTTCTGCAGTGCTTGCTTGTTTGGATTGTCTCGGAGATATGAGAAAGTCGCCTTTCATGCCACATGTCATATCGATCGTCACGCTTGTGTTCACTAATATGGCTGCATTTTTTCAACTTTCCGTTACGGAAAGAGGCGCGGTTGCAAACTCCCAGCTGAAAGAACTTTCGTCAAGTGTGCTGTTGAAGACGGTTAAGGTTCTTATCAATAGTCAAGGTGACGATGAAGACGCGGTTTGCTTTCAACTGCTCCTGAGTGCTGTGAGATCTTTTGCCTCGGCATTTTTGGATTCAGGGTGCATTCATCCTAAGGGTGCATCTGCGGGCGTGGCTCAAGGTGGAGATGCTGTTCAGGAAAATGATGTGGACGGGGGTGACATTTGGGGCTCCATTGATGATGACTTGCTCGCTTCAATGAATCTTGACGGTGGTCAAGCACCTTCACCTGGTTTCGCTCAGGAGTTGGCAAGAACTCTGAAGTGCGCCTTGCAGCAGTCGAAGGTATGTCTTGACATGTTGATGAGATGTTGCATTATTGGTTTCACCTAACTATAGTTTCATTCGCTCAGCCATCGGGACGATTTTCTGTTCCGTCTGGATTCGGCATGACGAATCTGCTTCAAATGAGCCCACATGGGAGGCATTTTGTTGCTTCAGAGCTGGATAGAGTGTGTCAGTGTTTAGTTTCTCTCCAATTGGCAGGTCCCAATTTGGGTGATAGAGCAGTCCTTTCGGATCTCCTTTGCATCCGCGTCCAATCACATTTTGACGATGACAGCGATTCGCAGTTCTGGGTCCAAATTTCGCAGACTTTGTCAATTGAGTTGATCAATCTTTCAAAGGCATTTGCTATTTGTTCCGAGCTGGTGAAAGTAAACTTTGAGAGGGTCCTATTCAATGTACTAGGGATGCTTTTTGATTCACAGCGATTGGAAGTGTATCCTTCATGTAATCTTGAACGAATTCGAAAGTATGCAGGCGAGGAGATTGGCGAGCAAGCACTTGATATGCTTGATATTTTCAATACTTGTGATAGCAGTTCACTAGTCGGTACTGGCATTGAAGCTGTAGCAAAGATTCAGCGCAAACGGAGGCGCAAGGCGGAAAGAGTTTGGCACATGTGCCACCAAATCAGTCACGCACTGTTGGAAAGCGAATCTGATCATGGCGCCTTGTCACTGGAAGGAAGAATTGGCTCAATACTGCAAGATAAGGACACGGATCTGGCGCAGAAAGCTCCGTCTGTTCTTGACTCATCCTCACTTGAAAAGGAAGCATTGCAATCCTTTCAAATTCTTCGCACATTGGCATCAGTGATTGACCGGAACGAGAAGAATCACGCCGTTTCAATGGAGAGCGTATTGGCCTTCTCATTATCAATTATAATCTCGCAATCGTTACGAACGATGAAGAGTTTGAAATACCAAGAAAGCATCATAACAAGAGATTCAAGCAACGAGCAAGAACTAAGAAAAATCATGACCGAAGAGCTTCTGCGGACGTATTTGGAGATTTTCGTTGCATTGGTTGCTTGGATATTCAGAAATTCCAGAGACGGGGCTTCCAAGCAATGGACTGCCTTGGAACTGCATCTCCGTGATAACTTCCTCACGCCAATCCTTCGAAGAAGATCGGTCGATCTAGCTTTGACTCTTAAACGAATTTTGAGGACATCACTGACAGTGGTCACTGGAAATAGTGATGCTTCTTCTGCAACTCTCCGGTTGGGTTCTATCTCTGGGTTTTCGAACTACTCTGACGGCATCTTGGACAGCATAGTTCGTCGCAGCCGACAGCTGTTCATTGCTATCTCGCGGCAATCGCATTTTCGGAGCCTTCAGAGCAGCTTACTGGAGGCAGCAATCGGTTGTCCCGAGGGCGACAAAGAGCTGCTACTTCCTCGATACCTTGGTAATGTATTCAACACAAGTCTCGAAATGAAAAATGGTCCGGACGTGAGTCCACTAGGTGAAGGAATTGATGAATATTTGTCATTTGTGGAGAAAAAAGTAGCCAGTGACGCGGATTGTTTGAAAAAGTCAAGCTTTCTTGATGGCCTCATCCTACCGCGATTGAATCATGGCAAAACGAAACTGACCATCAAGCGACGCAACCTTTGCCTCGTGGGGCATTTGCTTGAAGGAGAAATGAGTGATCCGACAATCGAAAGCACAAGCATCATGGCATTGGTCAAAGGAATGAGACGGAGTCTGCTCCAGTGCTTTAAAGAGCCCGTGATTGATAACGTCTTTCTTTCTGAAGCTCTGAGTTGTTCCAACCGTTTGGCTTCCACCCCTGTTATAATGGACGATTCCAGACAAGAGCCATTGCTCTCGTGGAGTCGCAGAAGTGTTGATTTTGAGATTCCGAATGATGTTGCGGAGCTTTCAGCCAAGGAACAGAATGGGGTCTATGTCTGGCTTTACTACAAGTGGCTACATAGCGTTGGCAAGATCATTGTGGACACGTCGGAAGCTGGGAGTGGGAAGAGAACCTCGTTTCGTAAACTGTGTAAGAACGATGAAGAATCGGGCATTCCGATGGACTTGAGCCAAATGATGCAGGAGATGGATCTAAAGTCTTCCCACCAGCTCCTTTGTCATGTCGAAGGAGTTCTATTTCCTTCTCGAGACGAAAATAGCGCTTCCCTCGCCAATGTGTACGCAAATGAAAGGCTTTCCCAAGATTCCACAAGTCAGCAAGTTGAAGATTGGAAACCAACTGCAGGTGTGCGGAAATGTGCCAAAGAACTGATGGCGGAAGTAGTTGCGCAGGGATAAAGATCCGTGTCTTAGGAAAGTAGATGTATCCAAGAGCAAATATATTGTACTGTTCCGTTAGATACTCACATGAATGCGATTCTGGCTAGAACAAGTCAATTCAATTCAATTCAACAATAGCCAGTTACCGAGGGATGTTTTAGCAAGAGTATATTTTAGCACTGCAAGACTCGAGACCGACTGACGGCGGACGTACGTGCATCTCCAAAACTGAAACAACAATACTCATTACGCAAGAGAGATCACTATACAACAGCAGAATTATTCTAAAGCGCAGTGCGTGTCTTCGTCGCATCATTCGATGGCAACTACAACGAAAATTATGGATGAAACCAAACAGCAGCAATCATCGCCTTCTCCTGCATACACGCAAAGCAGTCTCAATCGATTATTGTACGACCCACCGCGATGGGGCTGGTCTGCCGTTGGAGGCATAGCTGATCTATTGACGCCGCATGAAGTAAGCATACAAAAATATTCTGGTGTCACCTTATCCCTTTCCCTAACCCATTCTCATCGATATTTTACGTTTCATAGAGATCCCGTCGACGAAGCACTCAGGTAGCATTTCGTCAAAAGATACGATTGGAAAAGGAAAAGGAAATCGCAAAGCAAAATGAATCTATTGTTCTGAATGCTCCAGAGATGGCTGCACCGATTGTACAGGCTGCTCCAGCACAACAGATAGCACCGACAGCTGGGGAATCGGTTGAATTGGAACAAATGAAACCGCAGCAGTCAGCTCCAGAGCAACAAAACCCATCACAGCAAGAGCCGCCTTCTGAGATGGAATCATCACAACTGCAACAAACACAACCGGATTCTCAAATGCAGCAACCGCCGTCACAGGTGCAACCGAAAGTTCAACAAGACCAGAGACTTCAGGTACAAATAGAAGGGCTCAAAACAATTGCACCAGATCCGACTTCATTGCCAACTTCCACAGCTTCAATGCGTTCCGAAATCAGTACCATACCGTTGACGCTGACAGCAACAGAACGCAACCCTGATCAATCGAAAGTGGATAGATCCACTTCTCAGTCACTTCCAAATACTCGTCTAGAAGATCATTCTGCTCTGTGGGGAATGTCATTGAAACCTTTGACCGAAGACACTGCTAATCCACTCAGCAACCAAAACCGAGAAATAGAGGCTTCCGTAGAGGCGGGCAGAGATGGAATTTTGGATATGTACAGTTATCATCGTGGACGTGAAGGAATGGAACCAAGAGATCCCGACTCGGGGGAAATCCTTGCTGCCTCCATTCCAACTGACACCAATCATAATTTTGATGCACAAAAGCTATTGGCTACTATCATTGTCGAATTTCCATTGGAAGATTATGATATGGACACAATTGCTACCAGTACTGGGGAAGAATCAAGTGTTGCGATGTTCAAGGAAACTTTGCAGTGGGATTTGGACGACTCAGCTACACCTTCACCGGCCGAATTTGCCAATAAAATATCTGAGGAGTATGGACTCTCCTTTGGTCAGATGATGGACTTGGCTTCTTCAATTCAGGGCCAAATCGATGCTCACATTCGTCAAAGCTGCAACTACTGCGCCCCCGTTGCAATTTCCGATCCAACAGGAAATGAGAGACGCTTCAACGCAGTCGTTCGGCAAGCCCAACCATATGACTACCTGGTGAGAGGCGATGGTGGGGGCGTTTTGATTTCCAGGAAACGAACCCAAAAACACCAACTGCCGTTTCCCTTCCCGTCCAAACCGAAGGCACAGTCTATATCTGCTATACCTACGACCGACACCACTTCCAACAAAAGCGGCAGTCGAAAGGGGCCCAAAAAAGGATACATCAAGCAAGTCATAGAGGTTGATGAAGATGTCGAGGATGTCTACAGTGAGGAAATTCAGAAGAGGGTAATGCAAGCTTCAAAGCAGCGCATTTTGACCACTCCAACGGGCGAAAAGAGCGGCCTCCTCGAGCTGAAGAAAAATTTTCACTGCCATATTTGTCACAAGAAAAGTGATCTTACCTACACATTTGCTTGTGGGATCGGGAATCATGTATACTGCTTGGTTCATTGCAAAGTAAGTGATCAATTTCCGAATAGTCCTGTATACGTGGTTCGACCCATCACCTAATTATTTGGATTGGCGTGGTTCGACTCATCAACTAATTATTTGGATTGCATTAGAATCGACTTGGTTTGGATTTTGACGTTGAAAAGCCTGCCTATCTGGACTACTGTCCCATCTGTGCCTTATCCTGCGACTGCGCTTCCTGCTCGCGAAGGTTGAAGAATGTAGCATATGATTTCAAGAAACACTGTACTGAGCAAAACGCGGAACCATGTAAAGTTTTTTTTCCAAATGTTCTGGAGAAATGCCAAAACACGAGTGCTACAGCTTCGACGAGAAGGACTTTCAAAGTCATCGGAATAGCTCCAGATACGACCGAAAGATCCGTCAGTAAGAAGAGCGGGCAAGCGGCTTCAAAATCGACTGATGCCGTGAACAAACAGCCAAGACCAAGTGTTCCTAAGCCATCGCTATTAGACTTTCCTCGTGAGGTCTGCGGGGCAGTCGACATCGATGTAGGTCACCCTGATGACTATATGACGGTGTACTCTTGTGATGGCTCTTTTCGCGCGCATTCGGTTCCTGATGTCTGGGAGAAGGAGCAACAAAGGGCACTTGAGCTGGAAAATGAACAGAAAACTAGTGACTCCTTGTCACAAGAAATCGTGGTTTCAAATTGTGAAGAAGTTGTCGAAGATGGCAATGTCGATTATTGCCATATGTGTGGAAAAGCTGGAAACATTATTTGCTGCGACTTTTGTCCGAGAACATTTCATCAAGCTTGTATGGATAACCGTGCTGTGTCTGGTGAAGATGATGGAGATCAAAAGTGGGAATGTCCCGTTTGTAAAAGTGAAAAGGTCGGGCTTCCATCAGACCTCGTTGACGGGACGGCACATCATGAAATGATCATTTCCAGCATTGAAGATAATGATGACCTAAAGAAGGACGAGAATGGGCTACGAGTTTTCGCCATCATCTATGAAATGGTAAACAAGTTGATGGTGTACGATTTTGGGATTATCTTCCAGAAGCCAGTGCAAGGTGAAAAGGGGTACAGAAAGATCGTGAAGCATCCAATGGATCTTGGGACGATCAGAACGAAGGTGAAGAATGGGTGGTACATTGATGCAAAGGCAATCTCGTTCGATGCAGCTATTGCTGCAGCTTTGAAGGATGTGGAGCTAGTCTGGCACAATTGCTTTCTTTACAATGCTTTAGACAGTGCGGTTTATAGAATGGCAGGTGTTCTTAGACGGCGAGCCTTGGGCATCCGAAAGAAGAGCTTTGATCACCTGCTAAGTGATGGGGTCAAGTCTACTGTTGGTGAATATGTCACCTTGTGCGAAAGGGGACGACTGCAGTTGTTACTTACACAAAGACCGAAAAATATTGCCGAGTCAAAGGCATTACAAGCCAAGCAACCAAAAGGGAAGTACAAAATGTTTGTAAATTCAAAACACGCGAAGACCAAGAAAGTTGCTATCTTGGACCCATCCACAGGTCGAATTCTCAAGACCTACTCTTCCGTCAAGAATGCGGTCGTTGCGTACTCCCATCTGGCAAAGCTTGGGCATGAATGCGAGTGGACTGAGCCCGATGTCGCGAAATTGATAAATCGCAGCACCCACGACTCAAAGTGTCTCATATTTGGATACAGATGGTTGCCTTTAGATGATCTTCGAGCTCTCAAGGTGAAATTTAGGAAAAAGGCACCGGCATCGGCGTCGACAATTCTTGAAATGAACTACGAAAATTGTCGTTATCTTTTTTTGTCAATCGAACATGCACTTTCCTACTTTTTCTTATCGCCAGGTGTCGAGATGAGTGAAGCCCGGTCCCAACTCAAACGCGTTCCTGCTGGAACTGACTATGTAGAACTATTTGGGGTCGGTTGGCGAAGACCTCTTTTTGAAGGTTTGAATCCAGAGAAAGGTGGTACCGGTACAAGCGAGACGGTTTCATTTGAAAATCAGCAGCAGAGTTTGTTGGTAGATTGCTCTGTGGTGAAGATGGATTCCTGTACGCGGAGAACGATGATGGCTTTCGGAACTGAAACCGCAGCTTTCGAAGATTGGAAAAGGGCCAATTCTGCATCGCCACTGTCGACTAGGCCCAGCTCAGAAGATTTGGAGCATTTCAAGAAAGAGTATCTCGAAGGCCTTAGGCATGTGGATGGCATGGTATGGAGGAGGTGTAACGTAACCGAGAGGAACGAAGGCCAACCCAAACCTGCCGAGAAGGATGCGGTGCCTGTTTCGACAGGAGAGGCTTCAACTGATGCTGCTAAGGACACGGTTGAACCACAAAAGAATGAAGAAAAGGACAAAAATGCCGAGCAAAGCAAAAAGGAACAGACTGGTGCAAGCAGCGCTGCTGCCTCTTCTGGACATTCGTTGGAATCACCCACCACTTTGGGTAAGCGGAAACAGGATTCGGACGGTGAGCAGCAAACAGAGCCAAAGAAACAGGCATGTGATGACCGGGAAGCAATGGATAGATGTTGAACTGACGCCAGGAGAGAAAGTCGTGATGCCTGTGTTTCCGGTACACGTGCACTGTACCAGTATCGATCAGTTTCGAAATTGAATGGAAACAATTTTTTCCTATATTGATTGTCCGTTTAGTGCAAACAAAGTTCCGCGCATAATGTACATCTTGCATATAGAACATCAAAAACATGCGTGCGAGTGATCTATTGATTGTTTATTGTTTCAGAATGGATAAATTAGGCTTGGGACTCCATGTGTTCGATGAGGTCCAAGACACGGGTAGAGTATCCAGCCTCGTTATCGTACCACGAAACAAGCTTGACAAAGTCGTCGGTAAGAGCAATACCGGCCTTAACATCAAAGATGGAAGAGTGGGAATCGGAAATGAAGTCGGTGGAGACGACATCTTCGTCAGTGTATCCAAGGATTCCCTTCATCTTTCCTTCAGATGCATCCTTGAGGGCTGCGCAGATGGTCTCGTAAGAGGCTCCCTTCTCCAAGCGGCAAGTCAAGTCGACGACAGAAACGTTGATAGTTGGGACACGGAAAGACATACCAGTCAACTTTCCGTTCAATTCAGGAATGACCTTTCCGACGGCCTTGGCGGCTCCAGTCGAAGAGGGGATGATGTTGTAGCATCCAGCGCGTCCTCCACGCCAGTCTTTCATGGATGGCCCATCAACAGTTTGTTGAGTGGCAGTCACAGCATGGACAGTGGTCATCAAACCTTCCTTGAGTCCAAACTCGTCGTTGACGACCTTGGCCATAGGAGCCAAACAGTTGGTGGTACAGGAAGCATTGGAGACAACATCCATGGATGGGTCGTATTTCTCAGCGTTAACTCCCATCACAAACATGGGGGCATCTCCTGATGGAGCAGAGATGATGACCTTCTTGGCTCCACCTTTCAAGTGGGCAGAGGCTCCCTCGGTGGAAGTGAAAACACCGGTAGATTCGACGACGTAGTCGGCTCCAGCAGATCCCCAATCAATCTTTGCAGGATCCATTTCTCCGAAAACCTTGATGGGCTTTCCGTCAATGGAGACAGTGTTTGCTTCCTTATCGTGGGTGACTTCGTGGTCGACCCTTCCGTGGGTGGAGTCATATTTGTACATGTACTCCATGTAATCAACAGGAATAAAAGGATCGTTGACGGCAACAATGTTGATATTGGGCTTGTTGGCAGCGGCGCGCATCACAAGGCTGCATAGGCATATTGACGTAGTAAAAAGAATAAGTGAGACGGCGGTTCATAATGTTCTGAAGACTGCATTTCATATCCTTCAGAGTTCGCCAAAAAATACACATGATGGATGACGGTAGAATTCTTTCGGTCATTATTTCATATCCAAGAAGATCTTTCCGTCGTCTCAGTTCAATTGAAGGCATTCTCTCTTGCAAATCTGCAAACTCACCGACCGATACGGCCGAATCCGTTGATACCAATGTTGATAGACATGTTTTCAGTTCGTTAGTCAGTTTGATGACAAAAATGAAGGTATGAAGGACTGAGGGATCGCCAATCCGCACGTCATCCACCGTCAGTCGCTTTAGATCAGGCGGCAGTTTCGACTTTGAAAAAGGCATTTCTTCATTATGCGATATAATTGGTCATATGTGATAGCTCGCGATCATAACAGATAAACGTCATCATGATAAAATGCAAAGTTCTGACTCAGCATTTGAATATTGGGAATATCTTGTGGCCAGAAAATGCAGAAGATTCCGTTTTTGGCCTTTTGCGTGAGCTTGGTAGTTCGCTTTACAGCTAACGGTAGCGGAAAACTTTGAAAATGCTCGGAGTTTTGCGTTCGCTTCCTCCTGACCGTAGGATATTGGATCCGTGAATTCTCCTCACACAAGATTCCGTTGTTTCAATTCGGCAGTCATTTTCGACAATCACATTTTTGACCATCATCATGCAATCCACTAGAACAGTCGCCTCTACCGTCTCCAAGGTCGCTTCCCGCGCATACTCCTCCTCTGCCAAGGTTGAAGCACGAAAGTTCTTCGTCGGAGGAAACTGGAAATGTAATGGAACAGTTTCCCAAACGGCAGAACTTATTTCCATGCTCAACCAATCCACTTTGAGCACTGAGACCGAAGTTGTTGTCTGCCCTTCCCAAGTCCACGTCCAAAAGGTCACTGAGGGACTTCGCGGAGATGTTTCCGTTGGTGCCCAAGATGTCTGGACCCAAGGAAATGGAGCCTTCACTGGAGAAACTAGTGCCGATATGCTTACCGATATGGGTGTCTCGGTAAGTCAAAGTGGCATTATTTTTGTCGATTAAAAGTTGATGTATTCGTTCCTAACAGTTTTGCGACTATTTTCACTACAGTGGACACTTGTAGGACATTCTGAACGTCGTGGAAAGGGAGAGAGTGATGCCGAGGTTGCTGCCAAGGCAAAGTACGCTTTGGATAAGGGACTTAAGGTCATTGCATGCTGTGGAGAGCCTCTTGAGAGCCGTGAAGCCGGAACCACCAACGACTTTGTCTTCCCCCAAATCAAGGCTTACGCCGATGTCTTCACCAAGGAAGACTGGAAGAACGTCGTCATTGCCTACGAACCCATCTGGGCCATCGGAACTGGTCTTACTGCCACCCCTGAACAAGCCCAAGAAACCCATGCCGACATTCGTCAATACCTCGGAGAAATCGCCGGATCTGATGTTGCCGCCGACACCCGTATCCTTTACGGTGGATCCGCCAGTGGTGCCACCGCTCCAGGACTTTCTGCCAAGGAAGACATTGATGGATTCCTTGTCGGAGGAGCTTCGTTGAAGCCTGAATTCGCCGACATTGTCAACTGCCAAGGAGCTGAGAAGAGCTTGAAGCCCGTCAACATTGGTATCAATGGATTCGGACGTATTGGACGCCTTGTCATGCGTGCTGCCAAGAACGACCCCATGGTCAACATTGTTGCCGTGAATGACCCCTTCATCCCTACCGATTACATGGAATACATGTTCAAGCACGACACCACCCACGGTATGTACGACGGTGAAGTTTCTGTTATCGATGAATCTACCATCAGCATCGATGGAAACCCCATCAAGGTCTTTGATAAGTTGAACCCTGCTGATATTGCCTGGGGATCTGCTGGAGCCGACTACGTCGTCGAATCTACCGGTGTTTTCACCTCCACCGAGAAGGCCTCCGCCCATTTGCAAGGAGGAGCCAAGAAGGTCATCATCTCTGCTCCATCAGGAGATGCCCCCATGTTCGTGATGGGAGTTAACGCTGAGAAATACGACCCATCCATGGATGTTGTCTCCAATGCTTCCTGTACCACCAATTGTTTGGCCCCTATCGCCAAGGTCGTCAACGACGAGTTTGGACTCAAGGAAGGTTTGATGACCACTGTCCATGCTGTGACTGCCACCCAACAAACTGTTGATGGACCATCCATGAAGGACTGGCGTGGAGGACGCGCTGCTTGCTACAATATTATCCCCTCTTCGACAGGAGCCGCCAAGGCCGTCGGAAAGGTCATTCCTGAATTGGACGGAAAGTTGACTGGTATGTCTTTCCGTGTCCCAACCATCAACGTTTCTGTCGTCGACTTGACTTGCCGCTTGGAGAAGGGAGCCCCTTATGAGACCATCTGCGCTGCCATCAAGGAGGCCTCTGAAGGAAAGATGGCCGGAATCCTTGGATACAAGGATACCGATGTTGTCTCCTCTGACTTCATTTCCGATTCCCATTCTTCTATCTTTGACGAGAAGGCCGGTATTGCTCTTACCGACGACTTTGTCAAGCTCGTTTCGTGGTACGATAACGAGGCTGGATACTCTACCCGTGTCTTGGACCTTATCAAGCACATGGAAGTTTCCAAGTAAATATCTTCGGGTATAGACATAAAGAAACTGTAATCCGCATTGTATACTGGGACACTTTTGTTTTGATTCAATTATTTGTTATCATTGAAACTAGATTTACATTGTATTCTGAGAAACTTTGCGTTTTGACTCATTCAATTGTTTGAAATTGAAATCAGCTTCAAAACTCCTCATTGAGAGATCATTTCGATATGCAAATGAGGGCAGATTCAGAGCCATGTAGCATATGCTACAGTACCTGCGAGAAGTTAGAGGATGCCTTTATTGGTCAACTTAAGTCGATAATGCAAACTGAAATAGCGAAGACATGTACTGCCATGCTCTGCTGAACAATGTTGACTGTACTGTGTTGATGCTCAAAGGGTGCTTGTGCATTTCACTCTACGGGGTTATACAGTTATGTAATCTTGGTAATTCCATTGGGAAAGATTCGAATCATGGCACCCGGATCAATTGAGCCTTCACTTTTTCCCAATCTTTTGTGCTTCCGGCACTTCTTGTATTGCCTGGATCGTTCCTCATCTGCGTTCATTGCGATGCCGTCATAGTCTATAGAGTTCTCATGATCAGGCAACGGTTTAAATCTTCAGCCCCCTTCTCTCCCATGCCTATCCTCTTCTTTTCGAACTGCAAGTTGGGATCGAGCCCCTTTCCTTTCGCACATTTCAATAACTATTCAGATTCTTGTTCCTCAAGAACACTCAAAAGAGGCGCTGAATGTTCCTCTTTTGGTTTCACAAGCACAAATCCAAGCGCCACTCCAACAGCAACGGACGCCAACGTTGCCATCACAGCAAACAAGAAGCTTTCTCGAATTGCAAGAACAGCAAACGCCAGCACAATAAAGATACCTGGTGCTGCTGCCGCTGCTGGATGATGCCCAACCCGTAAATGAGTAAAGACAGCCCCGGTATGAAATGCTGCGATGTAACATTGGACTCCAATCACCACAGCATTACTACTCGAAAAGTTCAAGTAGGCAATGGTCCCTAGGAAGATCCCCGCCAATGGAAAGAAAAAGTTGTTGTACACCAAGGAACCTTCCGTGACACCCTTCATGACTCCAGTCCATGGTTCCGAGAGACCAATGCAACAGTGCAAGCTGAAAGCAATAGACTCGCAAACTCGTAGTGCCCAATCAATAGGGTTTCCGTTGATCATATTGCTGCTCTTCAATGTGCGTTTGTTAGAATTTCTATTCGATAGAAGATGTGTAGTTTCCTTTCGTACGATTCAGAATTTCAAATTCACGTTATTATGCATAAAACTTCAAACTCTTTCTCATTCTGAGACGATCCCATGCGCTTTTTTCGCGCGAAAGTTTGCTGTACCATCTGAAAAATCTACAGCACGTGATTGCACCTTGCTCTCCCTTACTACTATTAGTATCATTCCAGGTAGCAAACCTCCAATTGCAGCTGTATCGTCAACAAAGAACGAAAGAAAGAAAGGAAGGAAGAAACAGTAAAGACAACAGCAGGTGTACTTCCAGTGCAATTCATTGGCTGTGTAAACAATCATGGGAGGCCAAAATTCAGAAGAAGCCGCTGAGCTTGTTGCCACGATCCGTGGTGAACATGTTGTCATGAAGAACTGGTACTCAGGATCCACCAAGGAAGCTGCAGTCTTGAGAGACAAATATGGACCTTATCCTGGTCTCTGGAAAGAAGTTTTGAATTGGCCAGGCTGGAAGGAAGCCCGCAAGTCCTATTTGAAGTGGACACAAACCAAAGATTCGCCCTCCAATGGCAATGGCAATGGCAACGAATCATCATCCCAGGGTTCTTCTGTCCCACGAAAGCGTCGTTCGCGATGGGGAAGTGCAAACGACAATGATGGAGACCAAGGAGCTTCCAAACGCCGATCTCGCTGGGGTAGAGATGGACCAGCGGCTCCAGCTCCTAGTCAACCTGCCATGAAACCGCTCCCTGGACTGGGACTTCCTGGCATGCCAACCAATTTGTCGCCTCAGCAACATGCGGAATTTGCCAATTGTCAGACTCGTCTCCGAGAAATCAACTCTAGACTGCAAACTCTGGATCGAGAAGCTGCAAGAGTTGATGCACTGCCTCGGGGACATCGAGAACGGTCTCCTTCTCCACCACCCGGTAAGTTACTATGATAATCTGCCCTGTTTTGATTTTTGTGAAGAAATCAAACGACTAACATTTTTGTTTTTTTGGACTCTCTTCCACTCGTTCTCATTGTAGTTTATGGTGCTGACGGAAAGAGGAAGAATACTCGTGCCGTTCGTTGGAGAGATCGATTGACTGGGGAGCGTCAAGATTTGTTGGAAAAACTCATGAACTTGAACCCAGCCACTCGGCAAAGTGGACTCTTTCGGCGCAAACGAACCAAGAAGGTTCGCATTCCTGTGGAGCAACATCCTCAATACAACTTTATTGGATTGATCATTGGCCCACGTGGTAAAACACAAAAGGACCTAGAAGCGAAGACTGGTTGCAAGATTGCCATTCGTGGAAAGGGTTCCGTCAAGGAAGGAGCACGGGGTCGTCGCGATGGAAAACTTACGGAATCCGACGACGAGCCTTTGCACGTTGTGATTACTGGAGATGATCAAAGATCTGTGGATGCTGCAACTGATATGATTGAACAAATGTTGGTTGTGATTGACGACGAAAAGAATGTCCACAAACAACAACAGTTGCGAGAGCTAGCACTCTTGAATGGTACGCTGAAGGAAGACGAATACTGTACGATTTGTGGTGAAAAGGGACACAGAGCATTCGAGTGCCCAAAGAGATTCTCAATGAAGAAAACGATGGAGATCAAGTGTGCCATCTGTGGTGGCGGCCATCCGACTAGGGATTGTACCATCAAGCCAGGAGATCCAGGCGCGGCGGATCAAAAGGTAATGGACTCTGAATACATGTCCTTCATGGCTGAACTGGATGGAAAGAAAGTTGACAAGGCAGCAGTTCAGACTCCTCCAGGAGCTCCGCCACCTGGGGCAGCTGCCGGTTCTGCTCCTGGATTGCAACCTCCGACAGGTACTGGCCTTCCGCCTCCACCTCCTGCTGGAGTTGCCATTCCACCACCACCTCCCGGTGGAGTGCCACCTCCAGTACACCAACCACCAGCGTATGGACATCAACAGCAGTATCGCCCACCTGGTCAAAATAACTACTATGGCAGCCAGCCGCAAAACCAGCAGCAGCAGCAGCAGCAGTACTATGGTGGCCAGCAGCAGCAACAGCCTCATGGAAACTATCAGCAGCAACAACAGCAGCAGCAGCATGGTGGCTATCAAGGGTGGGACTATCAGGCCTACTATGGGAATCGGGGTGGACCCGCTGCTGGAGGCGGTGCTGGAGGTTTCAATTGGTGGGAAAAGTAGCTTGTTAGGTACTTACTGCAATACCGGTAGTTTCAGTACCCTTTGCTAGAGAGCACTATCACTAACTATTAAAAATACTAAAGTAGTACGTATTTTTGAGTCATCGGCAGTCAGTCATTTCTGACACGTCACAGCCGGTGCGTTGAAGTTTCATTCTCCGGGTTTCCTGACCACCAGCAGTGCGTGACGAACTTTTGTCGGAGCTTTGCTTCCAGCTGCCGTGGAACCCAATCCAGAAAAAGAACGACCTATCGCAGCCTTTCATTCGTCCCACAACACACCGTTGCCATTCCTATACCTTTCACCATGTTCAGCCGAATTGCTCCCCTAGCCAAGACCTTGACCAGGCCAGTCATGAGACCTGCCACCAGAAGCATGGTCACCATTCAAGAAGCCATGACCGCCGAAGATGCCAGAAAGATCTCGTGCTACTCTGGATTCGACTACTCCATCAAGGAGGATTCCATGGTCATCGACGCTGTCCAAAAGTTTGCTGCCTTCAAGGTTGGATGCCTCGTCTGTGTTGACGACGCCGGTAAGTTTCTTAGCGTCTATCTAGGACATGTGGCTATCTATTCGTTTAGATTCCGATACGAAGTTTCTCATCTTTTCCACTATTTTTGTTGACGTGAATTCTGGAACTGCAGGCAATCTTACCGGTGTCATCAGTGAGAGAGACTACATCACAAAGATTGCTCTCCTCGGCCGAAAATCTAGTGAGACAGCCGTCAAGGAAATTGCTACTATGTCTGCCAAGTTGATCACTGCCAACGTCGGCGATTCCGTTGAAGCTTGCATGGAGAAAATGTTGGCTGGCGATATCCGTCACTTGCCTCTTGTCAACGACAGTGGCGATTTGGAGGGAATGATCTCTATCAAGGATTTGGTCAAGACCACGGTTATGGAGAAGGACGAGACAATCAAGGTTCTCTCGAACTTTGCTTTGGGTAAGGGCGGACATTTCGGATCGGAGTAAATTATATGTATTGTGTCAACAGGGTTGCAGAGTGGTAGCCCTGGTCAAGTTTTTGAGACAAAAGGTGCTAGTTAGCTACCAGTACCCAACTAAGGATATACATGCTTATATAAATCCAATGAAACGCTGAACTCGCTGATGACATCTCAGAGCCATTCAAGTTCGTTTGCGACTCGCGCAATTCGTTTATGAATCGCAATCTTGTCGACTTTTTCGACCTCGACGGATTTTTCGTCCAACAAGTCCATCAATATTTTCATTGCATCCACTTTGTTGCCTCCACGGCATAATCTGTCTGCCTCTTGGATCATATTGGAAGAGGTAGGGCGTTCTCCGGCTTTTAAGGAAACTTCCTTGAAGTCTTCGCCTTTCTTCGAAGAAAGCTTGGCGTTGATTGTTTTTCGCTCGTTTTCTTTCTCTGTAGTGCTGGTTCTTCCATCGGCTTTCGTTTGCTTATCCATGCTTTTCTTGTTGTTCGATCCCTTCAGAAGTGCACGCTGTGATCTTCCAAGAACTATTGGACTTGGATCTGCAGTGTCAAAGTAATGCTTAGTTGTTGATGCTGATGGCGGAGGTGCCTTTGCGGCACTGAAAGGATTATTATGCCTGGACTCAGTAGTCTCGTCGTCTGAAATTGTCACAATAGTGTCGGACAAGTAAACCTTGTCGTGAGATGAAACTTCGACTATCGCCTGGTGGGTGATCATGATGCTCGCTTTCATATCATCAGCTTCTGCTATACCCCGCTGTTTCAGCCTGTCGAGAAATTCGCATACCCCCACAGCGCCGAGTTTAAATAGCTTTCGCAGCTCCTTTCGGTCAAAGTATCTAGTTGTAGCACTCCCCATGCTTGTCATAACAGCTCTTCGGATCCCATCTTTGTGCACCTACAAGTCAAGGGAGATGTGAGGAAAACTTCAAAGATTCACACTCTTCCATGTTGCCACCATGTTGATCAATCATACCTGCTTTTCGTACATCTTCTCTTCAACAGTCCCAGCCGTGATAAATCGAAAAACAGCCACTTCTTTGGTTTGTCCGATTCGGTAGCAGCGATCAACTGCTTGGGCATCTTCCGCTGGATTCCAGCTTGGATCATAGATAACGGCCCGATCGGCTCCAGTCAAAGTGAGACCTACTCCTGCGGCTTTAGTAGAAAGCAGCATAACCGCAGCCTTCCCATTAGAACTATTGAAATCATCTACTCGTCGTTGTCGCTCCGTCTCTTTTGTAGACCCATCAATTCTTGCAAAGGGGATATTCTCAAGAACCCGCTCAATGATGTTCAACATTTTTGTACTTTGCGAGAAAATGAGAGTCTTATGTCCTTGTGAGCATAGTTCCTCGACCAATTTACTCAGCGCTTGCAGTTTCGACGATTGCAACTTTAACTGATTCACAGGAGTTTGCTTCACCAGACGTTCGGAATCACCATATTGCACAAGAACCGGATGTCCACATCTGATAAGAAGCATTGTGTTTAGTTTCATGAAATGAAGACGAACTTATAAACCCAAAAAACAGGGACTCACAACTTCTTCAACCATGTGACTGCTTCAAGTGGCGAGGTTGAAATACCAGATAAAACTTGAGCAACAGCTGAATCTTTTGACTCTACATATTGAGCATACATCTTCCTCTGTTCATCTGAAAGGCCAACCCAGACAACATGGTCTCGCTTCTTTGGCAGCTTGTCGGCAAGGTACTCAAGCTTTGAGCGCTGCAGGAAGTATGGCCTGATTTTCTCTTGAAGCTCCTTGTTTGCCCTTTCTCCTATTCGCATTTCATGACTAGTTGCATTGCTGCTTCGGGCATCTTCAATAGGGTTCGCGAAGCTGTTCATGAATCTGTTGGAACGTTCGTTTTGAGGTTAGAATTGATTTCGACTTCTTGCATATGAGGCCTTGTTCCATTTATGACTCACCTCGAAAGTGGCCCCAACACTCTACCGCTTTGTACAAAATCAAGCAAGGCCCAGAGCTCTTTGAGATTATTCATGATTGGAGTGCCGGTCATTATCAGTTTCCTGGTATCTTTGTGTCGCGCAATCCTACGACAACACTTGCTCAAGTCAGCAGATGGGTTCTTGATAGTGTGTGCTTCATCAAGAACAACATAGTCCCATTTGCCACAGTCGCTTACGAAATCCATTGTCGATGATCGCACCAAGCCATATGTTGTTATCACAAGGGAGGGCTGATACGAAGGACTGAAGTAATGATGAGACCAAGACATATCATAATTGGAGAAACATCCAGTCAACCTTACCATTCTTGTGCTTCTTGTAGCCGCCGAAACCTCACTGCTTTCGAAATAGCACTAGAAACAACCTGAATCCGTAGGTGAGGGACACATGCCTTTGCTACTTTGTTGGCTTCCCGTTCCCATGACCGTAAAACTGACACTGGTGCGACTACAAGACAATTTCTGATTGTTTGGGCCTTCATTAGACCCCCAATAAATGCTAAGACTTGGTAAGTTTTACCAAGTCCCATATCATCTCCAAGTAGGCCACCTATTCTTCCATTATGGAGGCCGGCCATCCAAGCTACCCCTTCCTTCTGATAATCGAACAGTGTTTTGAACAGTTTTGAAGGAATCGCCAACTTTGGCATCTTGACTTCAGACCTGGAAGACAGAGATACTTCCTTTCGATCGCTATTGTACTTCCACCTTCCTTCTTCGTCGCCTTCGTCATCTTTGTCTTCGGAACTGCACGAAAGCTCTTCTCTTGCTGATTGAAACGAGTCGTCGTCACCAGATACAGAAATGTCCGATTCGTCGTCGTCTTCAATCGCTGTTTGCCGTCGTGGGGGAAATGCAGCCGGTGGAATTTCAAAACTCGAATCTGAGTCAGAGTAAGAATCATCGGAATCAGAGTCGAATGACAAGCTGTCGAGTCCTCTTCTGGAAAAACGCTTAATCTTAGATGACGCGACGGCTGTTTTGGGTGTTGGATCGTTCCTTTTGCTCTCGATTTCCACTGCTTCATCGTCGCTGTCAATCACGATCACTTGATGTGTCGATTGTTCCTTTCTAGATGCTGAAGTACTAGACAGACTGATATTTTTCATGGGCTCCACAATTCCTTCGAGAGCCTTGGTATCCGAAGTTTTCTTGTGTTTAGGACTTTGTTCACTGGTGTCATCTGACGAAAATGTAGAGTCGCCATCTTCCTCATCTTCTAGACAGAAGCTACTTTGACTACTTGGTGAGTCAGCTATCACTAGTCGCCTTCGACGGGATGGAGTCTCCATTGTTTTTGAGATCGTGGGACTGGTAGTTCGCATGAAGCAAAGATGATTTCATTTTGAATTTGTCCATAAAACGGTTGAATGTCTGTCAGTGGGACCGCGTGGAGCTCGAGTCATTCAGTCAGTCAGTCAGTCAGTCAGTCAGTCAGTCAGTCAGTCAGTCAGTCAGTCAGTCAGTCAGTCAGTCAGTCGAACAATGAGAGTAGTCTGTGGATGGACACCATTTCATCGTTGTAATGGATCATACCTGCTACTGTAGGTATCCGTTAAAAAGTCGACCAATGGCGCATTAAAGGATATCAAGATGAAATGAAGCTTGTAGATCTAGCTTCCATATGGCAACAGTAAAAGAAACGAAGTTTCCTTTTGGACATCAGACCCCATATTTGAAAGAGCAAATGCTGATTTCTATTCTGGTATCTAATGGATCAATAATCCTCAGTTGCTTCATAATAAGTGGATTGACGATGTCACTATTGTTTACTGTAGTACATAAAGAGGTGCGTCCCGAATTTTTTTAAATCTTTTCGTAATTCCAAAGATACAAATTGAAACCCACCACCACCAATGCCATGGCGCCATCTATGACCATAGATTCCCAATATAATATATACTACATCCAACCAGTAGAGCTTTTTCTTTTTTTATTGCGTTAATGAACATTGTTTTCTTAAGATTGTTCCGAGACTTCCTCGAAGTTTCCTTCCACTAGATCAGGGACATCATCATCGTCGTCATCATCAGCGGTAGGGGCAGCTCCACCTGGAGTGACACCGGCTTGGGCAGCCATGCTTTGGAGTTGCGACAAGTTGTCCATGCCCAATTGGGAAACAATTGAAGGGAGGAGTTCTTGCAATGGCTTGGTCTCAGATGGTCCAGAGATGATGTACGTGTTGGCACCGATGGATGCTTGGACTTTGGGGTTGACAAAGTGGATAACCTTTCCGTCTTCCTTGAAAAGATTGACCTCTTCAATTCCTGGGATGTTGGTGGCCCCAAGCTTCTTCAGCGTGGATCCAAGCTTGGCGTCAGATTGGGCAGCAGCACTTCGGGAAGCAACCTTTTTCTTTCTTCGTACAGTTCCCTTTCCTCCAGTTGATGTTGAAGCCCCTCCGAATCGCTTAGCGATCATTTTAGCCCGGGCGGCCGCCATGTCTGCCTCTGTCATTTTGGTATTATTGAGTGAATTGAATGAAAGGACTGCAACGCACTGCTAGCAAGAGAAAAAAACAAAGGTTAGATAAATGAGAACCTCTCCAATGTTGTCAAGCAAATTATCAAGTTTCGAGCGGTTCAAGTCTAGTCTGCGTCTGAATTGTAGATTATCGGTTGAAGCCAAGCTGATCCAAAGGAGCCTATGCCCATTGATATATCTAAACTCCAGTATGCAGCGCTCCAAGAACTCTTGAAATCCAAATCCAAATGTAGTTCGCCACCATTTCCAAGCTCACCTGCTGTTGCTGAATTAGTTGATTGACGCTCGTTGATAGACCCGCAGTCACCAGCTGCACCTGAGTTGAAATTACCGCCAACGCCTCGTTTACTATTTGCGTAGAAAATGTACGTGTTCTACGCAAGTACTTGTGCGGCTCCCAGCAGTCGAAAAATCTGGGACAAAGATTGCATTGATTCCCAGACCGTTTGGCTCCCGGATAGCATTTTAGAAGTTGAAGCAATTGAAATTCCAAATTCCTTTTGGAATCCAATCCTACAAGTCGCAAATGTTTCCATTCGACAACAATCAGATCGCATCGATCAGCAATCAAAAAAATACATATCACATCCAAGGGTCAGGCTTTGTTGTCTCTAAACGTGCTTTACTGCTCACTTCGGACATTCCAGCGAATGAATAGAAAATATGGACGAGGAAGAAGATCCTATCGACGAAGAGCAACTCGATGAGTATCGAGAAATGGTAGACGACCTTGGTGCCTTTCCAGTAAGTCAATGCCGATCGATCGGAGGATGTTTGACTTTTGGCGTCATTGATTCCGAAAGCAGCCTAACAGTTCCATCAAAATCAAAATTAGGACAAAGTAAAGATCAATAGTCTTTCCATGGTAGCAGAGGATCACGCAGAATCTCCGGCGAACGCAGCCGCAATCTATGGTGTTATTCGAACACCATTGGTGGCCAAGAACGTTTCGAGCGACAAAAAACTCCCGCTCGTATATGTCATCGACTCCATTCTCAAGAATGTTAAAGGGTCTTATATTCCTGTCATTGAAGAGGATGCGAAAACTTGGATGCCAGTTGTCTATGATGCCTTGCCAGACGATAAGCGGGCCAAACTGAAAAAAGTCTGGAATCTGTGGAAAGGTGCCAATATATTTAAAGAATCCAAATGGCAAGAAATGGGAAGCTGTTTTTCAGCAACTTCTGCTACTGCTGCTACCAGGAGTTCGTCGGACGCTGTAACTTCCAATCCAGAGTTGGAGAATGCAGGCATATCTTGGGGGGTACGTGCGCCTGCGGAACCAATAGGCTTTATTAGAGCAACCTATAGCTGTATGTTTAGTTTCACAACAAGAATGAATTTGTCCTAATACCTGTTTTTCTTTTTCGTTCTTCAGAAAGATGGGTCTTTACTGCTTATGCCAAACTTGAAAGAAGCAATGCAAAGCATTCTCGACGACTTACAGAGTGATGTGACGGACGAATTGGAAAAGGTTTCATTGGAGCGGTTGGCAGCCATTGATTCAGCTCTCCTGATAAAGATCAAGCAGACAGCAGAAGATTCACTAAGGAGTGGAAGTTCAAAGGGGCGGATGCAAACATCAAATGAACAGCCACAAGAGGAAGATGACATATTGTCATTTCTAGTGGAAACCAGAACAGCGGAAGCGATCGAGCAATCCAGTGCGTGGCAGAAACTAAATTTGAATCACGTCAAGGACGCACATGAAATCATGGCGTCATTACAACGCTTACTGCGAGATGGATCCTCGATAGACAAACGATACACCCAAAGGGAGGCGTTGGATACTACAGCTGCCCTTGCGGCAGCTGCTGTGACGGCTGGTTTGTTGACAGCGAATGTAGAAGAACTTAGCAAGAGCGACAAGAATAATAGCGCCGTATCTTCCATCCTTGGTATGGGTGCTGGGCAAAGAGCGAATCCTGCGTCGGTCTTTGTCAAGGTGGATAAGAGCCTGTTTACCAACGACGGATTGAAGAAACGAAACGATGCTATAGTGGGAGTTCTATACGATGCCGGGTTGCCATTTGTCAGTTCCACAGATGGCAGAAGGTTTGCCACACAAGTGGAGCTATCTGAACATCTTGACGCACTGTTTAAAAAGGGGTAAGTGGAATTCACTCGCTCGTTGGGATGTCTATGGTCCTTGCCATTGTTGTTGTTGGCACGTCTAGCTAACTATGCGGTCAATCGATCATTCACAGACAATTGGAAAAAGCCATGGCCACAACAGAAGAACGAGGGTGGTACATCTCAGATTCTGCCTTTTCCTTAGAAAAGAAAATGGAAGAAATGCAAATATCAAATCCAGGCGGTGGTTCCGAAGCGGATGACCCTGCCGAGAGCTCCGAAACAGAAGCCGACCCTGATTCCTTTACGGAGCTCGCGGACGAATCAAGAGATCGTTGCGTCATTTGTGGTCTCAATTTCAAGATGTACTTCGACAATGATGACGGAGTATTCAAATACAAGAATTGTCGAGAGATTGAAGTGTTGAATGATGAAACCGCCATTAAGGAATCCGAAGAGATGTTGGTGCACGTCAGCTGTTGGCGTAATATGGGCTGTCCACCTCAGTTGAATCCAGAACAAGCGTTACAAGAATTCATGAATCAAGACTAGTGACTTGCTAATGAATGAAGGAATACTGCTACTGTACTGCAGCCGTAGCTGTAATGTTCTACTTTCGACTCTAGAGGTATATCAATACTGTATCATATCATCGCGATGCTCATCATTTGACACATTCGACTCAAAATTTCAAAAAGAAGTCTGAAGTCACAACACGACATCACAACAAAAACAACAACAAGATCCAAATCATCACCATGATTTCCAATCGCTTCCTACGAACGATCGCCACCAAACGATCCCATCTCATCTCTACCAATACTACCAGATGTTTTAGTTTCAGTTTTGTCGGCCCCAAAGAGTTGAATGACATTCTCAAGAAAGACTTGGTGGGCGACAAACCACGATCCGAAGTCGCTGACCTTTGGTATTCCTTTCATGAAGAGAAGGACAATGTTCACGGTTTGGTGATGAAAGGAGAGGATGCCTCCACTGTGTTATCGCGGGCAGCCAGCAGGTGTGTATTAAGAATGTAGTATTTCTTGTATGCTGTATATATTTTGGATAGTCTATGATTCTCACGACGATCCATCTTGCTTTGACTCTCACTCTCCCAACCATCATCAATAAATGACAGTCCCTTCTTTATACAACCTGTGTTTCGTGACGATGGCTACTTCATGTTGATATCTCAATTTTTCGAACCCTCGCACTTTATAATGGCTTACCTCGAAGACTACAAAATGGATCCATCTGCAGCACAGCCCTTGTTGACCTTTAGCGTCTTCGATGATTATGCGGAAGAAAAGGATTTGACCTTGGTGAGAGCTGATGTATTGAACAAGGGAATTGAAGATGCCGAGGGACTAAAGATTGTAAAAAACATGTTGGACAAGTACTCGCTCGAGGACGAATACATGGATGTTTACGCCTTCAACAAGAAACCAGAAACATTTGACTTTGATGATTTCATTTCACAGCAGAATCAAAAGTGGAAGACAGATCAGCAGACAGTAGACGGTAATTGAAGAAGTAAGCCATGAAGGGTATGAAGCTATATCTGAAACTGGAGGACCATCCAGAAAGTAGATTCCAAATTGGGCTATTTTGAAGCACCAGTTTTTCAAAATTTCCTCCAGGCTTACTGATATCCACTTACATTGCCAAACGCACTAATGCTAAAGAATCACAACTACTCTATTTATATATGATACAGTAGCAACTAGCAGATTCCGAACCTGTTTGTAACGTGCATCAACTTTTGTAGCGTACTGGTACAAACTCCGTAGTATACTACGCGCAAGCACGATTCTGGTTGATCAATTTTCCAGCTTTGGCCACCGATTTTCAAATCCATGCTGTCAATCCAAACCGTTTAGTTCCATCAGCAAGTCTCTAGCAAACAAATAGTCCGCAGCTACAACACAGCTGCTGTGCTATCGAGACAATAAAATGGGTAGTCTGGATGACACTCTGCGGTTGGAGGCTTCAGAAACTTCTCCATTGGCAGGAGAAACGCCGTTTGCCTCGGCTGTTCGGCCCACCGCATCGGGGTTGCAATGGTTGGCCGTTCCTTCTGCAAAAGCAGGTTTGGCGTATCGAATTGTAGGGGGCGCATCTTTGGAACGTCTAGACATTGGTGAAGGCGTCTCTATTGCTGCTGCAACTAGCATTCACGCACCCGCAACGCACATTTGTACTTGCTTTGATGGGCGATTGGTGGCAGTTACTTGCATTGATGGATCCATGGAATGTTTTGATTCTACGTCTTCTGGCCTAGAGTCACGATGGATAATAACCAATTGCCATTCACACTTTACCAATGACCTTTCAGTTCCGCCATCTTCGGATCGATCAAAAGCGGCCAGTGCCTCTGGACCTGTGAGTTCGTTTAGCTTTGCTCCATCCAGCTACGAATTGATGTTGGTGGATGCGCTGAAGGGAAGTCTGGCAATCTACAATGCTGTCAATGCCCAACCAACCAATGAACTGACACACAATGCTCCATCAGGTGTTCTGAGCGCATCATGGTCCACCAGTAGTGACGTACCAGTGCTAGCATTCGGGAACGAGGATGGATCGATTGAAATATGCCGCTACCAAGACAATTCACTGGCATGGCTCAAAACATTGGAATGTCCTCATGAAGAAGAAGATTTTTGCTGCACACACTTGGATTGGTCCAAACAATATCTTCTGGTCGGTCTGTGTAAAGTCAATCGCGGTGATGAAGAAGCTGACGAAGAGGACGAAGACGATACAGCCGAACACGAGGCTGCCATGTACATGACTTCCATGGACATGGCATCTTTTAGTCCTGGAGAATGGCACGAATTGGGAGATGTCGTGCCCTTTTTCAGTGTTCCCAGGAGTGGTCGCCATGCATTCTTTTCATTCTTTGTGCATCCTATCAAGCATCCACTCTGTGTGGTGGCTGCTAATGTGGGTACGGATGTCGCCGTCTTGGCCGAAGAGGATGGCAGCTGGGCTGTTATCGAATTTGAAGAGGGTAATGAACCTACTACTCCTACAGACGATGAAGACGAATTTAGTTTTCCAATTGGAGTTGGAGTAGTTCCGCTTGCTTCGGGATTTTTTCAACTCTTACTTCCTACTACGGATGGATCGCTTTCTACATTTACATTTCGAAAGGAAGACGAGCCCGAGGCTGTCAAGGTGGTCAATATACTTTCTACGGATCTTGAAGATGGCGCGGTGGAGATGATTGAAGCTGCGTCACCTCCTGACTTGGCAGAGGAACCACCTGTACCTGGACTGGCGGGAAAGATAAGTAGTACACAAACCTTTGGCGCGGGGTATGGCGACAGTTTCTCCTTTGTCCCAACCACAATTGCTGCCCCTTCAACCGGTGACGACAAGCCAATATTCGGATTTGGCGGATCTGCCTCATCCAACACAACTTTTGGGTCAACTTCCACCTTTGGTGGTGGGGGATTCGGTCAGCCATCCACCCTTGGTGGTGGCAGTTCGGGGACGCCCGAAGCAAAAGCAGCATCCATATCTGCCGCTTCCACTGGTGGCGACAAGCCAGTATTCGGTGGATCTATCTCATCCAACCCAACCTTTGGTGGCAGTGCGTTCGGCCAAACATCATCCAAATTTGGTGGTGGGGGATTCGGGCAGCCATCTACTCTTGGTGGTAGCAGTGCCGAATCACCAGAAGCAAAAGCAGCACCCGTATTGGAAGCAACTGCAACTCTATCCAGTGGTCCAGTGTTTGGATCAGGAACCAAAGCAGGAATCAGTGGTGGGTTTGCTGCTCTGTCAGCTTCTCCTCCTTCCAGTGGTTTTGGATCGACTTTTTCAGATACTTCCACAAAGAAACCTTTCTATTCGGAACCCTCTGCATTTGCATCTCCGCCAAAGAAGGGTGAAGCCGAAAATAGTGCACCACAAGCCTTCAAGACCACAGGATCACAGACTCCAAGCACAGCCACTCCAGCTATCAGTACGCCAGCCAATACCAGCGATGCACTAGCGTTTGGCTCTGGCTCCAAGGCACCATCCTTTACTTTTGGAGTACCGTCGGCCAGTCCATTTGCATTCAATACTACAAGTGCAACCACACCTGCGGAATCGCCTTTCAATGCCTTCAGCTCCTCCAAGACGTCGCCTTCTCAAGGATTCATGGCTAAGCCACTGTTTGGAACAAAAAAGGAACAAGTGAAAGTTACAGAATCAGAGAAGCCATTGACTCCAAAAGCACCACCAGTGGTTCTGCCGACCGCTGATAAATACTCGGCTGCTGGCAAATCGGCCGCGCGAGTATTTGACACACTTGATGAAGAGAAAGCTGGTGCTCTTGCCATTGACTCCTTTGAGAACCTTAGTGAAGAGTTGGGTGAAGGATTCCATGGCGATGAATACGACAAACAAATCACCATCATCGATCCATCAGGATCTGGATTCATTCAACGCACTGCATTCATCGATTGGTACACCGAGTTAGTCGAAGGAGATGACAATGATGGTTCATCGATCGACTCTGACGAAAGAGCCGAACGTGAAGAAGAACGCGAAAAGGCACTAGCAGCCTTCCAAAATCTATCCGGTGGTAACGATACAATACCAGAGACGGACTTTCAAAGACTAATCGAAAGCTTGAACACCGTGTACTGCGCGGAAGAGCACCGAAAGACATTAAAAATCATCGCACGGGGTGGCGAGATCCATGAGTTGGACTTTCTCAGCTGGTATGTGGGTTGGCTGTTTGGTGGTGATGAATCATCCGACGAAGAAGAATACAGCGATACAGAAGCGTCAGCAGGCGCAAAGAATACATCCTCAAAATCCGGAAGTCTGGGTGCGATGTTCTCGGTTGACAAGGACAGTTGGAAATGTGAAATTTGTTCTGTGCGAAACAACGGGGACTCAAAGAAATGCTTAGCATGCGAGTCGGTTCGACCTGGATTTGAAGATGATGTGGCGAAAGCAGAGAAGGCAGCAGCAGAAAGCTCTGGATCTGCTATCGGGTCAAGCGGCTTCTCGTTTGGAGGGTCGTCATCAAGTGGTGGAATTGGAGCTGGTGGCTTTGCTTTTGGAGCCCCAGCTCCGATATCAGCAGATTCAGGCATCAGTAGCGGAGGTGGCTTTACTTTTGGCGCCCCAGCTCCAGCATCTGGTGGCTTTACATTTGGTGCACCAAAATCAGATGCTCCAAAGCCTTTGACGGAATCTGGATTCACATTTGGAGGGCCAGCTGCCAGGGTTGCGGCGACTACACCAAAATCAGACGAAGCCGGTACTGGTTTCCATTTCACACCAGCGAAACTATCTACTGCAAATTCAGATCAAAGTCTTTCCGATGCTGGCAAATCGGCTGCTAGGGTGTTCGATACTATCGACGAGGAGAAAGGTGGATCTTTACCAATTGACTCATTCGAGAATCTCAGTGAAGAGTTAGGTGAGGGATTCCATGGTGACGAATATGACAAGCAAATCGCCATCATCGATCCAAATCGATCTGGGAAAATCACGAGAACCGCTTTCATTGATTGGTACACAGAGTTGGTTGAAGGCGATGACGACGATGGCTCATCCATCAACTCTGAAGAGAAGGCAGAACGAGAAGAAGAAAGACAAAAGGCACAGGACGCCTTCCAAGATTTGTCAGGCAGGGACAGTACCATTCCTGCATCTGATTTCCAGAAGCTCGTCGAAAGTATGAATACTGTGTACTGTGAGGAAGAGCACCGAAAGACTCTGAAGAAAATCACCAAGGATGGAAAGATCAAGGAGTCAGACTTCCTCAGTTGGTATGTAGACTGGCTTTTCGGTGGTGATGAATCGACGGACGAAGAAGACGACGACGATGACGCAGAAGCATCGGCAGGCGCAAAGGATACATCCTCAAAATCCGGAAGTCTGGGTGCGATGTTCTCGGTTGACAAGGACAGTTGGAAATGTGAAATTTGTTCTGTACGAAACAATGGGGACTCAAAGAAATGCTTGGCATGCGAGTCGGTTCGACCTGGATTTGAAGATGATGTGGCGAAAGCAGAGAAGGCAGCAGCAGAAAGCTCTGGATCTGCTATCGGGTCAGGCGGCTTCTCATTTGGAGGGTCGTCATCAAGTGGTGGAATCGGAGCTGGTGGCTTTGCTTTTGGAGCCCCAGCTCCGATATCAGCAGATTCAGGTATCAGTAGCGGAGGTGGCTTTACATTTGGCGCCCCAGCTCCAGCATCTGGTGGCTTTACATTTGGTGCACCAAAATCAGATGCTCCAAAGCCTTTGACCGAATCTCCCAAACTATTGACGGACACCAAACCTGCGAATTCAGATCAAGGTCTTTCCGATGCTGGCAAATCTGCTGCCCGGATATTCGACACCCTCGACGAGGAGAAAGGTGGATCTTTACCAATTGACTCATTCGAGAATCTCAGTGAAGAGTTAGGTGAGGGATTCCATGGTGACGAATATGACAAGCAAATCGCCATCATCGATCCAAATCGATCTGGGAAAATCACGAGAACCGCTTTCATTGATTGGTACACAGAGTTGGTTGAAGGCGATGACGACGATGGCTCATCCATCAACTCTGAAGAGAAGGCAGAACGAGAAGAAGAAAGACAAAAGGCACAGGACGCCTTCCAAGATTTGTCAGGCAGGGACAGTACCATTCCTGCATCTGATTTCCAGAAGCTCGTCGAAAGTATGAATACTGTGTACTGTGAGGAAGAGCACCGAAAGACTCTGAAGAAAATCACCAAGGATGGAAAGATCAAGGAGTCAGACTTCCTCAGTTGGTATGTAGACTGGCTTTTCGGTGGTGATGAATCGACGGACGAAGAAGACGACGACGATGACGCAGAAGCATCGGCAGGCGCAAAGGATACATCCTCAAAATCCGGAAGTCTGGGTGCGATGTTCTCGGTTGACAAGGACAGTTGGAAATGTGAAATTTGTTCTGTACGAAACAATGGGGACTCAAAGAAATGCTTGGCATGCGAGTCGGTTCGACCTGGATTTGAAGATGATGTGGCGAAAGCAGAGAAGGCAGCAGCAGAAAGCTCTGGATCTGCTATCGGGTCAGGCGGCTTCTCATTTGGAGGGTCGTCATCAAGTGGTGGAATCGGAGCTGGTGGCTTTGCTTTTGGAGCCCCAGCTCCGATATCAGCAGATTCAGGTATCAGTAGCGGAGGTGGCTTTACATTTGGTGCACCGCAAAATGATTCTCCTTCGAATCCCGTTGATAGCTCAGCAACAACGGCTACAACGTCAACAAGTTCTGCTGCATTCCCTCCGATGTCGACAAAGGCACCGACGCCATTTAGTGCGAAAAAAAAACCACCTGCCAGTGGTGCAACGGAATCAAAGCCTGCAAATCCTTTCTCTGGAATTTCTTTGGTACCCTCAAAGCCACTTGAGACCGCAGCAAAAAAGGCAACTGTACCCGGAATTTCGGCCGCATTCCCTCCTATGTCATCCAAGGCACCAACACCTTTTGGAGGTGGACAAGTCAAGGCGACTACATCGACCAGTTCCGCTACATTCCCTCCGATGTCGACAAATGCACCGACGCCATTTAGTGCAAAAACAACACCTGCCAGCGGTGCAACGGAATCAAAGCCTACAAATCCTTTCTCTGGAGTTTCTTTGGTAACCACGAAGCCACTTGAAACCGCAGCAAAGAAGACAATTGTACAGGGAAGTTCCGCCGCGTTCCCTCCGATGTCGACTAAGGCACCAACACCATTCGGAGGAGGGCAAGCTAAGGCAACTACATCGACCAGCTCCGCCGCTTTCCCTCCGATGTCGACTAAGGCACCAACACCATTCGGAGGAGGGCAAGCTAAGGCAACTACATCATTCATTGGAAAGGCTGCGTCTGGTATATCGCAGAGTCAGCTCTCGGCCGCACCGATGACCACAGTATCGACATTTGGAGGTCCGTCAACGAAGGCTGCTACACCGGACAGTTCCGCCGCATTCCCTCCGATGTCCGCTAAGGCACCGACACCATTCGGAGGTGGCCAAGCTAAGACACTTTTCAGTGCATCATCGTCTACTACTAATGCAACAAAGGTATCGAGTGGTTCTTACCCACACGTCGCTTCCAAGGCACCAACTCTGTTTGGTGTAGGTAATGCAACTGCAAAGGCACAAGCCTCTGTAGGGACAATCAACGCAGCAGTTGCAGCAAAACCGCCCTCACAGCTCGTAGCACAATCTGCGACGAAACAGAATGATCGACTAGGCATTGGAAAATTACGTTCAAGCCTTTCACAAAATACATCAGACGCTGGGATCAAATTTGTTGAACTGACAACTAAAATGGAAGAAATGCTATATCGCGTTGGTGGACTGCAGGGAAAGACTGAGCTTGATGGTGACTTTGAGGATAGGATTCAATCAATGGTTGATCGTGTTCAAAGTAATCGGGCATCGTTGACCGCCTCTGGAACATCGATAGGAAGCCAGCGCCAAACAAATACATTCCTCTTGAGTAGGAAGGTTGACTCCGAACGACAAGTTAGGGAAGCCGCGAGGCTCGTCAATTTGATGATGACAGAATCGCCTGGAGAAAAGCTTGCAGATACGCAACCACTAGACTATCAATCTGAAATGAATCGTCGGAAATTTGCTGCTGCAGCAGTTGGCGTTGTTGGGCAGATGAAACTAGCTAAGGAGAAGCTACAATTGCTCGAAGTAGCAACGCAGAGTTCTCAAGACGGTTCCTGGATGCTTGCTACTGGCGTTATCGAGCAATACAAAAGAACAAACGCTTTCAAGCAGAGGCTTGACCGAATCGAAGGAAAGCTTGACAGAGCCAACCGGTCGCTTCCCTTGCAAGAGAAACAGCGTATCGAAAAGTCACGAACTGGCCAATCGACATATGGTTTGACAATGACTCCAAGGAAACAGAGACCCCGTCCAATTCCGCTTGCTGAAGCTCTGACACCTCTATCAAAGCTTACAGGTACTAGGGAACAAAATGGTTTGTCGGCTCAGAATTGGGGTGACATGGCGTCGTCTTTGCAAGAAGTTGGAAGCCAGTATTCCCGCACTGTTCGAGTGAGTGGTACTTCAAGTCTAAAGACACTCCGTGGAACTGAACCTGACAAACCTGCACCTAAGGCGCCGTCAGTTGTGAGAAGTTTGCTTTTGTCACCAAGTCAGGAGAGACCTTACTCGGCTCTTCCTCAATCATCAAGTGCTTCATCTTCCACAAGCATCACAATCTTCTCACCAAAACCAAGAACAAAAACAAAAACACGTTCTGGATGGGACACTGTTTCAACTTTGGACCAAGCTGTGGTACAGAAGTTGTCCTTTTCGGTTTCTGGTGAACTGAAAGAGGCGACGCTGGCCGATGCTTCTCGCAAGAAGCTGGACCGATTCGGAACAACCCCGGAGAAAGTCAAGCAATCCATTGACATCAAGAAAAATCAATCTGCATTTCCAACGCCAACTCGCTCCAAAGAACTAGCTACAGAGACGGAGCCAAAGACTCAATTGCCAAAGAAGGAGGTATCATCAGCAGCCCTCCCACCGATGTCAAGCAAAGCTCCAATCAATCCGTTTAGCAAAACAGCTCAAAAGTCGAGCGACTCAAAGCCTCCTATGAAGCCCAAACAAGCAACTTCTTATCCTCCCATCTCAGCAGTGGCACCAAAACCCTTCACAGATGATAAAACAGGTACTTCCAGCAGCTCAGCCGTGCCAAATAAAGAAACTCCACCGGTCCTGTCAGCACAGAGCGCTACCAAGACTGATCCTTTCAGCACAGCGAGTATGGGGAGCTCGCTCTTCTCTTCCGGTGTAAGTGGAAGCACACCGTCACCATTTGGAGCAAAACCAACATCAGATTCGGTCAGCAAGGCCTCAGGTGCACCCGACTACAATGCAATTCTAATTGCCTTTTATCAAAAACACAACCCAGCAAAGGTAGCTGAAGTTGCCAAGACACTGGAGAAGTACAGGGGCAGAGAAGTCGAAATGTTCCAGAAACTGGCATCAAAATACAAGGTCAAGAGCCCATTGGATGAGAGCCAGAGTATGCCTGCTACAACCCCCGGATTTGCCAACGCAAGTGCCGCAAAGTCTCCGTTCGGAAGCGCTGGTGCTCCTGCAAGCAATACAGCAGCCTCTCCGTTCCAGAGTAGTGGACCGTCGAACACATTGGGGTCAGCTTCACCATTTTCGTCAGGAGGTGCCATGAATACTGCTTCCACGTTTGGAAAGCCACCTGCGTCGCCCTTTGGGCCTGCACCAGGTGCAGGCACCATGGTATCTTCTACACCATTCGGAAGCTCAGCTCCACCAAGTACTCCTTTTGGAGGGGGTGGGCTCTCTTCGGCAACTCCTTTCGGTGGTGCTCCAAGCCCATCTCCATTTGGCCCTGCGGCCGCACCTACAATGCAGCCAGCAGGGGTCACTCAAAACACTTTGCAAGGGAAAGATCCACGAGAAATGTTGATGCAATTCTACCAGCAGTACAACCCCAACAAGCTTGGAGAAGTTGATAAAGTACTCACGAAGTACAAAGGACAGGAAGAGCAACTATTTCGCAATTTGGCAAAGAAATACAGCTTGGATCCTTCTGCTTTTGGTTTGCCACCAGCACCTACTGCTGTTGGGTTTGGATCTCCTGCACCGGCTCCAGCTTCCTTTGGTCAGGCCTCTAGCTTTGGAGCTGCTTCCACTTCCACTTTCGGAGGATCCAGCGGTTTTGGCCAACCATCACAAATGGGTTTCGGTTCACCAGGTGCAGCTGGATCCAGTACAGCTTTTGGATCTGGAATGTCAGGTGCACAAGGCACCTCCTCTTTTGGATCATTGGCACAATCACCGAGTCCTTCCCCCTTTGGCAATTCCTCAATGGGAGGGGGAGGATTTGGTTCGCCAGCTCCAGCGTTTGGAGCACCTTCTTCAATGGGATTTGGTGGTGGCAGCACTCCATTCGGAGCGGCAAGAAGATAAGCTACATCAAAATTATAGACTCGGAAAGAATCAAAAAAAACAGAATAAGGTATAAATGTGTACTCGTTTGCCAGATTCATACTTCACTGAAACGGTTACTCCTTCAAGAGCAAAACGTATCTGAGGTCTTGTAAATCCTTCAGTAAATTTCAGCTCAAAAATAAAAACCTACAGAAGGGGGGATTCGAACCCCCGACCTTGGCTGTGTGAAAGCCACGTGATAACCAACTACACCACCTCTGCGGTTCCCAGAGTTCGACAGAATTATAGTTCAATAATTTCTAAAACTTGTTAAGATAACTGCATCATCTTTTTTCACATGTTACTATCATTCCTGGTTTCATATGTCGAAGCAACAACTTGTTCGACGGCACGTCGGCCAGAAGCTCGCGGCATATTATGCACAACCTGCTAATCTTGTCGTTGGGCAATCAATGTTAGTCGATGATTCCAACCTCTCATCTTTGATGGGCGAATGGCACTGGAAGCGTGTATTTCAACGAATGTATGACGAACGAGAAGGGCATTGGCTGACACCAGTTGAGCTCTTCCGGCCACACTACTCCAATATCTTGGCAGATTTCTGCGTTCATGCAACCAAAGGGGTGGAATCAGATTCGGAAATTTTTGAATTGGGAGGAGGGCGAGGGACGAATGCTTTGCTCATATTGGACCATTTGAAAGACACACACCCAGAGCTCTATTCCAAGTTAACCTATACACTCGTAGATTCATCACCATCTTTGCACCAGCTACAGCAAAACACACTGCTTGAAAGCGACCATGCAGATCGTGTCCGTTTTGAACTGAAGGACTTGATGGATGTTGCCGAAGCAAAGTAAGCCGAAGATTGCAATGTTTTCGAGTATTGTCGTGCTGTCTCTAACTGACCCTTTGCACCATCGCAGAACCATGCTACTTCCACGATCCGACACACCAACAGTTGTACTTGGAATGGAAGTACTTGACAATCTGCCTCATGATAAAGTGAGAGCGAAGTCCCGCAAGAAATTGGAACAGGCAGAAGTACGGAATACACGATATGGTTACCAGGAGGAGATATTTGTACCGTTGGTTGATCCACTTCTAAAGAAGATCATCAAAACGGTACCAGCATATACAAGACCAACCTTAGATCCAATATGGGTCCCATCGGTGGCTTATGGAGTCATGCTTCATTTGTTGAAGCAACGGAAGAATCTGGGTATGGCATTCGCAGACTTTGACTGGCTTCCACCACCGGATTTGGATATGGAAAAAGAGCAAGAGTCTCCGAAATCTGTGTGGAGTCACGGTGAACCAATAGTTACTGACATGGATGGAACAGATTACCAGTGTTATCTGACCTCGCCTGAGAATTGTGACATCTTGTTTCCAACAGACTTTCCAAAGCTGGCACATTTCGTGGACCGTAGCATGACTGAGAAAAAGGAAGTGAAAGTGTTCAAGCAAAGCGAATTTCTTCAGACTTTTGGGCCTAGTCATGTCAAAGCAACCAAGAGCTGGTTGACAGGACATTCCCCTTTGCTCGATGACTTTTCCAATTGTTCAGTTTTGACAGTAACATCAAATCCTGCCGCCAAAACCGAGTCATAGCATTATGTGATAAAGTCTAATAGTCTACTCTGCAATCTCATGAAATTGGTATTCCACAGCATTGGCATATTCTATTCTGCACTATACTCCTTTGAAAGCAAAAATCTGGTTCGTGTCTATTCTGATGCAAGTCTATGTATAAAATGAAATTAAAAGTGGTATACTTTTCGGATCCTCTTTAGTTGTCGAAATTGAATGTATCAAGCGTTCGGCATCCGGCTCCATCGAAGCAGCATTCACTAGAAGCAAAAGTGTAAGAGAAGTGTTATAGTCAGACTGCGATACAATTTCAAAACTTCTTTCAAAATCACTTTGGACTTACGTGCAGCAGAAGCAAGTGACCTCGGCAAGGAACTCTGCTTGGCCATTGCCGGCGGGTCGTGTGGCGCAGTCGGACATGAACTCTTCGTAGGGTGATGCTCGTCCGCAGAGACTTCGTTCTAAGTTGCCCTGCAAGTCGTTTCCTTCCAAGTGCACCACCTTGAGGGATGTCATTTCGCCATAGGCTGTTGGAACCGTCCCAGTAAATTGATTCCAGTGAACATTAAGAGAGTTCAGTCTTGTTAGCTTTCGCAATTCCTCCGGAAGGCTTCCTGTCAGTGCATTGCCAGAGACACCCAAGTAAATTAGGCTACTCATTTCGCCATATTCGGGAGGCAAGGTGCTGCAAGATCACCAGTGAAGGAAATAGAAGAGCAGTTAGAATACTAGACACGAAGGATCAGCAAGCAAAACCTCTACCTTCATCAAACCTACCCGACAAATTTGTTTGAAGCTGTATGAGAAATGAAAAACTTTGTTAACACAGAGCAGCAAGTAGTCACCACAGACTCTCAATTATTTAGATGCTTACCAAGGCCAAGTGTCTTCAGATAAGGGAGTGCTGCCAGTTCCGTCGGCAAAGTGCTGCAAGACCACAAGTTAAGGAAATAACCGAGAAGTCAGAACACTAATCGCGAAGGATCAGCTAGCACCTTTTCCTTCATCAAACTTACCCCACCAAGTTGTTGATATCGACTACAATACCATCCACTCTACCTGCGTCATCGGAGTCACAAACAATTCCTTCTTCCACTTCTCCTGCTCCTCCATCGTTCCATTCGCATACCGACGAGTCTGACATGAAATTCAATTGTTGCCTCCACTCTGGGCCTCCTGTCGACATGTAAAGCAGCGCGGAAACGTAACGGGCCACAATTAGGTCTTCAGAGACGTTTTCAAGCTCTGGATAGGTAGGATCATCATTGGCAAACCACATGATCGCCTCATGTTGCACTGTTGAATTATCACGAAGCTGTTCTAGTGGTGACACATTTGACCCCAAAACGTCTTCCAGGATTTCAATACGACTTCTTGCTAGCGGATTTGGATCCTTCTTGAGCAAGAAGAATACAACCAGGAAGGCAATAACTCCCAAAAATGCAAGGAGTAGAATGGCCAAAAGGATCTTTCTGTTTCTCTTTTTTCGTTCAATCTCGTCAAGTTCTTCTTTGGTAGGAGGCACTGGAAGGCTGTGTTTGACATCGACGCCTTCATCTTCCGGTAAGCCCACTTCGACGCTCATAAAACTGGCCAAGTAGCTCACTGTCCAAGCGAAAGGCGAGTCACTATCGTTCGGGTTCTCTGCATTTGCTGTATTGCCCGTTGCCACAGTGCCAGTTTCAGCATCGCCTCCTCTCCTGAACTTTCTAGTAAACGCATTTCCACCTTTCTTCTTTTCAGCGTTTGTTTTGTCAGCTTTGTCAGCTCCGTTCTTTTTGTTGAATAGCTTCATTATGGATCTTTCAATGATATGGTCCTTGATCTACAGAGTTGATGCTGTGACGGAGGGTTCAGGTTTTAGTGGATGCATCTATCACCGTCGTCAACCGAGGTTCTTAGGAGCTACATATCTGAGTTGGACAACTTTGCGACATGTGCGAGAAAATTAATTATAAAATCCATGGCTACTCCGGCTAATACCATCCAATGCGAAGTTTTTCGGCCGATCAACGTCTAACTTTTGTAGCCGAAATCTACTGCTGTGCGCTGTGTGCCGACAATTACGAATTCCAATCGTGGTGAGACACACTGATGACACGTGTGCACAACGACTCAAGAAAATTACAATGTTTTCGTAATACCGTACCGCCGGTAACAGGGGTAGTGGACTACTGTACCGGAAGGTACTCGTATTCACGCACTTCACTGTATATATATTCTCAGCTTCCAAAATTGAATTCAGCATCGTCCGTAAGATCAATCACCCTCTTGGCTGGAGACTTCCCCGATTTACTTCCAGCAGTTGACTTTTTCCTGCGTGATCGAAATGGACTTCCGCCAATGCTGGGAGACTTGGCAGAATTTTTAGATTGACTGCGTTCGGGAGTGTCGGGTGCAAGTTTTGCCTTTTTCGTGGATGGTTCCTCCGCTTTAGTAGTAGTAGCACTCTGTTTGTTGTCCCTTTTTTCGGTAACTTCCGAATCAGAATCATTATTGTCATTGGAATCGTCATCACCATTCCCAACTGGATGAATTGTTTCCAACATGCTTGCACTAGATAGTGATCTCTTGTTTCCAACACCTCCTGGCTGCTTCTTCGTAGCACTCTTAACTTTGGTTGCCGTTGTAACTCTTGCAGCACTGACTTTACCAGCAGATTTCTGTTTGCTAGCAGGTGTCGTTGCAATCTTTGATGTAGTCATGGGAGATTTTTTCGATGACGCGGCTTTGTTGGTGGTTTTTGTCGCTGGGGTAGCACGTTTTGCAGTCTTCTTTGCAGTCTTTTTCTTTGGTTTCTCCTCCTCAAAGTCAGAATCATCGGGTAGATCCTCTTCAGGTAACCCCGTTTCGCTCTCGGACGCTTCTGAAGAGTCAGACAGCTCGATGGGTTTCTTTGGAGCAGCCCTTCGCTTTCTAGTAGGCGCACTCGTTTTTTTCTTGCTCGACGCTTTTTCTTCTTCACTATTGGATGGTCCAGATTCACTGGCTTCGTTCTCCTCAAAATCTCCATCACTTTCGTCCTCGGCATAGCTTGGCTTCTTCTTGTTGACACTACTCTGTCGTCTCGAAATGGAGCGCTTTGGAAGAGCAGGACTATTGATTTCGATACTAAAGGCATCACTGTCCTCGTCCGACGAAAGATCGTCCACTGTCAGTGGTGCTTTCTTGGCTGTTGGTTTTGGAGCTTTGGCAGTCTTCTTGGGTTTGCTGACACCATCAACGAGACTGTCGTCGTCGTCGCTGTCAGTATCGTCAATGGAAATTGGTGGCGATTCCGTATTTTTGGCACTTGCTGTTTTTTTTGTTTTTGGTGGTTGCTTCTTCTTGGGCGCTGGGGTCCTCTTGGCTTTTGACTTGGGTTTGGCCTGTCCTTTCTCTTTGTCACTCTCATCCTCACTTTCACTGTTACTGCTGCTTTCATCAACATCATCCTCTTCTTCTAGGGTGTACTTCTTTTTCTGCGACGATGCTTGGCGTCGGGGCAAGGTTCGTGGTGCCGAAGGAGTCGTGGTAGCCTTTCCAGCGTATGCATCCTCACTGTCATAGTCCTCTTCCTCGTCGTCCTCATCCGAAGTATCAATTGTCAGAGCAGGCTTGTTCTTGCGACCATTATTCTTGGGAGAATCGTCGTCGTTACTACTGGTAGTACTACTATCATCCATGATGCTTTCCAGACTAGTGTTGTTGTTGGATGGTACTGGTGGTTGTTTCAGATTCAATGCAGTAGTTGTGGTGGCCCTTTGTTTTCCAACTTGTAGGGAATGAATTGGTACATGAAGAGGTCCTTGGGGTTTCTTGGCGGCCTTGCCCTTGGCCACACCATCGATTGTTCGTTGGGAGCCACCGTAATGTACCTCGAAATTGTCGTCGTTGTCAGTTGTCGTCATGGATGATTCTGGTTTCTTTGGCGGTTGGTCGATGTCACTATCACTATCGTCGTCGAGTAGCATTAATTCCTTGTCATCTTTTTCCTTGGCGTTGTTTTCTTGTGGTGGTGCAATGCCAGTAGTAGAGATGTCCTGTTCTATGCCATTGGCTTCCCATTTTGGTTGTCCAAACACAATGGCAGAAGAAAATATACTCTAGTATTGTTGTTGTTGTGAATAGAGAGGTATCAGTGTCAGCCATGGAATATAGATTATTGGATACAACAAAAGAATTCCAACATTCAATACAGTCAACACTTACTTTGCAATGGACCGACCCCTTTTTCTTGGCAGAACACGACAACATAATGTATTTCGATGTCGTTTCCACCTTTTTGCCTGGAAATATTAAATTGCGACCATCCGGAAAGGGAATGACAAGCTTGGGTTCATCCGTGCTCAAATGATGAATGGTGCCCAATTGAGGAAGTGAGGTGGAGGAAGTGAACGGCACTTTGCTGGTATTCTTGGGCGTGGTTGTAGGATTGCTATTACTTTCGTCGTCGTCGTCGTCACTGGCATCGTCTTCTACGGCTCCTTCCGATTGTTGGGAAAGACTGGTAGTAGTGTCCTGCGAGAGGAGACTTTTGTTGGCTGCCGATAATTTTTTCAGGCACAAGTTACCAGGGAACATGAGCAGGTATTTGCCCCTTTCCTTGCTCAAATTGGGCCGACTGACGGCATTGCGAGCCAAATGAATGTCTTGGCCGTTGCAATGATGTTGGAGTAAACCGCCGGGTGCCAAGGCTTGTGCGTCTGCCGGAAATTTGGGGGGTCGACTTGTAACGGGCCAATCTTGGGGCAATTCGGGCGGTGGTGGAGCTTTCTTCTTGTTCGTGCTGCTGCTGCCAGGAGGCTTGACTTTGGATTTGCGTTGCACTTTGATTGCTTTGGGCTTTCGAGATGCCCTTGCCGTCGTTGTGATTGCACTACTAGCGTTAGCTTTGGCTTTCTTGGTAGCTGCCATTCTTGAAGGGAAGTGAAAAGAAGTGTTTGTCGCTGAATCACAATGAAACAATGTCGAAGACTCCGTATCTTTGGTTTTCAATCAGGTTTTGTGTTGTTGTTTTGCCAACAACAACGGCTGCGCATCGAAACACGCGCGCAATCCGAACTACTTTTGGCGCGAAAAATGAAAGTACTTTAAAAGGCGTAAAGTGAGGAGATTGATTTGAGAAAGAACACCATCAAAACCAACAACAGCATCTGCTTTGGAACCTTCACTGTTGCATAGACACTAGGCTGCACAGTGGTCGCATGATTCCAGGATTGCTCAAAGTCATTTCGGTCTCATTTCTTCTATCCTTTTTCAATTCAGAACTCTGTTCAAGCACCACGACCACGAACACTGGCAAGCTGATTTCTGTGGCATTGGCATTGTCACCACGACACTCTTCTCCTCGATTATTGTTATACCGTCAGTGTCAGGTTCAAAGAGCAACAAAAAGTTCTAGTGTTTGGATGTCTTCTTCTTCCGTTGTACTAGATGAGGAGGTTGTCCAGTCGAATACGTATACTGCTAGTAGTTCCAGCACCATGGATGTGGAGGACTATCATTTGTGGAGGAATTGGGTCCAACACACGGATATCGATCATCATCATTTCGACAAACAACAGGCCAAGGAAATCCGATCTGCTCTCTTGGAATGGTATCGAGCCAATCGACGCAAACTGCCCTGGCGGGGTGATGTCTTGGGCGAATGCAATGGCAGTACGGCTGGGATCAACAGTAATAACAATGAAAAGACAAGCAAGAAGAAGAGAACGTTGAATGACAAGAAACAACCGAGCATCAAAAACTTTTTTGGAGCCAAAACGACCAAAGTAGTGAAAAAGGAAGAAGAACCGGACGAGGCTCCCAGCAGTGATGCTGCGACACAACAAGACGAACAAAATATGGCAATAAGAATACCCGTATCTGGATATGGAGTATGGGTTAGCGAAATCATGTTGCAACAAACACGAGTGGAAGCTGTGATTCCGTATTGGATCAAGTGTAAGTTTTTGGGAAACATGTCTGGTTTCATTCTTGCGCAATTGTCCATGTCCTCATTTGACGCTACATGTTACCAAAACTTCATTCTCTTCTAGGGATGAATTCCTTTCCAACTGTCCACGACTTGGCGGTAGCCTCAGAAGAACAAGTCAATTCCCATTGGGCTGGATTGGGATTTTATCGACGAGCACGTCTCTTGCATCAAGGAGCCAAAAAGGTAGTAAATGAGTTGAAGGGAGAGTTGCCGCAAACCGTTGACTCGTTAATGGAATTGCCCGGAATTGGACGTTACACGGCATCCGCCATTGCCTCGATTGCCTTTCGACAACCTTGCGCCGTGGTGGATGGTAATGTCTGTCGAGTCTTGTCCAGACTCACTGGAATTGCCAATCACATCAAGGCGCCCAATGTAAAAGATAAACATGGATGGGATTTGGCCAATCAATTGATATTGGCAGATAATGATAATGATGATGCTGATGATGGGGATAGCAATGAGAAAGAGGGTTGTTGTGCGGGCGAAGTGAATCAAGCACTGATGGAACTGGGAGCGACCTATTGTGCACCGTCGGGGACTGGAATGGATCCCCGAGATCCTCTCCGAGATTATTACTTTTCCACTCGATTGGCCAGATCCTACATGGCCTATACCAAGTCACCAATCTCCAAAGAGGAAACACTGACACCTGGAATGAGTTGTTCCATTTGCGATCCAGAGGGGATTACTACCGTTGTGGGGCTCTTTCAGTCGGGAATTACCAATGATATGTCCGACGAACAAGTTGCCAAGTTTGGTCATGCCACCTTTCCTTTGGATCCACCCAAGAACAAGAAGCGAGAAGAAGACTTGGCAGTTGCTGCTGTGTCAACGGTACATAAAAAAGAGACGTGGTGGTTGCTGGTCAAGCGTCCACCAAAAGGTTTGTTGGCAGGGCAATGGGAATTCCCGAATGTTATTGTACAAACACGAACCGCCAAGAGTCGACCACCGTCCTCGAAAAAGATTCTGGATGCCCTGTCGACCATGTGTCAAGAAGAATTGCAAACGGGTTGGGAGGCCCAGCTGGATCCTACACCAGTACAACCATCACCATTGGAACACATCTTTAGTCACATCAAGCACATAATGTGGGTGAGAAAGTACTCCCTCGATGTGGACCTGGGAGAAATAGAGTTGGATTATACTGCCATGGGTGACCGAGAAGCTCGATGGATGCGGGAAGAAGACATGGAAAAGGTCGGTGTAACGTCCGGAGTCAAAAAGATTCTAAAGGCGGTCAAGACTGGTCCCAAAAAGGGGGCAAAGAAGAAGGCTGTACCACGAAAACGTAAGCGATAACAACAGTCGTCCAGGCGAGATTTATCTTTCCTTAGTTTTTTTATTTAGTCGGTTCCGACGGGCTTGACGCCAAGCTGTTGTTGGATTTCTTCAATGAGCTTGAGATTGACGAGGGTTTCCGCATGTGTGTATTGAGGAGCCTCCTTCTTGCCGGCACCAATGCATCGAGCAACGGCAGCAGCTTCGTAACAGAATCCCTCAGAGTTTGGATAGTTAAAACCACCTGCTTTGGTAATTGCTTCTGTATCTACAGGCATGGGATATTCGTATTCCAACGTCTTTCCGACCTCACCACGTCCGTGGGCCTTGAGATTGACTGTCAATTTGGTGGGACAATGTCCGGGACTTTCAATTGTCATGCGACCTTTGGCACCGACAATGGTGGTAGATTCTGCAGATTCACAAGCCATTCCCCAACTCAATACGGCCACACCAGCACTGTCGTCAAAGGAATAATGAAAGTCGACGATTAGTCCAAGAGAGCTCGCAACGAAAATACTGTAGCAACGTTTGAATGGCTTACCCTGGTAGTTTTGGAGCATTGGCTGGCTTCTCTCCACCGGTGGGAGGAAAGTTCAAGACCATTGCACCTTGAAGGTCTACACCAGTGTCTTCATCTACTTGACCAACTGATCCAATTCAACATATATAAATAAGTTCCCGGTCATCCAACAATCGACATCGTATACAGCAAGACCACAAACTTACCAACTTTGGCGCTATCTGGTTCACTCTTGAAAAACATGGTTGCGGCTGCCAGTGGGTAGGGGGCTACCAACAAGCCAGCTCCACCTCCAAGCTTGCGGTTGTAAACGAAGGAAGTAGGATATTCCTCGTGGTCAGGAGCATAAAAGTTGAAATCAGAGAAAACCTTGGCAATATCTCCCAAGCTGGCATCTTCTCCCTCAGCACCGAGAGCAATATTTCGGGCCTTTTGAACGGCTGGGAAGAATCGTGTCCACATGCCCTGTCATAAATTGTTGGCTAAGTGTTGAGAATGGATTCAAAGTGTTGATGTAATGCTCTCTCTCTCTCGTAGCATCTGCTCACCTCCATAATGAACAAGTTTCGTTCTTTTGCCAATCCAATCAAGTACTCTCCATCAGCAACGGAGCAGGCGAAAGGCTTTTCCACAAGAACATGTTTGTCTGCCAAAAGACACATTTCCACTGTTGAGCGACGAAAGGCATGGACGTTTCCAATGTAGACAATCTCAACATTAGCGTCCTTGACCATTCCATCGTATCCTCCATCTGTAAACAATGAGAATGTGCGCGCCAATTCTGTGAGCAAGTCGCACAAAAACAGGATAAGCAGCACCGCAAGACAACGGCATCCGCATCCTACTTACAAAAACTTGGAATACTGTGCTTCTCAGCAAATGCCTTGGCACCGCCTTCACTTCGCGCTGAACAAGCAACAACCGATTGAGATGGCAAATGCTTCAAGGCTTGAGTAAAGTCATGAGAGACACGCCCACATCCAATCAAACCCCATTTCAAAGGAGGACATTCCAAAGGATCCTTGATGGAGAGATCGTCAAGAGGGTTGGGTGGGACCGATGTTGCCATAATGTTGCTTGGTCAAGTACTGGTTGCAACAGAGATTTCAAAAGAGTGATTGATGTTTTGATGATATGATTATGAGACGGTCGTCATCAACTTTGATTTGACTCAAAGGACTACATCTGTAGGGTTCGTACGTCACATCGATCGAAATCCTTGACAACCCATCACGCATCACCAACATCAACAAAAAAGAGTTCTTGTTGAGTAGTGACTGCGTATCCAACGGAATCTCATCTTAAACGGTTACACATTACAGTGAAGTACAGTAGACAAGCAATCCATCCGCCTGTCAAATTCACCAGAAGAAAAACAAACAAATAAATAAACAATCATGAATGCACTACGATTAATCTTCGTTTTCGGATTGATGGCCGAATCCACCGTCGCCTGGTCTCCTGCCAAGCAACAATATTTTCGCCAAGAAACTGGACTTGCCATGAGTGGAAGTCTACATGGACAAGATTCTTGTTTTCTGCCATTGAAGCAATTGGATCAGGATTATTTTGCTCCCAGAATCATTCAGGTATGTTTCTAGTAGCATGATGGCTGGTGATGAAAGTCGAATATTTTCGTTCGTTATTCCCTAGGTACTCATTCATTCATTCATTCACTCACTCACTCACTTGCTTGTTTGTTTGTTAAATTTTCAAGATTGCTGGAGCTTATCCTGGATTGACCAAGGAAGAATTCATGGCAGTATCGTCAGAGCCAGCAGCTCCAGAGGGTCAATGGACGTATGACTTTAGCGATCCTGATGGTCCCCAACTTGGAACAGTTGCCTTGGATGGAGGATCGGTAGTCGCCGCCTGCGAGGACCCAGTTGCTATTATTGCCGAACACACATCTCTAGCCGTTCCGCTTCCTGATGCTATTACCGAACCAGTCGATTTGATTGTCCTTGTGGACAGAGCTGCCACCCACTTTGCAGAGCGCAGATTCCTGTTGATAGAAGAAAACGGCGAGCTCGTAATCGGTGCTTTTGAGACGAAACAGGATCTTCCTGCTGGCTGTGAGATTCTGGGTCAAGTTCAATTATGCCAAATCCCATGGCTGCCAAGCATGAAGAAGACCAAGACTGGATTCATGGAGGTGGATGAATATTTCTAAAAGGGGATGCGGAGTATATTATAATACGACTACTATAGTACCTGTTTCTAAAGTACTTTGAAAGTCGTTTTGTCGAGAAATAAAAAGACCTTTGTTGACGGAGAGAGGAGCGTCACATCTTCGTCAGCCAGAAATCGAAGTTTGGTCAACATAAATCTCTCGACGTCACAAATCCGAACTTGTTAAATGAGACGTCATGTGCCAGGTCAGGGTTCTTCCCAAAGTTCTCCCTTGTCACAGTGACGTATGAGACGTAAGTATTTTTTAGATTAGACGTTCCGGGGTAATGCTGACACGAAGAATCGTCAGCTTGCTTCGCAAGATCGAAGCGCGCAACCAAAGAGCCTCGCAAAGCAATTTAGCCGACACAAATTTCTTTCGAAAGGTTTTGATACCGACAACAACCGGAAACAACAACAACAACAACAACAAGGAAAGGCAACAAGATGAGTTCTTCTACCACCACCAACATGATCCAAGAGTCAGGAACCGGAAACCTGCCCATGCGCAAGCGTAAAGACTTGGAAGGAGACGCTGAAGAGGAAAGGCCGGCCAAGAAGAGTTACATGTCCAAGGCTCGTGAAATCCGTTTGGAACAAAACCGAAAAGCAGCCAGGGAATCGCGTCGCCGCAAGAAGAACATGCTTGAAGAGTTGCAACGCAGCGTCATCTTCTTTTCAAGAGCCAACGGTACTTTGAAGCAACAGAATGAAGAACTAACAAGACTCTTGGTCCAAGCCCAAACTCGAGTCTCTTCTATCGAGTCGTCCACCAACGACAGCAATAACAAGTCAAACGGAAATCGTTCTGCCGAAGCACCAGTCCAAGAACCCCGTGAGCCCGCAGCAGAGCAACAGAACACCACCATGGAGCAATCTGAGGCTCGAGCTGTTGCCGCTCAAGCCATCTACGAAAGCAAGGGCTTTCCTGCTGCTGCTGCACGGGCCACTGCGCAATCTGTCAATGGAACTGTCGAAGGGGAACTTTCCAAAGAGGGTCTTCCACAAATGCAACCAGGAGCCACCATGCAAGCCATGGCTAACTTTCAACAAGCTGCTACTGCTGCCATGCAAGCAGCCGCCCATGGTATGCATGGAAACGGCGCTATTCAAACGATTGCCACACAACATGCTCCTGGTGTAAGAGGACCTCAACAAGTATTCAGTGATACCATGGCTGCTATTGCTATGCAACAGGCAGCAGCTGCCGCAGCTGCTAGCGGACAGCAATTCTTGAGCAATCCTTTCATGGCCCCCATGCTCGCGTGGCAAAACCACCAAGTGGCCGCTGCCATGGTCCAAGCAGCTTCTCCCCAACCTCCTATGACTCCCTCACAAAATGCTGCTCCTCAAATATCATCTCCCAGATCGAATTGAGTGAGTGAATCAGTCCATCAGTGTATTTTGCTAGAGTAACCATTGTAAAGTTGTACTATTGTTTTTACAAATTAACTTTACAACTACAGTACAGTAGGTGTACGTGTATAAAATACGTCATTGCCATCTTAACATTTTGGCAAAATTGAAGATCTTGGCGCCACCCCAGAGACATCAAGATTTGGACTTCAAGCGACAGAGTTTCTTGGAAAAGGTTATGAGTAAAGACGTGACGGACCAATGCAAGACGGGATACATCAACCAAAACAGAACGAAAAAATCAAAACCAAACTCTTTCAACCGCAGACAGCGACATGAGACTTCTCCATGCAGCACGAAAGAGACCTCTTCACGTTCTGTGTCGTCAGAGTGTGACCCAATCACTATCGTCCCATTCTAGATATCTGAATGAAAAATCCAATCTTCACCACCACAACGCAAGATCTCCACAACATTCATTCCAACGAAACCTTTCGAGTCAACGATCTTCTATACCAGAGAAAGAAACTTTTGAGGAATATGATACAAATGATTTCCTCGCAGATGGGAACATGACCTCCATGTCGCCCAATCCATGGAAAAACTTGCTGACAAATCCTGCCCGAGCTGCTTGGAGAGTGACAAATCCACAGCTGCCTTCCAATATATCTGAAGCGTTTGGACAAGTCCTTGAGAAAGGTGGTCGGACACCACGACAATTGAAACGATCTCATCGAAGTGTGCTGGAAACCCACAAGACGCTAGCAGAATTTCGAGAACGAGAGCGAAGAAAGATGGTCAATGGCAAACACTATCGTTCTTCCAACAGCACAGACGAAAAATCAAACATTCCCGTCTACTATGGCCACGATGAAACATTGGCTACGTTGAAGCATCGCATGATGCCAACCTATGCCGTGACGAGGCGGGTTCTGAACGAATGTCAGTCATTATTGGGTAAGGAAAACTGGCAGCCCCAACGAGTCCTCGATTTTGGAATTGGCTGTGGTAGTTCATCAGTGGCGGCCTTGGATCTCTTTGATTCTATTGATTGGATTCATGGCATTGAACCATCCAAGGCCATGAGAGATTGTTCCCAAGCTATTGTGGAGGGCGTCACAAAAGACAGATCTATTCCAACACGAGTGACCTTTTCCACAACATTACCAAATGATGAATCTTCGGCCACGACAGGAGGATCCTTTGATTTGGCTCTGTGTTGCTACACTGCCATGGAATTGCCGGATGTCATGTCCACTTTAGCAGCCGCTGCTCTCATGTTTGAAAAACTCAAGCCGGGTGGTGTCTTTGTCATGATTGAGCCTGGAACTCCAGATGGTTTCAATTCCATACGATCCGTGAGGAATATGCTTTTGGATTGTTGCCCTCCAGACGACGATGAATTTGAATGGGAAGAACGATGTCACATTATTGCGCCATGCACTCATAACGGAAGTTGCCCTATGGAACGGCACAAAAAGGATTTTGTCAAGAAAGGAAAGCTGGCCCATGATCTTCCGCAGGATTTGGAAAATTCAGAGTCAGTCAAAAGTTCAATGCCTATGGACGAGCCTGATGAAGAAGATGACTTCGATACATTGATCGATGGCAGCTCTACTTTTGAAACTGAGGCGTTCGATTCGTCATTCTGCAGTTTTGTTCAAATGATACCAGGCAGTCGAAACGGAGAAAAGTTCTCCTATCTTGTAGCCCAAAAAAGACTGTTCAATGATGAAAATGCTGACATGTATGGACCATTCCAATCAGATAATTTATCAGAGCTACTCATGTTTGCACAGAGGGCGGCCGTGGAGAAAGACGAAACTGCTGCCATCCAAGCCTTTGACCGAGCACAAGAACTCGAAGATAGGTACTTGGATTCTGATGCTGACGATCTTGGCTTGGAATTGTTGCGAGGGGACAATCAGCGCTACCAGATGGGTCGGATCATTCGGGCACCCATCAAGAAGAAAGGTCACATTTACATTGACTATTGCGCCGATCCTGGAAGAATCATTCGACACCGCGTAACCAAAGCGGTATCGAATAATGTGGCTCCAGGTATGTTCTCTGCTGCCAGAAAGAGTAGATGGGGAGGACTGTGGCCTAACACTAATCCAAAGCAAGCAGATACCTAGCACTAATCACTGTGAACATTAATTTAAACATGAATCAAAATAATAAACTTTGAACTGAAACCAAACAGGAAAATATCAAAACAGATCAGTGCAGAGGCACTAGTCATCGAATAAGATTCCATCCTGTTTCGCAATCTCTAGCTGCCACTTAGTTGGATAGTGTTTTACCAAACTGTAGATTGAGGCTGCATAATCCAACTCTTTGCGTTCGTTGTTGGGGTATCGGGAACGGTGGAATCCAAACATATCTTTGCTGTCAAATGAAATATCCTCGTCATTCGCAAACTCCGTTCGGCGAAGGGACTTATGTGGGACATCGAAAATCAAATTGTAATAGTCGTAACTGTTGTTTGGGTCGACCCAAGAAATCATTTTCTCATCATAATCATCGACGTCGCAGCAAAGAAAAGGTAGTGTTTGCCCTGCCCGTAAGATTTCAGGAACATAACCGAAGATTTCAACGTTTGAGCTGAAATCGATTTCTTGGGCGGCGCCCTCCGGCTGAGAATCGAGAAAGAGATGTAAGTTGTGGTGACGAGCGTCGAAAGAAAGACTCAATGTTGCCTACCTCGTATACTCCCCGGAAGAGAGAAAGCAAAAGCTTGTAGATTGAGCCAGCGAACAAGCTAATTATTGAACCAATCAGAATTACTATGGCTGCCCATCCGTAAATTCGGGTGAAGGTAACCTTTACCACGGTGGAAGCCAGCTTGTTAATGCATGTCAAGGACGAGAATAATTTGATGAAAGCGCTGAATACATACCTGCTGATCTGACATCCATGTCAGGTCGTCTTCATCAAAACTGGCAAACCATCCCGCTTGACCACTTTGGACCCTTGGAGTTGCTGGCATCGGAAGCCCAGCCCATGCTCTGAAATTTTGGCCACATGAAACATAATCCGTCTCATCCACTACTTCAAGCTCGTCGATTTCTGGTTCCAAGTCTCCAATCCAAATCTTCACTTTTTCTCCATCCAAACGTTCAACATTTGTATACACGCCAACAGTGGCGGTGCTCGAGTCAAGAGGTTCGCAAAGCTTGTCATACGGATATTGGGCCCAAGTGAAAGACGAGACCACGGCAAAGGCGACCACAGTAATGCTAAAAAAAAACCTCCGGCTGAAGTTAGCCAAATCAGCTCCAAGTCGTGGAGTGGGTTGCCAAAGTCTGACCAAGGAGAATTTGTCCATATAATATTGGGTCAAAAGGATAAAAAACCCGAAGAAGAAACCGGAAGGGAAAACAGCAGAATAAAAGAAGACAACAAAGATAATCTTTGTAAAGTCCTGTACCCCGAAAGATGATGAGAAACTTAAAGTACACCATAATCGTCGCGCGTTGTCGCTTACCGTATAGCGTTCCCCTAGTTGAAACCAACTGCCTGTGAACCAGGAATTCATCTCCTCTTGGGATCTCGCCCGAGGAGCCAGAACATGCTTCTTCAGGTTTGATGTGTAGTCGGAAATCCGCATGAGAGGGCTCAACCAAGATTCCGAAATAAGGAGAGCGGAGATGGTTGGAATCATATCGGACGAATCGTCTCCCAGTGTATGCGTGAAAGGCGTAATGAACTGAGGCAACAGTAGCTACAGTTGAGGATCATCGTGATTTCCAAGAATACTTTTGAATGCAAAATTCATTACTTACCGATGTCAACAAACCAGACAAAATCCAACGAAACAGTGTCAGCTTCAAGTAGACGGATCGCTGATACGATCCCTCGTCTGGGTGTTTTTCCAACATCAATAAAAGCTTCAAGACAGCTGGCATCGAACTATTGAGAATAGTTGTCAAGTTACCAGAATAAAAAGGACCAATTTCCTCACGGACGCGGAAGATTGACCAACTAGCAAATGCGATCAACCCACAAGTGATAGTAATTGTGATACTTCTCCTCAACATTCGGCTAAACCTGGTGCTCGAAAGCTCCAAATATCGAATGGCACTTGGCTCTGCTGGCTCAGCGACACTTAAAAGAAGTTCCCCACGGAAATGGCAGTCAGGTGGAACGGCTCCCAATCTGTTTGCCGCGAGATCTACTTCACCGGCGTTCAAAGCAGTCAGAGCAGTTCTCTGGCCTTCTTCAGTCTCGAACGTGACAAATACTTTCGTTGCGTGGTATTCCTTTTCTTGAAGTTCTTTCGCCTTATCGCCCATCTTGGTAATCTGTTCATACAATTCTTCAGCATTCAGCATCATGCCAAACAGCTTGAAAATTGGAGCAACGCAATCCACTATTTTCCCAATGAAACCAACTGGTAGATCTTTTACCATTTCACGGTGCTTGTCGATCGCCTGCAGCACAGCTTGATCATCATCATAGTCAACATCGTTAGGAAGTTTCATTCGAAGGTAGTTGAAATAGACGCGACGATTTGCCAGGACATTGATAAGAGCTTCGTTGTCGAGAGCCACGGTAACACAAGTAACTTGACCACTTTCTCCTTGAGCAAACTTTTCGAAGAAATTACGCCATTCATCAGGATTCTTTGCATCTGGCGGCGGATTCAAAACGCAAACCGAGTAATCTGCTGTAGTCACCTTGTCCTCGTCGAAACGAACTTCTCGTGCACGAATATAAAGGCTGAAAACTGCTGTCGCAATCATAACGAATCCAAGAGTCAGCAAGTTCGGCCAACCAAGACGGAATTGTTCAAATACGCAATTGTTTTTCAGCACCAGATTGGTCACGGAACCATCAGGTGCCATTGCTGTCGCGAAGCGGTCAGGGGCATTATTTGGCGTCGAATTCCATCCAGAAGGGTCACATGTGGAACAGACAACCCTAATTTGAATTCAAAAGGATTAGGCTTCACGGCCGGTTTGGTGAGGTTACTGTCAGGTTATACAAACTTACCACTCTCTGTTGGTACAAACCGCAGATGCGCGGAGGAAGGTTGAAATGTTGCTTGCTGTATCACCGTTGTAAGCCGTACTCCCAAAATAGTCGATACTCAGAATGTTGATACATCCAGCTATCAACATGATGATGGCAAAGAACCAAATACTAATAAAGTAAAGATCCATGCCAGATCCCCACTCAATCAGAGCACTTTGCGGGAGCGTAAGAGTTGGATAGAGCTCTGTTTGTACTTGATGTTCACCTCGTTCAGCCATTCGGTAGACATATTCTGTGTCGTTTTCACCAGTGAGGTGGCGAGGAAGAATATTGTGCTCATAGTGTACCCATGCCTAGTTGCGTACCAACACTGAATTCAGATTCTGATATAGTACTGCAAAATGCCAGCTTCCACCTACTTACCTTGTCCAACTGAGGTGCACCTTTTTCGTTTCGTCTGGGCCAATACCAGTTGTACTGTAGAGGGAAAGAAAAGCGTGAGCTTCGAGAATGGACATTTATTGATCACACTTGCTGTGTCCTTGGTGGCTTACAGTGGAAAAGTACTTCTCCACAGCGATTCGTGAAAGTGTCTTCTTCCCAGTTGCATCGTCTTTTCTCTTCAAGTCTTCTAAGATTGCATCTTGCTCCTCCTTTGTGAGGGTTATACCCGAGATCCTATTGGAATGCCTCCCTCCTGAGGCAATTCTAGAATCCATCCTCCCAGTCATTGGTGGCTTCCGTTTTGCAGGCTCCCTCTTTGGCTGCGGCGCCTCCACTACTCCTTCCTCAACCATGATGTTGATGCACTATTGGAATCCTATTTCAACAAGTTGTAACTCAAGCACTTTGGAAGTTCTTCTTCTCTCAAGCCTCAAATCGATGCAAAATTAGGCTTTACGAAAGACTGAGTCGTCCTTTTCACACTGATTGATCTTGTTTGCAAGACGAACAAAGTGATTGCTTAGGTCTTCGTCCGCTTCGGTTGGGTTTTGATTTGGGTGTCGCAGAATCCGGAATTAAGGCTACGAAGAAAATGGTAGGGAATGTACATGCGTAGAATCTGGATCAATTCGGAACTTAATCATGCCCGTGCTGGTGAATAAGCACAGCGGTACTGTACTGGATATATCAGGCACCCTGTTGACTTTTAAAAAGCAATTCTAGAAACAAAATTGTAATGAGTGAATGGTAAGCAGCTAAATGCCTCATAGCGAATATGTTTTAGATTATTGACGAATGGCCTCATATATATTCTCTTATGCTTCAAAGTATCAGCCTCATTTGTCTTTCGCCCCATATAGATTTGCAACTAACTTTGTGAGACTCTGTGGCACCAAATCCGCCAAGGCATCATGGTTCTCCTTTGTATCCTTCCTACACAAATCTCGAACTAGAGTAGACGAGACATGATTATACTTGGGATTCCCTTCCAAATAGCAGGTAGGAATAGGCCAGACCAAAGGCCCGAGCAGCAGTGGTCCCCAAGTATTAAGAATCTGAAGCGATCTCTCGTCTCCCCCATCCTTTTCCCAACTTCTTATTCCACGGAAGAATATGGTGGCTCCCTCTTTCTTGGCCCATCTCCATATGTAGCCTTCAACAACTGTTGACAAGAAGAAACGTATGCAGCAAATGTAAGCTCCCCACAGTATTAACCTCATCCTAAAGTGCGTTAAAGATGTGTTCCATACCTTCTACTTGGACATTCTTCATCCCAGGTTTTGTCTTGATCATTTCTCGCAACAAATCTACTCTTTCTTGTGGTGACACAAGATACTTCTTGTTTGGATTGAACCCAATCACTGCAACGACTCGCGTATATCTGCGCAAGAGATCAGTTGTTTGTCATTGAACCATAACAGACTATCTTGTAATCTCAATGTTGCTTGCTTACCGTCTTGACAGGTGCTCCAGCATGGCTAGATGTCCAAGGTGTGGCGGATTGTAAGACCCAGCTAACACAACCGTGTCATTTTCTTGTTCTCCTTCCTTCCAAGGATATGTCACAATGGTGGGAAACATAATTGGCTTTATCAGAATACATCCCAATATTACGCCTGCAGCTCCTAGTACAATGAATAGAGGGAAGGTAGCATCAAGGACCATGACTCTGCTTGGTATTATGTGTATGTCGATTTTGTTTCCTAGATTGACTTGTCCGACTGCATATTTTCAAAGAGCAAAAATGTTTACGGTACTGTACCGAAGAGTACGACTGACTACAAAGCCTTGTACATTGTTGGGTCGTCTCCTCACCAATATAATTCCCAAATTCTACTTATTTACCATTTAAATATCTTCAATACATCCAGTTGTCCAATCAAGCTATCTGGAGAAAGCTTTGGTGGAAAATCATTTAGAAGCATATGAAAGCCACTTTCTGGAATCTTGTCATAGGCAGCCTCGAGTAAGACTGCTGGCAAACCAAATCGAACAACACCCATACTAGCATCTGCCCAATCTGCCTTGCGAACAGCATTGACCAGTGCGTCTGCTTCCTCTGATCGACTACTACTAGACTTGAAGTCAGTTACCTTGTGATGATACATGACATATCTTTCATACTGGCAACCTCTTCGTCCGTGCATTCTCCTTTTCTTGGCATCCAAATGAGTAGCGCTTGGTTCAAGATAATCCAGTGTCTTTTCCGTCCAGAGGGCGACATCGTGGTGTGCCAGCGCCATTGCTACCAAATCCATAGAGTTGGGGATCACCTTCTCCACCGAATCGGGCAAGTGGTACTTGGTGGACGTCAAAACACGCAGACAGTGATTTCGATAAGCTTCATTGTCTTCTCCGATATCAACTTTCATAGTCATGAGCTCGGCATCTAGGACTGGATGGGAAGTGACGATCTCCAAACCATAGTGAGATTGATTCACCCTTTCGACGACCAGTAAGCAGGGGGTTTTGCTTGAACATGAATCCAAATGCGACTGCAATGAGAAGGATTGTAGTTGTTAGGATCTTCATCTTAAGCGTTGTATGTATACTTGAATTGGGTAGTCGATACAACTGATTGGTTTTGTTTGTAGGAAATTGAAAATCCTTGTTTGATGTTTTGACGAATAGGAAGCCATGACCTTGACCCATTCGACTAACGGGAAGTCATTCCCACCTCCTGTATTGGCGTATTGGTCGCGGCGGAGACTGAAGCCCGGAATCCATGTATTGATACAAACACTAACGTTGCAGGAGACCGAAGCGCCCGAAATCCCCAGAGTAAGCGGTCAGTTGTATCGAATTGCTCTATGTATTTTCGGTCATCAAGATAAAAAAGTTCGCTGCCACCTCATCAACCAGAAATTGGGCTCATATTTCATAAATGGGGTTGGGTATTTTTGAAAACCGCCGTATTTTTCGTACCACCTCTACGTGTCGTCAGCTTTCCTCATGAAATATCGTGAGATATGAATATGACGGAGGGCAGACCATTAGTTTTTGAAAATAAAAAATAAAGCACTTCTAACCCGGATATGTCGCTAGCTCTTTTGTCGTGAGCTGCACTGGTCTGAAGCTCTTTGTAATATGTGTCATTGTTTTGCATCAACATCACATCAACTTCAAGCTTGCAGACAAAAGCCAAGGAACCGCAAAACAAACAAGCAGCACCACAACAGTTGCGACCTAGTGAGATAAAAATGACGACATGACAGGCGCCTGAAGCGAGAACGGCAGACTCCAGTGCAACATCTTGTGATTGAATCGACATCATCCTGGAAAGGTCAAACAAGGCATGAGAGAGCAGTCAAATCTACCAGTTGAGATTATCGCTGCGATTCTAGTGAAGTATACACTTCTCTGAGGCTTGCGACAACGAGCATGTGCAATTTGCTGATTATCTGGACCTGAAGCATCAATCGGCTTGTTGTTTGGGTAGAAACGTAAAGGGCGAACGCAAGGCTCAATTTCATCGCAAATATACTACATGTGTATGCAAAGATCAAAGACACAATAATCAACATTGGTTGGGAAAGATTTAAAAACGACAACAAACGGCCAATTTTTTTTCTCCAGGCCAGTGTTTTGAACGAAGCTGTCTACTATCGTATAGAAAGACGCTTGCAGAGTTCTTTGTGAAAAAAATTCTGACGAGAGAATAGAATAGAACAAATGAGGGCTTGATTCTGCCAATGCGGAGACAGTGACTTGACTTGAACAATGACAAGACGACACTCAAACTGGATACTACTGTTGAAGACAAAAATTATAGTCAATAGAGAATCAAGCTAGAAGCTTGAACAATACGTTCTACTATTATACATCTCCATCACCATGTAACGCTAGTCATTCCGGTTTGCCAATATACTGTCACATTCTCTAGGAAGGCCAGAACTTGTTCAACTGGAGCTGAGGTGGTTTGGTTAGGTTGCGTCCATTCTGGAAAAGCAGGTTTGCGTATCAGATTGCAAGTGGCTGGTATAGAATGTTTTTAGTTTGCTTATTATTTATGTTTGATGATCCAGGACCATCCAATCTACCGGTAGAACTGGACCTGCCTGATTATTATTTTAAGCACTGGTGTTTTGCGAGTCTCTCATATCCCCTGAAACTCTCCCCTCATATATTTTGATTTGCTTTTTGAAAGAAAATAGCCCGGATTTGGTTCCAGCTGACGACATGTACACGTACGTAGAAGCTGGTAGTCGTGAGCTGATTTGCAAACCCCATTTATCCGATATGTGCCCTTTTTGGCTCATATTTCATAAATGGGGTTGGGTATTTTTGAAAACCGCCGTATTTTTCGTACCACCTCTACGTGTCGTCAGCTTTCCTCATGAAATATCGTGAGATATGAATATGACGGAGGGCAGACCATTAGTTTTTGAAAATAAAAAATAAAGCACTTCTAACCCGGATATGTCGCTAGCTCTTTTGTCGTGAGCTGCACTGGTCTGAAGCTCTTTGTAATATGTGTCATTGTTTTGCATCAACATCACATCAACTTCAAGCTTGCAGACAAAAGCCAAGGAACCGCAAAACAAACAAGCAGCACCACAACAGTTGCGACCTAGTGAGATAAAAATGACGACATGACAGGCGCCTGAAGCGAGAACGGCAGACTCCAGTGCAACATCTTGTGATTGAATCGACATCATCCTGGAAAGGTCAAACAAGGCATGAGAGAGCAGTCAAATCTACCAGTTGAGATTATCGCTGCGATTCTAGTGAAGTATACACTTCTCTGAGGCTTGCGACAACGAGCATGTGCAATTTGCTGATTATCTGGACCTGAAGCATCAATCGGCTTGTTGTTTGGGTAGAAACGTAAAGGGCGAACGCAAGGCTCAATTTCATCGCAAATATACTACATGTGTATGCAAAGATCAAAGACACAATAATCAACATTGGTTGGGAAAGATTTAAAAACGACAACAAACGGCCAATTTTTTTTCTCCAGGCCAGTGTTTTGAACGAAGCTGTCTACTATCGTATAGAAAGACGCTTGCAGAGTTCTTTGTGAAAAAAATTCTGACGAGAGAATAGAATAGAACAAATGAGGGCTTGATTCTGCCAATGCGGAGACAGTGACTTGACTTGAACAATGACAAGACGACACTCAAACTGGATACTACTGTTGAAGACAAAAATTATAGTCAATAGAGAATCAAGCTAGAAGCTTGAACAATACGTTCTACTATTATACATCTCCATCACCATGTAACGCTAGTCATTCCGGTTTGCCAATATACTGTCACATTCTCTAGGAAGGCCAGAACTTGTTCAACTGGAGCTGAGGTGGTTTGGTTAGGTTGCGTCCATTCTGGAAAAGCAGGTTTGCGTATCAGATTGCAAGTGGCTGGTATAGAATGTTTTTAGTTTGCTTATTATTTATGTTTGATGATCCAGGACCATCCAATCTACCGGTAGAACTGGACCTGCCTGATTATTATTTTAAGCACTGGTGTTTTGCGAGTCTCTCATATCCCCTGAAACTCTCCCCTCATATATTTTGATTTGCTTTTTGAAAGAAAATAGCCCGGATTTGGTTCCAGCTGACGACATGTACACGTACGTAGAAGCTGGTAGTCGTGAGCTGATTTGCAAACCCCATTTATCCGATATGTGCCCTTTTTGGCTCATATTTCATAAATGGGGTTGGGTATTTTTGAAAACCGCCGTATTTTTCGTACCACCTCTACGTGTCGTCAGCTTTCCTCATGAAATATCGTGAGATATGAATATGACGGAGGGCAGACCATTAGTTTTTGAAAATAAAAAATAAAGCACTTCTAACCCGGATATGTCGCTAGCTCTTTTGTCGTGAGCTGCACTGGTCTGAAGCTCTTTGTAATATGTGTCATTGTTTTGCATCAACATCACATCAACTTCAAGCTTGCAGACAAAAGCCAAGGAACCGCAAAACAAACAAGCAGCACCACAACAGTTGCGACCTAGTGAGATAAAAATGACGACATGACAGGCGCCTGAAGCGAGAACGGCAGACTCCAGTGCAACAAGCAGCACAACAAGCGGAGAATGAATCATCAGCTTCACGCGAGCTGCGACAATACGCCAGCATTGTGGATTCGGAGTCAGAATTTTTGTTATGAGAGACATGCAATCGATCGAGAGGTCCTACGGATCGATAGAAGTGCAACCACCCCCCAACTTCACGCTTGTTGGAAAGTGGTTTTAACAACTTGATTGCATCATCTTGTGATTGAATCGACATCATCCTGGAAAGGTCAAACAAGGCATGAGAGAGCAGTCAAATCTACCAGTTGAGATTATCGCTGCGATTCTAGTGAAGTATACACTTCTCTGAGGCTTGCGACAACGAGCATGTGCAATTTGCTGATTATCTGGACCTGAAGCATCAATCGGCTTGTTGTTTGGGTAGAAACGTAAAGGGCGAACGCAAGGCTCAATTTCATCGCAAATATACTACATGTGTATGCAAAGATCGAAGACACAATAATCAACATTGGTTGGGAAAGATTTAAAAACGACAACAAACGCAGAATCCCGACTGGGCTCCATTGTGGCCAATTTTTTTTCTCCAGGCCAGTGTTTTGAACGAAGCTGTCTACTATCGTATAGAAAGACGCTTGCAGAGTTCTTTGTGAAAAAAATTCTGACGAGAGAATAGAATAGAACAAATGAGGGCTTGATTCTGCCAATGCGGAGACAGTGACTTGACTTGAACAATGACAAGACGACACTCAAACTGGATACTACTGTTGAAGACAAAAATTATAGTCAATAGAGAATCAAGCTAGAAGCTTGAACAATACGTTCTACTATTATACATCTCCATCACCATGTAACGCTAGTCATTCCGGTTTGCCAATATACTGTCACATTCTCTAGGAAGGCCAGAACTTGTTCAACTGGAGCTGAGGTGGTTTGGTTAGGTTGCGTCCATTCTGGAAAAGCAGGTTTGCGTATCAGATTGCAAGTGGCTGGTATAGAATGTTTTTAGTTTGCTTATTCTTTATATTTGATGATCCAGGACCATCCAATCTACCGGTAGAACTGGATCTTCCTGATTATTATTTTAAGCACTGGTGTTTCACGAGTCTCTCATATCCCCTGAAACTCTCCCCTCATATATTTTGATTTGCTTTTTGAAAGAAAATAGCCCGGATTTGGTTCCAGCTGACGACATGTACACGTACGTAGAAGCTGGTAGTCGTGAGCTGATTTGCAAACCCCATTTATCCGATATGTGCGCTTTCATCCGTTCATAATTCTGACTCGCCTGCGGCGGCAGTGTTGAATCCGTACAATAATACGGGATCTCTGCACCACTTTCCTGACATCATTCTCACTTCAGAAGCAGGCACTGTAATAATATGTCCATTACCAACAAATACAGTAGCATGAAGTTCAAAGCAGGCCTCGATGGACGATGGGACAATGATCAATTCCTGTCTCTGGTAGAATGCTACTGTGAAAGGGTACGAAACGATGATTCGCTCGAGCCATACTTTGGTGAAATGGACAAGGACCGTTTGATATCGCTCCAACAAGAATTCCTGTTCGCTGCTTTCTTGCGGCAAAGGGACATGGATTGCAGACTAAACATCTGTGAAATATTCGAGAAGGGAATCAGCGATTCTGAGTTTGATGCGCTGCTGGACCACTTTCATCTGGCACTCTCAGATTCTTCCGTTCCTGTGGATGTTTATGATACATGCCAGCTGTACCTACACGAGACTCGACAGGGCTGCAAATCGAACAAAGGAATGGGCATTTCCGATTGTCCAATGTGTGTACTGAGAACACCGGTGCAGCTCGATGCAGTCGAGACCAGAAAGACGAAAGGAATTCGGTCTGTCTTGCGGAAAATTCGGGGTCAGTCATGACTACCATCCGTCCTTCGGAAATAATGGAAACAGGCGTCGTCCTGGTGTCCCTTAAAGTTAAGCATCACTTTGATGTTTGATGCCAAGTGTTTCCGGAGCGACGGCAAAGGGGGGTTCAACCCTTGTACATACCGCATACTGTATTGTAATCATAGAATGATAGTTATCGATATTCCACATGACATTTAAAATTTTTTTGAAGTACTGTAATTGCGATGCTGTGTTCTCCATCGCTCTATCTCATTTCAAAGATGGGGAAGCAAGGAAACGAAGCGTCTTTGCAGCCATGTTATCGTGTCACATTCGAGAGAGACTACTAGAGATGCTTTCCGTTTCACAATCACGAGCGAGACTAAAGATGCAATTCGCGAGACTAGAGGTTTCTTGATTGGTCTCGAAACAGGCAGTATAGTACCAAGAAACTTCGAAAGTATCACACGCAGTGCAGCATATGTTTATCTGTCTCTAATTCCTAGATTGTGAGATTGGTACATGCCTAGAGATTATCTTTCTTTTGCTATGGTCTGAGGCTGGAATGAATACAGACGCCGTCATCCATGCCAGGAAGACAGTGCCAGAAAAACTTGAACAATCTCACAAAGTCCCACCAAAAAATGGCCACAATTCTCAGAAGTTGCCGATGCCAATGCTGTGTGGCTCATGCCCCATCATTCCAATAGGAAATCTGATTGATTCAATATCTCTGTATTCTCAAACCGTTTTTGGGTGTAAATGATACCCCTAGCGTACATGATGGTAACTGAACTGTCTCGGCATCCATCTTTCCAAACACTTTGGGTGAAATGGAGTCTTGCAAAATGTCACAGAGTTGCTTGAGATCATCACCACCAATCTTCTTTGACGTCGTTGATTGCGAGGCGAGTTCTTTCAATTTGGACTTCGTGTCCTCCGAAACTTTGCCGTTAATCACAGCGACGCCATCTTCTAGAAGCGTAACGGATCCAGATGGGTCTATTCGAAAGAGTTGTGGTTTTTGGTCCGGATCGCTGCCAGAAACTGCTGACGGTAGATGAGCTACCAACAGAGTGGATCCAAATGGTCGCGAGCCCGGTTTCATAGTATACTCTTGAAGCAACAGCGACATTTCTTCCAGCAATAAATCAATTGGAATAGCTTCTTCAAATGTATAAGAATGTTCCACGGCGAGCCGTTGTGCTGCCGCTATCAGTACCCGACCATCGGCGGAAATCCCAGAATGCGTCATGGCAATGTGAGGAGCCACCGATGAAAATCTGGCAGTCCCATCGTCGACCATAAAGACTGAGGGAAGTATTTGTGGAGCTGCCAGCAGGATTCCATTGGTTTTCTCATTGATAATCGCCACAATGGGTGTTCCCATGGCGGCAGCTTCCATGGCTCGTTCCACTTGTCCAAGTTTCCCAGTTGGGTCAAAGGTTGTTAAGGAAAAGCTATGCCGGCCATTCATTGATGATCCTCGAACAGGAGAGACCATAGCGAAGCCTAGTACAAGCAGAGAGAACCAGCGATATCTTGCTAGATGATGCATATTGTTATGGCTGATGTTGTTGATGTTATTGCATTGTGATACTGTACAATTATTGTCGGCGGCGTTGATTATTAGTTGGCTTGATTGGTTGGATTGGTGAGGTTGTCGACCCGTTCGATTAAAGAGAAGTTATACTTTTACTCAGTATCGACCTCTACCCCTACCTCAACCTTCTTCTCTGATTTTCCACCAGTCAGACCATCCACAAGGCTCTGAGGGGGCTCTTCAATTGTTCCATTCTTGTAAAGCCACGCCCCATGAGTCTTGGCTCGTTCAAAGGTGGATGTCTCCATGAAAGCAGTGACTTCCCCAGTCTCTCTCAATATCAGCTCGGCAATAAATGTAACATTTGCAGTTTGATCATCCTCAAAATACTCCTCATTCGACACTAAGCATCTCTTCATATCAAAATTATCGTACATGTTGGTTCTGTGGTTTCACAGCACAAGTTTGATAAGCAAGAAACACGAAAAATGTTGTCAGCTATTTACCATGAGAATATTCCTTCGACATCAAAACAAAATTGCGTGTTGCTTACTTGATCGTTTCCTTCCATTGTTTCAAGTCAGTATTGAAATCCTTATGTAGTGGATGTGTCGATGCCATCAAGAATTCAGGCTGTAAGAAAAGAGTGAAGAAGAGCCATGAGATTTTTTTTCCAATCAATTGCAAAACCAAACCAACACTTTTCCCAGCCATCCATCTTTCTCAAGCTTGATCAATAACATCAACTTACCTGTTTCTTTGCATACGCCGAATATCTCGCCCGCACAATTTCTCCAGCAGTCGCTCCCTTGAAGGCAGTGACATCCTTGTGAATCTTTCCACAGCAACCACTATAGGTCAGTCCGGAACCGCACGGACACGGTTCCATGGAAGCTCCTCCAAATCCACCACCACCAGTATTTCGCTTTTTCTTGGTCTTGGTTTTCTTGTTTGCCGCAAACAGAGGAGTCAAAACGTCATGATGTTCTCGTCGTACCGTCAGACTCCTCCTCCTCATTGGAAGCAAGGAAAACGGATGCACGAAATCCATCATTGTGAGGATCATGAGGAGAGCAAAAGCCAGCAGTAGTAAAGAGGACTGAGCAGTAATCATTTTGTCGTTTGATTTTAGGTATATATAAAGTATATGAATGGATACCGGTAGATGAAATTATTGTTCCAACTATATACCGGTAGCATGTGATGTGATGGATGATGTTTTCGTTGATGATTCTGATGTCTTATCGCGCGAAAACGTGCGATTGCATGTTTGACGGTTGTGGGTTGATTCAAATGACGGAAGTGAGGAAAGTTCAAAGTGCGACAGTGTTGCATTCTTCACTTGTCTACACTACAGTATCGGGTTAACACTTTAACCCCCTTGTAGCTGCTGCTTCACTTGTTGAACCCATCATTGCCATTGTTCCGCCATTGTAACTCTGGAAGAATAAATTGGAAACCAGGAATCAAACAAGCAAACAAACACTTTACATTCCATTCCATTCCATTCAGTATCATGGAGACCATCAATGCCGTTCTGTTGATGCTTGCCACGTTGATTTCTGCATTGATTGTACACCAATTGCTGAAACCAAAGCCGAAGGCAAAGAAAGTAGATACAAAAGCCTTCGAATCTATTATCGACGACGATGGTTGGGCCGAAGAGGAAGAGGGAGAAAAAAACGCTGTGCCTGCCCTCACAACCGTCCCGTCTCCGGAAGCCATGCCAATGCCTACAGCAGCACCACAAGATATTATTCCTGATCCGCCAAAGAAGATAAATGAAGGTCCATATAATATTGGAGATCGTGTCGTTCTAAAAAATCTAGTCAGCGCCCAAGAGTTGAATGGACGTCACGGTTTCATTGCGGACCTTTGGGATAAAAAGACGGAACGATACCCTGTCGATTTGGATTTGATGGATCCCACACGCAAGAGCCCGCTGTCCGTCAAGGTTGGAAATATGGAAAAGGAACCTGTCATGAAGGATACAGAACGCGCCATGGCTGTCAAGGCTTGTCTTGAAGAGTCCGAAGCACGGACTGCATCCTTCATTTTCTCTGCACTCCGTGGATCCCTTCAGAATTCGCTCAAGGGAGAAAAGGATCCTCAAAAGCTTGCCGCCTTTGGATGGAAGTTCTGGAAGACTCCCGATGGTCAAGGTGTCTATCCGTCACTGAGAGATTTTTTGACCAAGGGTATTCTCGAACAAAACAAATTGGAGGATTTGGAGAAACAACTCAACGCGGCGAACCCCAAGGGAGCCTATGCCAAGGTCAGCAAGGCCATGACATCCGAATTGGCAGTTGCATCGTGGCACATTCGAGTATCGGGTGCCTTTTGGATTGTCGGTGTTGGCCCCGAAGGTACTTTGGTGGTTCCAGAAAACAATACGAGACAAGTCTACTCTATTCTGGGCTTAAAAGTTCCACTCGGAGCACAAGGGCAATTCCCTCGTCCTCCAAAGTTCTTTTTGACATTATTGCCGTGGTACGGTCGCATCATTCATGACCCCATGATCATGACGACTACAGGGGGGAATCAAGTGGAATTGGCGAATCCACAACTGGCGGTAGATCTTGTTACCGCCTGCAAAGCTGCCACACAAGAAGGTCGTGTCGTTTCTCGTTTGGCACAACTAGAAGTGGAAGGAGGAAGCAAAGAGGGTTTGCCATACCATCCTTTCAACAAGCCACCGCCAACGAAGATGGACCCTGCTACCGAAAAGGAACGTGGTTTTGTAGACAGTTTGGCAGACTACACTAGTGCCGCTGACAAGCAACCGACATCTGCGTGGAACTTTATTCGTTCTGGAAGAGATAACAACGAAGTTATCATTATCAATGGCAAGGGAGCCAAGTTGGGAGCATTCTTGGCCGGAGGCCCAGAACCAACTCATATGGAAATTTTGGAATCCTTGTTGGTAGTGTGTCAAGAGAAGAAGGAACGACCTCGCATTGTGGGCGTGGACACCCCTTCGGCCGTTACTCGGCTGCAATTTTTGACGCAGGGTGTCGCCAATATGACTGTCGCCCAAGTCAACGTCACACGAAAGCCCCAGCAGCAAGCACCAAGTTCATAGATTTTGTATTTCAAAATGTCACACTAGTCATACTAGTATGATGAATGAAATGGTATGGAATGCATGTGGGGAACTTGTGTTAAAACAAAAGCACTCTCAACTCATAACACAAAGCAATTGTTGTACAAAAGATAGTCTGGATTACTGTTTGCCGTACTCCATATGTTTTGATGTACTTGTATTATACTTGTAACAAAGAGTAAAGATTACTTTACCCAAAAATGAGAAGAGATCTGAAATGGGACTGAGTTAGCGCCTTGCAGATCCTACCACCAAATCTGAAAACCTCAAAACTCCAGTCAACATTATTATTGTTAAAAATACAACAACCTGTTATATTATTTCCAATGGTCCTCTACTTTGCCGAAGCTGAGCATTACGACGCAACATCCGATGGATCTTGTACTGCAGCTGACATGGCGGCGGCGGGAGACTATCCAACTTGGGTGGTTGTCCTCCTTGTCATTGTGAGCCTTCCCACCATCTTGTGGTTCGTCTTGTACAGTCTTCCTCAAATGTACATGGCATTCCGCCCCGTCCCTGATTTGAAAAAGAGATATGACGCCAAGTGGGCGCTAGTGACTGGTGGAGGTTCTGGTATTGGAAAATCAATTGCGTTCAAGTTGGCCAAACAAGGATTGAATGTTGTCATTGTTTCCCTGGACGACAAGTTCTTGAAGGAAACCATGACACAACTCAAAGAACAATTTCCTGATTTGGAGTTTCGCTCGGTCGGTGTCAACTTTGCTCCAGGAGTCGACTATTTGAAGGCAATTTCAGAGGGCACCAAGGACATTGAAATTCCAATCATCTTCAACAATGCTGGCTTCTTGGTGACTGGATTCTTTGATCAGGCTCCTCTTGGGAAACTACTGGTGAACATGGAATGCAATGCTACTGCTGCAGTAAATATCTCCCATCATTTTGCCGGCAAACTTGTCGCTAGCAAGAAGAAGGGATGCATCGTCTTTACTAGTAGTGTCGCCGGATTCATTCCCACACCCTTTAGTGGCATGTACGGTGCCACCAAGGCTTTTGTCAGCTCCTTGGCTTGCTCTCTTCATATTGAGCTTCAAAGTTTGGGCATTGATGTTTGCGCTATTCATCCATCACCAGTATCGAGTAACTTTTATGCCAATTTGGATCACAAGGTTGACCTGATCGAGTCGGCGTCCAAACAAGCTGTGTCACCAGATGCTCTTCCGGACGATATCTTTCGCAGTATTGGAGTCTGTGCCCTTCGTGATTTGGGAGGTCTCGCCTTGGGAAGCCGTATGGGAACTTGGTTCCTGCCTTTTAACTTTTTCACTGAAGTCTTTGCCGCGGCTGCTCCGTTCTTGCCAGATTGGAAGACACACAACAAGGCTCGCGAGTAGAAAGCAAAGTCTATCATCAGATAGTCATTTAGAGATAGTATTCTAGCAGTGCGAAAGAAAGGTCTTCCTATGATAATCCCTATGATGAAAGGTAGGACCTATAATGATAGCAAATATAATACATATTATGACCAAAATTAATCTTGCTTCTTCAGTATAGTTTTAGAAACTCAAACTAAATCTACTTTCGTATCTATTATCTTCTTCATTTCTTTTCTCCATTCATCTTCTTCTTCCCTCATTTCCTTGTATTTATCTGCTACATTTTGTTTCCATTCCTCTTCATTTACATCCTTTCCAACCCAGGCTGGAAAGTCTTCTCCCAAATACCGAGTCAACACTGGCACTCCCAGCAGTTCTCCATTTTCTTGTATGGCTAGCAATTCTTTGAGCTGTTTCTTGAGTGCTTTTTCACCATCCACCCATTTACTCGGTTGGGCCATCATGCGTGCCGTGGCAGCATTCATGCCCGGATTATCATTGCCGTTATTGCCATTGTTATTATTATCCGCACTAGCAGCACCACTCCCACGACTTTGCCACCAATGCTCCATATTGTGTTCGGCATTCATGGCATTTTCCGCGACTCGATGACCAACATATTGTGCCTCTTGTTCCAACTTTTTCTCAACTTGTAAAGTCTCCGAAGGAAAGAGGTACCACGAAAGGCCAAGGATAATCACGGCTACCAGGAGAATGGCCAAAGCGGGATTCAGAAAGGAATAATTCGAGTTCCGGTTGCTCTTACTTCGGGAGGTTGCGGTGTTGAGCCTCTTGTTATTCGACGGTTTCCGTGAAGGAGTTGACGATGAAGCTGCTGTTCTTCTCAACATACTATGGGAGTGCCTTTATGTATAGGTAGTGTGTACCGGTATGGTGGATACTGTTTATGAGGGTAAAGTCATGGCTCGTCGATGGTGAAAAGTGTTGCAAATCAGGTTTCTTACGATTAGTTCGACTAACGTTTTGAATTTTGAACTGAGACATACATGTACAGTAGAGTATCACAACACGAACACACCATCGCCGCATGAAATTAGGACAGCATTGGCGAAGTTACCAAAGGAACTCTAGAAGGCGCTCCATAATGACACCAACGTTGCTCGAAAAGCGACACTGATGCTTGTATTCCACCGGGTCAAAACTTTCATCGATGGCCGATTGGTCCAGAATACCTTGCATTGTTTGGAACTTGCCGGATCCATTCAAATGCAAACAGTTCAGCTTCCATGCCATAAGTTCCAATAGAGATGCCACCACCATTCTCTCATATTTGACCAGCGACTTGATAATACAAGTCCGAAATACAATCTCTTTCTCGCCACATGGCCAACCATGGGTACAATTGACAAAGAGATAATCCGTTATCATGCCGTGCATATCATGCTTCCAACTCTCAAACCCAACCTTTGAAACACGATCAAACAGCTTCGGTCCATCCAAAATGATCATGTTGCTACGGTTGAATTCAGCTTTCAAGCAGTTTTGATGCTGATTGCCCCGGTAATGATGATTCCATCCTTGGATGTTGAATGTATCACCAGTGTTATCTTTGCACAGACTGCAGCGCACATATGCCGGTCCTACAGCGGGTACAGGGACCATGTATCTTTGTTTCCATACTACGTAGGGACGATTCATTGTCTCCAAATTCTCAATGTATGATGATTGGTAGACGCACTACCGGGGCAATCACAACCCACAGCCGTGCCAAGCAACACGGTCTGAGCCGTTGAATACCCTTATACACACACACATGAAGCATCCCATGCCCTCCAGCCTTGTCATCTTAATGGCGACTAGTTTACCTCCATATCTCGACTTCAAAGAAGTGACGATGACATGGGATGTAATTGGCATTAGTTCCCATCCTAATTAAACTACTACTACCAAAGGAACTCTAAAAGGCGGTCCATAATGATACCCACGTTGCTCGAGAAACGATGTTGACGCTTGTATTCTACTGGATCGAAACTCTCATCGATGGCCCATTGGTCCAAAATATCTTGCATTGTCATGAAATTACCAGATCCATTCAAATGCAAACAGTTGAGCTTCCATGCTACAAGTTCCAACAGAGATGCCACTTCCATCCTCTCATATTTGACAACTGAATCGACAATGGATGTCGGAAATGCAAATTGGTTCTGGCCATATGGCCAACGAGGCGTACCCTTGACAAAGAGATATTCCATTAGCTTGCTGTTGATATCATCCTTCCAACCTTCAAATCCAAGCTTCGAAACACGATCAAGCAACTCTGGTCCGTCAAAAATGGTCAAATTACTGCTGTTGAAGACAGCTTGCAAGCGTTTGCGATGCCGATTGCCCTGAAAATGAGGATTTGAAGCATTGATGTTGAATGTACCAGTATTACACAGACTGCAGCGTACATGCCCCTGTCCTTCAGCGGGTACATGGACCAAGTATCTTTTCTTCCATAAGGTGTAGGAACGATCCATTGTCTCTTTCAATTCTCAAATTCTGAAGCAAGCTTGGAGAATGATTGGTAGACGTCACTACCGAAGTAATCGCAATTCCGAAGGCAGCGTGGAACGCAACACGAACCGATCCGTTGAATGCCCTTACATACAAGTGGAGTATCCCACCCTACCCTCCACCCTGTTGCCATCGTTACGATGAGCAACTTATTTCCATGTCCCAGCTTCAAAGGAGGGAGCTGCGATTTTTCGAGGTATATTTGGAATCACTCCCTAACTCCTACCGTTAGACAAGGCATTGTAGACAAAATTACCAGCTAAGTACACGTATAGGTATCCGTCACTACCTTACTGGGGCTGATGAATTAAAATGACGGAAAACTACCAAAGAAAGGCTGATACACTAGTCAAAATGACCCCAACATTGCTCGGGAGACGGCGCTGTCTCTTATACTCTACAGGGTCAAAATCGTCGTCAAGCGCCCATTGATCGACAATCTCTTGCATAGAATCAAAGTGACCTGACCCGTCAAGAATCAAACAGTTGACTTTCCATGCCACAAGTTCCATCAATGATTCCGTTTCCATCCGTTCGTATCTTTCTAGTTGATTGAGGATGGACTTTGGAATTGCGCAAATCTGTGTGTCGCATGGCCTAGTACCAGTCTCCCAGTCCCATTGAGTGAGAATGTGTTGCAACAGTAGTTCCTGCACATGGTGCCTCCAGCGTGCAAGGCCGAGACTGGAGATCCGAAAGCGTACTTTGGACATATTGGCAATACTCAGATTACTGCTAGATAGTACAGCAGATACTTTGGCACGATGTGTTTGACCCTGGAAATGAGATCGTGCACAATTTGAATGAAATTTACCAGTATCGCAAAGGCAACACCGGTAGTGGCCCGACTTTCCCACCTTTTGAAGGTGCTTTTTACGTGTATTCCATGCATAGATACCTGCCATGGCATCCCGATCCATATCTTGAGGTGCCACCTTTTGCCTGTGGCTGTGAAAGTGGGCCGAGAACTTAGTCTTATATTGACCGTATCGTGGACCAAACACGCTCCGTGGCAACTCTGAGGCCGCATATTATGCTGGCGTCAATCGATCGCATCCTTCGCCGCCGTGCTCTGAGGCTATACTGAATACTGGTATGTGTTGATCATTCTTCCGAATATGAGTTGATGACAGGATGTCAATTTACAGACTGCAGCTCGAGAAGAACCATCCATGCCAAATTCTGGTAACGTTATAATGGAATGCTCTCTCCACATCGTGTTTCTCGTGACTACCCCAACAACAAGGATTGTCCCCTTTCCAACTACAGATTCGAGTGTATCCTATTCTGAGATACAGTAATCATCGCGTTTGGAGGAGCCATTGTTTCGCAAGCAAGAACGGTACAGGCGGTGGCCATTTTGTCATTGGCTGCTTTGGCGGTTTGAAAAACCTTTACCGATGGTGTACTTTCACGTTTCGCGTTCTTGCTGACAACAGTGTTCTCGTAGTGAGAAAAAATGCGATTGAAATTGCATTCCGGCGAATGAATTTTCGTGCCTATTGACAAAAAGATCAATAAAGGGGCCTTCGCACACGGACAAAATGCTCTCCAGCGCTGTTAATTGGCCTGTGTTCTTCGATTTGGTTTCTGAGATGTATAGTGGTTCTTGAGACTTCCAGAACCGACTATATATAATGCAGTGAAGTTTGAACACTAATGTTCGTCGTCGCATCTCAATCAGAATAAATTGAATCTCGGGCGGTTCACAAACCACGATCGATTCACGGCTAGCAAAAAACAATCAATTCATACACAAACTCTTCACCTTTTATAGAACAATCACACGAGGTACCATCATGGACAATCTACTACTCGAATGCCGACAACAATATCCAGACAGTGAATTGGATGCATTGGAATGCATTGCCAATCACATCCAATCGGGGATGGATTCCTCGAAATCTCAAATAGAAACAATAGACTCAAGCCTAAAGGCCCTTTCTCTCATATTCACATCCATACTGATGTTCACCATGCAAGCTGGCTTTGCTATGCTATGTGCCGGCTCTGTACGAACAAAAAATGTACCCAATACGCTACTGAAAAACTTTTTGGATGCGTAAGTGCTAGTTGATGATGATGATAATTACTGCCCGCTTTTCTTGTTTCTGATACGTGTGTTCGTATTGACTATTACAATCGTTTATATATGTACAGTTGCGGGGCCGGAGTTGCATACTATGTTATTGGTTATGCCTTGGCCTTTGGTGATTCCCCTTCTGGAATCATTCAACAAGACGAAATCAATGGGGAACATACTCTCACATTTGCAGGAAGTGAACATTTCTTTCTCATTGATTTTGACAATTACGGCTTTTGGTTTTATCAATTTGCCTTTGCGGCTTGTTGTGCAACGATCGTGGCTGGAACTCTGGCGGAACGATCTCAAATGGTGGCTTACTTTGCCAACGCAATCATGTTGACAGGCTTTGTCTTTCCCGTGGTATGTCATGCAGTATGGTCCATTCACGGCTTTTTGAATCCTTTTCGAAAGAACCCATTGTTCGGAAGCGGCATGGTGGACATTGCAGGTACGTGCATATGCAGTCATACCATATGCCTATTGTAGGATTGGATTGTTTCAATTGACACATTTCTCACCTAAACTTTCCTACTCTCCTATCAGGAGCCGGAGTCGTTCATGTGACTGGTGGAATGACTGCTCTAATTGCTACAGTCATTCTGGGACCCCGAAAAGGTCGATTTCATGATGAGGATGGTAATTTCCTTAGGGCATCCAGACGAATGAAGGCTCATTCACCAAGTCTTCAAGTACTAGGAACCTTTCTGCTCTGGATTGGATGGTATGGATTCAATGTTGGAAGCGTTTACTTTCTCCCGACAGCGAAAGATATCTCCTCCGTTGCATCTCTGGCACTGGTGACAACCACACTTGGAGCCACGGGAGGAGCCATTACATCGCTAGGTGTCTCCGTTTGGTGGAACCAACGACAAACGGGAGAACCTGATTATGATATTGTCAATGCCTTGAATGGATGTCTGTCTGGATTGGTAGCAATCACCGCTGGAGCATCCATTGTGGAACCATGGGCAGCACTACTGATTGGCTCTTTTGCTGGAATCTTTTACTTGATAGGCTCGTCTTTGCTCACCAAGTTGCATATTGATGATGCTGTGGATGCTATACCAGTGCACCTGGTAAACGGTATTTGGGGAGTCATTGCCGTAGGCCTCTTTGCTTCTCCCAAGAGAGTCATGGCGGTACTTCAACGAGATGACCATGTTGGGTGGTTCTACTCTTGGGGAAGGAGCTCATCTGATGCTTCCTTGTTGGCAACGAACGTTCTTGGAGTCTTGTGCATAATACTCTTTGTGGTCGTCGTAATGACCCCATTCTTCATCATTCTACATTATGTTGGACTGTTCCGATCAGACGAACTGGAAGACATCATTGGCCTTCCTTTTACCAGTGAGTATGATGAGCAGCGCAAGCATGTCAAGCTACCCAATGGCAAAACCAGTGGAGAACCTCTTCGTCGTGCTTCCGAAAAACGAAGGTCGGGCTCTGAATTCTCTGTCTCAGCATTTGTAGAAACAGACGATTTGTCCAATCACGACGTCACCACTGTATCAACAAGAACATGGGAGAATTCATGTCGAACAGTGTAACATATACATAAAAGGAGACTTTATACTTTATTCTGTTTCCGTCATCATCTTTTGTCGACCTTTGACTTCGTATTTGCCATACTTCTTCCATCGCTCTCCGGTCTTGACGATTCTCTCCTTTGGCTCTGGTACTCGATGCCAAATGTTAAAATCGCTAACTTGTGTAGGCTCTCCAGATGAAGTCGTTCCGTCGGCTTGACCACCCAGGCCAACACTTCCGCATTGATAGATTGTTCCGTCAAGAGCGACGATCATGGAATGTACGTATCCACACTCCACGTCAACAGCCTTGACAACTTTGTCTCCTGATTTCATTTGAACTTGTCTTGGCATTGTTATGCGGTGGCTCTTAAGTCCAAGGCCAATTCGCCCTTGGTCAGTCTTTCCCCATGCATATACAGTTCCATTCGTGCTCACAGCCATACTCATATCGACACCAGCACTCATTTGTACGACCTTGATGTTTTGTTCATCGAAATACTTTATTCTCATTGGATACATTTGAGAATCGTTGTTTCCCAGTCCAAGACATCCAGTGATGCCAGCACCACACGAATACATCCCACCATGATCATCCAATAGTAGCGAATGTCTGTGCCCAGCGCTTGCACCAACAATCTTAATTCCTTCCAGTGAATCTACTGTCATAGGAATACATTGATCAGACGTATCCACAAGTCTACAATGGAGCAATTGGCAGCAAATTGGTCAGAGTCAATTCGAGCATCATTCATCATACACACAGCGTAGCTTACTTCAAGTTCGCGATCATTTCCAAGTGTTCCATAAGACTTTCAAAGCTTCGAGGATCATGTACCCGACCTCCATTGGGTATATCGTTGTTTGCTGCAGCGGCAGCAGCAGCCGGAGCTTGATCATTGCCCCGGGCTTGGCCTTCCAAGTCCTCTTCCTCTACACCAAGCGCCGCCAACGCTCCATTAGGTTCGTGATCAAACGGTGTGTAGGAACGTCCCAATACACCAAAATGTCCGAGACCCCATGTGAAGACGTCTCCATCCTCGGTCACTGCGATTGTATGCCTAGCTCCGCAGCTCACCTGGGAAACAACCTCATCATCAAGGCCTCCTTTCGTCACTTGAACAGGAGCTGGCTGTGGTGATTTATCGCCATGACCCAATTGTCCACAGAATCCGTCTCCCCAAGTATATACATCACCATCCGCAGTAGTAGCTGCACTATGGAGCTCTCCAGCGGAAACACTGGTACACCGAATACCCGCCAATGCTTCAATGTACCTTGGGCGTAACGCATCTGGAAGCTGTTTTCCGGCAGAGAATCCATGGCCAAGTGCTCCATATTGGCCGGTACCAAAGGACATGACTCTACCAGTAGATGTCAAGAGGAGAGAGTGGGCCACACGAACTAGACCTCCTCCAGCACTGACTTGAACGATTCGAATTCCGTATCCAATGCCTCCTAGAAGCATCCGTGGGTTTGGCTCATCTTCTCGCTTCCCGTGCCCCAATTGACCTCTATTGTGTAGATTATTAGAAAAAAGAGGGCTCTTTCTTCTTAAGGAACCAAAAGCACTCACCTTTTCCCAACACCCCATGAAGCGCAACCAGAGCCGCCTGCCCCTGACGTTGATCCTCCACCAACACGACACAAACTATGTTCGGGCGAGACAGAGATAAATCGCCCATTCACAAAAGGAGGCAATCGAGCTGGATCTCGCCCACCAAAGTTCTGTGTCGCATAACCATTGACAGCTTCTTCTAAGAATCGAGCATACGACACGAATTCACTGGTGAAATTCTTGCCAGCCTTGCCCTTGGCTCGGATTCGTTGTGTGTCACCACCGCCATAGGACTGTTCCAAAATTGACCGCGCTTCATTTTGATTCAAACACATGGCAATGGATTTGTAGAATCCGATGGACTTGGTGCTTGGACTATTCAATCGATCCATGATGAAATGAACACGGGCGTCCACCAAAAGTTGACTAAATCGACGTCCTGTTAGAGCAAGAGCCCCAATGCAGCGAGACGGAAGGAAACATATTATGTGGCTGAGAGTATCATCCGAAAGCCCAAAAATGTAGCATTCTCCTTTTGGTTCATCATTGGAAGACCCTTGTTTTTCCTGTCCTTTCGTTGTTTTTTGGTGGTCGTTGCCACTCTGTGCAGCCTTTTCTTTATCCTTCTTCTCCTTGGCAAGGCGACGAGCCTCGCGTTTCTCTTCAAGAGCCTGTTTTCGTGCTAGTTTCTCAGCTGCTGTTCTAGCTGGCATTTTGTCAAGTTAAATTGTAGAGTTGCTTTGCTTTTGGGTGATTTTCTTGGTCGTCGTGAATTCTTGACGGATGACGAATCGTTCTCAGTCGCGCGTGTTCAGTCACGGGTTACAAATATAGGATACAGGAAGGTCTGTCTATTCTTGCTAGACTACCGGTACCTGTATATGCATGATACAATTTAATAAGTTTTAAACTAATGAACAAATTCGATATCAGGTCGAACTTTCTTCAGCGTGGTAATATTCTTTTGTGTGAGGTGGCTTCGGAACCATCTCAATGTAGGTGTTGCTCGAACAAACATCATCATGCTTTCCTGTGTAAGGAGTGAGAATTGGCCGTCTTCACGAAAGACTTGTGTGCCCTTCAGACTGACTTTTTTTAAGCTGTTGTTGCTTTCCGCGAGAAACCTCCACAGTCGGTCTACGTCCAAATCCCAACAGAAAATCATCCTAGAACCATCCAAATAGAGCTCTGTAATGTTTTGAAAAGCTCTCATGTAGCTTGTGGCCTGATCACTGATTGGCCAAATGATCGACTTCTCCCATCTGATGACTCTCAGAGACTTGTTTCCTTCGGCAATCAACGATATCCCTAGAACCGTCAAAGGAAGGGAATTCAGGGTAATCTGCTGCAAGTTTGGAAACAAGAGTGAAAGTATCAAACCCTGCGCCAGCCCCTTTTCCAGATTTTCTGCATATTCCAGCATTCTACTTGATTCCATAATAGAGCAATCAAGACTCTGCACTTGCTTCATTGGTGACATGTTTTGGATAAAGACTTCATTGATGGGTTCAATCTTGGCGGACAAATGTGGGAGGTGTTTCAGCCGGAGATGCGTCAGATTCCCTTGGAATTTGTCCGCCCACTTGTTTTCATTGACCTTTTCGATGAACTCAATAGTATCGGATGCTCCCTGTCCCAAAACAATGGTTCCGGATCTAGTCTGATCCAGCGAATTATGACATCGTTCATGGTGGCACCCTTTGGACGTCAGAGCAAAGGTGTTCAGTTCTTCCGGGGATAGAAATTGCAGAGCGTTCACAAGGCAATCATGCTCTCGCAGTATTGTCAAGCAAGAAATATCCTCTTTCACCCAATCGTTCGCGGCTCTGTCTGTGTCTGCTGCCATCCTTGAGTCTCGGCACTGTTGACAACGACTCTTTACAGTTAGTTTTGAGCAGAAACATTTCATGTCACCCAAATTCGAATTCTCACCGCAAATCATCGGGCGACGACAAGACGTCATTGGCAGTCTGTCCTCCAGCAGGTGGATCGTCATACCCACTCATCGATCAAAACACATCATTTCTTTGGATCTTCTCTGAAATTGAGGAACGATGGCATTCCTCCAATTTTACTGCACATCATGACCTCCAATCCTAGCAGACGGTTGACAGTAAGTCTTCTTCTTTTCTGCATCGCAACACTTGCGATTGCAGGACAAGGACATGGGTCCGTGGTCGGTGCACAATCTGTACCATCATCACCAGGAGGTTACTATCAAGCCAATCATGACGATGAAACTTCCTCCTCCTCCTCCTCCTGTCAAGATCCATTGTTGGTTCGAGGCGGAGACAGTGCCTTTGAATCCAAAATCAGCGACTTTTTATCGCAAAAGGATGTCAGCATGGAAAAGTTTCATGTCCACGGATGGAGGTGGCATACCATGTCGCTCGTCCGAGAAGCTGGACGTCTCAAGAAGCTTGCACAACGATCTTCCTCCAAGGATGGTTGTCGTCCAATCAAGCAGGCTGTTGACTACGTTGTTGGGTTCAACATGAAAGGCCTCCACAAGATCGAAGCCGATTTGTTCTTTCCTTGGATGCGAAAGAAGCTGACGTCTGTGGACCAAAAGGATCTTGCACAAGCCTTTGGATCTGTCATGGATCAACTGGAACGGGATCGCAAAAGAGTGGCCAAGTTGGGAGAATCTATTGTAAGTTGAAGCAAGATGATACTGAGACAATAACTGCAATTGCCTCCCTCAATGAATTCTCACCAAACAATCTCTTGTTTTGCATTACAGCAACAACAAGTTAGCTTGCTCTGTGACGAATCCAAAGCACTGACACTGCGTGCAGATGCTGTCATCAGCATTGCCCGAGATGCTGCTGAACTGGAGACTGTTGCCCGTACCATGATGGAAACTGAAAACACTCTGTTGGTTCCATCAGTGGCTGAAGTAGTTCCAGAAGGTGAACAAAAGTCGTTTAATAACAAAGTACTTCGCAATCTAGGGATTCTCGATTCGCGTCTGCATCTGGTTGGCATGCATGAAGCCGTGTGGGAATCCAACATTACCAAGGAGAAGGAAATGTTCAAGAAAGCCATTCCATCTATCCCACAAGGATTGATCCCACGTTGGAAGCGAAACCTGTACATTCCCAAAACAAACGTTTTGGATGATGTATGAAGCAAGAAACTAAAAAGGTGAGTCTCGTTCTATTGCAAAAGGAAAACAAAAGACAACCACTTTGAGCTCGGCCTGCGCTCGTACTTTCACAGTTCCGTACGATTGATAGCAGTGTCACTTGCATTACTCGCGCTGACCGTCTCGCCTACGGGCATTCGGACTTTCTGAGGTATAAGCGATTGCTAAAAGCTCTAGATTACGTGACGGGTGTTGACCAAGCTTGTTCGGGTCCGTCCTGACGCTCGTCCACCTTTGTCGAAGCTACATTCCCAATCCTTGGCGAGCGCCCTGGTGCTATTACGTGTTGGGATATAACCGTAGCATGTACATTCCAATTTCTCACATTGAATCGATGGATTGTGTCACTCACTTTTTGTTCGCTTCTTATTGTGATTCTTTTGCAGAGTAACCTGGTACTGTTTTATTCCACAGAAGGTCCGAAAATAGAAAGAATATTATAGAAATACAATGATACTAATATATTAGTTAGTCTCTGTTTGTTGCTTCCCTGCTTGTTTCTGCATTCTGAACTCAGGTGTTTGCGTTTCTACTCTTCCATTGCTTGAACTTCAGAGTCTCCGTCTTCCCCGTCATCTCCATCGCCGTCACCATCACCATCATTATCCCCATCATCACCATCCCCATGAGTTGTATCGTCCTCTCGTTCTTCATCTGTTGCATCAGCGTCATCCGCCATTTCTGTGTCTGGTGCAGCCTCTTTGCTCTTGACCGATGCGGGAGTTGACACTTTGGCCTCCTCATCTTCGGCGGCTTCCTTCTTGGCGGCTGCCTTGGCAACCTTTTTCGATTTTTCTGCCTCCCTGTATTTCTCCAAGAATTTCTGGAGATCCCCAGACATTTCATCGAATTCAAGTTCCTACAGGTAGGAAAGGTAGGATAGGTATGATCGTATAACAATAATAGCATCAAATATACAGAAGTGAGGCGATACGTATGAAGGGGAGAGAGGTGTCAGGGTCTGAGAAATGAACTACCCAATGTGCAATCGTCCAAACACAATTTTTCAACGAACCTTAACGGCAGCCAACACATCGTTTGCTGTAATTGTTTGGCGTCTATTTTCTCTTGCAAAATCATTCGCGCAAGCTGTCAGATAGATGATAAAGATCCCCGTTGATCGTGCAAAGGCAGCTGAAGCATCTTTTCCAACATTGGTAGAACCAGGTAGACTGTTTTTGAGGATACGTCTCACGCAGGCTAGTGGTGGTTCAAACTCCACAGCCGAAGGTGGACCTTGTTTGGTAGCTTCTGCACTAGATGCTTTGGTTCCGGGAGTGGATGTCATTGTGAGTATGTGATATGGGACTGGGACTACAGTGCAACTTCATCATTGTCAACATCGTCACGATTTTACATCGGATACCGATACCACGGACAGGCGGCAACACGCGCCATTTCAGATCATTTCACATTTTGCCAGCTCACAGAATATTGATTCATTTCATTTCATTTCATTTCATTTCATCTCTTCCTTCCAGACCGAAGGAGGAAACGCATAGCATACACCAGAAGGAAAAAATGAGGAAAGCCTACCAAATAGTCTTCGTCATTCTATACTACGTTGCTTCAGTGTCTCCGTGCACTGCTTTTGTGACACAACCTAGCCGCCACATCAATTCAGGAGCGAGGAGGACCCAACAACAACGCCAGTCACCACGACCAGTAACAGATGATTCTTTATTCTCTACAATAATTCTCAAGGCCGCTGACAAAGAGGAGGATCAAGTGGTGGAAGTTGGCTCAAAAGAGTACCTGGAAGGCTTCATCTCATCGCCAATCCAAGATGAATCGGTGGCCGAACGGGGATCCGGACTGGAACAAGCTCTAAAGCTTGGTGGCTTTTTCACAATCGGTTTGGCAGTTCTCTTCTTGGGTTTCATGGCAAGCAACGGTCTACTCTAAGGTGCATCATGCTATACAAGGCCAACGGTAGAGGTGCCATAATCATATCCAATCAACAAGAAATAGATATTTGGAAACACATTGAAACTGTAGTATTTTAAGATAACAAATTTATATTCTTTGACCACCAATGTAGATGATCCTTCGACTCTGAACAAAACCATAAAGCTTGTTGCCCCAGAAAGCTTGACTCAAGATTAGTCAAGGTTAGCTTTGAGATTGGGGCCAAGTGAATTCAGCTTGTTGGCGGCAACCACAGTCTTTACGGCTGCCTTGAATTTACGCTTGGCATTGTACTTCTTCAATTGGTCAAGATTGGCTCCAAGATTTTGTCCTGCCAATTTCGATGCATCCGCTCCAATCCATGAGTTTTTCATTGCTCCGTTGGCATCGTATCTCTTAGATGGGCTGACTGTTAACAGCTGGCGAATCAAATTCTTTGCATCATCGGAAACCTGTCCCCAGTATTCTTCGTGGAATTCATACTGCCCCTTTCGAATCTTTCGGAAAAGTTCTCTTTGGTTCTGTTCAATGAATGGTGGGTAACCTCCCAATAGAATGTATACGATAACTCCGAGCGACCACATATCAGCCTGAGTGTCATAAGACTTGCCCTCCAAAATCTCTGGAGCGACATAACCGGGTGTACCGCATTGTGTTGTCAGTGAATTGGGTTCCTTAACCTTCTTGGCGAAACCAAAGTCAGCAATCTTAATATTGGAGTCATCAGATTCACTCTGTAAAACAAGAAAAACCAATGCTGAAGGTTAGTGACAGTTACCAAGTGAAGTGTTTCAACCAAAGCCAGCAGGAGCTCATTTCAATCAACTTACCGCCAGCAACAAGTTCTCTGGTTTCAAATCGCGATGCGCAACATTGTGATCATGGCAGTATTTCATGGCATCGAATAGGATTAAGCAAACATCTCGGGCTTCCTTTTCATTGTAATAACTCTTTTGGACGATTCTATCAAACAATTCTCCTCCCATCATTTTCTCTGTGACTAGGTAGTAGTATTGTGGCTCTTCGAAAACATCGTACAGTCGGATAATGTGCTTGTGTTTCAATTCTTCTAGCACTTGGATTTCGTCCTTCAAGGCAACTTCATCCTCCTTGGAAAGCTTTGCCTTTGTAACGATCTTAATGGCAAATGATTCCTTAGATTGCGTGTGAGAGCCTTCCTTTACAGTCGAGAAAGCACCTTCTCCAAGCTACGATAATATAATGTAGAATACGTCATGGATTTGGCAACGTGAGAAACCTACAAATGGCAATGTAGCAGTGGCATGTCAACAGCTGCCAATACTGTACGCACCTGTTTTCCAATCTTGTAAAGTTCACCAAAGCTCTTTCCGCTCTTGGAATCTTCAACGGTTGCCTTCTTTGCGGAAGCAGACGCCTTCTTTGGGGCCTTCTTTTCGCTGGCTGGCTTTGCAGCGTCCTATGATGGCAATTTCCGAAACAAAATGTGAGATTCAATCCATCACGTGACACAATCGCCGATTCCAAGGTTGTCCAAACCAGCGAATAAAAATCTACATACAGCTGGTGGTGCAGTCTCCGTTGCGTCTCCACTTGATAGACAGTTTCCCATTGTGTTATTCTTTTTTAATAGTGGCTTGTTGTAGGTATAGGTCTCTACTGATATGGCTTCCAGATACGCAACAGCAAAGGCAATATATTGATGATCAGCAGCTGGTGAAAGCAAGATCCGCAGAGTCACGCTCAAACGGAAGACAGACACTTATGCCAGTAGGATCCACGAGTATCTTGGTACTAGGCGAACTTTCAAATCGTTGACCAAATTTTTCGCCACTACTCGACTGGGTCGACAAAATTGATTGAATGGCGAAAAAATAAGCTCCCCAATTTATTTGTGGGAACAAGTTGGATCTCCCCCTGTTGATCGGTACTAGATATCGTAGTATATCGTAGTATCGTATTGTAATGCCGTAGGTTTGACCATCGGATCGTGCAGTACCTACCTACGCTATGCTGTATCCTTTTGATGGGTCGCAAGATCTTCCAAGGCAGAATGCGTGGGTGCTATCGCAAATGGAAATGTTACAAAGGTTATGGCTGGAAGTAGTTTTCTCGTTCAAATTCACAATCTCCTTGATGCAGATAGCAGTAGACATTTTCCCCAGTTCTTGGGTCTTCCAGAAAGACCATGATCAGTGCTGCAAATGTCAAAAATGGGAACAATAGCTGAATCATATGCGAAGTCCAGCTCAAAAAGGCATGAACGAGACGGGTAAAAAAGAACCTCCAGGTACGCCAATGTCTGGTGGGGCCAAAGTCTCTTCCTCGGAACCCTCGAAACGCAAGAACATCAAACACACCGCGCCAAAAACGTCGGCCTCTACTCACACCAAGCGCATCCCATAGCCGATCTTCGGAAAGAACAGTAAGTCTCGTATCAAGCTCATCAAATACTATTTTTGTGCCAGCTTCGTAATCGTCTGGAACGAGGGTAGGAGTTTCGAAAAGGAACCTGCAAACGATAGCGGGCAATCAAAAGGAAGAGTGTTTTTAGAAATCATTGCATGGAAGGCATCGGGTACGTTCTCTCCTGGACACACTTACAAAAGCTTTTCCCATTGAGTCCAAGCTCGAAGCTTGGCGTGTCTCTCAAACATGGGACTATCCGAAGCAAAGAAACCTGAGAAATAGACCCGTGGTTTTGTTTCGTCAATGCGCTTAACAGAAGTCTTGCTGTCCATACTTCGCAGTTGGGTAACTCTTTCTTCCATAACCAATAGTTGAATAGTCTCATCGGGTTCATTGGTTCCCAAAAATGCGGGACCATCCGGAATCTTGGCATCCTCGCATCGTTTCATGAGTCCTTTCATCTCGCTCTTAGTCATGGAGCTCTCCTTGAAAACCTTTTCCATGTAGGTGTCTCTTGTGTGCGAGTTCTCTTGTTGGACCGTTTGCTGCAGAATCAACCCGACTAGTCCAGCCTTTAGAAAGCGACTTCCTCGATCAAACCAAATCGAGTTTGCCAGTTCTTCGTCCAGATCAAAGAGAAACTCAAAGAAAATGACGGATCCCAGAATCTCAAATGGGTCGGTAACATTGAATAGAATCCACATGTTGAAGAGATACAAGTAGCAAATGTAGCCCGTATTCATGAATTGATCAAAAGTGAACCCCAGACTTTGTGCGAAACTATCATTTCCATTGTCCCATACATTTTTTCGGAGACTTTGAATCTTGGAGTAGACTTCTTCTGAGATGCCCACTACTCGTCGAAAGTTGGCCCATACATCTGATTGAAAGAAGCAAACAAACAAAAAGGGTTAGGGAACCATAGCATGGGTCATGGGTATTGCAGTACCTATACGAGCAAACACGACGGAAAAGCATATCTCTGTTCGTACCTCGCGACACCTTGAACAAATAGTACGCCAGAACGGCAAAGAGCATTTCTCTCGTTCCAACAGCAATTTTCTCATCTTCGTTCAAACTATTGTAGTAAGAAAACAAAAAGATTGGCATGCACAACTGAAGCAGAAACACAACGAATCCATCCAAGAATCCAGATCCGAGCAAGGAAACGTAGGTAAAGATACTGACTCCAGCATCTTCGATATCCCAACGATCATCCTTGTTGGAAATCACATCCTCCATGAGATCAAAAGGCGCCATAATATGACGCAGTAGTTGTTCTTGACCGGATTCCCCCACTCGATCAAAGAGATCCCGAAAAGTTTGATTGCGATCGTCCATGAACCAAACATTCCAGAGTTCCTTGACGTATCCAGATATATCAAAGAATTCAAAGTCTGTATTGAGGCCTTTGCAGAAAGAAAGCTTATTTTCCAATCGCAGACAAGCCCATTCTTGCCAGATCCAGGGACCATAGCCAAAGATGCGAACCAAGGCTTCCTTGGGCCATCGTATTTCATCTTCTTTCAGTTCGTGATCGACTGCCGTTTCGTAAATATAAATTGGAGTTTCACCATCGAGATCGTAGGTTTTGAGAACATTTTTAATTTGTTCCAACCGCCAAATCATGGAAGGCCCGAGCACTTCGACGTATTCCCCAATGTCGTACAAGTGATGCTTGTGCTTCCGGTCCACCAAAGTATCTTCTACCAATTCCAAGATAGAAAAGTTCCGTTCGTCCCCTCCTTGGGCAGCTCCCTTATTTTGTATTCTTGCTAGCAGTACAAGACATTCGTGCAAATCTTCGGCATCATACGGAACGCTGTCCACAGACGAAATGTCCACCTGCTTTTGTTCGAGTGTATGAAACAACTTGGCAATGACTGCCTTTGGAATGAAGGTAGGATTACGACCTCCGGCTCGTTTCCATTCCTTGATAAAGTACGACAAAGCTGTGTAGGTAGAAGTACAATCTATATTGTCTAGATCGACATTGTAGATGGTATCTTCGGATACGGGTGGCATTTGTGGGGCAAAGCTAATCGCAGTGGATTCGGAGGGCATGTGCGGCCCCTCTGCCGTTATAGCACTGCGATTTGGCATGGTTGATCTATGACGCTATGCAAGTTGGTCTTTCAGAAGTGATTCAATCGATGCAGTACTGTAGAGAATTGGTGAGGGAGGAGTGAGTCGTCTTGTCATCCGAGTGAGTAGGTACGATGGGGAGGGTGATGAGTCTTGGATTTCGATTTCGACTTCTGGCCCGACTCGTGACTCGCGAAATTTGATTGTCGCTCGTCCTTCGGTCGATAAAGACTTTTCTAAAGATTTCACATTGAGAAAAGGATCAGAAAAAACAGTAACCTGTATCATAGCATTGGAAGACAATGATATACTCATAATAGCATAGATGGAGGTATTCATCTATAATAGACAAACAGGGTTGTATCATGACACACAGCGTCTCATTGTCCAAGCACCAGTCACGACGCTTCCAAACACCTTCTGAAAGGATTTGGGCGTCTAGCGAGTTGTCTTCGTGAGCGACACCTGTCACGAAAATTGGAAATTACGCATTTGAGTACTGTTCATTTTCGACTTTTCTCGACTTGCCTTACAGTTTGAAATCCATATATGAGATGGAGCTTTCGCACAGTGCCGGTTACTTGCTGATGTCTTTCTGCCTCATGGAAGTGGAAGGTTTCCATTTCATGGTTCTCTGTTGTCGAGCATCGAGATTCCATCAACTGTCGAGGTTATCGATATCGAGGAAGGCTCATTTGAAGATTGCGAGGTATTGGCTTTAGTGATTGAAAGTTATAGGCAAGTACCCGTTTCATAGGTGCACAGTGTTGTCCGCATTGAATATTCCATCCACGGTACATACAGTTGAAGGTGCTTTCTGGACTGGTGAAATGTGAATTGCCAATGACCTGGAACAATATTGAGCAAGGTGCTTTCGACGCGACCTGCTCTTTGACTAGAACCAAGAAGAATCCACTACCCATCCTAGGTGGTCCCAATGGTGAACGAAAAGACTACAAGGATATTCTTTTTGACATGTACGGCATGACTCTTTTCCATATTCTTCTTTCCGCTGCAACACCTCGCAAAGACCAGCTGTCCGTCCTCTTGGAAGCTCTTCCACAATGTGTCCTTGGATGGCCAAAAAAAAAAGAGGTTCATGCATTCGACTACTTGAGTGCAAGGTGGTTTCCAGAATCAAAAGGAATGATGGAAATGGCACTCCAAAGATGGATGATTGATTGGGTATCGCATTTGGGTATTCGAAGCTGACAGGCAGCAGAGTAGAGGGAGTTCTGAATGAAAAGTACAAGGCGAAAAGGGATCATTTATTGCGGGTTGCTCATGAACAGGTGGCAAACTATCTATGAACGAAACGGAATGGTTTCGCTACTGGAAATATCGCTATGGAAGCTGAACCTAGCTGGTGCACGGATTGGACCCAAGCCTCTAGCCTTTGATCTAGCGAGTGGTAGGGCTCGATGCGGAGCTTCTCCCATCAGTGCTTTCTTGTCTGGGCGACAAATATCGCTGCATTGCGACACAATTAGCAAAACTTTGCATGTCAAGATACGGTTTGAAATAAAGTGACAGAAAAGACACTTAATATAATGCATAGTGGCGCCTAAGTGATGATTATAGATGGGGTCCCATAATCCCCGCGGTGTCATTGTAGTGGCTGCCGAAATGATTCGCTTAGTTTGCGGAACCAGCAAGATTTCTATTGGAACGTTTCTTCTTCCAGTCAGCAAGCCCTTGCATTGCAGAATCCTTCTCGTGCGCAGCAGCTGCCAAGGATCTCCACTTTTGCGGTCCTTGGTTACGTTGAACTTGCAAGTTTGCTGGAAGAGTAACCAGCTTTTGTTTCGAAGGATTCACAGAATTTGGTGCGTGTCGGAAAGGTCGGTATGTCTGATTCTCCTTCCCGATGATTGATGACATGGTAGTGCTGTCACTGGTGGACAAAAGAGAGAACCGATTGTTGTCGAAAACTTGTTTCTTCACTTGGCTAAGTCCAGATCCACTCGTTGAGTATGAACTTTCACTCGCACGTGGTTGGATCGACCGCCTGGTTTGGAGGACAGTTGATGCCGCAGTCGATGCTCGAGTATCATCATCATCATCAGCGTCATCTTCATACTCTAATTCTTCGTCTGTGTGAGAAGGTGAAAACTCGTCGTGTGGGTAGAGGTTGAAAATAGACTTGGTATCGAGCTTCTTCTCTTCCATGTAAATCGATGACTGGCATGAAGAAAGATCGTCCTCGCCGTACTCAGGAACCTTGTTGAATTTGACTCCACCAACCAAATTGAGTTTTTCGAGATCAACTTTCGTTGGAGCATACCCGTTGAGCTTTTGGGTGCGGACATAGCTTGTATTCACAACCTGGAATCGTCTTGGGTTGGAAGTCTTCTTAGCATGGTTCAGCTTCTTCTTGAACCTTCGGTTTTCAATGACTTTGCGATCAATTGACTCGATTCTGGCGGTCACGACACCGCCAGCACCTTTTCTCTTTGTTTTGATTGCCTTTGGACTCTTGATTGGCCGCTCCTTGATGGCTCCAAAGCTTGACCTGTTGCCAAATCGGTTCGCTGGAGATTGACTGGGCTTGAAAGCTGTGGGCTTGTTCTGGTTGTCACTGTTGCCGCCGAAAGACCAACGAGGTTCGGTGTCAAACGACATTGTCTCCCGTAGTCCCTCTTCCTGAAGTTGCTCTTCAGGAATGACAGCGACTTCTTCATCTCTCGATTGAGTTTTGCTTGGCTTCAAGAACTCAGCGAATTGATCATCATTGACTTCTTGGCTTTCCCATTTCTCCTTGGCAGCTTGGTAGCGAACAAAGGGGGATTTCGTTACCTGCGAAGTATCCATTCCCTTCACGTAAGGTGTAACTCTCGACTTTCCATCCGCAGTAGTGTACGCCCAACGAACATTACCTTCTTCTGGTGAGTTGAAGTCTCCTTCCTCGGGAATAGAGTTTTCGAAGCTGACGCGCGTTTCACGGGATGTGTCCTTCACAGAAAGATCAGCGAAATCAGAGAGGTCAGACATCTTGGTTTCAATTGTAGGAATAGTTACGGTGGTCGGCTGTGCGGACTTCGTGAAGTGAACGATGGGATCCGACTTCATGTACTCGTAATTAGAATCAGTAGCGTAAGCACTGGAAGCCTTTGATGGGACGGCTGCTGCCTTTGCGGATCGGTTTGTGAGACGGCTTCTGGCCCCTGCGGTTGAAATGGAGCCAACAGCACTTTCACGGTCAGAACGGGTCTTTCGGATGTCTCGCTGTGGGCCGTAGTCAGTAAAGAGGAAATCCCCGTTGTGAACCGCTTGCTCGGAAAGCAACACCTTTACAGCCGCTGGCGATTTCCCTTGTGAGTCGATGGAGAGCATCGAAGGGCTAAGTAGAGCGAGCTGGTTTGGGTTTCCACCAAGGCCTGTTTGAATGTCAAGGCGGGAGTTGCCTTCAAGTTGACTTGGAGCAGACTCAGTCACCTTGATTTGGTATGGGTCAAAGCTGGAGGCTGTGGCATCATCTGCAGAAAGGGCTGGAAGAACAGGGCGGAAAAGAGATTCCAACTTGCTGACATTGTTTTCCCGAGTGTAGCTGGATCTGCTTGATCTACTGGATCTGCTTCCACTGGAAGTTCTTGGTTGTCTTCCAAGCTTTGCAACCTGCATCAAAGGCTCTCCTGGAATACGGAATGCTGATTGAACATTATCAACTTTCTTTTGTCGAGCACCATACGACATAGGAGATGACTCGTCTTCGGAGCGCTCGTTATTGCTGGAAATTGTTGGATCCCGACTTTGTCTTCGATGTAGTACCTCGTAGTTTTCATTCGACAGCAGGCCGACGTGTGACTTGTTTTCGGCCAAGTTGGATCCACTCTCGCTACTCTGTTTGGAAGATGTGCTCTTTCTGGACTGTGAAGACTTCTTGCTGTGTTGGGATTTGTCAAGTTGGCTCATCGAGTCTTCGCCCTCCTTAATGATAGTGTCAAAGAGATGGGTTGCATCTCTTTGGAAACCATCGTCGAGCATTGGCGCGACATCGCGAACAGCTGAATTCTGTACATATGGCGAAGCATGGACTTCGCCATTTGGGCCACCGCTGAGTCTATCGAAGTAGACATCCTCCTGGTGAAGTGCAATTTCAGTAGCACTGAAGTTTTCTTTTGGAGCGGGTTTGCTGTTCTGAGAAGAAGAATTGTTGCTCGCTTCTTCTTCAATGTTAGAAAGCTTTTGCTTGATGACAAGCTCTTGACTCTTTGTTTGCTTTGCTCGTCTGATCTTGTTGATATCAATCGGTTGTAGGTTCACAGCTTCATTTCGATTAGCTCGAGCGTCGTTTTCACTGACAAAGCACCCGGCCATGACTTTCTTGGACTTCTTAATCATTTTCTTAAAGCCTTTCTTGTTTTCTTTGCCGTTCTTTCCGTTGAAGTGTCGGGATCTGCGCTCGGTGTCTTTTTTGGGGAAATAGAAGGCACTTGGTGCTGGAATATCAGAGTTAGGGTTGGACGAAGCGAGTGCTCTGGTGACTGTCTTTGAGACCCTTCTGTTTGGATCTGTAATATTGGCTTCACTTCGAGGAACGCCATTGTAAACTCGATTGATTTCCGATGGATTGGAAATATCGGACATCGGTGAAATGATGCGGAATTGGTCTCCATCTTTGGCCCAGTCTTCTGGGGGTTGCAATGGTTTGGAAGTTTCGCTTCCCATGATGAAAGTTCAGTTGCAGATATTGATGAAGACCTCTAGCAGCACGGATAGCCAGGGGCGTTTGGTTTGTGTATGGCTGAGAGGGAGATTTTACTCTGGTTTTGTGATCCGTTTTTGGATATTGCGAGCGACCGTTGTTGATGGGATATTGTGATGCGATAAATTTACGCCAAACGTTCAACTGGCTTGTGCGCAAGACTCCTTTAGTCGTGAGTTAGTCCATTGAATCGAATATCCTCATCGATTTCCATCCAATAGAACAGCAAAATGATGTCGAAAGATAGTGCTGACAATCCCATACCTACAGTCCTCCACAAGAGAAACCATCAGTTTCAAGGCCGCGAAAGTGAAAGTTGCTATTGCTTCAGTTGAGGATTTTCTTCAATGATTCTATGGACCCGTCGGGAGGCTGCCTTGGCCATTGGAGCCCTGGTCTCATTTTCTGGATCCAATGACGTACTTTTGCAAGTCGAGACCGAAAAGACTGCCCTCCTTCTGGGTGGATTTTTGCTTCCATCAACTGCTTATGAAGCCTTCCAAGAGCCCCTAGCCAAGCTTGGATATTCTGTCGATATCCTTGCCTACAATGAACTTCTCCAAAAGAACGATGCTTCATCTTCAGAGCATATACCGATTGAAGCTCTTTCCAAATCGCCGAGTCTTTTGCTAGGACACTCCAAAGGAGCCAAAACTATCGCAGAATGGATGCCCTATTGGACAACTGAGAGCTCAATAAATTCAAAAAGCCACAACACCAAGCCCACCTCGGCTCGTCACGATTCGGTCCCAGCGGTAGTTTTGATTGAACCGGTAGATGTGGTTCCGCCTGGTGCTCCATCCTACAGCGTTCTGGAAGAGGATTGGTCCTCAAACCTGAGATCTATTAGTCAGATTCCAACCCTAATTGTGGCTGCATCCTATACACATACTAGCTCCAGGTACGGAAAGGCCAAGAACCTTTGCGCTCCGCCTGGCCGGGATGCCAGGGCATTTTACGAAATGGCCATGGAGGCCCGAGTGCGATACCCCAAAGCTGCAGCTCCTTTGAAGTATGTCGAATTCGAAACCTTGGGTCATAACGACGTCGTAGTTACTTCCAGTCAATCAGCATCCATTGGAGGATGTGGCAATGGACCGGATCGAGCCAAAGGGGCGCAGCGTGTCACGGAATGTATTGTCGATTGGCTAACCCACCTTGATGCTGCGGATATTTGAAAGGTGCCAATGAGAATGGTGCATCGCTTTGAAGGATGGATTGAAATAGTAGCTTCAAGGGCTGAGGTCAAAGGTACGTCCGGCAAGTTGCGCTGGTACACTGAAATCAGATTACAATCCTGTTATCAACTACATCGCGCGTCAGTGCTGATTTTGCTGATTTTGCTGCTGCTGCTGCTTCATGAGAAACGAAGGAGAACTCGGTAACAATCTTGCAAGATAGAAGGCAAAGATCTCGCTTTCAGTTTCACAGGTCGGAATAAAATCTGATTCTGAAACACAGGTTCTCTCTTCTGACTGAACATCTATGTAAAGATTCATTGACTGTTACCATAACCCACTTATAATTCACTTTTATGGACACCATCGCCGTTCGAAAAAGGCAACGAGGGTAGCGCTGACTATACCACTGAGCGGTCCAATCATTCTGTTGACTGTTTGCTGACGAGCTGCTACCATTTGATCGCAACCAATCAAAAAATTGTTCTTTTACTTCTAAGTTTTCTTTCCCTCATCGTGTAAGAGCAATGATAATGCCAATGATTCCTCCAATCACAACGACAAAGACGCCCAAACCAATCATCCGTTGTTTTTGCCTTTTTTGTTTTCGTTCCAGTTTAGCCATTAGTGTCAAAGTTTCAATGTCCATTCTAGACTTTCTCACGGTCATTTCCCGTTTCAGGGCAGCAAGTTCTGAAGAACCATCACTGCTACTGGAGCTTGATGCAGATCCGAAAGATGCACGTTTTGTTTTTTCCTCCTCTTGAGAATTGCCCGTTTCAATATCCTTGGAGTCTGCTTGTTTCTTGTCAGCCAGTGGTTGCTCATATGCCTTGTATTTCTTTTCTTCCTCTTCTTCCTCTTTCTTGTGATCTTCTTGTTCCTTGGAATCTTCTTCTACAGTCTGTACCCAAACCTTTTCGCTTGAATGAGATGCAGGTGAAAAGTGTCCATTTACAGCAGCGTCCGTACTTGCCGTGGTCTCGTTTGTGGGAGGCGGTGGAGTAGCAGCAGTCCCTTCCTCTGTAGGTTTCTCGCCCTCTGACATTATGAATGATATGAATTGATGAGCTGTGGGGTTGGTGGATTCCTTTCACAGGATGTTGAATGGGTGGAACTCTTGATGATATCAGAACAGCAGGACTTCGAGTTCTCAACAAAAAGACCGCGCTTGCATTTGACATGAGATGAGGTCATTCATGGAGTCGAAGTAGTCCTCAACCGGAAAATGAAGGCGGAATTTCGAAACACGCTGAAGAATGAAACCCCCACTGAATCCAAACTATGCTTTCTTTCCTCTACGAAGACAGCACGTTGCCCTTTTCTCAAACGGATGAGGAGGACACACAATGTTCACCTGCATAGTTTCTGCAGAGAGTAATCCTTTCCTTTCCATCCAATTTGCTTCTTAGTATTTGACGACGATCATTATGAAGAATGGTGAGAAAGCAGAAACAACTATAAAGTTCAATGTTGGAGGAAAGCTATATGAGGTTTCCAAGTCCTTGTTGCAGCGTTTTCCGAATACCCTATTGACTCGGAATGCTTGGGTAGACGCAAGTTCTACAAATCCTACCGCAAGTCCTATTTTCATTGACCGTGATCCCGATCGTTTCGCCTATTGTCTTGACTACATGCGAGATGGTGGACGATTGTATCTACCAGAGACAATTGCGAAATCTTCGATTCTACAAGACCTCCACTTTCTCGGTTTTGATGATATTGATGAATCTTTGATCGATGACCAAGCGGCGAGGAAAGGCTCGTGTGCTCGACACAACGACATGGTTTTGACAACTCACCATAATGTTGCCACTATGCAACAGGAACTTGAGAATTTCAAGATGAAACTCCGCCTCGAAAAGATTGCATTGATTTGCTTTCGGAAAAGCATGGAAAGTATTGAAAATGAGGTGACGGTGCAATCCCCGTGGATCTACCGTGGCGAGGAAGTTGAAAATCCAATTTCGTCTGATATTGAGGGAGCCGAGTATTTCTGTGAATGCTGTGACAAGCTTGGAATGGATGTTGTGGAATGCCACCTTGGTTTTGTTCGGTTCCGAAAGCATACAGCTTGCGCCGCTCGTCTAGCAGCAGTGTAAGGTTCTTGGTCCTCAACATAGGAGATCATCACAAAGCAATACCTCCTTTCAACGTTATCTCAACAAGTTCTAGAACATTTAAAATCTATATTCTGCTATCGGTACGGTTAGAACATGCAGGACCTACTATTTACTGTATGTCCATCTTCTTGTTTCTTTTGGACTCGTCACAATTTTCAAACAGACCGTCCGTCAACAGTGTGTCACATCAGACCACCCAATTCAACCACTTTGTGTAGAATCCTCAGTACATAGTCCGTAAGTCAGACCGTTTGGATGGCGGATCCAAGAAATCAAAATTTGAGCTTCACAGCAAAAGCATCCACCGTTTGAATCATCCATCTCAAATCGTCGGCAGGAAAGACGCTTTGTAGACAAGAAGATAGCTTGATTTGCACCCTGTAACGACAAACAGAGAATGACCACGTCTCCCGATAACAGAGGCACAGCAGCGTCAGCCGAAACACCTGGATGGGGAAAGGGTTTGTTTGGAAGAGTGTTTAGCACTGCCAAAAAGCAAAGACCCGTAGACGATGGTACCAACGCTACGGGACCATCACCTTCTCCACATCGACGAGACGTGGTCACTCTAGCGTTGCCCAGTGAATCCAATGTGATCAGCAGTCCTACAAGGGCAGAGACGGCAGCCGCTGCTGGTGAAGCAAGCAACAACTATGACTCTAGCGGTTTCTTTTCGCCTCAAGCAGCAACTCCTGGAACCTCTTCCAACATCACTTCAGTGGCCACGATGACCATGAAATCCCCTTGGAAGAACCCATCTTTCAACGGGGATGTTTCCTTCTCAACCGGTAATTTGAAACCTGCTCCAAACGGGACTCTAGCCAATGGCAGAGGCTTGCAAACGAATGGAAATCGAAACGACAAGCGACGTAACCGTTACAAACCCTCTATCTTTCTCACGAAAAACAAGAATCGAAAGATTAATTCAGCAACGGCAATGGAGCTCTTGAAACAATCTGAGAGATTATTTAAACCTACCAAAACGCATGCACGCCAATTACAAAATTACGATGTAACACTGAAACCTGGAAAGCGTATGCTAGGAGAACATCAACGGGCGTCGCGATTACCACCGCTCTCTGCAAAAGTCGGAGAAAAACACACTGCCGAAGAGCCGGAAACTCAGCCACAAGCCAAACGGCAAAAGAAGGTCATGTTTGATAATATGGACACTGACCCCCCGAAGGAATCTGCTGCTCTTCCATTTGGAACGCCAATGCAAAAGAAGAGTCTACCTCGAAAGAGTACTCCTTTCAAAGTAGTGAATTTGAAACCCCCAGCACCAACCTCTCCAGGAGCTTCCACACCTACGTCTACGCCAACTCAGTCTACTCCCATGATGGCGTCTCCACAAACTTCCAAATTGCCACCAAAGCCAATCATTCAACGTATGGTGGAGGCTCCTTTCACTGAATGGGCTTCGCCGGAAGAAATGACACCACTGGGTCCCCCCATCACTACTAGTAGGATGCGCTTTCGGTCCGATCTTGGCTTTCGCGAGAAGGGTCCTGGGAATAGTACGAGTCAATTAGTGTCACGTACGTCGTTTGTACCAAAGAAGGAGCCACCAAAGAAGAAAGAGGAGGCAGAGGAGAAGGATCCTACATCACAAAGTTCTCCTACTGATGATAAAGCTGGTAGTGAACCAGATGAAAAGAAATCGAGGCTATCCTTGGGCGAATTGTTTGGCGGTATGAACGATAAGAAATGGAAGTGCCAAGCTTGTTACGTCCAAAATGATAATGCAGTGCATGCATGCGTATCATGCGAAACTGTTCGGCCTGGGAGTGAAGGCAAGCAGCAGGCATCCAAGGATGCGGCGAAGTCATCAGTCTCGATTGGTTCGGGTGGCTTTACGTTTGGTGCTCCTGCCACCAAGACTGACGATGGAAAATCGTCTACACCATCTACCGGTTTTGCCTTTGGTGGTGGAGCGTTTGGTGGTTCCGCACCTGCGGCTGCTGCCCCTGCCCCAGCAGGTTCTGGAGGATTTTCCTTTGGAGCACCTTCTCCTGCAGGGTCTAGTGCCACGGGTGGATTCGTCTTTGGAGCACCGGCACCAGCCGCATCAGACAAGAAGGATGATGACTCAAATCCGAAACCATCTTCTGGTTTTTCCTTTGGAGCTCCAGCAACCAAAAGCGATGACAAGCCAGCAGCAACTAATGGCTTTTCGTTTGGTGCCAAACCAGCAGAAGACTCCAAATCGGACGACGACAAGAAGAAGGCTCCGAGTACGAGTAATGGCTTTAACTTTACCCCAGCTCCAGCCACCGATGCGGCGAAACCTGCCGAGAAGAAGACAACTTTTAGCTTTTCATCCACCCCAAAGTCGGCCAAGCCAGGCTTTTCCTTTGGAGCACCGACTCCGGCTCCCAAGACATTAGGAAAGAAAGAAGCAGAGGAGGACGACGAAGAAGGTGAGATCGAAGAACCCAAGTCAGCCAAGAGAAGTCGTAATATCAATGCCTCGTCCTCAGACGACAAGTCAGCGGAATCCAAGCCATTTTCGTTTGGTGGGGCCCCTGCTGCCACCGAGAGTAGCACCAAACCTTCGTTTGGCCTTGGTGGATCGTCATCCAGCTCTGCTCCAGCCTTTGGTGGGTCATCATCTGGTGCGTCATCATCTGGTGGTATGCCATCCACTCCAGCAACTACAACTCCCACGCCAGCACCAACACAATTCAGCTTTACAAGCACACCTGCTCCGGCATCTTCTACGGAACCAGCAGCTGCGGCCCCTTTCTCTTTTGGAGCTGCCAGTAACAGCACCTCGCCACCTCTGCCAGCTTTACCAGCTCCAGGTGACGATAAGAAAGACAGTACACAGTCCTTTGCCTTTGGTAGTGTGAAGTCAAAACGAGGACGAGACGACGAGAGTGAAGAACCGAAACCAAAGATTCCTTTTGGATCTTCTACTGCGAATGCCCCAACGCCTTCCTTTAGCTTTGGAGGCACCTCAAGTACACCAGCGGCTCCGGCGGCTCCTGCCTTTGGATCCACTCCAGCTCCAGCTGATAGTTCGAGCACAGCCACTGCTTCTGCTCCGGCTTTTGGCTTTGGATCCACACCGGCTCCAGCTCCTTCTGCCACAAGTACCACATCCTTCAAGTTTGGTGCTACTTCGGATAACTCTTCAACGCCAGCGTTTGGTGGAGATTCCAGTAGTTCCACTACTCCCAATCCATCTTTTGGTGCTTCAGCAGCAGCGACTTCGGCAGTCCCAATGTTTGGCAGCACACCTGCTCCAGCTGGCGGTGATGCTACTTCGACGACTCCAGCCTTTGGCAGCTCTACTCCTGCTGCTCCCTCGTTTGGAAGCACTCCAGCTGCCTCGACATCCGGTGCTCCTTTTGGCGGTAGTGCTCCAACAGCCCCATCCAATAATTCCTTCTCCTTCGGAGCCACACCAGCAGCACCTGCTCCTGGTGGCTTTGGATCTACACCAGCACCAATGGCTCCTGGTGGCTTTGGATCTACTCCAGCACCACCTGCATTCGGGTTGGATGGGGCACCAGCTCCGTTTGGAAGCACACCAGCACTTGCACCATTTGGAGCACCTGCTCCTGGTGGCTTTGGGTCCACGCCAGCTACCGGTGGGTTCGGATCTACCCCAGCAGCACCTGCACCATTTGGGTCGGGACCAGCTCCGTTTGGAAGCACTCCAGCTCCAGCACCATTCGGTGCCACACCTGGTGGATTCGGAGCCACTCCAGCTCCCGCTCCCGGTGGGTTTGGATCAACTCCAGGCCAAGGGCAATTTGGTGCGCCAGCACCATTCGGCGCCCAAGCGCAATTTGGTGCTCCTGCTCCTGGGTCATTTGGCTCGGCTCCACAACCCTTTGGAAATAATCCAACCACACCTGCAGCGGGAGGTTTCGGAGGAGCAGCGCCATTTGGCGCTGGTGGCGGCGGCTTTGCAACCCCAGCGGCTCCTACAATGGGCATGGGCATGGGTGCAATGAACGGTGGCGGATTCAGCATAGGAACGGGCGGCGGCGGTGCTACCGGTAGTACTAGAAAAACACCGGGGAAAAGAAGAATTCTCAAAGCCAAACGTCCGGGGCGGGCATAATACATGCCATCGCTTTTGCTGCTATTCAATTCAATTAACACATTGTAATTCGCACGATTTCGCTCTGCTGCAACATCCTCTCATAATCCTTCACTCGCTAGTCCAAATATTTATGAGTAACATATTATTATTCTCCCCCTCACAAGTGCACTACGGTATTTTATGGATTTGGTTTGGGCCTAGTGCTTATTGTGAACTATTTATGCGACTCTTTTGCCCCTTCTTTGGCTTCACCTTAACTTCACCCACAGTCTTGGTTGGCGTCTTCTTTGGCTTCTTGGTGGACGACGACTTGTAAGAAAAGAAAAAGCGAAGAGGAGTAATCGCAATGAAAATTCTCAGTGGCAACAGAACAAGCCAAAGAATAAATCGGAGGATGCTAAAAGTATGCGGAAGCAAAAGAGCAACAATCACAGCGATTTGTGCGCCTTGCAGGGTATCCTTGGGATTCTCGCAGGAAGCCTTCCAGGATGGGGAAAGGTAGTCGTCAAATGCCTTCAAGTTGTTCTTCTTGGCCAATTTATCAGCGGCCTTGAAAGCTTTGTTACACGCAGTGGCGTACTTTCGGGCCAACTTGTTGAATTGCTTTTTGTATCCCTCTTTGAATTGTTCAATCTTGGGATCAATTTGGCTCTTGATCTCTTTGAGCTTGGGAAGGATCTCCTTTTCATAAGCCTTGACAACCTTGGCGACCACAGGGCTGACATGTTTGTCGTAGTGTGGCTTGAGGTGCTTGTCATAATGGGGTTTGACGTTCTTTTGAAAAATCTCTTGTCCCTTGCTGGTGTAGACCTTGGTTTCTTCGAGGGCAATATAAGTCTTCTCTGTGGCCTTGCTGGCAAGACTGGCAGCTCCCTCGTAAGCGGTCCAGGTGAGTTCAGCACTCTTGTTGTAGGTCGCAGAACTAGCCCAGTAAATATCCTCCGTCATGTAAGTGTAGTTGCAGTACGTACGATTTTGGTGAGTAGCTCTCCACATGGCAAGTTCCTGTAGAGTGAAGATAGTAGTAGTGGTGAGAAACAATCAATTGAGTGGTGGGAGCGGCAGACAAGTCACCACGGAGTGACCTAAACTATTTCTTACCTCGTCCGATTCCTTAGCATCTTGTTCGGCCTTCTTGGCTTGCGCAATGGCATCCTTAATCTCTTGGTTCTTGGCCTTCAATTCGGCATTGAGTGTTGCTTGTGCGGCCTTCGCTTGATTGGCAAGGGCATCGGCAGCTTGCTTTTCTTGTGCCACCATTTGCTCCTTCAAGTTGGCAATTTCTCCGGCATATTTATCTTCCACCTCTTTCAAAGCTGATGCCAAAGCAGTCTCAGCAGCTGTGGCAGTTTGTACAATCTTGGCTTCCAACTCTTGGATTCGGGCCATTGAGCTCTCTTTGGAGGATTCGATTTGAGAATTCAAGGCAGCCACTTGATCAGCGTATGTGTTGGCCATGTTGGTGAGCTTATTTTCATAGTCTGTGACCAACTCACCCTGAGTAGACTCCAAACCATCCATAATCGACTTGATCTTGGCATCCTTTTCTTGAATGGTCTCTTGCACTTTTCGCTCCAATTGTTGGTTCACCTCTCTCATCTGCTCCAAAGACGTTTCCAAACCAGCGATTTGATCCAAAGCTTGTGTCTTTTGGTTCATCATTTCGTCACGTTCGGCTTTTGCGTTCATCATTGCCTCATTGGCATTGACCAACGATTGGGCCATTTGCCCATCGCACGACTGAGCAGCCTTTATGGCTTTTTCCTGTTCTGCCGAGACAGTTTGTGTGACAGTTCCAGTAGCAGCATCGACATCCATGCTGACAGTGGGTTCTTCCGTCAATCTTCGGCGGTTGTCTCCATCCTTGTTTCCGTTCTTATTCCAAAAGGCAGCCTGAGTGTTGCTGGCCAACAATAGCAAACATAAAACGCTATTCCACTTCATTCTTCTTATCGATGGATTCTTATGATATTGTTGTCAAAGTGTAGCTGTGTGGTTTGGTGTTGGTGTTGGCGTTGGCGTTGGCGTTGGTGTTGAATTGCAACTAGAAAACTGCTATCCAAGCACAAAGTAAAGGATTCTTTCTACGATGGATGGATGACCAACAGGATGAGTTTTGAGTGTTTCAATGTCCGATGATCAACGATCACCAATGATGATGGACTTCTCATCCCCCAGGGTGCGTAACACGTACGAATGCTTGCCCGCCGTAGAATTCTACTATACTGGACCCATTTGAATCAATCATCAATGTTGAATGTCGTCGTTCCACTTCATATTCCCCTCCCCCTAAAGGAATTCAAATTTGAAAACCATCCATCGGCTTTTTGTGTTTCCTTCGTCCTCCTTCCATTTTGCATTCCATGAAGAAGCACCTTGGTCGACTATGGAGAATACAAACCACCAACGACGCTAACTCATAAGCAAGGAATAATACAAGTTAACATGACAAAGAAGAAACAGAATGGTGCTGGTCAGCCGAGTTGGGCCAAGTTCATTCTACTTTCGATAGCAGCTGCTTTGATATTGGGATACCTGTTTCTTCATCAACGATTGTGGACTATGCACCTGAGAACCCGTCTTCTTGTGGAAACGGATTTGCAGCAGCAGCAGCAGCAGCAGCAACAGCAACAGCAACAACAACAACAACAGCAACAGCAACAGCAACAACAACAAGACCACTCTCAACTACTGAAGCAGTCACAAAATCGACAACCGCCGCGAGTTTCGGCGGCAACCGACAAAACCGTGGTTCCAAGAAAATACCAAGAAAACGATGACAATTCATCAGAACAGAAGCCCTGTGACATTGAAAATCGGCAGCAAATGGCATCTGACACCATGATCAAGCAAGAGAAACTGCCCAAACAAATCGAATGGCTACCTCCCTGTAATACCGCTACAGATACAGGAGCTTCGTCCACCAACTCCACCTCGCCTTCCACCACCATCACTACTAGTACTAGTACTAGTACCCCACCACTTCCCTTTTGGATGGAATGTGATCCTGGACCAAAGTCGATTGACGTCATTTTGACAGTGTACAAACGATCCAATTTGCGATTGCAATTGGAAATGTTGGTCAATCAAACCTTGCAGCCTCAAAATATCTTTGTCTATCAAAGCGAACACTATGTAAAAGTGGAACCCATTGTGCAAGCCTTTCAATCCGAATACAAGGCAGACTACAAGATGCCACCAATTCATGTACTGCAGGCACCAGTGGATGTAGCAGGGTATCATGGACGCTTCTACATGGCCTATACCATGTCACGAGCACGTTATGTATCCATTTGGGACGACGATGTGTCCGCGGGGACTGGATGGTTGGAACGAGTGGCTACCTTTTTGAATGAACACCACGACATGTACATTGCCAGCAGTGGAGGAAGAATGGTTCAAAGTTTGGTGGATCCCAACAAGAGCAGTAGTGCTCCCATTGTGAGCAAAAACAAAAAGGATCGATCAGGAGGTTCTTCTCAGGAATCCAACACGTTTGGTATGCTCGCCAAGCGCCATGGCGAAGTCGACTTTTGCGTCCACAATTACAATCTGCGACGAGAATTGTTACGATATTGGCTTGGAGCTCCAGTCCAAACGTATTATACTGGCGAAGATATGCAATTGGCCTTTGTCTTGCAACAATATGGGGTCCACGCCTACAAGTTGGGAAGAAAATTGCAGCGCAACGAACATTATGATGATTGGGCCGATGGAGCCAAGGGACTGGGAGCCAACAACAGGAACAAGGCGTCCTACAAGAAGAAACGGAATGAACCAAGACAATGGTTGATTTGTAAGCTTGTTGCCGAAGGTTTTCAAACCATCGATTGCCCTAATTGCAACGCAACTGTAGCCAAACGGTGCATGGACTATTACGAGAACCTGGATCATCATGTACTATCGTCATCCAACGAGAAGAAAGGATGATAAAAGACTGGTGCAGCAAGAGATGAAACTGAATCATACAAGATCTCGCTCTTTCAGACAATCATGGCACACAAGAAGTGCGTCATAGGACTCGCTCAAGATATACATATACAAAACAGTTGGATGGCATACTGTAGGACCGACACGGTTTGGGAAGCAACCATCAAGGGAGACACGAGAGACGGCACCCTTTCGATGAAATAATATTGGGCCTTTGAAAAACATGAGACTCAGGAGGCATATGACATGTATGACATAGTAAAAGTATTACTAATACTAAGAATCCTATTATATCATCACAGTTCGTCTAATAGTTGTCCTCCAATGTGCATTGGTGGCGTCAAAACAACCGCTTCATGTCCTGCCGCATACCCAGCCACCAACTTTAGTGGCGTCGACCCATCCTTGATGGTCAAAGTGACGGGTTCTTCATTTCTTGAATGGGCCCGAGTCCCCTCGCACATTCTACCATTCCCCACAAACTCGGCAGCTCCTTCGGGTGTCACTTCAATGACCCATTGGACGTCCTGTCGAATCAGTTCTTGTGGAAGTTCCAATCGAATTTGCAATGTTGTTGTTGTTGTTGTTGTTGTTTTTGCTGTTGCTGTTGGTTGGATGATAGTGCTGGGAACGGTAGAGGACCAAGTGCCATCATTGCTATTTTGGACTTGAATCGGAATATCGTGTTCGGCTACCGTACTGGGCTGTATGTGATGATTCATGACAACCTCATCCGTTTCCAACTCGACATAGCAGCGTAGCCATGACGCAAAGCCATGGACGGGTGATGTGATTGTCGAAACCAAGAACAAGCAAAGGAAAAGGGAGGTTCTTGGTAGTCTGGTCATTGTGTGGATGTTGTTGTTGTTGATGATGATGATGATGATGAAGCAAATGGTGTGTTTTGAAGTGTTGGACCGTGTTCTGGTTGCGACGGGCTTCTTGAAGTAGTATCGGCTTGTCGTGGTTTCGTTTCAACGGTGTCGTCCGTTTCTTCCGCTTCACAAATATGTCCGCTTCTCTTCTTCGTCTTCGTCTCCTTGTATGCGAACCGAAGGCAGTTTCAAGTTGAGCTTCTCTGTTTTGTGCCTTTCGATTTTTGAATTACTTTGGTCGAAGGAGTCAGTTAGTCGATCCCCTAACGGATCTATTTTTATTTTCATCTTTTTCGTCCCCCTTTTTGGGTTGCATCATTTCAAGGCTGTGGTACTTTGACGTACACAATAGGTACGTGTTTCCATTATGAGCGACGGTCATTGCGCAAGGAAGGACCGAAAATCAGATCGATCTCGATTGGCTTCATTGGATTGTCGTTGTGGGAAAGCAAGTCTCAAAAGCAAGATATAAAATATAATACGATACAACAAACATTGCTGTATCATCTATTGCAACAACACCAGCAGCAACAACAACAACAACAACTCTAATCAATCAACAGCAATACTCTATCTAATTCAAAAAAATGCAAGAAGGAGCTTGGGATGTTTCGCAATTGGAGGACATGTCTGGCACTCGCCTTTCCTTTCATTGCTGGCCAAGTTCGAGGCTAGAAGCAGCCCGTTGTGTGGTTCCTCTCGGTGCTCTATACACACCTCTTAAGAAGCTACCTGTGAGTTGCGCTCCACCACAGGCCATGCCCTATGATCCCGTCCGATGCTCTTCGTGTCATGCGGTGTTGAATCCGTACTGCCAAGTGGACTTTCGGTCCAAACTGTGGAATTGTCCCTTCTGCTTGACGCGGAATCACTTTCCACCTCACTACGCTGAGAATATTACGGAAACAAACTTGCCTGCCGAATTGATTCCGCAATACACCACTTGCGAATACGAATTGCAAAATGTGCCCGATCAAGGACCACCTTGTTTTTTGTTTGTAATTGATACTTGCACCACTGCCAAGAAGGAATTGGGCGAATTGGCGGATTCGTTGACACAAGCACTCAACCTTATGCCTCCGGACTCGAGAGTTGGTTTGATTACCTATGGAACCAATGTCAGTGTCTACGAATTGGCCAGTGAATCCATCTCCAAGGCGTATATTCTTCGTGGCAACAAGGAGTATGCTCCTGGCAAGGTGGGAGAACTGTTGGGATGCACGGGACGTCCTGGACAAGTTGCGCAACAGCAACCCAATGGTGCCGCACCAGCCCCAAATAGTCCGCCTGTGGGACCTGGACAACAAGTGTTGGAACGCTTTTTGCTCCCAGTTTCTGAGTGCAGCTTTTTGGTCGAATCCATCTTGGAAGATTTGCGCAAGGATCCATGGCCAGTCCCCAATGACAAGCGTCCTGCTCGGGCTACCGGATGTGCGTTGAGCGTCGCTTTGAGTATGTCACATTTGGCCATTCCTCGAAGAGGTGCACGCGTCATGTTGTTTACAGCAGGTCCTTGTACTTCGGGGCCAGGAGCCATGGTGTCGCGCCTCAAGGAGGAAGATATGCGATCCCATGCCGATTTGGCCAAAAAGGCCGAACCCATGTTTCAACCAGCCTGTGAGTTTTACGCCAAATTGGCCAATCCGGCCCACCATAATGCACCGCCCGACAAGAAAAAGAAAAAGGCACCTCCGCCGCCACCCACTCCCTCGTATCACGTGGTGGATGTCTTTGCGTGTTCGCTGGATCAAGTGGGAATGTTGGAAATGTCCAATCTAGTGGAAGCCACTGGAGGATTGATGGTCTTGGGAGATTCCTTTGGACAATCCGTCTTTAAGGAGTCTTTGCTTCGTGTCTTCAATCGATACCCAGACGATGTTCCACAAGATGGAGGACACCTCTTCATGGCTACGGGGGCGAGCTTGGAAGTATTTACTTCGAGAGAATTCAAAGTCTCGGGTGCCATTGGACCCGTCACGTCACTCAACAAACAAGGACCCAATGTATCCGACTTGGAAGTTGGCAAGGGAGGTACCAGTGCCTGGGGTTTGGGTGGTATTGATCCCAACACTACGGTTGCAATTTACTTTGATGTGACCAATCCAGGTAATTCACCAATGAGTGAAGGCAAACGTCGGTACATTCAATTCTTGACAAAGTACCAACACTCCTCTGGTAAGACTCGATTGAGGGCGACCACTCTCTGTGGAGGATGGCACAATCCTCCGGATCCACCAAAGGATGGAGCGCCGGCCAACTTTGGCATGCAACAGTCTCCCGTCAAAATGTCCTTTGATCAAGAGGCAGCGGCAGTCTTGACGGCTCGTATGGCGGTCTCTCAAACTGAATCCGATGAAGTGGCAGACGTCTTACGGTGGGTGGATCGATCCTTGATTCGGCTGTGTTCCAAGTTTGCGGACTATCGACCGGACGATCCCAGCAGTTTCCGACTGTCCCCCGAGTTTTCACTCTATCCACAATTCATGTTTCACTTGAGGCGATCCCAATTCTTGCAACTCTTCAACTCGAGTCCCGATGAGGCTGCTTATTATCGTTATGTGTTGACTCGAGAGAACACGACCAACTCGCTTGTCATGATTCAACCCACATTGCTGTCCTACAGTTTCAATGGTCCACCCCAACCAGCTCTTTTGGATGCCGAAAGTGTCCGACCTGATACCATTCTTTTGTTGGATACCTTCTTCCAAGTGGTTGTCATTCATGGAGAGACTATTGCTGCCTGGCGTGAACAAGGCTATCACGAGCAAGAAGAGCATGCTGCCTTTCGATCCTTGTTGGAAGCTCCTCAATCCGATGCCATTCTCATTATGGATTCGAGATTCCCCGTCCCAAGATATATCGTGTCAGATCAACACAAGTCCGAGGCTCGTTTCCTAATGGCCAAGTTGAATCCCAGTGTGACACACAATTCCAACCTCGATGGAGGAGGTGGTGGTGCCCAAGTGAACACGGATGATGTCTCACTTCGAGTCTTTATGGAACATCTCATGAAATTGGCGGTGCAACAATAAGGAAGGTTCGTCTCGGCGATGAAATGGAAACAAGAAAACCAAAATTAACAAAGAGAGAAAACTTGAGGTTAATTCTAATACTATTAATAGAATGCCTGATTAAAATCAAAACTGGTTGCTAGTTGTTAGCTACTGGTACATCGAGTAATACTCTATGATACGGTACAGTCTTCACTAATGTTGTCCAATGGAAATCGTCGCACCCAATGGAAATCGTCGCACGCGACCAACTGACGTCAACTTTAATTTCAAATCGCCAGATTCTCCAACGGATCAACTGACATTCCCACACGTGCACCTCCTTCCATAACGCCACTACTCCCTAAGTATTTTGTAGTACTTAGGGCGTTACAATGACCAATATAATCTACAATCATGTGGTTTTGGATAAGCCAGGGCGTCGGTCAACGGGCGCTTGCCAGTCCCCAGTCCAATTCAACAAATCTGTTGTCATCGGATCTCCGTCAAGCACAAATAAGTTCAATTCGCTCGACTTGGGTTTGTTCATTGAATTGATTATTTGCTTTACCGAAAGCAATTAATCCACTATACCTTATATTTATTTGGATCAATCAATCAATCAATCAATCATGACAGCAGGTAAGATCGTAGCACGCGCATTCATGAACAATGCTTGGGTGTGACGGACGGTTTTGTTGTTGTTTCTATGGAGGTGCGGTGAAAATGGCAGCATTGTAGACCAAAAAATTGAAATTCCCACCAACTGGTCGGTGAAAACATGGTCAATGCCATCCTTCCTTGCCATAAAGCCATCTTGACTGGACCAAGCTCCATCATCATGGAAATCGTTTTCAGGAAGAAAATGTTGGTTCGGGGCACCTGCTATATTTTTTGTCTAAATGTTTTGAACCAAAAGTCGCACCCATGTCCGCCAAATTATCATCGTCTGTTGAAAGCCCTTGCAAAATATTGTCGGACTGACCAACTGCTCTGATCAACTTCCATGGCTAACTTTTTATTCTCTTTGTTGGCACCGTCATAACGTACAGTAGACTACATTCCTTCCAGTAAACATTCCCGCAGACGCAGTGCCGAGGCCGACTTGCTGAATCTTCATTCCAAAAGCCACATCACAAACAACAACGACTTGTCTGGCATTTGGACTCCAGTGCAACCATCCAGACGGCACAATAACAATCGTGTGGTGTTTCCAGAACGGCGTCAATACCAGCCATCCGGGGCAATTATGGGGGGTGGTGAAAACGATGGTGAGATGACCTTGAAGAATAAGCCACAGTTGAGCATAGACACAAACAGCAAATACGATGATGAAGAACGGCAGGCAACACCTTCAACTGTCGCTTCTAGTACACCCAGAACACCATATGGTGTTCGAGGGTCTGGAGATTTGCGATCTCCTGGGGAAGAGATGACACCCGTGGCCCAAGTGGCCAAACTGAGCAGCAGCCAAGCTCTGCCAGATTTCATAACACAAACCGATGCCAGTGGCAACGCTACCACACCAAGATCATCACAAGCGATTCAAGGGGCAAGACAGACTCATCCTTCGGGGCCAAAACCCAGATTGCACGTTGGGAAACGGGGAAAGCTGACGGAAGATGACGAGGAGGATGACGATGAGGCCCTCGCTCGTGATGATCCATGCGAGTCTTTGTTTGAGAACCTCCGAATGATGTGCTGCTGTCTCATGGATGATCACCATCTTAAATTGGAAGCGGTACGAACGGAAGAGTCGGATGGCCAAGTTAAGCTACTTGGTGACCTGCATCACGACGATACTGGAAAGATGTGTCTGGTATTGGATCTAGACGAAACACTTGTTCACTCGAGTTTCCGACCGGTTGCCAATTCCGATTTTGTCATTCCCGTTGAGGTATGTGATATATTTGAGCTTGTTCCATACGTGGAACCAACAGTTCATGTATACAACAACAGTTTCACTCACCAAAACCACTTTCCAATTTACAGATTGAAAACGTCACACACTTGGTCTATGTCGCCAAGAGACCAGGAGTCGATGAGTTCCTGGTGGAAATGGCCAAACACTACGAAATTGTCATTTACACTGCTAGTCTCAACAAGTACGCAGATCCACTCTTGGATCTGCTCGATCCCCACAAGACCATCCGAACAAGATTGTTTCGTGAATCCTGTGTCTACTACGAAGGGAATTACGTCAAGGATCTCAGTCTTCTGAATCGTGACCTTTCCCAGACCATCATTATTGATAACTCTCCTGCTTCCTACATGTTCCATCCGGAAAACGCCATCGATTGTGCCTCCTGGATCGAAGATAAAAGTGACAGAGAGCTGGATCAAATAGGTGCCTTCTTGAAGGGAATCAAGGACGCCGAGGATGTCCGAGGACTCAGCAATCGATGGAGGGAGTGGCCCTCCACTCATAACCAGCAGCACGATTGCTAAATAATGTAGATATGACTTTACAAAAAAGTCAATAGCAATTAGACAAAGCAATTTTTGCCATTTTAAAAAATATGAATGAATACTGTAGAAGTGTCAATCAAGTCGGGAAGCTACTAATTAGAATCCTTGGTCCCTTTAGGTTACAAGTGCAAGCAAACATACATTTATTTTCATATAGCCGTGGTGGTGCTGGTGGGAGATATTAACCGACCTCCTACCCTCCTCTTACGGGTTGACATCGTTAAGCTTTGTGAACTGTGCAGATGCATCGCTATAGTTGAAGGAGTATCCGCGACTGAATTCATTCTCGACAACTGGATCGTGCATGCTCGTCCATGCAAGATCGCTGCATTCTGTATCCCCGGTGATACAGCAAACGGTACAACAAGGACAATCCAATTGTGGTTGCTGTCCTTCGGCACTGCCGCAGTCGCTAATGAAAAAATCAATCTTGTCGGCCTTGTTGCAAATTGCAGAGGTTTCTCCAGTAATGTCATTCCCATCAATCAAGAAGACTTCCAAGCCTTGAAGTTGTGAAATTTCCGTGGGAAGAGTCCCGTCCAAATCGTTGCGGTTCAACAAAAGGGCATAGAGGCCTGACAACTTGGCAATCTCCGAGGGAATAGTTCCTACAGGCAACGATATAACCAAAAATGAGAACCTGGCTCGTTATTCATGACGAAACAAAATAGGTCACTAAGTCCGTCATATATCACTTACCAATCAACTCGTTCGCGTCCAAATCGAGCCACTTCATATTCGTCAAATCTCCAACCCATTGAGGAATATTGCCCACAATGTTGTTTCCCTTCATGGAAAGTTCCACGAGACTTGTCAGGCCTGCAATGAACGGCATTTCCTGCTGATTGAAGCTGTTACCAGAGGTCATTAGAAAGCGGAGCCTGGTCGTTTCTGATAGAGCTGGTATCGTTCCAGTAAAGGAATTGAACGAAAGGTCCAACATGGTAATGTTCACGATAGATTGCAACTCAATGGGAATGGTACCTGTCAAATCGTTGGAATGAACGCTGAACAATTGAAGTTCACCATTCTGCTTGGTGACAGTCGGCAGTTTTCCAGTAAACTCATTGCCATGGAGATCCATGATCGAAAGATTTGGATGGTCAAAGAGATTGGACGGAAGGTCGCCAGTCAACTTGTTCTTGGACACATCCAGGTAGGAAAGGGAATCAAGGCTGTTCAGCCAGTCGAGTGGTCCAGTGAATTGATTATCTTCCATGTAGAGCCATTCTAGATTGACCAAGCTCGGCAAATAATCATTCAAATTGCCAGTGAAAAAGTTGTCGTCCATGCCAAGGTATTTCAGATTGGTTAGCTGGTTCAACGATGGAGGCATTTCACCAACAAACGTGTTATCAGAGAGATGAAGGACCGACAACAAAGTCATTTCCCCGAGCCATACAGGCAAGGTTCCTTCCATTTCGTTGTACCCAAACGAAAGAACGGACAGATTCGTAAGCTCTCGAACGAAAAAAGGGAATTCACCTTCAATTGTGTTGCCTCGAGCAACCAGTGCCTCAAGATTCGAAAGATATCGAATTTCGTCAGGGAGCCCATCTTGACAGCGCAAATTGTTAATGGCTTTATTTTTGAAAGCGTACAGTGATGGAGTGCGTCAAGAGTGTGAGACATAGAAGAATCAACCATTAAAAATCTGCTCGGTTTCGCTCCTGATTGTACTTACGAAAATATAGGCGTTCGACTAATCCATCGCCATTGCAACTGGTCACACCTTCAATCGTCGCCTCGCCGTCGATTTCGAAAACAGTATTCCAATCGCAGTGGTCTTGAGCCGTAAGAAACTCGTAGGCATGGAACCAATCGATGCCCTCGCATTCGAAATAAATGACAGCCAATACGTAACGTTCAATGATCAACGGTAGATTTCCTTCAAAATCCCCGTACAGCCATGACATCTCTCCGTCCCAGTCTTCTTCCGCTAGGAAACCTACTGCTTGTCCTTGTGCATCGCTAAAGGAGCGAAGAACTTTCTCCACTGCTATTCCTCGCATCATCAAAACGTCGATCAATTGGTCCTTTTTCGAATAGTCTCCTTCCATGGCACTGTTCCTCTCTGCGACTTCTTCGACGTCCACAGTCAAGATGATTGCCAGGGTTGTAAGAACTGCGATTGCCAATACTAAACAACTGCAAATAACTTTTCTATTTGAACCACTGACAGGAGGTGACGTCGGCGAACCTGCTTCTGCACCTTCTTCAAACATTAACCCCTCATTTCCATTGTCTGCTTCTTCGTCCTCAATGTTGAAGACAATCTCATCCTCAAAGACATCTCCGTCGGCATCAGGAGGGTTATCGGGAGCGTCGTCTTGCTCAACATTGTCGTAGATAAAGGCTTTTCCAGCTGGATCCATCTTGACAGAAGCTGCTTGATATGATATGAACGAATGAATACAGGAAGGTTGGGAATTTTCGCTGAAGCCGGTACTCGCACCGAGCGAGTGATGTGGCGCGGCATTTTGATTTTTTGATAAAAACGTACCAATAATTTCGAACAGGTGAATATCTGTTTGAGAACATCAATTTTGGCCTTCTGTGTATCCGAAAGCATACTTCGAATGGTCACGTGTTCGACTCACGTCGGGCGCTTCTGTAGTAGCGCCTGTAGCTCAGTGGTAGAGCGTTCGATTGCAGATTTTTTGGAAACCTTGGTGTTGTTTTGATTTTTGGTTGTTACTGTTTCATTATTTTTTATAAAAACATTTGTTTACCGACATTCAACATTATCGAACAATCGAGCATCAAAACTATCGTAGTAACCTGGGCAAAAATTTGAAATCCTACAAAAAAGAGTCTGCAATCGAACGCTCTACCACTGAGCTACAGGCGCTACGATAGAAGCGCCCGACGTGAGTCGAACACGTGACCATTCGAAGTATGCTTCTGGATGCAGCATTTAGTGAAAATAAGGCATATAAAGCTTATACACATTTGACGATAATCCTTGAACAACTGCGTTACGGCACCTTCATAGCATTCTGATTTCATTCTCTATAGATTTTAATAGAAATCAATAGAGAGGAAATCTAAGTGTGACAATTTTAGAATTATCCATGTAAGTTATGGTATAATTGTACAGCATGGTACGATATTGTTGGAAGCGAAACGACATGAGTATTGTTAGTCCTGCTTTTTGCCTTCGTGGCGGTGGGATTTGAATTTCTCCGCCAAGGGCCATGAAACTACCAGGTTCTACGGGAGTGTTACAGGTTCACGTAAGTCGAAAATCGCCACATTTGGGCAACGGTTGCAAGAGTCAAATCCTGTTTCTGCGAAATTCAAGCGAACGAAAACCTCAAGAGAAACACAAACACTTTCAACTTTGCTTTCGATCAGACATTCACCTAACATTTGTGTGGAGTGTTTGTTTGCCGCCTGTTGTACCCGATATTTTACTTGCTCAGCTACTTGCAAGTGTTCCATCAATAAAAACAAGAGACTTGATAGAAAGCAACAACGATGACTGCTACTGATGCCACTTCTGAGCCAGTCACTGTTGAACTACCAAGCCATGACCCAAAGGAAACAGAAGGTCTTTTGATTGAAACCACCCCTAATACCGCTGCCCCTGTTGAAAATGCCACTCAGGCTGTCGAAAATGCAGTCACAGAAGCTTCCACTGCCACTCCGACTGCACCTATCGCTCTCGAATCGTTCTCATCATCTCAGCCATCATTCTCAGAAGAAACTGAAGAACAGGAGGAGAAGGATGACAAGGAAGAAGAGCTAAGTGCAAATGAACAACGAGTTCCAGTTGATATTGCGAGTCAGCGACGAATGGAACAGGAAGAGGAGATTAAAACTTCTGCCAAAGAAGTCATTGAACCTATGAAATTGTTCAGAAAGGGAGCGACCGCTGTCGTCGGTGGAGTTACAGTCGCGGTTGGTCTAGTGATGATTCCTCTTCCTACACCGATGGGTTGTGTGGTGGCATCGTCAGGAATGGCCATCTTGGGAAGTGAATTTGAAGGAGCCAAGGAAATGAACGATCGAATGATTGAAAAGAGCAAGACTCATCTCGGAAATGCTAGGGACAAGGCCATTGCAAAAATTGAATCCATGCATTCCAATGACGATACTGATGACGACTCAGTCGACAGCGAAGAAGAGGAGTCTCCGGCCTGGCTTAAGAACATGAATGAAGCGGAACGTAAGCGGCAGCGCAAGCTCATGAAACAAAAGTATCGTGATGAAACTATTCCCAAAAATGAGCAGTTCAAAGAGTATGTCACGAAACGAACAAGCTCTTTCTTGAATCGTAGCATTCTTCCAGCCTTGCACAAAACCAGGGATTGGGGGAAAGAGGAAAAAGGCACTGACAAGCCAGCTGAAGGAGCCTCTGAAAACACTGAACAAAAGGAAGTAGGCACTACAAGTCAACCTACAGCATCGTCCACAACTCCATCACCCTCCGAATCGCTCCAAAAAGGAAAGGAGAAGATGGCCGAATCATTCGAAAAAGGCAAGGAGCAGGTGATTCCCTGGTTTCAATCCACGTCAGCCTCCTTCTCGAATATGATGAAACGAATGTCTCCTCAATCAGGTGATGATAAGAAAATGGACTTTGACGATGAAGAAATCAAGTTTGGTGAAAACGCCACTGAAGCAAAGAATGCTGCTTTTCAGGATGACCTTGCTACTGCCACTTCTGATCTTGATACCACAGGTATGACATCAGCACCCGAACTCGTTGAACCGGGTGCAGCTAGTGTCATGGCAATATGACACTGATGATTGGAACCAGATCCAATCAATTTTCTTCGAGGGCAATGCATGACTAAGAAAGCAAACGCCGCTTCACAGATGGATACACTTTATGAACTTTCTACCCTCTGCTAATGTAAACAATCACTTAGACTGTAAGCTATTGCACTTTCCTACATTAATGATCCAAGAAACTGAATCAACGTTGCTTCCCGGCTCTCTCTTGTCATTCATTCCTGGAAGGCAAAGCATAGAAAAGCATCAGAACGCAACATAGTATACGATATTAGCCGATCGTGGGTTGGTGGGCCCCTTGCTGAATGCCCCGCCATCCCCCACGAGAATCATCTTGCAACCTCTCTGTTGTACAATAGCACTGGTACAAATATAGCATCGTAAACGTATGTTCGTCTGTTCTTCTGTTCATCATCATCTTCACCTGTCGAACGTTTCCGCATGCTTCCGGAAGTTCTTGATCAAGGAGGTGGCTAGGAACAATGTTTCCCATTGCATTCAAAATGTTTTGTTTCACATTCGGATTCATGCCTTCCAAAGTACTCAAAAGTAGTTTCTCTTGGGGTAGATTAACCTGGTTGCTACAGAGACTGCAAAAAAGGGTTGGAGAAAGTTCCCCAGCTCTTCAATTTTGCACGGAACTTTTCCGGTCTGGCTAACCATCATACCCTGGTTGATTTTGATCGATGTGAACTGCTGTGATATTGTTGAAACTTCACGAGTAGATTTAAAATTGTAGCCGAGTCCTTTCCTTCGCTGACAGCGACAATGATGTGATCTACTACTTCGAGCATCTGATAGTCCTTACAAGTTTGTCGCACTTGCTTCAAGAGCTGTCCTCTTAGATTGTATCAGTTCTCATCTGTATTCTTTTGGATACTCTTTGATTTTGTGGGAGCAGAGAAGGCGTCGATTGAATTGCAGAATGTTAGAATGAGAAAGCAGAGCAGCACATTTGATAGGAGGATACGTTGCATCCTTCTTTTCAATTCAACGTGCGAGAGAGAGGGAGGGGGGGGGGGGGGGGGTAGTGGGTTTTTCGGTGGTTTGGCGTGTTTTTGAGAACAAAATGTGATGCGAGGTTGGGTACTGAAAAACCGATCGGGGGGTGGCCTCTTTTTTATATGCCCCCCCGCAACTCCCCCTTTCATTGCTATTCATTGAATCCAAAATCAACACACAATAAATACAGTATAGTATCGTAGACTTTTCCATACGCACAGAAACCAACCTTTATTAACAGGACCATTATTCCTTCTTTTCACCATAGAATGATGCGGGGAAATCTCCTTGGAGTTTTCCTTGCTCTGGCAGCAACCCTTTCCACAAACAAAACTGTCCAAGCGGCACATTCCAGACGGCGATTGGTCCGTCCAGCTGGAGGATCCAACCGCTATGATCGAGAGATTACCACATTTTCCGAAGATGGGCGTCTATTGCAAGTAGAGTATGGTTTGGAGGCATCTCGTCGTGGATCTACCATAGTAGCCCTTCGAACAAATGAGGGAATCTGTTGGGTCGTCCCTCAATCTTCGTTTGGAAAGGTCCATCGAATAGACGATCACTTGTGGCTTTTGACGGCAGGACTCTCCGGTGATGCTCGGTTATTGTCAGATGCCTTGCGGAATACCTGTCAGAAGCATCGATTGGCGTACGGAGAAGCTCCCACCACCAAACAAATAGCTCAAGTAGCTGGTGAGGCCCAGCATCAGCTGACCTACACTGCTGGAGCAAGGCCATTGGGGTGTACGGCCATGGTGTTGGGAATTGATGCTCCCTTTGATGATAGTGGAAAGAGACTGGGCAAGCCATGTATATATCAGACGGATCCAGGGGGTGTCGTCCAAGAGTGTGCTTCTTTCACGGACGATGGAAGCAAACAAGCTGGAGTTGGCGGCAAGGATGGAAACCAGATTTCCCGAATCTTGCCAGATCTTATGAACGGACGACTATTCAATGACAATTCCCGATCTTGGTGGTTCTCAAAGAAGAGCAAGGAAAAGAAGAAGACTGACAAGAATACTGACAACGGCAAATCCGACGAGACTGAAGCACTTGATGACGATTCATCAAAAGAACCAGATGAACTCTCTAAACTGGCAGCCAAATTGGCGGAACAAGTGCTAAAATTGGAAGACGAACAACAACAGCATGATTCAGATGCACCATTACCGACAGTAGATGTTTGGATCATTCGTCCAGATACGCGAAGAAGAGGTGGACAGCATGCCATTTGCTATCAGAATATCAACAAGAAAGATTCCCTTCTAGATCAAATAATCACCTACTCAGGATAGGAAAGAGATATCATAATACAAGTAGTACAGTATTCTAGAATGAATGAATGAATCCAAAGTACCATGTGAGAAAATCAATGCTGTAGACGCTAGCTTTCCTTGATCAAATCCTCCCAGACCCATGATAGAAAGGAGGTATTGTGATAACAGTAGTACGAATAAACTAGAATGATGAATGAATCCAAAGAAGATCGATCGAAGACAATCAAATAGACTCTAGCGTTTTGCTTGGAATGACACACATTAGATCCGTTTGGATACTGTCGAGTTAACATTGATTACATCAAGGTGACTTTCACTGTATGTTTTCTTTCTTTCTTTCGTTTGTTTGTTTGTTTGTTTGTTTGTTTTGACCGTCTCATCGTTAGGATACCTCTGGTATTGACGAGTATCCCTTGCTGCTGAGACTAATAGTGCCACTGTAAGTGGTACTGCGTCGTTTGCTCCACATGGCATGCGCTGCCATGGTAACAGAGGCACTTATCAGGATGGATGCCAAAAACACCAAATGAGGATGCGACGAAAAAGACGAAGCTGCTGTATTCCGAGCATTTTGCGTCAATTCTGACAATGGTAATGGTGGGGAAGTTGGTTCCTTCTCTAGATCACTGAATTCCAAGTGTTGGGTCCAGGATCTCGCTTCGCCGGGATAGAGGTGCATATATATTTGGGGTTCAGGAGAAAAGGTGCCCGTTTCAATGTACAAGTTGAAGGCGTACATGGAAACCGGGGACCCTTCGTTGCCCACCTCGGGAATGCTCTCTTTAATGGAATTCCCACAGCCTCGTACTGTAAAAGTGCCGCGACTCGTGTCGTCCTTGACAAACTCAGCCTTGATGCGTACATCTCGTTCGACCCCTCGTTGCATTTCGACGGTTACCTTGTCCTTTTGGGGTGTTACCGAAGCGTATTGTTGCAGGGGAGTCGACCAGAACCATGCAGCAGGTTCTTCATATTGCCCAGAAGTACCGGCAACATCCAAATCTACTCCATATCCCTTGCCCACCGGACTACCGTCGCAGGTGAAAAAGTGATGCGAGTACCAAGCAGTCGCAAAGGGATCTCTCCCTAGATTTGTGAGGGTGGACTTGACAAAGAGTTGATCGTCTACAACAGAGATGTCTTTCTGAAGACGGTATCCGTGTTGATTCAGTGAAGCTTCTTGTGTCAATGTGATTGCATTTCCCTCTTTGTTTTCTTGCAGCGTCCAAATGGGCGTCTTGGCGTATACATAGGGAGAGTTGAATCGATAATCATCGGTACTGTCGCAGATATTGCAAGAGCCCTTGATGAGTTCACCCACACCAATCTTTAGGAAAGACTCGCCGTGCTTGGCTTCCTGATACCCTAAAACGCCGTTGGTCACTTCATTGACTTGATCCCATCCACAGAGGAAGGTGCAAAAGCCACCATCGTCGCCCACACCAAATTCACTGGCCAAACCGACCCCACTTTCAGCCCAATACGGATCGTGAGGGACTCGCCATTGGTTAATATCATAGAGTACGTGGGTCTTTTTTGTTCCGTCCTTGTTGGTGGTAGTACGCTTGATGCTTCCGATCATGGAGCCATGATCAAAGCGAGTGGAAAGGTAGTAGGTCGGTTCTTTTGGTTTTATGCCTTTGGGAAGATAGACTACCACTTCTAAATCTCCACCGTTGGCCTTGAGGGTGACATTGGAATACGAAGGCTGAGCTTGTATGGTATGGCTGCACAAGAAGAGATGCAGCAGTAATAAGGGAAGGAGCGTTTGGATATTGTTGGGAAGCATCCTAGTGGTTCCTCTTCTCATGATCATTGAGTATTGTTTGGTTTGCTGCTACAGTACCTATTTTGGATATAGATTGGATACAGTATATGTAGGATGAAAATATGCAGAGTGTATGTGAAAGTATAGTTGATGGATCGTTGGATAGGTGATTGAGTGACTTATTGTATTATTGAGTTGGCAGAAATGCTCACAACATACATCCACCACAAGCCACAAGTCGGACCAAAGTAATGCACTTTCTCTTTTTTTTTCCCTCTCTCTCAAGATCCATTGGATCGGCCGTCGTCCAGCCTTCGGCTTTTTGGTCGGAACATCTGTTGGAGTTGTTCCTTGGGCGAAGGCGATGATCTGGTTGATTTCGAGAAACCAAAATCGCGTTATTCTCAGCTGTTTTCGCATGTCACATGTCTAGCGAAGAGCTCCCAAGATAAATCAGGCGCTCTCTCCTGGGGTCAAAAGATCCAAACCGAATCGACCTTGCTTTACGTCCGGGTTCAACATGTGTAGGTGGTACATGGTACGAAATGAAGAACATAGGCTCAAAGATTATAAAACCTACAGTACAGTGCAGCAGTAGTATTTAGATACGATAGTATTAGCTTGGTACTACCGGTACTCCATGAAGATAATAATAATAATCATCAAAATCTAGTAGCTAGACAAGTTGTAGGAAAGACTGAATGAATCAATCATGGTTTATTTTATAACAATCCTTCTGCGATAAGAACTAATTGGGTCGAGTGCGACGATGGTAGTGTATGTACATAATTGTGCACTCCAGTTTGGTGGTACCAGCGGCTGTTACGATCTGCTGGTGCGACGATCATCTCGATCACTCCTCTCTCGTCGATGATATTCTCGCCGATTGTCATATTGATGATTGCAGTTGTTGCTGTTGCTGTTGCTGTTGTTGTGATAATTGTGAATGTGATCGTGGATGTGATCGTGACTGTGCTTGAAGCCATTTTTCTTTCTTCCATTGCTACCGCAACGGTCTTCGTCACGATATCTTCGTTTGCTTTGTGGTTTGTTGCTACTATTAGTTTGTTGACCACGTTTGGTGGGGGAGGATGGTTGTTCAATATCATCCCCGCCGCCACGTCGTGCTGGACTTCGACTCCGACTCCGGCTACGAGATCGACTGCGGGATCGCTTTCGACCATAGCGGCCTATCGAAGAAGTAGTATCTTGATCGTATCGGTGTTCCCATATTTCTCCCTTGTAGCGATCTTCCCAATTGTCGTGATCACCATAGTAGGCGGGACATTGATGGTGCGCTTGAATTCCATTTTCAAGGAATCGTTTAAAGGGCAAGTGCATGTCACGACCTTGATACCGCCGGACTCCACGTCCTCGGTAGATGGTTCCTCCTGGACTGGTGCGGCCATTTTGAGGATCGGAATCCGAAAGAAGAAAGGGATGTGGCTTCTCTTGTTGGTCTTCATGATGGGTGGCGCCGTGCAAGGGCATGGAGGGTGATTTTCGACCCAAACCAGGCGCTCCTGTTTGCATTGCCGCAACATCGGCTTCTTCCTGACTAAGTACGGATTGAGCATCAGTGGCGCTCTCATTCAAAGAGCCTCCACAATCATCCGTATCCACATGGGCTACAACATCACTGTCCGCCTTGGATTCAAAGGATCGAACGGATTCGGCTCGAGAAGAAGAACCTCCCTGCAGCAGCAGTGTTCGTGGCAAGGGTGGGCCCATGCCATTGTTGGTCTTATTAGGTCCTCGTATGCTGCGCAAATCTGTTGTGTTTGTGGCTGTGGCTGTAGCTGTTCCTACTGCTGTGGCTGTGGCTGTGGCTGTCGTTGTTGTTTCCCTTTCCTCGTGAATGAAACCCTTTTGCTGCTGAGGAATTACCAAACAAAGTTGTTCTTGTGAGCGATCAGCAAAGTCCACCAATCGATTGCCAGCACTATTAGTACGCCGATGGTGACCTTTTGGTTCCATTTTCACTGACGATGGTGGGTAGTGATGATTTTGTTGTTTGCCTCCTCCACCACCTTCTTGTGAAATCATACTTTCCACATCAATGTCTTCCAGAACACTTCCGGAACACACCGTGGCAGTATCACTCTTGGGAGCGTCAGTTGCTGGATGGTACATGGAAGGAGGAAAATGCGTCTCACCATTCATCATGTGAGCCGCCAATCCACCACTGCCTTGTGATCCAATGGAACCCACGGATCGATGAGAACTCGCATACGCGGACCCAATGCCGATGTCACTAAAGGCTCCACCAGAATGATAGCCTAAATCGCTCCTCTGCGAGCATTGCGACCGGGCGTCTGATTCAGAATGTTGTTCATCCTTCAGACGAGCCAAATCTGCCATCATTGTATTGTGGAACGACCAATACACCACGGGAAATCGTTTTTGCAGCTGTGAATAATGATAATAACGTTATGCTTGTTTTGGTTTTTGTTGCTTTGTTGCTTTGTTTGTTTGATGGTTTACCTCGCTCGACTGTTTGTAATGACTGGTTTGTTCAATGGACCATGTAGTAAGAAATTCGTGTGCGTGACTGGTGCAAGTAAGTTATACGGCGGATAGATTCAATGCTCCGCCAGTTTCGAGTTGATAGTCGATGGTTTGAGAGAAGACACTGCTTCGTTTATCTTTTCGGTGCGGTGTTGTAAAATTCCATTCCCAAAAACAAACCGTGTGATCTGTGAATTTGAGGAGCAGATTGTTGGACCAAATGTTTGTTTCATTCCATATATGGGTATTTTTCTAATTAACACTACGACAAGAAGCGGCTCTGGCTGGCTCATTGTTACATACGTCATCTTCGGGGGATTAGTTTGGTTCGGAAAAAAGGTGGTGATTGATTCTTTCCCCTCAAGTTTGTTTGTCATTTCTACTAGTTTTTAGAGGTTTGATCCACCACGATCACATGAGCATTGGGGTGCCAAAGAAACTCAACAGAGCCAAAGCAATAAAAGATAGCATCAAATGAGTCAGAACAAGAGCGGACCCGCTCCCCAGCTCGCTCGGCCTGTCTATAATCTGTGCGATAGCGACAATGATAATGATAGTAGTGACAACAATGATGATGATTCTGATTCTGAAGCTTCCTTGGAAATCATGGCACCCATCAATCCTCCCAATCCGAAAACAGCTTCGTCCGTGTTGAATGCTGCTACCAAAGCCTCCATCCATTCCAAGCCTGCTGTTACCAAAAACTCGACATCCAAGCTTTTGTCCGTGAACCTTTCCGATTCGGATTCTGATGATGACGATCTACTGAAGGCGTACAACTTGAAACGAACACAAAAGCAGCAAAAGCAGCAGCAGCAGCCACCGCTATCTCAAAGCTCCACTACTTCCTCTCAGGTCACTACTTCCAGGCCTCGCAACACTACAGCCTCAGAGGAGAAACAACGAGAACGACAACGTGTACGAGAAGAAAAGGCTCGACAAAAGGAAGCAGAAAAGGCAGCCAAGGCCAAGCAACGAGCATTGGACAAGGAACATCGAGAACGACAGAAGCAGCAAGAAAAAGATAGCAAGAAGCGTCAACGAGAAGCACTTCAACAAGTTAGTGGAAAATATGCCCATGACGAAATTGCACTCTTGTTGGACCTTCCCATTTATCTCAATGAAGAATTGGCTCTGGCCAATGCTCTGAGTGAGGACTTTTTGTTGCATCCTCAACCCGTCACCTACAAGATAACCAACTCGATTCAATGGATCCGCAAGGAATACCTCAAAGGAGGCGCCAAGGACGCTGTAGAACAATTGGAACAAAAACAGGTGGAAAATTTCGAAAAGTCTCCCTACCTGCTCATGCTAATGGAGGCCAAGGACTTTCTTCTACTCTTAGATCGTGTAGGTCACGAAGTAGATGATAACTATCCAGCTTTGGAAAAGTACTTGATAGAACTACAAGCCAAGTACAAACGGGTTTGGAAGAATCAGGAGGAGCCACGAATCATTTTGCTCTTGCGCCAAGTCCCAGACACTTTGGATAAAATGTGGAAGAACCACAAGCGCAACAAGAAACGAACCACTGCAGGTTCTTCATTACCAACCGAATGGGAGTTGAACGATGCCATCCAATGGCTGTTGATCCAATATCAAGTCGAATGTATTCATTGTCCGTCGATAGAATCGATTCATGCCAATCTTCACAAGCTGACGCGTGGGATTTGCGAGGCCCCCTACAAGAATCAAGTAACGGAACTGGAATGCATCAAGAAAATCAAATCGAGTAATACAGGGGAACGACCAATCGATCTGGCGCAAGATGCCTGGTTTCGGCAATTGCAACAAGTGAAAGGACTTTCCGAAGGAATTGCTTTGAATGGGGTCAAGGCGTATCCTACGATTCAGTCTCTCTGGCAAGCCTACAACCAAAATGGTGGGGATGATGCTACCAATGCGGCATTGTTAGAAGATTGCCTTCATGAAAGAGTTCGCAGGGCCAAGCTATCCAATACCATTTTTAGAGTCCTCAAGAGCGACGATCCCCGCGAAAAGTTGACTTGATTGCTTTGTGAATGTGACAAGAAGGTTATAGCTAGACTATCAAGTTTGGTTCGAACTAATTGTATCTGCTGATGCCTACAGCACTCTTGTGGCAACAAACAATGATGCTGCAAGAGTGATGACCCCCTAGAAAATATTGACATGATAGGTACATCGTATACAAGCTCAGACTCTTGTAAAGTTTGATTGATATCTCATGCCGGTTTTTGTGGTAATAATGCTAGTACTATGTGTTTCTCATGTGTGACAATTACAAACACACTGGGTGTATGGTATATGCAGAAGCTCGTACTTCTTAATGACTACTACAGTACAAGCATTATTTCATAAAATGCATTCGGTATCTCCGACATATAAAATACTACACATTGTCTTTCAAAGGAGGAGTTATTAAAATAGCCCTTGTCGAAGGTGTTTAGGATTGCCGTTTAGTTAGAAAGGTGTATAAAGCACGGTGATACATCATGATTCTTTTCGGAAGGTTAAAAACACCAGGTGTCTTTGATAACAAGGAACAAGGCGTTTCCATCATTGCTGCTGACAACGGTAGTATTCTCAACATCAACTAAAAGTAGCATCAAAAGTGGTTTCACATATACATATATATGTATTATTATGAGTATTGTAATTTTATTATACTACATCGTCGTCGTATTGTACACTAGATTATATTATCTTAGCATCCAAGTTGGGAAAATATATCATCGTAGTCTTGAGCACAGAGTGCATTGTTCCTGCTTCCTACCCTCCGTCTCTTGCGTGACAATGGTCGCTGCCGTTCACCACATAATTGAGCTTCTTCTCCCGCGTAATCATCGCAGGATTCGTCACGACTTCGCTTGGGCCGTGAGGATGTCCCTTCAAAGGATGGTTCCAAAGAAAGTATCGGTAATTCTGATAGTGTGCCATCAATGGTGGTTTCAAAACAACACGTTAATGAGTTTGGCTTGATGTCATCAAAGGATCCTTCATCGTTTTGCGGTTCTTCCGTTCCATTGTCACGGGAAATTACTCGATGCCGTCTGGGCCAAGGTGTGATGCGTTTGGGTGATTGAGCCGCCACATCAATTTCTCCGAGCTCCCACTCCTGCTGGTTCTTTATTTGAAAGGGTGGTTCCTGTTGCATGTCCAGGGACCAGTCGAGGACATGGAGTGATGTATGGCTCGATTTACAAGTGTCCAGGTAGTCTTGCCTCATTGTCGTTGATGGGATGGATGATGGAATGGAAGTAAAGGAAGGAATGGTGGAATCGGATTCTATGTTCTTGTATAATTGTGATGTGTGAATGTTGTGATGATGATAATGATGATGATGATCTGTGCAATGGCTGACAATTTTTATGCGTTCATGACTTGTTAGAATGTTGAAAGTTTCAAAGGAAATTGAGTTGATGTGTATTTTCAAGTCAAGTTGTGAGGCGTTGGTTCTCTTTGATGTCTAAAGGAGAGGGAAGAATTCATTTTTTGGGCCTCATACTCCGAAGATGGGCATGTGACGGAGTCGAAAAAAGACAAATTTCTCGAACTTTAATCGTTCGATGGGTGGGCCAACGCGGAACGTGCGACGAAACTCACGACGATAGGGCTGGTACTGCTGGCCGTAAACAATGCGTTAGACCACACTTCCTGCCCAAACTGTACACAAAAATTATGCTGGAACGGCGAAAAAATAATCGCTCAGCACGTGCATCGTTGACACCAGAGAAAGCCAACTCATTCCCTCCATTTGTCAATTTGTTTCATCTGTTTCGCCGTCCGTCAGTCACCAAACATGGTGGGAACTGTCATCTCCGACCATTCTTGATCCGACGACTGACTTGTCACACATCACCAATCACCCATCACCCATTGCGTCATCAAATCACTATCGAAACTACCGGAACGAATGATGAGCACCTCCGGAAGGGTGTTTCACGTTTGCATTCTTCTTTTTATGTTACTGGCCAAAGGAGTCCGTGGATTCACCGCAAGGGCTGTAGTCCTTCGATCCGGAACTGGTGGTTTGTTTCCGCAAACGCTTCTCTTCTCCAGCACACCTGGTTCGTCGTCGGATGATGACAGCAGTCGAGTCGAACTATTGAATCTAAAGTTAAAGTTGATTGGAGTCGACTCCCAAGCACTGAAGGATGCATCGCTTGCATCCATTCAGGATCCAACCCAAGGATATGACGGAAGCTTTGGAAAATCGGCAATTAAAACCTATCGAGCCTTTTGCTTCAAGAATAGCAGCGACACTGACGACCCGATCCAACTCAGTGCACAGGCGGGACGGGTGGCGCAACAAGTGGATTTTCTCATCAAAAGACACAAGAGTCACCAAACTGAATGGGTCCGACACCATGATGCCTTGCAACAACGGCGACAGGTCTTTCCCCTTTTTCTACTCCTAGACAATTTGAGATCGGCCTTCAATGTGGGATCCATTTTTCGAACGGCAGATGCCTGTGGTTGTCAAGCCGTCTATACCACTGGGATTACCCCTCATCCCAATGGAAGCGGTGCGGACAAGGTCCAAAAGTCGGCCCTCGGTGCGGAATCGGTGATTGAATCGCGGCATTTCGCAACGACCCAACAAGCGATTGAGTCTCTGCGAAACGAATATCCAGACCTCAAAATTTTGGGAATGGAGACGACCGACAAGAGTGAAGTATATACCAACCTGGACTATATGAAATATCGAGAAACAGGGGTTGCCTTGGTATTGGGAAACGAAGTGACGGGCGTGGACACGGAGATTATGTCCAAACTGGATGCCATTGTGGAAATACCAACCTTTGGGGCAAAGAACAGTTTGAATGTTGCGGCTTGTGCTCCCGTGGTGCTGTTTGAGATATTAAGACAGTGGAAGGTCTGATGTGAAGATATGTGTGTATCATTCTCTGCATGATCTGGCGTGAAGAAGGAATGTATGAATCAATGAATGATCAATCGTCCAGTGGAATGAAGAATGCTATTCGGAGGACCAAGGATTTCAGTGTTGAGACTAGCTCTGATGCTAGTGGCACTTTCAGATGAATACTTTTCTACTTGGAAATGAACATGTATCGATGGTGTACAAACTCTCCTTCTTTCTGCGAACGCTTCGACAAATTGGCTGGACCCAAAGCCCAACATTTTCAGAATCAGACCATTGACACCATGGTATTTCTGACTTGGACCGGCGTGGACCTTTCTACAAGTATCAAAATTTCTCGTTTTATGGGGTCGCTAATAATGTACTCGTCCGACCACGATTTTAGGAGCCACAAGAGGAGCTCCAAGGGACGAGTTGGAAACCATTTTGGTCGAACTAGTCAACTGCAACGAAACCCAAAGGACCGGACAAGAGCTAGTTTTCGTACCATACTACCCTATTGGAGTAACATTTTTTCAATTCCACCATATAGTATTTCTTTTATACATCAACAATAGCCATCCATGGACTCGGATGTGACAAATTAGGCTAGGGGAAGGATTCAAACGCCAGTTTTCCAAAACCAATACCAAACAGTGAAAACTGGAGTACCATGGATTCCAGGCCAAACACCTTACTTCCGTCATATCATCGAAAACAAACGCTCAAAACCGATAAGTATATGTATCATGACAATGTCCATTGGGGTCCTAACATGTCTGACTACCTACACGGCCTCCACCGGCCATCTCTGACAACTTTATGAATCCGCATCAAGTTCATGTGGAAATACTGAAGATCGAGGTTGGAACCCTTATACATACCAATACCCCAAACCAACGACCCCAGCCTTGTCCAACATATCCATAGACTACAGAACAAGCATACAAATGATCGATTTACCCATATTCGACCAAGACACCTCCAAAATCGGCCGTCACCACGATTATTGTCCTTTTCTCGACCCATTTTGGGCTTCCAGAGACCTGATCAAGGTACATTCATCAAGTAGATCGAATATTACTTTGATAGATAGGATATAAGGAAGAGATTGGGTGGTCGCTGTGACGTATATATGGACCAAAGCGATCTTGGAGACCAAAAGAATAAAGGAGTAGATGACATGGCCCAGCGAATGAGGGCCGGCATGGCGGATTGTGGGACAAATCGCTTCACTTCAAAACGCATAAAGTGGTATTGGTACTCTAGCTCAACGACAATACCTTCGAAATGCTCTGGAATAGCTTCCATCGCGTACAGCGACCCCCCAAAGGGTCCTAGAGTTGTTGAGGTGCAAATATAGTAACCTGAATGGACCCATTATGGTGCCAAATATCTTGTAGGTTGGTATGGTGGCTGTCACTATATATATAAGGAAGACCATGGTGCATTGAAAACGTGGTGATACATCTTTGTACTGTCGTACTGCTATGAAAGGTACGATTGAAGATTTCCACGACTTCCATCATGACCCAAATTGGTCGGTACCACGGCGGAAATGTCGAAGTCCCATTGCTTTCTGACCTGGACATATGTCTATCTCAGCATTCTATTGCGTAGCTAGGAGAGATCGAAGTCTCAATGTTCATTTGGATGGCCGAAAGACTTGTAGTTCCTACTTTTGGAGGTTTGAAACGGGCTCAGCAATCGCAGGCATAAGCGACACCTTGAATTTGAAGGTCATGGAGGGCTACTTTATGACATGATAGAAAACGTTTGTTAGATTGGATATTGGGGTTTGGACCTCCATATCACTGAAACTAGATCAAAAAGTAGGTTACTACCCTTTTCCTCCCCATGTTTTGAATCGACCGTTACTTTCGCGAATATCGATAACCGTTCATTTCCGAGACCTGTTTCCAGGCCTACTCCATTTCCAAGACCGACACCAAAGGCAGACAACAAGAGAGAGCAGCACATACATTTACTACTATTACTGTAGGTGTAACTCCAACTGGGAAGCGAACTTCAGAAAATGCCTATCGGTAGTGCGTTCTTGGCTCCGCAATGGATCATATATGGCATCCATCATTGCTTCTGCTAGAGCTCTTCATTATAAGCTTCATCCTCATCATCTTCTGCAGGCTCCTTGCTTCTCAGCACAGCAGCCATATACTTATAATTAGATTCTTTCTTAACTTTTGCAGATTCAGTAGTAAATTCTGCAATGACGGTATTGATTTGCTCTTCCAGTTCCGTAACTTTTTCACTAGCAACCTTCTCAAGTCCATCAATCGTTTGGTATACAGCTTCTGCTAGATCCTCGAGTTCACTTGATGACATGGCTTGGTACCCAGCAATCAACTCCTTGGTTGCGTCGTCACAAAGATCCATGTTGTTCAATCCACAGGATGGCTTCAAGTTTTCCTTGGCAAAGGCCGACATATCTGCGAATTCTCTTTGCCCGTCGTAGTCCTCCAATGACGTTGGGTCGCCGAACCTGATAGTTGGGAATCCATCAATGTCGCCACAAAGTTCTTGGCTTTCGTCAGCTGTACAATCCACCTCGGCGACGAGTCCGGTCTCGCTGCCCTCCCATTCCTCGGCCAGCAATTCCCAATCTTCGGCGATGGCCTGAATTTTTATATGACGAGCATGATATGAGAAACAGTACATTCAAAAAGGGATCTTATGACAAACAAAACAGCTGATACATACCTTGCAGTATCCACACCTTTGTCACAGTATCGAGCGCAATTTAGCAAAAGATTCAGTGAGGCACCTCATGGCAAAATCAACGAGCAACAACTCTTCACATTCGTACCATGGTGCAAAGAACTTGATAAATACAGTCTTTCCTTTTGTCAATGTGAAATAGTTATCATCCGTAAGATTGATAACTTTACAAGATGCCGAGGACAGAATGGATAATGTGAAAATGGAGAAAAATAGTTTCATGGTCAAGTGTTTTTGTTGGATGGTCCTTGTTGATCAGTCATCGATTACTGAAGCTTTGGAAAAAAGCAGCGGTTATCGATATTCGCGCCTATAACGGTCGATTCAAAATCTGAAGAGGAGAGTAGTAGCCTACTTTCGGTCTAGCTTGAGTGGCATGGAGGTCCAAACCTCGAGACCCAATTTAACAAACTTTTCAAACATATTCTAAGCTATCTCTTCCTAATTCCCAAATTTAATGCCCCGCCTATGCATGCTATTGCTGAGCCAGTTTCCCAGATCCCATACCACCGACACCTCCAGCCAACAAGAGGCCTTTTGGCCATCCCAGTCGACCCTGAGACCTCAGTCTCTCGTAGCTACACAATACAATAATGGAATGGGCATGTATGGAGATACGAAAACGATAGAACTTCAGCATTCCGCCGTGGTACCAAAGAACTTGGGTCATGATGGAAGTCTTGGAAACCTTCAATCGTACCTTTCATAGCAGTACGACAGTAAGAGGACCTATCAGTGTCGTCCCAATGCACCATGACCTCCTTTACATGTATTGTGATAACTGCCATATATAGCTACAACGTATATGGCATCATAATGGGTCCATTCAGGTTACTATATTTGCACCTCAACAACTCTAGGACCCTTTGGGGGGTCGCTGTACGCGATGGGAGCTATTCCAGAGCATTTCGAAGGTATTGTCGTTGAGCTAGGGTACCAATACCACTTTATGCATTTTGAAGTGAAGGGATTTGTCCCACAATCCGCCATGCCGGCCCTCATTCTCTGGGCCATGTCATCTACTCCTTTATTCTTTTGGTCTCCAAGATCGCCTTGGTCCATACATGCGTCACAGCGACCACCCAATCTCTTCCTTATATCCTATCTATCAAAGTAATATTCGACCTACTTGATGAATGTACCTTGATCAGGACTCTGGAAGCCCAAAATGGGTCTAGAAAAGGACAATAATCGTAATGACGGCCGATTTTGGAGGTGTCTTGGTCGAATATGGGTAAATTGATGATTTGTATGCTTGTTCTGTAGTCTATGGGTATGTTGGACAAGGCTGGGGTCGTTGGTTCGGGGTATTGGTATGTATAAGAGTTCCAACCTCGATCTTCAGTATTTCCACATGAACTTGATGCGGATTCATAAAGTTGTCAGAGATGGCCGGTGGAGGCCGTGTAGGTAGTCAGACATGTTAGGACCCCAATGGACATTGTCATGATACATATACTTATCGGTTTTGAGCGTTTGTTTTCGATGATATGACGGAAGTAAGGTGTTTGGCCTGGAATCCATGGTACTCCAGTTTTCACTGTTTGGTATTGGTTTTGGAAAACTGGCGTTTGAATCCTTCCCCTAGCCTAATTTGTCACATCCGAGTCCATGGATGGCTATTGTTGATGTATAAAAGAAATACTATATTGTGGAATTGAAAAAAATGTTACTCCAATAGGGTAGTATGGTACGAAAACTAGCTCTTGTCCTTTGGGTTTCGTTGCAGTTGACTAGTTCGACCAACATAACAACCTTGAGACAGTCAATGGAGTACTTCAGACTTCGTTGCGAATAAAGAAAGCATTTCCGCTGGTTCTTACATACCATAAAGAGTATTTCTTTCTCGGTTCTAATTTATTATTACATGTCACTGTTGTCAATCTTGCACGAATCGAGATTGATCATGAAGACTCTTTTCTTGAAATGCCTTACCTGAATGGTGGTAGGTGCTATCATTATGAATATTCAATGGATGCCGCTCCCTTCGTATTGCGTTGATATTAAGGATCGATGGGGGTGCGAGCAGCCATGGATGGGGAACGGGGATCGCCAGTTTGGAGGGCGGCATTCTCCAAAACCTCTTGAGCCTTTTGTTGGGCTAGTTGTGCACGGCGTTGCTTTTCAGTCTTAGCGTCGTCATAATCCTTCACGGCTTGTCCAGCGTTGATGGACAAGGACGGCTTACCGGATTTATCTGACTTGATTACGGAGAACTGTTGATTCTTTTTCATTTGGACATACTTGTCTTTGAACGATTGCTTGGGAACTCTATTGGTTGTGTTCTTGTTGGCACCCAGGATATTGGCACCGCTGACATCATTACGTCCGTCAACTGTGTTCAAACCAACAGTTCGAGAGGCATTGGTATAGTCGTCATAGTAGGAGCTTCCGTTATCGTTTTCCGTGAGCTTGGTATCGGCGTCATCCTCCCCATTGCATCGGAACTTCTTGTTGAACGTGGTGTTGACAACGCTGCGCATTTGTTCATTCATAGACGCAAACGTGTTGGCGTTGGTTTTATGGTTGGTATTCTCCTGATTGTTGTTTACTCCAGAGTACATGCTGTCATCATCATCTGCAAATTCTGCCTCTTCGTTTGGGGCAACGCATGCAAAGAGCTTGGACACCTTGGGATTGTCCAAAGGAAGAGCTTCAGTAACCTTGTTTCGAAGGGACTCCGCAATTTCAGTAGCTCTGTCAGCGAGGCTTTGCACCATGGTGAATATCCTTTGCAGAAGGGAGGTAAAGTTGAGATTTGTTCAGGAACTGTAAGTTGAGATACGGCTTTTGATGGATTTCAAGCGATTTCAGTTTTCTGCGATCGCAGAAAAATGTGAGAGGATATACCGCAATCTTCATGCTGAAGAAAACGAATGATCAATGAGGCAACGTTACCGCTCGCGCGAAAGTTTTACCCGTCCGTCCATCCGTCCTCACGGGTTATTTTCTAATGGATCTTTCTCACAAAACACATTCTCCCTTTACTGTAGCTTGACACCAATCTATCATCTATCATCAGAATGGTCAGTCTCGAAACTACTCTCGCCGGAATCCCATTGAAAACCTGTGTCTACAATGCATCAGGTCCTCGATCTGGAAACTCTTCCGCCTTGGCCAAAGTGGCTGCCTCCAGATCGGGTGCTATTTTGGCAAAATCTGCAACCGTTTCCTCTCAGAACGGTAACCCACAGCCGCGTACCTGGCACAGCCCTGACGACAAGGCATCCATGAACTCGGAAGGTCTTCCAAACAATGGAATCGACTATTACATTGAGAGTTCAACCATTGAAGAGACCCTTGCTGGTTGCAAAGAAGGATCCACCAAGCCATACATGGTCAGTATCTCAGGAAAGACATTGGATGACAACTTGGCCATGTTGGACAAGATTAATACTTCCCCCGCGAATATTCCTCTGGTGGAACTCAACTTGGCATGTCCCAATGTCATTGGAAAGCCCATTATCGCCTACGACTTTGACCAATTGAAAATGATTTTGAAAACAATCCAATCCAAGAAATACAAGGTCAAGCTGGGTCTCAAGTTGCCCCCTTATCTGGACAGCAAGCATTTGTCACAAGCAGCCGCTATTATTAATGAATATTCGAGTATGGTGAGCTATGTAGCTAGCATCAATACCATTGGAAATGCTCTTTCGGTGGATCCAGTCTCTGAAGCCCCATTTATTTCCTCCAACAATGGTCTAGCTGGCCTGAGCGGACCAGCGGTCAAGTACACGGCTCTTGCCAATGTTCGCCAAATGCGAGAGCAATTGGACAAATCTATTGATGTCGTTGGCGTTGGAGGAATTGAAAGCGGAACGGATGTTTTCCTGTTCCTCCTCTGTGGAGCTACTGCTGTTCAAGTTGGAACCTGCCATTGGAAGGAAGGCGCCACATGTTTTGATCGCATCTGCAACGAGCTAGAAACAATTTTGCAAGAAAAAGGATATTCCAGTGTCCAGGATGTGATTGGACAGCTCAAGCCATGGTCCAAGGAGGGTGCGGCCAAATCACGAGCCGCCAAGAAGCTAGAGACTGGAGGATCTGCTGGGGCAACCAAGACTGCAAATGGGAGTAGCGACTTTGCCAAGATGTTGAACAACATTCTGTTGGTAGTGATTGCGATTCTATTGGCGGATAAGTTTGGAGTCTTGCAGTCACCAACCGAGTAAACGAGGCATTCATATATTGTTCATGTAAATCAATAGCCTGGTACTAGGTCCTGGCAGTCTTATTATATAGTTTTGAAGAAAGTCTACTACAGTATGTTGTTTATGATTTTTAGATGAATTGTGTATTGATTAATTCCGATCACTATACTCCAAAGCTAGATCCGCAGCCACATGACTCCTCAGCATTGGGGTTGAAAAATTTGAAACTATGACGAACAGAGTAAAGGTTAAGTGACAGCAATGGATGAATGAAAGCATGAAAGAACGAATGAATGAATCGAAGATGAATTATCTTCCTTATCCATGTGTTCCATGCATATAGACTTACCCTCCTCCAATCAGTTCATCGGAATAATCTAGTTCCAATCCATACAAATAAAGCATCGACTTGGCATCGACGACGCACTTGATTTTCTCCGCTTCATATTCATCCACAGCATCGTCTTCTTCAATCGCATCTTCGGTAGAGAAATCCATGACATAACTCAAACCGGAGCAACCACCGTTTCGAACTCCCATTCTAAGGACTAGATTGTCGGTCTTTTCCTTTTCCCGCAATTCCCGTAGTCGCTTCATGGCTTTGGGTTTAATGACAACAACAGCATCTTCCGGAACCGAATAGTCCACTGCATCTTCCACATCTGATGGTGCGGATTGCAATTGACGAGAGACACCAGCAGGCGCAGATGGCATCAAGAACGATGCGCTCAATTGAAGAAGAGAGAGAATTAATATGGTAGTGTATTTCATTGTCTCAAGTAGTGCAAAAGTGAACGATTGAAGTTGCGTGTTTCGATCGATTGTTTGGTGCGTGCTGGAAGTGTTGCCTTCGCATGTTCGAATGGTTCTCAAGTGGCTTGTAGGTCCCGCAGCCACGAGCGGGTAGAACCCGACCATAAGGTACAGAGGTAGTCACAATGTCATCATAGTTCAAGGATGACAATTTCACAGGTGAAGAAAGTTTGACAAAGACTCATTTCAACCCAAGTGAAGAAGCAGAAGCACTTCTCAGTGCTGGTCCTGTTTGATTGATGAAAACAACCTTCTATCAGCTTTCGGCGCCAACATTCTATTGACGTCGACGTTCCCACACCCACCCACCAATCAAATGAGGAGCAAACGCACCCGGACGTACCACGGCAAAAGGTGCGCCAAATTTGCATCGAGCTTACACGCTCAGTTGGTACTTTTGCAACGGACAGTTAGCCAGCTTTCGCGCTTTCCCACAAAAACAACAATGATGGCCAATGTAACTGATTGCAAGCGAAAGTAGAGTGAACGGCTGACAGGACCAGCTTTATTGCAACGGTATGTTCGATAGATTGAAGCGGCATGATGACTAGGAGGAGTGGTGAGATTGTCTTCCGAATGAATGCATGAATCATCATCATGCATGCTTCACGAGGAGTGTCAATCAAGTTCGAGCAGTGGCTGCAATAACGCAACCTTGCCAGACATATGCCAATGAGTATCGCACAGCAACGGCTTGATTGGAGATGATTGGATTCATCATACCAGGCCATGTGGCTGTCGAGATTTGCAAGGCAACAATCATGGGGCGCTGCTCCCACCACCCACCACCACCATCACCACCACATAATCCTCAAGACACGAATGCTGGTAGCTACCACGATGGGAATCTTTCAGCAACTCCTTGTCAGGCGGATCAAGGCTCATCGCTACTTCACGAAGGAAGCATCCCGTAAAACCTCATATTCATCAAAACCGCCACGCAATGACGTCGTCGATGCTGAATTTTTTCTGGATACTCCGACGATTTGTCGATTGTCACGGTAAGTTTCATCAGTCGCAACATGAAACAATAACTTTATGATGCCGTTGTATCAATTCTCATCTCACATACCCTTGATTTCTCATGAGCAGTGGTGGGGTTTGGACAATCAATTTTTTAAAAGCAAGCAAATGGACTGGGCTGGCATCAAAATTGTGGTCATTGCACTTCACTACCGGTAGATCCAGCAAGTCGAATGATAGTGAAGGCCGAGCGATACTATAGAGTGCCAAAGTAAGTGTTCAATCAAACACTGATGGTCTCCGTTGAAATCCTGATAAATACAATTCCACTCAATGTGCAATTGCCATCCAATACACCAGATTGATCTCATGTGAGAAAGAAAATGACAGTCTTATTCAATTCAATACTACTGTATCCATTTACAATGCCATTGGATTCGATTCTCAGAGCCGACCTCGGGTTCCGGCTAGCAACTCTGCTCTTTCGTGAAAGACGGTTTTACTGGGATCGGAAATGAAATTTCTTTCTTTCAGATTTCCGTTGGTTGTACCAATTTCACATTCCATCAAGACCAATCGCATCATGCATTTCTCAATAAACACCCTGTTCTATGTTGGTCAAAGGCTTGGTGCAAGATACCGGCATGGAGAAAATTGATTCGTTGCTAATATGCGCGCAGCACAGCAATTCTTCGAATTTGAGAATTTTACTTTCCTGTCAGCGTCATGTCATGTCGACCGACAGGAATTTTGGAGCTCACTTATCATACCACAAGTGACTGTTGGTGCAGGAGCAAGTGTTGGAAGCAGCTCACGAGCTTCCAATCTTTGAATTTATCATCAACACTATCTTTGGTGAAATGAGTAACCTTCCGAAAAGCGCTGATTACTTGCCTGTCAATGAAATCCAAAAGAAAAATCAATACTCTAAATAGTTCAGAATTCGAATGGTAAGTGGACAAAGAAGATACTGGCAACAAGATATCATTACAAAAGCAATCAATCACCTCAGTTTATTTCATTTTGTTGCAAAAGAAGGTTGATTGCTGTGATCATGCACCTGTGCATCATCCCCCTTTTTTTGTTTCATTTCGAAAGCATCATGACAACTTGACATGAATCGCAACATGTCCATCGATTGTTGTTCAGCTTTCGACCTTGAGTCTTCATATCAAGATTGCCTTTCATGACAATTGTCTAGAGTTTTGATCCAACTAGTTGGAATTGATGTAATATTGGGATGACAGGTCACATTTGATAATTCACTTGAGCCTTGGACCTTCAGAACAACTCTCATGACTGCATGATATTGGGATGCTTCAATTCAGTCGCCTCGTACATTGAGACTTGAGACCAACCTTATCTATCTTCTGATTTGGCTTCAGCCCTGGCCAAGCAATCTATAATCATCTTTGGAAGAATGTGTCGATGCATTATGCTTGACAATTCAGCTTATCGTTTGACCTTCAGACATCAGACCAACTTCAAATCAAGATAATGTTTGATGATTCACTTCAGCCTTGGAGCGCGAGACCTTCGGATCAAGATTATATTCGTTGATGGCTGGCTGCAGCCTTTGATACAGATTTGTTTGCATGGTTGACGACGGATCAGATATCACGCTTGACTTTAGTCTGCTTGGACCTTTACACATCAGATCAAGGTATGTTAGATTCCAGGACAGTTTATACTTGACATCGGCCTTCAACTCATCCTTGCTTACCTTCAGCCACCAGGGATCTTCAGCCATCACTTTCCATCCTTCCACCCAACCAAGAAAGAACACACGAGACATTCCGTTGAGGCGAGGCTTGACGACGAGAGTCTCAGCCTTCAGCTGTCATGATTTGAATTGACTTCTCATCAGAGCCTTGGCGCTTCGGTTTGAACACAGTCACAAGTCTTGGCTTTTGAATTTTGAATGATGGCGGTGGTGTCAAGAACCTAATTTGAAAGAAGGTTCCACTTTTCGAAATTCAAATTGATGTCGGATGATGTTTGATTTTCACGCCACTTTCTGAAATTCAAATTTACCTGCCATTCACTGGGCAAAAGTGTTCTTCTCGTAGGATTGTACTAGAGTGTACGAATATCTTGATGGTATTCTGACTTAGAGCCTCCCTGTTTTCCAATTAGAGCGACAGTTTCAAAACGTTGCTCGGCTCGTTCACAAGAATCAAGTCGATTTGTTTGAAAACCGTCGTCTAAAAACGACTCTTCGAAAAAAATAGATCGCTTTGAATCGCCGAAACGATTCTAAAAACAGCACGTGCTTACAAGAAAATCTCTAAGCAATAAAGTCGCGTGATTGCTCTCGACTCTTGTATATTGTATGTGATTCCTATTTCCATGTACGGGATTTGCTGTAGATTCCTATATCCGGCCAGCTTCAAAATTTGTGAACATTCCGTTATCTACAGTCAACGGATCGATTTATTAGGTTACTTAGCCGCTGTCAGATGACCTCAGATGTCGTGTCATAATCAGTTGTTGTCTCACTTCCAATTGTTTAGCCTAAGTATCGAGGAACGGTCTATAAGAAGGCATGTCACACATTGTCTATAAATTGGCGCCTTCGCACTATGCCACCCTTTTTTGTGACAAAGGTTTTGAACTCGATTCATCAGCTGCAGCCACAGCAACTCAGGTTACCCGCCGACTTTTGAATAGGTAGGGAACCACCTTTCGTACCACGGCGCCCTATCCTTGCAGGGCCCACCTTCTCTTCGCTCAGGGGAACATCATCCCGTGACGCAAAGATCATTTGAATCTCTCTCGCGCCCACGTTCAAAAGCAGAGACTTCATTTGAATACATCTCGTTCCATTCCACGAGAGGCCTACCATTCCTGGTAGAGAGGCACATCACCTCGAGCCACAAAGGAAGCCTCCTCTTTCCGTTCTGCTATCAAAGCTTTCGGTTTGAACCTGAACAGACACTTGAGCCGCCAGTTCATTTCCGTTCTGACTGGCATCAGGTTAGGTTCCTGCTTCTGATTGTCCGTTCCTGACAACAGAGTTTCAGTTGCAGTCTCAACCGAAAGCCTTGTCTAAGTAACCTAAAGACATAAGCTTGGCATCACATCCGTTGCCCTCCCTCCACATCACCAAAGAGTCTTTGCTCATAGCACTTGACCTGGAGGGAGACATTGAGGCTTGTCACAAAGTACATCCAGTACCTAGTACATTGTTCACTCCGACCTTGAGCGATTGAAGAGTCCACTTCCTTCCTCTCACAATATCAACTTCAGACAAACCTGAAAGCATATCACACTCACACACATACTTTGATACTTCATCCATCAACTACTTTTACTTAACACTTCAACATGGCTGATTACGATGAACTAAGTGAGAACCGCAAGAGAAGTAGCCCTTCTCCTGTCTCCTCTTCCAAGTCTAGCAAGAGAGCCAAGACCAAGGCATCCCCTGCTGGGGAGAAGTCCAACCGTGGACTTCGCCACTTTTCTATCATTGTCTACAACAAGGTCAAGGAAAAGGGAACCACCACCTACAATGAGGTTGCTGATGAACTTGTCCAAAAGGTTCTGTCTGAACGATCTGATGAAATGAAGGGCAAGGATGACGAGAAGAATATTCGCCGTCGTGTCTACGATGCCCTCAATGTTCTATCTGCTTTGGATATTATCACCAAGGAGAAGAAGGACATTACCTGGAATGGTCTTCCGACTGCCAAGAAGCAAGACCTTCAACAGATGAAGGATGAGATCGCCCAGAGAGAGCGACAACTTCAAGAGAAGAAGCAAGTCTTGAAGGAACTACTTGTTCAAAAGGTTAGCTTCCACAACTTGGTCAACCGCAACAGTCACAGCGCTATGCCGAGGGATCACATTCCCTTGCCGTTTGTTGTGGTCAACACCCACTCTTCCTCTGTTGTTCAATGCGACATGAGCCGAGACAAGACTGATGTTATGCTCGAGTTCTCCATGCCTTTTGAGATCAATGATGACAACACCATTCTCAAAAAGATGGGAATGTAAGTACTCTGAATCGCAACATCCATATTATCTCGATCCAACTAGACTTTTTCACTCACAGACATTCTTCTTCTTGATTGATGATAATACAGGGACAAGACAAACTACCGTGACTTGCAAACTATGTTGCCTCCTGACATTCTTGAATACTGCCGAGACAACCAAATGCTTGATCACGTCATGCACCCCCAGCACATGCCGCCAATGCAACACATGCATCGGCCCATGGAACCTTACCACGGGCACCCTGCCCATCACCGAGCACACTACTATGACCACATGGGTCCTTAGACTCGAGGATTGGGATTGGCGGGGACGCCAAAAGAACTTTGTGCAATATCCACGACCCTCTTATCAAGGATGAGAGAATGAATGAACTATTCATTCGTTCCATCATTAGAGACATGTGGAGCTCTTTCTGCCCAATTCCTGGGTGAAAGAGACATTGCGCTCTGCCGACTTGAAGACTTGCATTTACTCCTGACGCGGATTGGACCCGACGTCTCTCAATGCAGTTGAATGTGACGACCAACATCAGGTGATCTTTTCCCAGCATCATTTGTATCGTGAAGCCGAATATTCCGGGCATCTACGATTTCAGTCGTCCTTATTTATTCAACATATTCAACATTCACACCGAACCAACAATAACAATAATAATAATCACACAAAATTATGGTATAACATCTATTGATGCTTTTGTAGATCTTTGTATAAAATATGTAAAAAAAAAAGGCTTGGATCTTGTACCAAATAATTTTGTCTTGGACAAAAATCGTCTTCGTGCAATTGAAAGAACTACCAGCTAATCACATTGATCCGCAATAGGACAGCAGCTCAAAATGTTATTTGCGGAAGACATACTAGAATCATAGGAAAAGTAGGTAAATGGACGAATCTCGTAAGATACGAGTTTGTTCCGAATTTGAAAGTGCTTGGCGTCACTCCCCTAGGATTTCACCTCAAAAGCAATGTCGGTACAGCCCACACCTCCAGCATAGCGGTAAATAGCCAAACGCATTTCAACTGGAAGCTTTTGCTTTCTGGATTCGTGCGCATGCAGACGATCGATAGCATAATCACACAACTCCTTGTTTAGCTGCGATAGCCATGGATGCTTTGTATTGACGATCTTCCGAACAGGTGTGATGGTGAAATTACCAGGCGAATCACTCATAGCTGGAATGATACCATCGTTGTTAGGCATAAAGTCCAGCTCTATCACCATGTTATGTGGTCTCAAGCCTTTCTTTCGACACTCTTCGGCCATCTTCGACTTCAAGCGGATGTTATTTTTGTTGACAAACTGTGCCACCATCGCATTTGCAATCTCTTCTTTCTTCTTGTCCTTTGTTGAAATGGGAATACAGCCTTCCTTGTGCTTCTTCCAATGAGCTAGGTCAAACTATTGATGAGCGGTATAATATGCGAAACGACAAAGCGAGAACAAGCTGCATACCTCTTTGACACTCCTTGGAGCAGTAGCTGTAGCTCTTGCAACGTCCACACATCATTAGCGGCGTTTCCGACCCTTGTCTACAGTAAGCACACCGATGCAAATTGTACTCTATGACGGATGTCTTTGTACCAGCGGCATCAAGTGATCGTAAGGACTGGACAATACCCTGTAGCTGCTTGGTGACAAAGGCTTGTGTGTTTGTATGGCCATCTTTGCCATCGAGAATCGCCAAGACAACGTCGCCACGCAAGCTTCCTTGAACTTTTTTCGTAGCAGTGAAGGACAAGACACAATGGCTGTCACGATTCTATCCACTATTTCGTCTCGAGCGTCGACGGATGCCTGTTCTTGCGGCACTGCCATGCAGCGCAGACATTCAGAGAGAATACCACTTGCTTCCAGCTTTTTGAATGTTCTGTCGGTGGACCATGTATTATCAAATTGAGTTTGTGATGTCACGAATGCTCCATCAACAATCATGGGAACCCACCCGGCTATCGTTTCTGTGGGTAACCCACGAACATTTCCCTTGCAAGCCTTGACAAAATCAGCCAAGACAGAAAAGAATTCGCTTTCAAAAGCAAAAGCCACAGGCACTGCATGGTCTCGAAGCATGGATACACAGTTGAAAAGAAAGTATTGTTCGAACATTTTCAAGGTTCCGCTTTGAATCCATTTTCGATTAGTCGTTTATTTCTTGAGATCGTCAATGATATGTTCCAACCAAAACTGAATCTCAGTTCTCGGAATCTTCGCCCGAAAGAGATCGCGATCAGCATGTATGGCGAATGCGGATAGAAAAGCCCAGCCCTCCTTAAAAGCATAGCCTTATCATTGCAGCTGAGGCGTTTCTTGTTGCAAATCTTCTTGATCTTCTTCAAAGTTGACGAAATGAACACGTCACACCCGGAATTCTCATCTCTCAAGAAAGCATTAGCGCCTTCGTCTGTGGAAATGTTCACAGTGCTGCCATCGCTCAATGTCACATTGCAGGGAGTATGTTTAAATCTTTGATGCCCATCCTTAAGACTCATGTTCTAAGTTTGCTGGTACAATAAGTGTCGGTGGGTTGTAAAAGTTTTTGTTTTTGTGATGGACAAATTGAAATGAACTAAAATTGCCTATTATTGGACTACTTGGACACAATGAATCTCCTGACGTTCGAAGATATGAGTAATAGTACTTTATTTCGAATCAGCGACCCCAGCTGATTATGCAAATTACAAATACCCGTTATAAACCATACCAGTTAATTATACGATATCATACTTGTTAATATTGAAATACGCAGTCCTAGTCCTCCTACTTGGCTACTACTGTTGTCTATTCTTTTTCTTTTGGCCACCACGACCAATCATTTGTTTGAGACTGGATAGATCCAAATCCGTCGGCAGAAAGATTTGCGGCCCCGCAAACAAGTTAGTGTCCAGTCTAGTATCGACATTGGCACCCACGTATATGGCATCCTTGCCGGCAAACCAATTTTCAATCCCCTTGGTCGAATCATAACACTTGAGCGTTTGAGCATATTTGTCAACGTCGCAAAAGAATCGTTGCCGTCGTTGATTGTCATTATTAGAATTGAGTATTCGAGAAAGCGGCAAGGATTGGGTAAAGGAAGAATATTGTCCCGCAATGAGAACGTCCGCATATTCACCCAGCCCCACCATGTCCATCATTTGATACTTCCAACTATCGAGACAGGTAGTCAGATTGGCATGGTCGCCATTGTACGACACCCCACCGCCTGTTGTCGGATAGTCTTGCGGCGTCACCAAGATTGGAATCGAGTCATCAAAACGTTGTCGAAAATAATCCACCACCGAAGAAGTATCGGTGGCCAAAAAAATGACGGCCTTTTTCCTGGATTGTGTCATCAGTCTAGGATCTTTGACCACAGACTGTTGCAACACATTGGTAATGTTGGATAGCCACCCTTCTAAATTGCCCTGTCCCAATTGTCGATACTTTTCAAAATCTCCCACTTCCCCATTGCCCGCTCGAATGTGTACACCAATAATAGTAACGCTGTCATCAGTCAAGTAAGGAGCAAACAACTGTTCGACATCCCTCCGAAACTGATAGTTCTTCAAGAGGGCGGTGTAAAATTCAAAATCCGTCGTCAATTTGCCATAATAAGGAGGGTTTACTTTTTGAATTTCCTGATTGTCATACATGTGCGTGTATCCCTCCACTTCATTGATGATTTTGACTTCCTGCTGCGGAACTAGGACCTTGGAGGAGGCATCTGGAAAGAGAGCTTGTGACAATGATTCTGGCGAATTGTGGGACAAAAACGGAAACAGAACCCTTTGATCCTCTTTGTTTGGTGCAAGTGACGGAACCATCATGGTCGAATTGCCAAACAGAAATTGGAATATGTTTGGTTTGGCCCGACCACTGGGACAGAATCCCCTCCACATGATTTCAATCTCGGGAACTGGTAAGATTCTCGCCAAATGATAGACGGAGGACATTCGGATCAAGCGATGACCAAGCCCCGCCACGCCGACGTATTTGATCTTTAATGGAGGACGAGTTTCTGATTGCACTCCCGATGATTGCCCTTTCCAACCACCGCCTCGGACACCCGCCGAAGTCTCCCATTGATGAAAGCCATCCAATCCATTCCACGACGACGATGACGACTCGGAAGATGACACCAAATATCCTGAATACAATACGTTCAACAATCCAAAGGCAGTCACGAGACCAATCAGTGTTCGATTGCCAAGTGATGAAGATTGACGCCTCGTCGTCATTTGACTCGCCGTCACTCCATTGCTGAGAACCCCATCGACGTCGCCAGTTCTTCCAAAAGTCATGGACCTTTTCCACCGGTGTCAACTTCCGCTGGCGAATGTTTGGCTTTTGGGCCTTCTCCTTCGATCGGATTGTTAATAACTAATACCTAATCGTGAGGAATGAGGATCGGCCGGCGTACATGTGTGTCTGTCCATCATCCGGATTACTTCCGTTTCAGAGGTCTGAAAACGACGCAGATGGTCGCAAAACTGTTTGCTTGCGGTAAAAAACGACGTAACAGCTGGTACAAACACAAGTATCGTAAGTAAGAATCCCGTTCGGACTTTCTATTCTGGTACTGGCTTCCACCAAAAAATCCAGGTAGGGTTCCCATCCTTTCGTTCGTAGTGATTCTACGGACATCATACGTACAAGAAGTGAACGAACGCCAGTGAAAAATGGGCAGGTCACTCGGATCTTGTCAAGACTCCACGACAGTGTTACTCATAATATTGTCGTTATCGTACTCGATACTACATTCATTAATACCCAAACAAAACTATATCATTCAAGATGGATCGCGACGCTCTCGTATACAAGGCCAAGCTTGCTGAACAAGCCGAGCGCTTTGATGAAATGGTCCTTCAAATGAAGGAAGTGGCCAAGCAACCCACGGAGTTGTCGGTCGAAGAACGTAACTTGTTGTCTGTTGCCTACAAGAACGTGATTGGAGCCCGTCGTGCTTCTTGGCGTGTTGTCACCAGCATTGAGCAAAAGGGATCCGACAAGATTGAGATCATCAAGGACTACAAGCAAAAGATTGAAACTGAGCTTGTTGACATTTGTAATGACATTTTGGGAGTCATTGAGGAGTCATTGATCCCCAACTCCACTGCTGAGGAAGCCAAGGTCTTTTACTACAAGATGAAGGGAGATTACGTAAGTTTACTGTGATGGATTGTGGTGGTGGTTGTTGTTGTTGATTTGCCCATTCATGAATGACGTGATGCTCACACGATTCATTCATTCATTGATTCACTCCTTTCTTCACCCTTTAGCACCGTTACCTTTCCGAGTTCCAAGTTGGCGATGTCCGCAAGGAATCTGCCGGAGCCGCCCTGGATGCTTACCAAGCCGCCAGTGGAATTGCCTCTTCTGACCTTCCACCAACGCACCCCATCCGTCTTGGACTTGCCCTCAACTTTTCCGTCTTTCACTACGAGATTCTGAACTCGCCAGACCAAGCGTGCCAAATCGCCAAACAAGCCTTTGACGACGCCATTGCCGAGCTGGATACGCTGAACGAAGAATCATACAAGGACTCTACTCTTATCATGCAATTGCTTCGCGATAACTTGACCTTGTGGACAAGTGATCAAGATGCTGATGGTGCTGATAAGGATGAAGAGTAAACTGAAACTGTACCGGTATCGTGACCGAACAGTGTACTACGTTACTACTACTTACTCATCCGTCTAATCATCATCATCTAGGGGCTGAACATGTTGTTGTTGCTGCCTGACTAATCTTGCAGTCGTCTTTTTTAATCATTTTCTAAATTTGTTATTCGTTTGGCAAATCTATTTCATTTTTGTACTGCTACTGTCATTCTGCTGGATATGCTGTAGTGATTGTTGTCTGACTTCAAAGTGTTGATGGATGATGCAAGATTGTCACTTTGGCTCGTGCAAGCCTCGCCAAAACTAGGAGATGACATGTTCCTGATCGTATAGTGATAGTATAGTGTACAGACAGGTAGGGAGATGAGGAGGTTATTAAAGACTGAACAAGGCGAGAGGATTGCAGCCAGCGGTGAGGGAAAGATCCATTGAGTAGCTTATTTTGCTACCTATCAACATTTTGAGCGAGAGTCTCGATGCATTTGCATGTCGCACGACTGACTGGGACTGACTGACTCACTTGAGCTTTCGGTCAAAGGAAATCATCCTCGTCAACAAACAGTACAGTACTGATATGGTAGTAGAACATGATCATGGGATTCGCAAATGTCTGCAGCATAGCAAAAGAGGAGTTGTGATATTCTGATCTTTCTGCCCATTAGCATATGTTGTCAAACAAACCAATGTAGCATCTAGTAATACTACGTCTCGAGATATATAATCTATAGCCTTAGGAACACACAGTGCTTTATTATTCTTATTGGCAATCACCGCTCCGCAGTTCTCGCAGAATATCCAAAAAGCCATTCGAGTCTGGGGAAATTTGACCAGTTCGTATGAGGTAATCAATAATGACAACATAACAGTTGGGTTTGATCGGATCGGCATAGTCCATTGCCATGGATTCCTTGACCTGGTCCATGGTCCAAAGCATAAAGCCTTGGACTTCTCCATCGACTGGTTTTGGCTCAAAGTCTGGGGGGAGGTAGAGATCGTACGTGAATTGGACGGCTCGAGTCAGTTTGTCGCTCTTGGGATCCCAGTTTTCGTAACTAATGGCTCCCACCGACTGGACTCCAGCTCTTACAATACTTTCCTCAATGCCTGCTTCTTCTTCGCATTCCTTCACTACATTATCTATTAAGGAGATTCCGGATGGTTGTCCACCAGCAACAATGTGATCCAACATGCCTGGAAACTTGGATTTGGTGGCCGACCGTCGGCCAATCCACATCTTTGGTTCGTCCTGTCGGGATTCCTGGACGATGCCATTGATGTGGACACCGTATTCCAAGACTCCCAAGACGGTTACAGCAGCACGTTCCATGAGAAATACAGGTGGACTGTAAAAGTTTTCGGAAACGGGAAACAATTCGTCCCTCCAACCCTTGACGAAACCTTCGTCACGGAGTTGGTTCATCACAGTTCCGACGGCTTTGGTGCGTTCCTCCGAAGAGGTTCCTGCATCAGAGGTCAATGTCAAATAAGATTTTTTTTTACTATCATCCTCTTGCTTCAATTCGAATACCGACGTTTTCATATTGCACAGCATTTCAGCGATTCCAGGTCGGACCTAGTATGTGACAATCGTGTCATATGCATGTCCAAGGATAGGTATAGGTATAGGTATAAGTGCAGTGAGAGTAGAGAATGAGATGGAATGATGATGCAAAACGTACAGGTATACGCAACTCTACTTACTTTTCCAACCTTGTAACCATCCACTTTAAAATCCAAAAGGGTTGCACGAATGTCGTGAGGCATGTTGTTCACCGCTTTTACTCGGCACAACATGTCGTTCATGAGTTGTTCCTCGTCAATTTTGGTGGCCATGGTTCGAATTTTGGATCTATGTTGCCTCAAAGATGGAACTACAAATGCTCTAGTGGAAGCAACCGACAAGAGCCCACACATTACAGTCAATGTGAGTCGTAGTGGAACCATCCTTATTGCCACCCCGAGAAAGTGGTGGAGGTTTTCTCCAAATCCGGGTTCTTATCAGGATCCAAGCTGGAGGATGAAGTTACTGTAGAGATTGAACCGCTGAACTGCCATCCATTCTACCATTTAATTAAAATAACACTTCTGATTACAATGGCCATTCTGATCTATATATCTATATTGTTTGAATGAATGAATGAATGATTGAATCAATCCTATTCCTACTACATGATTGATTGATTGATTCATTCACCAAATTCGACCCATTTTGTGGTTCAAAATTGATTCCCAATCCGGGCAGTTTCCGTTCCTGACTCGTCTCCACCGTTGTTGTTCTTGGTTCTCAATCAAGAGATCATCTTCTTCTAGCAGTTGCCTTCTCATGGGAGATGTCACGTCATTGATCGCCATTTGAACCGGAACGCTGCCTCTGACAATATAACGGATCGAACCAGGCTGATCGTAGTGGGGATCTAGTTTCACACTCTTGAGTGATGGCTGCAGAGTGGAATCCCAACTTGCGGTTGGCAGCGTTTGTTGGAGTGTTTTTTCCAGACTGACTGGGACGATCGAGGCGGCTGCAGAAGAACAAGTGTCAATAGTAGGTGCCGGTGATACGCTCGGGTAGATGATTCCAAATGAGAAATCGAGTTCAATCAATCGACTGACGCTGCGCGGTGAACGATTGACTTCAGGCTGGGAGGAGTTTGCTGATTGCACTGCTTTCGTCGCTCGAGCTGTAGTATCAGGAGTTTGATATCCTTGTTTAGCTTCGCTGCTAACTTCGTTTCTCGTTGGTGTGGCTGGCAACTTGTTTGCATCCTCCTTGTCTTCATCCTTCGTCTCTTGAGCAGTAGTCCCACCAGATTCCATATCTGCCATTAACGGATTTGACCTTTGTCCGGAACCCTTTTCGGTTTGCTGCACTTTGTCAATAAATTCTTGATACGGTTTCGAGTCTGAAATTCCAAAATCACTACTCCGAGCGTCAGGAGACACCAAGATTCCACCACCTATGGAATGCCTTGGTGATGACAGATCAAGTTCCTTAAAATCTTCAAAGCCATGATCTTGAATCATCTTTTCAAACTCAGCAATGTGCTGTTCGACATGCTCTCGCCATGACTCTTCAGTCATCTCACTTGGCACGTCAGGTTCCAATTCCGCAAGCTTTGCATGAAGACTTTTGCTGTCTTCCAATAGTTGCTTTCGATACTGAGCAACCATTTTTTGATATTCTTTGATGTCATGCTCACCACCCTTGTACTTCTTCAAGGATGCCAGAGCTTTCTCTCGGTTCAGGCGGTCGGCTTCCTTTAGTTCCCGTTGTCGCTTCTGCCACAGGCCCTGTTGTTTGCTTCGATAGTTGTTGAGAATCGTAGCGGCTCCTTTCTTCTGTTCTCGGTCAGCTTCCTTTAGTGCCTTTTGTTGCTTTTGCCATTCTTCCATGTAACTCATTTTTGCCTATTGTGTTGGATGTTGGGACAATATATCTTGAATGATTGCTTCCGATACTCTTCTGGTTCTCTGATACCAAAGATGAGTTCAACTCGCTAAGACTATTTTTTTTTAGCAGTGACTCCAGAATTTTCGATCTTGCCACACCTCTTTTTCTCGCTGTTTTCGCGGGCTTCTAGAAATTTAGCCTAAACGACTTCTCTGACTTGTATCTTTTTTACATCGTCAAGTTTCACAATCGAAAATCCATTTCTTCACGACCCCAGGTCAAAGATCCTTCTCGTTCTTGGACGTATATACAACCGACAACATGACGGTTCTTTCCACCTTTGCCAAGATTGGTTTGGGGCTTGGGCTCTCATTTGTAGCATACAAGACATATAGAGGACTGACCATGACCGAGGAGGAAAAGAAGAGAGAAGCAAACAAGAATTATTGGTTGGATCGTGTCCATCCAGAGCTGCTCAATCCAGTGGTTCGATATCAACCTGATCTCAACTTCAACACTGAACGTAAGGTTCGGTTCTTCAACTTTTTAATGGGGATCAAAGGCCCCCCTACGAAAGGGGTCAAAGCAGAGGACGTCCCAGGCATTGGAGTATGGTTTTCTCCCAAAGAGGAGGAAGGCGACACGAAAAGAGATCCCAAGGTTGCTGTTTTATATCTTCATGGTGGTGGTAGAATCATGGGTCTATATTCAAGTGGATTGCAGGCCATATTTTGCTCCAGACTTGTAAAACATCTCAATCTCCCTGTGTTCAGCGCCAAGTACCGCACCGCTTTGATTGATGATCCCTTTCCAGCGGCGCTGAATGACGCAGTGTAAGCATATCATTCGACAAACTGGGTCTACCGGTATATTTTGCTTCACCTGTGTCTCCTGTCAATAAAATCTTGTGCGTCATTCTTATATTTTGTGTCCTACTTTTCAGTGACGCCTACAAGTATCTTGTGGATTCCATCAAGAAACAAGACCCAACGGCTACCAACGACAACATTAAGATTGCACTCTGCGGCGAGTCTGCTGGCGGTGGTTTGGCAGCAGAAATGTCACAACGTTTGCTGGACGAATACAATTCCAACAATACTAAACAAGAATCATCTTATCCATTGCCCGTGGCACAGCTCTTGATCAATCCCATGTTGGATGACAGGACTTCGGTAGAACCAAAGGAGGAATATCCAGCGAATCACTTGATTTGGAACCATCACAGCAACATTTATGCATGGTCTACCTATTTGGGACCCAATCACAAGCCAGGTCAAGACAAACTGCCAAAGTATGCTGCTGCGTCGCGACGAGAAAATTTCAAAGGTCTCCCACCTGCATGGATTACGGCTGGAAGCCTCGATTTAATGTGTCCAGAAGCGGCGGACTATGCCAAACGGCTGAAAGAGGCGGGGGTACCAACGGAATATCTGGAAATAAAGGGGGCATATCACGGTTTTGTAACCATTTGTGAAGGAGATGAGCCTCCCACGATCCCATTGTGGAAGAGTTTCAGGGAGTTTGCTCGGAAGTATTTGTTAGATGAATGAATGAATGAATGAATGAATGAAACGATTTTGAAACGGAGATCATGCATGTGGACATAATTTGATGACGATCGCATACATCGTCTTGAAATCACAGTGCTATACTGTTGTGAATGGCTGCCTGGCAAATATTGCACAATATGAAATCGTCGATACTGACTCTGTGGTGTATACTATTCTGATGCAATTCAACAATGGATTTACTGCTACCTACCTACAATCAACAGAAATAGCAGAGATATCATCGCACCAGTCCCAATCACACCAATTCAAACTTGCACAGAACTACATCTTGTCTTTTAAAAAAAAAATAGTTACAAGCATCAAGTTCAACCCTAGCTCTCGAAAAAGACGGAATGGATACCAAATACCAAAAAGATGAAACCTCCTCCCAGAGACACAGTCCTTTCTGAAATTCTTGCAGCCAACATTCTTCCTCCCAAAACAGCCACACCAGTACACATTGTATGTCCAATGCACCCTCCAAGGGTGACACCATATGGATTCTTAGCAGCAGCAAGGGCTATTGTAGCAATCTGAGAACGATCTCCCCATTCGGCCAAAAAAGTCAATGAAAATGATTGGATCGCGACTTCGGCAAACCCAGTTTTCATTGGACTTGTTGGAACACTGCTTTGACCAGATTCTTCATCCTTCTTGGGATGCAAAAGTTCCTCTTCCACTTCTTCCAATTCCTCACTGACGGCATTGGCATCCATACTTCGCGAGTCATTGATTAGCTTGAATCCAAAGTAAAGGAATAAGAATCCTCCAAGAATGTGTGTGTACTTGACAGGAATCATGGTTGGCAAAACGAGACCCATGAGGGTACTAAGAACTGTCATGACATACAAAGCGAGTACTGCTCCAAGAAAGACAGCAGATCGTTGTTGTCTCATGCTCATCACCGCGGCAATGAAAAAGGTCTTGTCCCCAATTTCAGTAGCAATGATCATGGAAACTCCAGCTGTAAATCCCTTCCAAAATCCTCCTTTGCTAACCGGCAGCCATCCTCCTGTAGGAAATTGTTGAGCAATCACCTTCCATCCATGTGAGAATTCTTCCTTGCTCAATTTGGAATCGTGATTTTCGTCCAATCGATCAAAAAGACCCGACGGAGGGAGCTCTTGTGCGCAGGTTGTCCATAGTGTGCAGCACAGCAACAGAAGAAGCAGACTGCGCCGAGAGAGCATCATATTATTGATCCTGGAATATTATATATATATATATATATATATGTCTATACTGAAATGGAAGCAACACTACCACCGCAACAATGAAGTGCCGAATTATTGTAGCTTTTGGTCTTTCCCAATGCGCAGGTGCGACAGTCACACGTGCTATGATGATTCAAACGACCAAAACGTCGGTCAGACCAACGCCTCTTTTTTGTTTTTTTATCATTCATTCTTCTTTTCACTTCTCATGTTTTATGTGTTGTTCATTGGCGTTCGCATTGTACTTGGTACCGGTACATCATGACCTCATGACATTTCTCAGTATTATTATTTTACATGAATGAATAATATTCTATTTCACAAAGGAAAAACACTACTCTGTCTTTATCTCATATCACTGATTGCCATGACGACATCTTCCGAAGAAATCTATGATTGCATTATTATTGGTTCGGGCCTGGCTGGAATGACGACCGCTCTCAGTTGCCTGGATCGTGGTGCCAAGGTTGTCATGCTGGAAAAAGAAGCCAAACTTGGAGGCAACAGCATGAAGGCTTCTTCCGGCATTAATGCTGCTTGTCCTATTGATGATGGTGATGGCACTACTACTGTCTCCCAACAACAAGAGATTGACGCCTTTGTACAAGATACCAAAAAGTCAGCGGGGAGTCAACCAAACGCGGCCTTGATTGAAATCTTGGTGAACCAGTCTGCACCAGCACTGATGTGGCTCAAGGATCGAGTCCAAGTGGATCTATTGCAATGCAAAACCCGACTTGGAGGACATTCCTCGAAGCGTACCTTTCGGCCTGTCAAGGGTGCGGTCGGATATTCGGTCATGAGTGGCATGCAAAAAGCGCTGGAGGCATATCATGCAGCTGAGAGTGGTGATGGTCAAGATCCATCTCCACCATCCAACAAGGGTAGACTCACCATCATGACGGAAATCAAAATGACTGGATTGGTGACAGGTGAGGATGGCAAATCTGTGATTGGTGTGACGGCCACTGCTGGTCCTGAATCATCATCAGAGGAAACTATTATTCAGTTGAAATCCAAAAATATCGTTTTGGCGACTGGAGGATTTGCTGCCGATCGAACCAAGTCATCCCTCTTGGCCCAACATAGACCGGATTTATTGAAGATGCCAGCCACCTTTGGGGATTTCTCCACGGGCGACGGGATTCAATTGGCAACTAGTACTACTTCTTCCATCAAGGCAAAAACCTGTCTCATGGACAAGGTTCAGATCCATCCCACTGGATTTGTTGATCCTGCCGATCCCACCAGTCCCACCAAGTTCTTGTGCGCAGAATTACTCCGAGGCATTGGTGGAATTCTATTGAATGAACAGGGAGAGCGCTTTTGCAATGAACTTGGAACACGAGATTACGTGGTGAACAAAATGATGATGCAAGAACAGCAAGAAAAAGTCTTTTACATCGTGCTTGGATCCAACGCAGCCAAGGCGGGAGCCGAACATGTTGGATTCTATACCTGGAAGAAACTGCTACAGAAACATACAGGAATCCAAGAGACTGCTCAAACCATGGGGATTCCAAAAGAAAGACTAGAGGCTACCATTGCCGACTATTGCGCCGCCGCCTCCAAGGGCGCCGAGGATGCTCATGGCAAGACCTTCTTTCCCAACCTCTTTATGGACAACTTGCAAGAAGAAGAGTTTTTGGTCGGAAAGGTGACGCCTGTATTGCACTATTGCATGGGTGGGTTGAGTGTCAATCCTCAAGGCAAGGTATTGGACGAAGACAACAATGTCATTCCTGGTTTGCATGCTGTAGGAGAAGTAGCCGGAGGCACTCACGGCGATAACCGTCTGGCTGGTAACAGTCTATTGGAATGTCTGGTCTTTGGACGAATCATTGGAGAGAATCTGCCTCTGCAGCAAGAGGCTGATGAAACAAAAGTTGTGGTGCAAGAAACAACAACTCATTCCTCCAAAGTGAACACGAGAAACACCGAATGCGCCTAAAATTGATTAAAAAATGATGTAGTATATGGATTCTATTCATGATATATAAAGTAAAAATGGAAGTGCGTTGCTTGCTTCTTAGACCACCAATGTGGAAAAGTCATCCATGATAGAGGCAAAGTCGACATCTGAAAGGGCTCGGTTTCGTTGTCTTCGGCGATGTGACGATCTCTTTTGTTGCGTAGACTGGCTAGTGCAACTATCACTACTGCTATTGTTCAGGGGATGTTGTTGTTGTTGTTGATTTGTATCACAGGACGATACCGAATCATCTTGGTCCATGAGCGAGGAGAATAGACTCAAGGTATCTTGTTCTTGCAACAGCACCAGGCTGTCTGTTCGTGACTCTTTTGAAGCCTCCTTCTCAAAGGCAATCATTGTGGGACTAGCGGGATAACATGATGGTAGCCCAATGGATGGTGCGGATCTCCGTTTGGAAACTAACCTCACCACTTTCAGTGGTGTGGTAGAGAGAGTGGGGCCTTGTGGTGATTGAAGTGGAGTCATTGTTGTATTTATGGTTTTGCTTTTGCTTTTGCTTTGAAGCTGTAGTCAGTCGTATTTTATGAGAAGAGGAGATGGTTTAGAATCTTGCCAAGAAGAAGAGCGTCAAGACCAGCTAGAGTTGCAAACTATTCTTCGGTGGTATGGAAGAAAACACAAAAAGGGCGCCGAAGTCTCCTTCGCTGGTATTAGTCAGTGATGGTTTTCGTATCTTCCGTTTGGCTACTTTTTAACTTGTAACAGCCAGTTTGGCACTGGCCTCACCGGTTTACATAGTCGTGTGAACGGGCTGGCGTCCGTTAGAATCGGCCGACGCGAAAATAGCTTTAAATGCGAAACGACGCACTCGGATCAGAAGCCAAATCAGAACGACAAGAAGATACCCTTCTTCTGAACAAGAATGGTGTCATCACGGGACTGTTATTGTGGAACGTGGAACCACTGGGAAGCAATTCGACGTTATCGCCAAGAACTATTATAAGAACCCAAGAGTAAGAACTTCTCAATGTATGCATGCATGCAAGATCCAAAGTGTTGGGAGATTCACCTTTGTCATTTTGCACAGTAGATAGAAAACACGCAGAGTACCAGGTACAGCAGTATTAGGTAACAAACTAGTTCGAGGCGGCCGGTATCCTCGCTAAACTATCTCTTGCGCATGAACAAACAAATTGTTGGTAAACTGATGATGGTCTGAATAAGTTTGCTAAACTACAGTACCAGGTACTTCTTGCGCAGGCAACATAGTTTGAGGTCAACTGGTTCGAAGTACCGGTAGTTTATCTCAATCGCGGGTATGATAACAGCATATCATCTCAAAAACTGACGTGGTTTGAGGTACCGTACCGCACGATAAACTAGTCCTATTAGGTACCGGGAAGTTAAGTTGGTTTGAGGTAGTCTTCCAAACTATATCTTGTGCATGTATTATAACAGCTTGTTAGGTACCGTACACTGGTTCGAAGTAGTTGCTAACCTATATCCAGTGCAGGTACCAGGTTAAACTGGCCTCTTGTTTGAGATAGTACAGCAGTGTGCTAGCTAAACTATTACTAAATACTATTGTAGTATACTTCATAAAAGTTGATTTACAGAATTTCTATATTGGTATATACAATTACGTTATCTAGTGTACACTGCCGTAGCTTGCCATTGCCATTATGGCTCGAGAGATATAATACTGCATGTATGCATTCGTGCGTGCTTCATTGCATGGAGAGGGAAGAAAAGTCGCTGGTAATCTTCGAAAAGTCAGTTTGGGATAGCCCAAGGTTTCGTCTCCTTCGGCTGCGACTGCTTGTGCTCGATAGCGAGTTGGTCGACACGCAGGAAGTCGAAGAATCTCGTTTCAAAGACTTGACGTAGGGTCCACTACGGGGTGGGGATGCCGTAGAAGCCGAATCCATGGTGGTATCCGAGACCGCACGTGCTCTTACATCGCTGCCAAGTAGAGGACTGCCAAGAATAGGAGGCTTTGGGATATCGCACTTGAGAGGATTCGGATTGGAAAAGGTATCGTCGTAGACTTTAGTACCGTATAGCTCGTCCCCAAACAAGAGCTCAAAGTCTTCTAGTTCTTCCATCAACAGACTGCTCGCTTCACTGCTGGCAAAGCTAGAGACCACACTTCCATCACGGTTGTGAATGGCAGTGGCTGGGTATTCCGATGGAAGTCCAATCACGCTTTGACGGCCTTCCTCAAAGGTGCTGCGAGGTGTAATGATGTTGGGACTGGTAAAGGATCGTCTACGTTGGGTTGGTGAGACCGGGTGTGGGAGTGGTAGTTGTGGGAGTGGCAGCAAGGAGGTGGATGGTGCAGAAGATCTCTTGTTCCTTGGTGGAACGGGTGAGAGTGGAACGGCTTTGGTCGACATGTAACTGCTACTAGCACTGGCACTAGCACTAGTGGTACTAGTATGATTGCTAGAATTGCTACTACTCAGTTGCGTTTGAGTGAACGAGCGACTGCGAGGGCGTTTCTCTGTTTCAAACTTGGGCACTGCGTACGGTGCATTCTGTTGATTGGGAGACACTAAGGTCAAGTAGTTGCCGTAGTGCGACGACATAGCGTTGAGACTCTTTCTAAGGTGGAAGTTATGCAATACTTTGGCAGATTGGTTGGAGAGTGAGAGGGAACTGTCAACCTGAGATTCTCTTTTGATAGACTGGGGAAAAAGCGGAGTTTCAAATCCAAGCACTCCGAAGGGATTCTGCATGTACAAATTTTGCAATCCAAATTAAAGAATGCGTCCTATAATTAAAATCGGATACTGACGTGTGCTCTACGGTTTTCCCTCCTTTTTATATACAAGTAGGATTTTTTTTCGGAAACCGCGCTGGTACAATGACAGTAGAGCTTCTACCCAACGGATTTGAGGATGACCGGCATGCGCGTCGGATCGGCATCGGCCGGACCGGTTACACAAAGACATTTGGGTCTTTTTGATGCACTAATTGCAAAAAATAATGGTATTTAATGGCAAAAGCGTCCTTACCAGTATGACTCATAAATGCTAAAAGCCCTCTAATTACGATTCTGAAGGTGCTTCCCGAGTCTTTACGAGCGACACCGTAGTATTCTACCGGATATCTACGACTACCAGATTGTCCACTTGTCGCGCATAAAGTTCGGAAGATCGCCTGCTCCCGAAGGCGAGTAAGAGTTGCGCTCGTACGAAAATACAATGAAGGTTGCTCCAAACGGCTAAATTTCCCAAGAAGTCAAAGAAGTTGGTGGTAAGTTTCAACTTCCAAAGATACAAAAGAGTTTTGACGGATTGCATTCGTACCAAATGCGGTTTGTGCAGCATTTTGTTCGTCGTTGTTATCAATCGATCGTAAAAGTCTCTCCCCAATGGTCGCGAGACCCGTACCTGGTACTCTATCCTGGCGGGAAACGAAGAAAGAATCGAATTCGCTGGCTTCTTTTGGAGGATGGATGAAGTCCCGGATATGAATCAATGATATTGCGGATTTTTTTAACTCCATACCAATGTTTCGGACTGACAGGCTCTTATGTGATCCGATCTTGTTCATTAATAGCTCTAGACTTGCTCGATAGCTAGTAGTACTAGTACCTGGTACTACCTGTAGCTCATCGTACCGGTGTTTGTACTCTTATGAATTATATTGCTGAATCTGAAAGACATGAGCTTCGCCAGGAGAGGATTCCTCCGCCAGCAACAACACTTCCGAATTTCCAAAGTGAAATTGCTCCAAAACATCCATCCAATCTAGCTTGTAGTAGGCAGCATACAACATCTTTCCAAAATCGCCGTGCGTCACCAGCAATACTGATCCTCCTCCCTTGTGTTTCGATTGAATATCTTCAATCACTTTATTCCCACGCTCTAGCAATTCTGGAAAAGTCTCGGCTCCTTCTGGGGACAAAAAGTAAGAAATAGTCTCGGTTTGTAAAATGTTGCCTTGGCATCGTTCCTTAATTTCCTTCGTTGGCACTCCTGCCATGACTCCAAAATCCCGCTCGATCAAGAGATCCATCACTTGCACTGATTGCTTTCCATTGGCCAAGATTTCAGCCGTTTTAAATGCTCGCTGCAAAGGGGACGCATAAATCTTGTCAAATTGGAGCTTTGACTGAAGAATCTTGGCGGCTACGGATTGGGCTTGTCCCTCTCCTAATTTGGTCAATGGTTGGTTGCGATGGCCATTTAGAATTCCTGCAGCATTGTCTTCGTCCTGTCCATGTCGTGCCAAGTATATTTTCAATACCATTGTTGTTATTATCAATAGAGGAGTGGAAAAGAGCATCCAACGCAACGGAGTTTCCAATGACGATGCGAAGGACTGATGTTCAGGTTTTTCATTTGGTCCAATTAGTCATCGATTTTCTACCAAAGCACAATACAAACAATGCGTTCAGCAACAAAAAGTCATCGGTTATCAGTAAGTAGGTACCTCGGATGCCCTTCGACATCTTACTATTCGACCTCGATGGAACCCTGTACGATCAGGAGAATGGTTATGAGGATCATATACACAACAATATCTTCAATTTCATGGTAGAAGCCAAGGGCAGCAAATTTGATCAAATCACTTCCATTGAAGAAGCAAAACAGTATTGGACACCCATCTTTGCCAAGTACAACTTGACGAAACGAGGTCTATTAGGAGAAGGCTACGAATTTGATATTGAAGAATACGATCACTTTATACGGCAAGGTGCTTCCAACTTTATAAAGAAGGACCCTGAGCTTCGAGAATTCTTACTTTCGCTTCCTCAGAAACGGAAAATAATCTTTACCAATGCTCCCGAAGAATCAGCGCACGAAATTTTGAATTTATTAGGAGTCTCTGACTTGTTTGAAGCTGTACTAGGGACGACTTTTCTAGAACACAAGATTTGCAAGCCAGAATCGGAAGCCTTTGATAAAGTCATGAATCACATTGGTGTGGCGAAATCAGATTATCACAAAGTGTGCTTCTTTGAAGATTCCTTCAAGAACTTGGCTGCTGGAAAGAAACTTGGACTTGGAACAGTCTTTGTGTCATCGTCAACCTTGACTGCAGAAGGTCGATCAATTGATGATTTGGCGCAGTTTCAAGCCGTCATTGAAACAAAAGTGGGAATGGGTCTGAAGAAATTGCTACCAGATCTTTGGGATTGAGATTAAAGTGGGAGATTTTGTGTGACAGAAATAGTGTAGTTTGTAGTACTGATATATATAATAATACGATTGTACTATAATATATTTGATACTAAAAGTTGAGTGAGTGACAAGCGTACTGTACTGTAGGTTGATAGTTTTGCTTCATTCGATTAGGTCAAAAATGAGTGACGTCATCACCTAGCAGATTGATTTTCTCTCTTCATCTTATAGCCTCATTCATTATCAATTCAATCAATTATTCATTCTTCTTGGCATTCACAATGACGGTTGGTTGCAACAGTTTCCTGACTTTAATGTCACTATCTTCGTTGGCTCTATGTGCGCATAGTCTGACTCCTGTCGCGTTTTACAATTCTCCATCAAAAGTTGCAGCGCCACCATCATCATCATCATCGTCTCTATTTATGAGTGATTGGTCGAGTTTCTCTGCACTTGATGACGACGATGATTTGGATATGACCTTTGATACCCGGGAATATGCCAAAGAAGAAGACTCACAAGAATTGAAGGCTGAAGTCGGTTCTTCGCTGGACCCACCAAGCATTGACAACGATGCAGAACCTATCAGCGTTCCAGCTGGATCCCAACTGGCGCTCGACGAAGAAACGGTCTTGGGAGTTTTGAGTGCTTGTCGAGAGGAGATTGGTACAATGTTTGGGTACTCGGCTGAGAATCGAGGGGTTGGTATCACAGGTGGTGCGTAGATCGAAACGTTATTGAACTTGTTCTTGGTACAATGTGAACAATGATGGAACTAATATGTTGAATGTTTTCATTCCATTCTCGTTTCTTATTATGGTATCACCAGGAGTCGACTTTGTGGAAATGGATGGCCCAACCGTTGTCCTACGATTAAAGGTGCGGAAACATTTGTGTCTCTCTGACGTGCCATTTTGCCATTTGTTTATAAAGTCATCTCCTCTCACTCACTCACTCCTTCTTGTCGTTGTGCTATTTCTTGTCGTGTGTCAATTTATAGGGTCGGTTTTGGCATCAGCGTACCACCGTCTTGGATCGTGTTGCCAACTATTTGCAACAAAGGATTCCCGAAATAATTGATGTCACTGTTGAAGACGAATGGCAACTCACAGATGAAGCAAATGAAGCGTTCTAAAGTACACCAAGTAACTAGTAAATACTAGCTGAATATGATATCGACGATGATCTAGTCATAAAAAAAATAGTGGAATTGTGTAGGTGTGGTTATATTTATCATGTCTATGAACCGAAGTAGATATCTCTTACTTGGCATATTCTTTGGTGTACTTTCGGGCAGTCTTTTCGAATTCCTTTGGTTTCTCCCGTAGTTGTTGTGCAATCTCGTCTTCTACAGGATGGTCGGCTTGAGGAGTCTGCAGCAAACTGTATGCCACCTCAAGGCAATGTTTGGCATTCAAAGTAGGACCCCAGTTTCCAATAACATCGGCACAAATCTCTCCACTTTCTAGACTGACAGAGGGGTGGTAGGTTTTGGTCTTGAATTTCAACGATGGTGCTTTGAATGGGTACTGAGCAGGGAAGGAAAGGCTCAAGACAAACAAGCCACCCTGGTATGGAGTGTCATCTGGTCCCACCAAAGTGCATTCCCAGTTGAAAATGTCCTAGAGAAGAAATGGTGCAAAATAAGTTGGTACGAGGTCCATTTGGTGTGTGTAGAAAAAAGAGTTGACAAGACTCAACTCAGCGACTCAACTCAGCGCAGCATCATGACTTACCTCTCCGACCAAAGTAATGATAGCAACGAATGGCAATGGAGACTTCTCCAGCATGCCGCGTTCCTATGAGACCAAGTGGAAGAACCACGATTGAGATGAACGTTAGACGCGGTGAAAGATAGAAACAGAAATGGCTTCACGCAACATCAAGAGATTCCCGCATTGGAGGAAACCTTTCTTCGAACCAACTCACTTTCAAAAGTCGTTTGGACATGGTTCTGATAAGAGCTTCAGAAAATTACTGTGCGAGAATGGTCGTAGCCTGAATGTGTTGGAGGGTCTGGAGCTACAGTACAGTATTTGTCGTTGCAACACGACACAGCAAACAGCCTTTTTGGTGCGATGGATCCGGGATCCAGGTGTTCGATTGAGTCGAACAATGACTCACAGACACGTTACAGTAGCGTTTGCGGCTTCATTCGGCAACCAACGAAACATTCTTCCAAACGCTTATCGTCACGATGATGCAAGAGGATGTGGAAGAAGGCAATCAAATCCTAGAACCAGCAGAAAGTATTCAGCAGCAACAGCAATCGAATCGTCACCGACGTCGAATTTTCAGCGGTGCAAGCCGCTCCAAATACCTGGAAAATTCGCTAGCCGATCAAATATCACTAACCGCTGAAGTGGCCAACCATAGTGCTGATACCTCCAACCAATCAGTACATATATTTTCACTGTTTGCTTTGTTGCTCCTTGCTGCCATTTTCTATGGTGGATTGTCATTTGTGTTTCGGTGACGTATCGTAGAATTTACTGTATCCTGCCGCGACTTTTCCCCTGAACGTTAGTAGATGCCAATGAGTCACTACTTCCAAGTGCAACTTTGCTATGGATTAATGCAATGAAGTAAGACGCCCCTGATGATGTAATTGAGTACCATGCTAGCGAATTCCTTGAGATCTTTGGTTCTTTTCGAAATATCTTCGAAGCTGTGTCTCCAATATAAAATAAAGATTCATGCATCTAATTAAAGCAACGAACGAGCGACATTCCATTGAAAGTGAAAATTCAAGGATCAGTTCTGGGCTTTTCAATCCAATTCTTCGTCCAAAAAATTCAAATAGGTTTATGATAAATTTGTAATTTACACCCAAGCCTTCCCTCCTTTCCGGAAAAAGAAATACTGTAGTTTTCCAGACTCAAATATCCCAAACTATAGTCCAGGATTCTTACGTTGCGAATTCTTGCTTTCCGTATCTTTGTTCCCACCCATATTTCTTTGCACTGCCCGAGGCGACGCCAGCTCTTCCATAATCAGACGATGATTCGACAAGTCGTTCGTTATGGACCCCCCTGCCATCGTCGACCTCCCAAGGCTTGCTACCCCCAGCTGTTGCAATAACAGTTCCTGTCTTAACAAAGCGACTTGGTCCAAACTCGGCTGTAGGCTTGCTGGCGTTCTTGCATATAATAATGATGATGGATTAGGAATATCCAGTGCCAGATTTCGCCGCGCCTGTTCTTGATTGGCAGAGAAATCGGATCGGAGGGCCCCCGATAATGAAAGCGTTCCCGCATCGATTCCCACGGCCGATAGGATGTCACCCCTTAATGATGGAGTACGCAAACTCCAGGGTAGTAATGAAGATGCAAAAAGATTGGAAAGATTGTTCGGTTGCATAAATGAGGATGATTCCAACGATGCCAATCCACCAGCTCCCCGATTTGGCCACGACAACCCCTCATGCAAAGGTCGGGATGCAAGAGCACTTGCAATTGCATTCGACTCTTCTGGTAGACTTGGATTTTTGTCTGGAGATGAAGCAGCCGTTGTTTCCCGTTTGAAGCTCTTTTTGCATCGCAATGCATTGCTGACTTTCTGAAGCGCCATTATGCGACCTGCTTCGACATATCCATCACTGGAGGACCCCTTCACCAAGAAACGGGCACCATCTTGAATAATTTCATGGTATACGACTTCCACCAGCTCCCGCTTTTGCGATCGATCAATGGCATGATACTGCATTTTGTATTTATCCACGATTTGGCGCATTTTCTCATTGCCGTGGTGACCGTGGTATCCCTTGCCACGGCCAAAGACAATGTCGTTTGGTTGGATCTTTACAGGGTTGAGAGTAGCGGGATTTGCATCAGATTTCAAGGGCGAGGAGGGCTTCGTTGATATGGCATCATCGTCAAAGGATATTTGAGATTTGTCCATCGCCTTTTTCACTTCAGAGGCCATCCTGACGATTGACCGATGAAGCGAAGTTCAAAAGACAAGAACGACGATCAAATAGAGTTGACGGCGTCAATCGGGTCGATGCCACGAGGAGCGGTTGCAAGGATCGCTTGCTATCGTCTCAGCACCTTATTCGCCGACAATCCAGAAAATCGGCATCTGGCGAACCGCATCATATACCGGTATGTAGGTAGGTCGTATACGTACACGTTGTACGTTGAAAACGTGCGAAACGCAGGTTGAAAAAGCGAGAAACGATGAAGTAACGTGCAAGCTCCACCAAACCACATATTATTCATGCTTCATCACCATGCAGATAAGAGACTTTCATCAAGTTTCACCTCTGGCTTGATTCATCAGCTTTCAAGCCCACGATCCTGTTTTGAACTTGAACTTCTCTTATTCGTCAACTTGAACTTTCGTATTTAGTTGAATCTTTTCCATAGCATTTTGTATTTGTTGAATATTTTCCTTATCTTGTGACCATGGTTCCCTTTCCAGCACTCAGACACGGTTTTTAGTGTGATTGTTGACTCTTACAGCGACCAAAAGAGCCGTTTCAACACCAGACGATTTTGTAGTGGTGCTTGGTGTTGGAATCCAAAGTGTCCATATACACTCCTTTTGGCACAAAGACATATGCACTGTCGAAGTAAGAGCCTGATATATGCCTGGAAGCGAATGACCCATCAATGCATTTTCTGTACTGCTGGGGACGATGAAACAAATTACAGTTGCCGATGCCAACAATCACTTGATACCACCTTTTCAAGTACATGCAGCCAAGTCGATGGAAGTAGAATGGACCAGTTAGAAGGAACACTCGTGAACACTCCAGAGGTGAAAGCGAAAATTTTGAAACTTGAAGTTGATCTGATTCAACGACAACGCCAAACTTTGCCAGCATCTTGTTTCAACTTCTGTTTCTTCACTTCTAGACGCAGGGCTAGGATTGAAGATGCTGATCCGTTGGCATACTTGCATTTCATTCTATCACAATAATCGAGTGCTATGTGCTTTGGGCACACAGGGAAATGCAGAACCCAGAATTCACAAAAGTGACCAAACATTGGTCACTTGGTGATAAACAGTAGATGGAGTATAGCACTCCACATTCACCTCACACTTCAGGAATGGCATTATGTATACAATCAATTCACCTGACCATATAGCGATGGTGTATCATAAATGGTTAGGCCTAGTCTTTTTGAGGAGAGCATTCATCAACAGTGCAAATAACCAAATGACCTCTAACTGAAAGAACTTGTGTAGTGACGGCGGAACCCAAGATCCGAGCGAAAGAAGGTCGCCATCACACACTGAGTTTCGAGCTTTCACTCCATTTGCGATTCAAGTGAATCGTTGACTACAGAGAGATTACCCCTTATTGCTCTATGATAACAAGAATTGCAATTGTTGTTTTATTGTTTCTGCGAAGTGTGGCATGTTTGCGATTAATGTGGGGACCGGAGAAATATCACTTTCAAAACGGCCTACCGGTACACGTACGTGTACGGTACTGTACGATGCAGAACGGGAGTCAAAAGTGCAAGATTCTCGTACATATATATGACATGCAATAGGTACGCGTACCGGTACACACGATGGAAATGACGCGATATTTTTTTCGAAAGCAAAAAAGAAATGACATCTACAGAGACAATTTTTCAAAAGCTCAAAAGAACACAAGGATTAGGTAACTTCGCTTACGACTCCTCTTGAAATATTGAAACAACTCCTGCTACCAACGCGAGTATTCCAAACAATATGTATAAGATAGCAATAACAAAATCAGAGACTCCGGGTGGAATTTGCTGGGGATCATCCTCCAGTGCAAACTCTTCCTCTTTTGCTTTTCGTGCTGCCATTGCACCAATCTTTTGGTCGATAGATTTGTAGTTCTTTTCAACATCTTTCAGGCCAACAGCTGCTTTTGGGGGCAGCAGCATCTGTGATTCTTGGTTCGCGGAGGCTGGCAATGCGAAGATTTTTCCATTTGGGGCTCTCAAAGCTCCGAAGTCGCCACGCGGAAGCGATTCGGAACGGAGTAGTGTGCTGTTTGCTACCGCAGATGAAGCATTACCCTCCTGAGCAGAACCCTTTACCATGACAACGCGTGTGCCACCCTCATTAGTTTTTGCGGACGCGAAACGAGCGTTTCCAATGCGGATGGGATGTGGACTCTGTATGGCCAATGTTGTGATATGCGACGTCAAGGAAGATTTGCCAACTTTGGCAATTCTGCACCAAATGGGCATGAGCAAGAGGTAATAGCATACAGTCTTGAAGGCTTGAGCAAGCCAGGAATCGTCAGGCGGAAGGTCAAAATCTGCCTCGACAGAAGAGCTATAAAATGGTTCCAATTGCTCTCTTGTGAGCTCACTTCCCTCCACCGGCATTCCAAAGTAAGCCTTACTTAGTTCCAGGAATCGAGCCCCATGTATGCCCAAGTAGACTGCTCCTGGTCCAATGTAAGCAAGGCACGATGCACCAACGGAGCCACTAAGGGCTAAGACAACCCCCACATCTTGAACGAATGCCGCCGGAATGGCAGCAGCCAAGTAAAGCAGTACTGTCAAAGTGACTCGTCGGTCTCGTCGGTTCAAGACGCTCGTATCATCTCCTTCGTGCGCGCTTCGTCCTTGAAAGAATAGGACCACACAAACGTGGCGAGCCACAAAACTTTCCATGGGATACACAAACAACATCGTAGTACCCAACAAGATACGAGCAGCATTCGCCGGAAGAGAATTGTCCAATGAATTCAGAATGTTTCCTTGTGTGGTCTCCTGATAACCCATATATCCACCAATTCCACAAATCATTGCCAAGGTACAGCATACCGTCATCGCAGTTTTTGATACCACCGCCCATCGATCTTTGGTAGGATTGTCAAGTGATCCTGCAATGATAAAGGCCTGGAGTGAAATATCAATGGGTATTCATTAGATCGCTGACGAATTTGTGGATGATGAGATAGAATATGGCATCCAAACTACTCACAGAATGTTGACACACAAAGGCAAATGACAAAACTCCCATCCCGACAAACATAGTATCGTAATGAATAATGGAATCTCTCCAATCAAAAACTTCCCATGACTCTTGGATGGGAGCGCAATACAAAACGAGGGCGACCATCATGAGATCAAATAAGACATTCATTCGAGATGTCACCGCGAGATCAGCCATATCCTGCATACGTAAAAATTAGAAAGTGAGAGAGATTCCATAACGAGCGGCCACACCATGGATTGATATAGCTTACACGCTGACTGGCAAGTGGGACCATGATGGTAATGGAGATGAGAAAGAGTATGGATCGCTTCATGGGAAGGTTGTCTGGTGCCACTCCAAGGACAGCCGAAAAGGTATCCTTAACAATCATGAGATAGCTCAGCATGGCACCATAGGCATTGATGAACATGTTAAAGGCCACAAAGAGAAATCCAAATCTTCCAAAGGCCGCTTCGGCGACCGTTTCGTAACTCGGCACATGAACGTGCTTGGCAGTTTCCACCAGTAATCTTAGACTCTTTTCGGTCAGGAGTGCACAAAAGACCACCAGGATGATCCCAGCCACGAAACCAGCCTGTTTGATGGCATAGGGAAGTCCCACAATACCAGCTCCGATTATAGCGTTGATGATATTGGCAGTACATCCAGCAATCGATGATTTCTTTTCTTCCTCGCCCTTGGGCTTTTTCCGAGGGCGCCGTGTCCCACCCGGGGTTTTAGTGTGCGTTGGTTTTTCGGAAGGCTTGAAGAAGGGCGACTTGGTGCCTGCATTTTTACCTGGTGCCATTGTGTGTGTTTGTGTGTGTGTTTGTGTGTGTGATTGATTTGTTGGAAATGGAAAACGTTAAGGCTTCTGGTCAAGAGGCAAAAGTGCAATAGGTTGCGACTGTAACTGGACTATAGGTTTCCTTCTTCAATCAGCACTTGAATGAATAAATGGTGACACCTTAGCTGCTGTATCTGCGCTTGTATTGGATCTTGGCGACTGTGTTGTCGTTCTAGATGATTGTGAGGACGTCGTCCATCAGAATTCCGCATCAATATAAAAAGCCGACTTCGCAGATTTTGCTCTTTTTGGGAGAAGATACAAGGCTGATGATTAATTCGACCTAATTAAGTATGACGACAATCACCTCCAAAACAGATACTGTATCAATTTCTGATCTCTCAAGACGGCAAGGCCTCTCCTTCCAGCCACACTGCACTCTAGTTAACAGTATCCCCAGCATGACCACTGCAGGATGGGATCTTCCACCTCCAATTGCTTCCCCTGTGAAAGGAGAATGGAAATCGCGTCCAATGAGATGGAGAACGCCTCAAAGGATTGCGAGCTTGAACACTGGAGAAACCACAACCTGTCATCCCATTTTGGTATTGGAACGATATCTGGTTGTTGCTGGGACAGGTTTTGTGTCTCTCTTCTCGTTAGAACAAGTGGATCTTGATCTGGAGGTTTCTTCCTCTTCGACTCTCACAGTGTCATCCGAGTCGAAGCAGGCTTATTGGAAGTATCAGTCACCCACGGCGAGACTTGACCTGGATCGAGATGCCACCATTATTCAGCTTTTGGATTCCAAAAGCATTGGCGATGACGACGAGGAAGAAAGTGGCTTCGGCATACTTGAGACTGCTGTAGAAACTGCTGTGATTTCAGAGGGCGAAAGTGCAGACAAATCATCACGAACTTCATCCACATCACATTCGATATTTGCACTGTCTGAAGAAGGCGATGTGTACCACTTGCAAATAGTCTTACCCATCAGTAAGAGTCCCAACAGCAATGATAACGATCCATCATCAGAAGCCGATGCAGCAGCAACTTTGTTTTGCGCCGACTCATGGAACACCGGGACCTTTGGGCCCACTTGCTTTCAAACATTGCACTGGGGTAAGGAGTATCCAGAGAACTTGTCCATGGTGATAGGATACGAATCAGGACACTTGGAAGGGTGGAGAATTAGCAACAGTCCGATAACAGTGTCCACGCCCAAAGGATCACCAGTACGAAGATCAAGCTCAACCTCCAGTCCCAGCAAGAGAGTCATGACCACGGAGAGAGACATGGCCAATCGAACCAAAAGCAAGAGTGCTGATGGCAAGGAAGAGATAATGGGAGATTCAACCTTATTTTTCACTATGCAGTGGAGGGGATACCTCCATCAAGCTCCAATTCGATCTCTAACGGCGTTGGGACAACAAGCGAAAGTCACCAAAGAGTCATTCGAGGCTGACGAACGAACCGATGTCAAGACCAGCCTAGTCCTGACTATGGAAATTCCAGAGAATTCTCCCGAGATGCAAGGGACAGCCTCCATGGTGGATGTTCTTGAGATAGATTTCAAACTTTTGCACATTAAATTCATCTCCAACAATCGAAGGAGCTTACGTTTGTTCCCCTACCTGGAAATGCCTACCGGCGGTATGGAATTTGTCGATTCGTCAACAGTGGGAGGGACAACCATCCTTTCGGGTATGGATATTTCCGGTAGTGGACAAGACGGAGAAAGCGGAACTGCAAACAATGCAATGGAATATTTTCCCAAGCGATTATCCATGCTACCGAGTCAAGGCACAGACTCGTCAATATCATTGAGCTTTGGGAAACAGTGCGGTGTCTCCTTATCGGATGGAACTGTTGCAATTTTGTCCTCGAATACAGAAATTGGACGGTCGACATCCTCATGGGGTATTACCAAAGATGTGCACCAGCTGCTTTTGTCCTACCCCGCCATTGGTTGTGGAAGTATACACATGCAACACCACGGAGGCGATTATGTACAAACGGAACATGAAACTAGCAAAAAGGAGTACATTGCTTGCTGTCTTCGAGGTGGAACTTGTTTTCTAATCCCAATTGTGGATGAGGAAGTGCAACAAGACATTGTTGCCATACCGTATCTCCACGATATCGATGCGGATTGGACAACGGTCTATCTTCAAGGTTTTACTGCTGGTGACCTTCGAGTCACAACCAACAGCAGCGATACAATAAGGCACCAATCCGTCCCGATTGTAGTCTACGCATTGGCAGGCGGCACCCTTGACGTCTACGCCTGTAGCTTGATGCATCGTCCTATGCCAGATATCGAGAAAGCTGCCGCTGACGAGGAGAAGCATGAGTGCTTGTCTAGTCTGGTGCAACAAGGCGATACACTTTCAATTGTATCGAAACTCTTGGAACAAATGAACAAAGACGAGAACGATCCGCTGTGGGAAGAGCCTTTGTGGAAAGAGACCCACGAAGCCTTCCAATCATCAGAAATATTACCAACCGCCATCACAATGGATCAGATACAGTCCCCTATTTTCGCATCGTTCAAGAGGCTACTGCTGAGTCTAGCTAGTAGTTGAGGACTACTATAGTTACAGAGCATACACGAGAGGCTAGAGAAGGACAATATATTGAATGACAATTCAAAAGACAGATTCTAGGATGAAGGCTTGGCTCGGGGATCACAAGTAATGGCATGGATTTGAATTTGGTGGGATTTCATTTTTAAGAATTGTGTCCCTTGGCGACTTTCCTTCTTTTTTTCCATCAATTTTCATCATCATGACGACGGGACAAATCATGACTCCGAGAGACAGTTGAATACTAACTACTCGTAGCTGCCACCGGTCCCAATTTTGAATATTGCAGGGGTTTCCATTCGCATTCAGGTATACGAATCTTTGCCCTACAGAATCCCAAAGTTGTATCAAAGTACAGCGATACTGTAATCTTAAAATCTATTTTTATAATGTATTAGTGTGTATATAAAACGCTTGTGCCACGAGAGGCAAGGAACGCGTATGGTACGAATTGAAACAATGAGGTGAATTGATGCTTTCATATTGAAGTACGGCTCGATTGATGGCAAGTTCTTGGAATAGCTGCTTTTGATTTTGAAAATGTGCGCAAACTTGCATAGTTTGTCGACGGAGAGATAACATTTTATCCGAGGGCCCCCATTGTCATTTGCACAATTTCCCGAAACCAGTACAACTGCAATACTCCCAACATGACGTCCAAAGTCAAAAAGAAGTACAAGAATCTCTCTTTTCCAGGCCTATGCTTTGCCGCTGATCCGGTCTTTGTGACATGTATAACATCCTTCCACAAAGGAAATGAATATCCAATCCAGCCAATGATTCGGAAACAGAAGAATGTAATAGAGAACAAGGCACCACAGGCAAATATAAATGTATCCAAGGGCGACCCCTCCTTGACTGGAATGAAGTCTTTGAGATCAGCCCAAACCAAGAATATACTCGAAAATTCAGAGCATCCTGCATAGAATACAGAGTAGTATGGTACCATTTGAAATTCCAAGGAACAGAAAGCTGTCATGCCAGCCAGAAAGTGATGCACCAGGAAGACTGGCTCTCGATGCTCTGGAATGTACACGCTGACGCACAGATCCCATATTTGGTAGCTTAAGTTTGCAACATTTTGATTATTTGCTGCCTTGAGATATCCAAAAAGCCGGTCTTCTGGCGTTCCTTTTGACGCATCATGGACTTCTTTGGAAAAATACCAGTTTCGAACGCCCATTGTTCCCATGTAGGACATGACAATGAAAGAAGTAATTTTGTAGGCAACAAGATCAGGGCGTTCACAACTGACTTCATTCTCGGGACATAACTCAGCATTAGGAGCGATTGGTATATTCAGGGACACCATGACGCTATAGCAGATTGCCATGAGAAGCAGAGTAACTTCAATCTGCCTTCGACAGGCGTCAAATCCTGAAATTTGTTTTGTAGCTTGGGGTGTAGTCTTTCCCTTCAGCACATGCTGGGGAGAAGATCTCATTGCTGTTGGATCACACATGTTGAATGTTAAAGAATGTTGTTTAGGTCCTGACTTTTTTTTGGATGCAGAATAATGGTATAAAGGATGTTTGTGACGATGATCCGAAGGATTATTGTGAGAACGACGACGTCCTTCTGTTTTTCAGGTGGACCAATCAGAAGACGTTGAAGTGAAACGCAATCAGAAGGATCGAGGGCGTTTTGCACGGTCGGTCATCCAACCGAGATGTTCTCAAGTCGTGGTGAAGTCAGTCAGTCATTCAGTCGTCCAAGACTGCGGTCGATTGATCGCATCAGTCGAGTTTTTGAACAGCACGGTCGATGGTAGGGCGACGAAAATACCATTGTGCTGCTTCCATCATTACAATACTCAACACAAACCCTAGAAGCAACTTCCTTCATTGTTGTTACGCCCTACTGCACATCCTGCACGTGAAGTTATTATAACAATATGTCTTTGATACTATCGATTATTGGATGGATTATGATTGTTCATTCAGCTTATAGCTGCCTTCATTTTCGAGGAATATTGCTGGACTACGATTTGCAAGATTCGGTATCGCTTCCACCCACGGATGTTTATATTGAAGTTGGAACCGGTTTCCTTTTGCTCCTGATCAGTGAAATCATGGGATCTGGCTCATTTCAAAGTGTAGATGTGCTGGGGCCGGAAAAACGAAGGCCGCTTGCCGCTCCTGCGTACATCACCAGAGGCTTTGACATTTACGAGAACCGAGCAAAGGCATTGAACAAAGCAAAGGCATCATAGTGTATAAACTAAGTTCCACAAAAAGGTTTGAGAAAAGCTTATTTGCCAAGAAAATAATCAAACTTGGCATGCACAACAAACAAAGTCGTTTCGAGTGAAGTTAGTATGCAACTTTCAAAGTTGATTTTAAAATGTAGGGAGTAGAATAGATTGTTGTTATAAATCATAGTAAAGGTTACAACATTGATTAGTTACTAAAAGGTACAATTCGTCATCACCGATGCCAAATATCTAGCATTGCAAGTCAATACACTTTGACATTGGAGTGTCAGAGTAGTTGTCTTGATCCACAGAAGCATCCGTGTCATCTCTACTTTCCGCATCGTCGACTTCGCCATCGGCACTGATTTCATCATTTTCCTTGTTGGCCAATTTCTCCTTGTTGGTTGATTTGTCAACTAAAAAGCCAACAAGGAGAAATCTCAAACCACCAATGATTTTCTTTCCACAGTGCCGGAGTTTCCCTGGAAAGATGAGTGCATGACCTCTTTGAAGGTGAATTACGGCATCAATGCATTCAAAATATGTTCCACCACCTTCATAGTCCACACCACAGCCATTGCTCAAGGCAATCAAAAAAGTCCATTCCGATTTGTCCGTATGCATGTCTAGCTTTTGCCGTTCCTTTTTGGTCGTGTCGTATTTCACCATGTGGGGTTCCCGATCATCCAGCTGCAATCGCCGACTCTCGTTGAATTTTTCTCCAATGGCATGAACCACCGTATGAACTGGCGGAAAACATGCTCTCACCAAGGTTGGATATTCTCGACAACCAAGAGTTTGTTTGGCATACGTGTACGCCGCATACTGACCTCGACAAACATGCTCCGTTGCGGCAACTATTTGATCACAATCCTCGGGAATGAGACCAACGTCTGCAATGAAGATGCTGTGTTCTTCCGACACGGTGACCCAATCGACGACTGAAGGAAACATTGTGAGCACGAGATGGATTTTGGAGAATGAATTGAAGAATTAGGCATGAATGAAACCATCATACTGCATACCTTTTTGAACGGGATTCTGTTGCAAGTTTTCTCTAGCAAATGTTTCTCCCTCAATCTTTGGGAGCTCTTTTTTGGCACTCGGCCTAATTGCTGCGTGCATCGGCCTTCGGGGAGGACACTGCTCTTGTCCAAATGTTGGTGTTGTGGCCATGGCTTGTTCTGAAACAAACAAGTCTTTGATGTCTTCGGGATATCGAATTGCGTATATATGTTTCCCTTCCTCATCATTCCGCATAGAGCCTCGTCGTACTACCAAACGAGTGGGACAAGATGCTGGAGCGGACATAGTACTTCCAGGCGAAGAACCAGCGACTGGTGAAGATTGTTTGGATAGATTCTTGTATAGTAGGTGATGTTGCCCTATTGCATTGCGCTTTCTGATTGTTTCAGTGGTTACCTCAAGCGATTTCCGCATCACATCGTACTATCATAATCAATGGTATGTGTGTATCAGGCAGATTAGAAAAATTCGAATGCAACGTCAAAACAGCAAGGTGATTAAACACGGCATCGAAGCCTGACATGTCTTACCATTACCGGATCAGGGGAGTCCTCCCGTTTGAATTCGTACCCATGCTGTACGCTCTTACAGGAACTGCAAGACTGACCCATTGCCGCAGAAAACTTGACTTGTTCTTCTGCAGAGAAGAAGAGTGAGAATTTCTTTGCGGGGAGTTTTTTGTCACTGTCAGAGAGGTTTGGAAAGGATTTCTTTCAGACTATGGCCTAATTCGAGAGATAGGAATGAAAGGGTTTGGTTTAAATGCGCCGCAACTGTATCTTTAAACCAGTGTTGACATTCAAAGCAACATGCCTTCGAGCTCCAAAACAATATAAAGGTGGAGTGTAGAAAGAAATCGTACAGTTGACCACAGTAGTTGTGTCGTGTCTTGTGTCCCATGTGTCCCAATTCGGATTTTGATGACACAGACTCCGGGTTCCATGTCGACTCCCTTGAGAGTACTGTCCTGTAGGTACTCCTAAATCAATCCTACTGTACGTCGAAATGTCATGGATGGTGCGAGGCTTTGGATTGCACATGCAATACACGTTTTGGAATTACTTCGATCTGGGAAAGAGGTACAAAATATTTCAATTTGGAATGCTCGCCTGAAAGAGGAGAGGACACAAGAACAAGAAGGCAGGAGGAGCAGGAGGAGGAGCAGGGCAGCGGAGTGGTAGGAATCGCCAGACCAAATCTCATCCCATCAAATCCGGGCCTTCCAAGTGGCATTTAGAAATACTGTGATACGAAAAGAGTACTATAAATTCTGAACCAAATCACGCATTGTCGTCATGACGATTGCTTTCTCGGTGGTATTGTTTTCAGACCGCTTCTCAAATCAATCCAAACCCTCTCGCGCAATGCGCGCCAAATTTTTATGACTGATATCAACTCATTTGGATCCAACCACAACCATACCAACAACCCGCCGCATCCCGTTGTATTGTCTCAACAGATTCAATTGCCATTTTCATCCGAAAGCACCAAACTTTCGGCAACAATGAATAATGAAACGAATGCCGCTTCGAAGAAAGACAACAACGAAAACGATGATGGAAGTAGCGACGAGAGTGATGAGGAAAGCTTTACGGAAAGCCGATGGAATGCCCAAAAGGCTAGCCAATCGCTTCACTTCCTTTCGGAATCCGAGATTAGAACGGCAAAAACAAGAGAACCTTCCCATCTTCTCGAAAAGAAAATCTATCGTCGTGCCCAACCGTTGCATGTGGACGATACTCGTGACACCACCATGACGACAGCAAACACCAATGATTCAGTGGCCCAGCATTCTGAAGTGGAAAAGGCTGTCCTCTTGGATTTTCTATCCAAAAACTTTCTATTGGAACATCTTGATGAATCACGGCGATCGGACTTGTTGACATCATTTCAGCGATCCAAGGCAACAAAACATGAAGTCTTGTACTTCCAAGGCTACCCGGCTGAGTACTGTTATTTGGTCTATTCTGGCGAGGTAGCTCTTGAAGTCAACGGAAAGCCCATGCTGCCCAATGGTGATCCAGATGGAGACAAGGACGACGCTGAAAAGGATGATGACGAGGACGATTATCAAGTGCTGGGACAGATGGCTGCTTTGACCAATCGTCCCCATACTGAAACTGCAAAAGTCACTTCTGGAACATGCACTGTCTTTCTCCTCGACAGAATGACACTTTTACGAGCCATTAGACGTCGTCCCAAATCGTTATCCCAATCAGAGCGTGTCCGTCTGCTGAAAGCCTCGGTTACGTCAGATCTATTGGAATATTTGAAGGACGATGAAGTCGCCCTAGACAAACTGGCATCTGCAATGACTATACGGGAATTCTCGAATGGAGAAACAATATACCCTATTACCGATAGTCTAACGATTGTCACAGAGGGGACGATACGAGCGTCAATTGAACGCCCAGGGTATGACGATTTCTTCATCGGTCCCAATGAACTTCACAAGAGCTTTGGATGGAGGACATTTGAGGCGCATGCACGAGTAGAAGGAAAGATGTTAGCTGAGTCTGATGGGAAAATTATTGTTTTGCCGAGAGAAGCACTGCTTCATGCATTTGGTGCTCATGGCGAGGCACCGGTTGTGTTGGAGCGCCTTGCTGCAAGACGTGCGGCTCGAATCCAACTTAAGCAGATTCCTCTCTTCCACGATTCAGAGCTCAGCAAGATCCAATTGAACGGATTGCTCGATCTGATGCACCACTACGAGTATGGGAGTAGTATTCATGCTTCGAGTACTTTGGAGAAGGAAGGAGACAAAGAGGGACAAGAAAGTCCAGATCGAACTATCATCGCAACCCCTAAAGATACCATGAAACCAGCTCTCTACTTTGTGCGAGATGGCAAAGTGACATTGGAACGAAACAAGGGAAGGGACATTGAAACTATCGAAGAAGGCGGATACTTTGGAGAAAAGATGATGCTCCTGGACCAGAATACTGATGGTCGAAAAAAACACCAATTTCGTTCGAGTGCGACAATTGTTGCCCATGCCAATACGAAGCTAGACGTTCTGTATTTGAAGGACTGTCGGAAGGTTGTGAATACGACTTTGTTGGGACTGGGACAAGCGGTTCCTATCACCGCTCTGGATGAATCTATTCAATGGAAAGACGTCCAACGGCAGCATGTATTGGGCTGTGGTGGGTTTGGGCAAGTGTGGTTAGCAACAGTATCGACAAAGGTGTCACCAGCGGAGGACAGTTCCAACAATGACGACTGTACTGTAAGCAAAATGAAAGTAGCAAGGAAAGTCGCACTGAAGGTTCAATCGAAATCGAAGCTCCTCGAAATGGGTCTAGTCAAATCCATCAACGCCGAGAAGAATATAATGTCATCACTGAACTCTCCATTCGTGATGAAGCTTTTCAGTACCTTTCAAGATGAATCAAGACTTTACATGGTAACATCATTGGTGGAAGGCGGGCAATTAGAGGACATTGTGCCGCCGCGGGGACTATCTGAGGAAATTGCTAAGTTCTATGCGGCGGGTATATTGGAAGGGCTGGCTTATTGCCATCGACACCACATCATCCACAGGGATGTCAAGCCTGGAAATGTCTTGATTGACCGAAATGGCTACCCTGTTCTGATTGATCTAGGGATGGCGAAATACGTTCCTGACAAGACCTTTACTTGGTGTGGTACACCGTTCCTTGTTTCGCCTGAGGTTATTCGTATGGAAGGCCACGATAAGGCTACAGATTATTGGTCATGGGCTGTCATGGTTTACAAACTTGTGACTGGAAAGTATCCGTTCCGTGCTTACAATGAAGAGGCATTGTACAGAAAGATCTGTAGAGGATCCTTTGCGGTTGTTGGATCGTACGAATTTCGGTCGCTGATGGTTGCTATTCTTTATCCAAATCCAAGGAAACGATTGGGATCTTCACCACAAGGTTGGAAAGACATCTTTGCTCATTCATGGTTTCGTCAAGATGAGATATTCAGTTTGGCGAGAGTGCAATCTCAAGAGCTACCCGCGCCATGGCTCCCAGAATCGAAGAAACAGGGGAGTGATGAGAGCAATTCCAATGAACCCTACTTCCTGCCACCTGGAGGGATGTTTGTTGATCATGATGATTTGATGAAGGAACAAGCGTACTTGACAGAGGAACAACAGGCATCGTTTCAGTCTTTCGGACCTTATATTTCAGACTAAAGCTTTTGTGAGCAGGTGTGAAACCGCACAGGTGGCAGAACGCAAAACCGCAAGCCGCTACGTTGTTTGCAGTAGTAGTGACGCGTAAAAGACCTTCCAGTAGTGGAAAAAAGATCGAAAGTTTTGAGGTTTCGTTAAGTCGAAAATACGATATAACAAATAATATGGTTGCGTTTTCCACACGTAGCACGGACGGAGCGAAGCGCACGCATGCAGTCCCTGGTGATTGGTACCACATACTTATTTGATGCTTTTGCAGTACAGTAGACTTCGTTCGCACAATTTGATGACTCTGGAGTGACCAAATCATGTTATCACCATGCTGGCATCATGCTTTGTCATTCTTTCTAGCAGAGATCTTGAACACTTACAAAGCCCTATTTACCGCTGACCTTTCTTAGCTGGATGGAATTGAAAGCAACAACGTGTCAATTCAATCCAGGTATCCAAACCAAAAAACGGGATCAAGTCGTGATCATGCGGGAGCAGTGATGATCAGTGGCGACTGTATGACGCAGTGAAATGGCAGTGCTATACATGTAAGGATGAACCAAGCTCGTTATTGGTATACTGTTACACCTCATGGAGTGAAACTCAACAGTGGTTTGAATCTGATCTAGAAGAAAAACGCTCACGGTTGATTGGTAGCTAAGCTACCTTTTGATTATTATTCAGTGCCACCTTTCTACAGGTATGTGCGGCAATTCGAGACGAAATCGCCCTTCATAAAGTTCAGGACGACAGATAGGGGGATTCCTTCCTTCCATAGCAGTATCATACTTTAACGGAGAAAGGATGACTATGTCTGCGTTCAGGTATAGATGTGATCATTTCCACGATCCAGCCTATTGGGAAATCTTCCAAGCAAGGCGAGGTACAATATTATGTGCTGTGCTGGGTCGTTCCACAATCTACCGTGGTAACGAAGAACCGACTACTTCGCAGCACATGATGATCAGGACGCAGCACATGATGATCATGACCTGATCACATGTCATGTGAGCGAGGAACGAGTATGGAGAGCATGATGAAGTGCTCATTGCATTTGCACATGCATCTATGGTAGGAGTGAGTCGTCATCAGACAAATGCCGAATACAATCGGCAAGCACAGATTATTGATGATAACCCTATTTTCATGTAGTGATGATGCGTGCCCACAGGGACCTGCAGAGATCCTTGAAATTTACCTTCCTAAATTCAAGTGAAATTGTGCACGTGTGCTGCTGTATCATTTTTCTTCGATGAATGGTTCAGTCCTGATTTTGTCTGTGCCGGTACTGGTACGGCAAATGAATCAAGTGCAAATCGATTGGATTGTCTTTATTGCTGCACTGTTTCAACTCTTTTTCGTAGTTCGATTTGCCAGTTGAAGCAATCTACAAAAATCTGGGACCAGAAAGCACATCAAGAGTTTGGCGTATACATTCTGAAAGTGGAAAGCAGTATTCCGGTTGCTGGGGTTGAAGAAAATTTGTCTGCACAAGACTGGTTTGGTGTGTTTGCAAGAAACTACGACTTGATATGTTTGCAAGAAACTTCTACTACAGTATGATTGAGAACTGAAACGGACAGAGATCATTGGGCAGAAGCTGGATATATCTGAGAAATATACACAGTTATTAATACATGCAGCGCATTGCATTGGACGGATGAGCATACGATACGGTACCTGGTGCAGTAGCTGTGCTCGGATGTTTTCAGTTGAAGTTTCAAACGGAAAAGGGCACGTGTTAGCGTTTGAATCGATTGATTCGTACGATTGCCGCTGTACGTACTTGATACTGGTCTGTGCTTCCGGCATTCGACGCGCATTTTCGTTGCCGCTTGTTGAAGAGATTTTGAAGCAAGGTTGAAGTGAGATTGTTACTGATCATCTGACCATCATAGGCAATCATGTCAGCACAGGATCCCAAGAAAATGAAAGAGCAGACCGAAGTGGACCTGATACGTCAGGCTGCTACAGATTCCCTTACAGCTTCCTCGAATGAACGAAAACACAAACGACAACGACGCCGCAAGCCTTTCGATGAGGCGATCAGTCACAATGCCCAAAGGGTTTTTGACGTTCGAAGCGCTGATATCATTTTTGGTAGAGGAAAAGGATACCAAGATCATCCTGGGAACAAGCGGATGCGTGCAATTATCCGTCAATACAAAGAGGAATACAATGCGATACATCGATCGAGGAAACGGGACCTTGTCGAAGCAGTTTACTCCGAGATCACGCAGGGTGGGGCACGGTTTTTGCACAAGTCGACAGAAGAAGATGTGTTTGTTGTGGTGGACATTCCGATTGCTCTGCAGAAGGTGCGGAATACGCTTCGTTGTAAGAAGAGTGGAATGGTCCCGACTGATGATGATGAAGGTATGACATCACCGGCGGCTGTGGCACAGAATCCAGAAGGCAGCCTTACAGTTCCAAAGGGCGATGATCGCAAAGTTGGTGCTGTAGCTAGTGCGATTGGTGTACAGGGATTGCTACCACTAGATCTGGCTGGCCTCGGTGGTAATCCTCTGGCCTCTCAAGTTGGCCTGATGTCACCATCTGCTCTCCTGCAAAGTCAACAATTTGAACAGGCAATGCTACCATCGAGACATCCAGTAACTACTCAATTGCCTCCTAGTGGTTTATTGCCGAATAATTTGTTGAGTCAAACTCAATTTGCAGGGTTAGGGACGGGGATAGGAGGGATGCAATTGCCTATGACGCAACAACAGCCAGCTCTTCAAGCCAACATGGCAGCACTTGCTGGAAGATCTCTGGGACAGGGGTTTCCATTGATGGGTGCCATGGCTTCTTTACCAGGTGCAGACTCTATGCTTGGGTCAACGAATAATGCTTGGTCTACAGAATCGCAAAACTCTCCAACCGAGCCACAAGGTGACACGAAGAGCTGACCTGGTAGTATACTTTCATGCTACAACATTTTGTCTGCAACAGAGCAAACTGAATTATTCATTCTGTAACAATTGTTGGAGCACAATTTCTTTCGTGCACTACAAACCTATGTGAAAGCGCGAAGAGGACATTGATCTGTGCTCCAACCACAAAAGAAATTTGAGATGTGGTTTAAAACTGTCTATTTGGGTTAGAATTTTTGTGTTCGATCACGCTACAGAGGTTTCGTGAAATGAGGAACTGGGAAAAGGATATATAATAAAATGTGACAAGGGTATGTTAGATATTTTGTGTACTATAAGCGGCAGTAATACCCAAAGCTGACTAGTCCAGGTACCGGTGTTGGTACCTGTATTAAATGAGTGAAGCTTGGTCTACAAACTGTACCCTGTACCTACTGTACCAGGTACCTAGAGTGAAGGCGTGGTTGCCTGGTAGTTGCGCCTTTGTAACTCGTCAAAACTCCGCGAGCAAAGGCAAGCCGACCAGTCTTGTCCAACGTAGACCGCAGGAACACTGTTCGATCACTTTGACTACATTGTGTTACAGACGGACAAAGGCGGCCTTCGACCGTCAAAAGTGTTGTCGATGCGCTGATGCAATGATGCCCAGTTTATCGACTGAGATTGAATTCACCCACTTGTGTCGTGGTAATACGTGTAAAGACAGTATTGTCATCAAAATTCACATCTCTTCTGTTTTGCATTTCAGCTACAGTACAAGAGACAAGAGACAAGAGATGGAGTGGCTGGCACAGTCTGCATTGGCGGAAGCAGCAGGAGGGGCAACAGCTGGAGTTATTGCAGATAGTACGCTATATGGAATTGACTCCTGGAAAGTCAGAGTGCAACAATCCAAATCAACCGGTGGTTCCATCCGAGATCTCCGCATCTTGTTTCGAGGCCTAGGACCGACAGTGTTGCTTGGTAGTGTCCCAGTATTTGGCGGCTTTTTCCTGATTTATGCTCCCACCAAAACTCTTTTACAACACCATCAGAGACCAGAATTGATTCCTTTGGCATCTGCCGCTTGTGCGATTCCCTCTACGATAATCGGCGTGCCTGCGGACATTCTGAAGAAACGGATGGTGCTTGGAATGGACAAGACTTTTCTAGGTGCAGTGGTCAACGCGACAAAAGAGCACGGGGCATTGGGTCTCTTTGTCGGATGGAATGTCAATCTAGCTCGAGATATCCCCTTTGCTGGCTTGAAAATTGGGTTGTTTGAATTATTTGTGCATCGGTACATGATCTGGAATGGACTCGATCCTAGGGATCACATATCACCGACTGGAGCAGCCATTTGTGGGATCCTGTCAGGAGTATGTTGCGCATTTTTGACTTCACCTTTGGATGTATGCAATACGTACATCAAAGCTGGACGGGCTGGGGGCTCTACTTCCATACCAGCCGTATCATCTCACATTGTCAAGACTGAGGGCATCACTGCACTATTTCGTGGTGTTGCCCTTCGGTCCTTTGTACTCGGTGTTGGAAGTTCTATATTTTGGCCAATTCAGAGGAGGGTTGCACACAGCCTGGAGCCCAGCGGCCGCTTTGTGTATTGAAGCAGACAATCATGCCAACCTGCCTTTGATTTCCATCCCGGAGTGCCAAAGGACACAGTCTAGTTTCATGCAGGATCAATAGATGTTTGATCGAATCGAATATATGGGCAAGACACGGCGCTGCGCTGTGGGGAGAGAGATGACTCACATCGGATGTGCATACCAGGAAAATGTTGCTGAACAACACGTTTCCAATTTTTGCATCAGCAAGAGAAAGAAGTGATTTGTGCAGTACCACTTCATCAGTATCACTTATGCTATGTCCCTAGAACCTCTAGAGTATCAGCGCGAGGATGATTCGTGCAGGATACCAGCAGCCAGCAGTCCCTCGATCGCTTTCCATTTTGTTCACATCAGACACCAAGGAAAGCATGAAGGATTTGTGATTTCTAAAGTTCAAAGTATTATATTATCATACATAGGACTACAGTAATCCTATTTTTTAACAATAATATCACATTACAATTACTGTATTTATTAGCTTCTAGGTTTACTTGTATACGTGGGATATGGCGATCGGCCGGGCCACTGCACCCCACCGGTTTGCATTTCCGCATTGGGACTCAATCGTTCCACGTTTCCAACAGGCTTGGACGATGATCCATCCAAATCAAAGCTCTCTTTCAGGACGTGACGAATCAACGGATGATCTTGTGTCTCCAAAAATTCGTCAATGGGCATCCAGATGGCGGCCGATACTTCCACGGGACAGGCTTCAATTTCCAAGGATTTGGGTCGAAGGAGACAGACATAGTACAGATCTGATTTTCCAAACTTGAGTCCATGTCGATGCCAAAAAGTCAGTATACTCTCAAACTCGCAAGGTACCCCCGTCTCTTCGAAAACTTCTCGACAAGCCGCCTCCTCAAAGGTTTCCCCCGAGTCCAAAAGACCCCCTGGTAGCTTCCATTGTTTGGTGGGCGTCCGATTCGACAGAGGTCCGGACCATTCTTTGATGAGCAAGATTTCATTTTGATGGTTCAGCACAAAACCCGCACATCCCACCTGATGTGTAGCAAAGGGAGGAATCTTATCTTCCGTTCCCTCCCGAAGCCACTTTTTCATGACAATGGTTTGCAAGGTCGAGTTGGTATGATGGAGATCAAAGCCAAAGTTGCTGTACTCAGTAGTCGTCGCTAGAGGTTGTATCAGGCGTGCTCGACTGGTGGGTATCGAGACCCAGGCACTGGTGTAGTCGTTGGACCGCCAATAGTCAATGGAACGATCAATTTGATCCAACAATACTTCGTCGTCGTTATTGTCCGATGATTCGGAGATGGAAACTTCGGCCGCATTATAAGGCCCGATTTCAAATTCAAGAGGGCATCCATCGGCGGATGTTGGTACTGTGGAAAACGCTCCTACAAGGCTTGTCCTCCTGCATCCCGTGTTGGCGATGGAATGAAAGAATGGCCTACTGCTGAATGGTGTTGTTCTTGCTGTCGTTGTTGTGGAATGACGAACAACCCTGCGGAGGGCTGCTGCTGCTTGAGCGGAGAACGCTCTGGACACGAACGATGCTTGACTTCCAGTATTTTTAATATTACCTCCAACATTATTAGTAGGAAGATACCCAAAGCCAGTACAGCGGCCACAACGTGATAATAAAGTTGAAAAGAGCGCCAAAGTAGTCATCCCAGCACTTGATCGCTTCATTATGGGGGTGGTGAACTCTTTCGAAGAAGAATCGTCGAAAAAGATGCACTTTTTGAAATCTTCCGGTAGTTTCGGACCGAATGAACGAATGTGTCCATGATTTTAAGAAACATGGAGGATGGAGAATCTGAGTGACCAATCTTTTATTCACATTGAATAGATAAATGTAAACCGCTTTCCAATACGTTATATTGACTTCCAATTTTGTAACATGGAATTCAAGCTCCACTTGTTCGTTTGTCTGTTTGTGTGTGCGTGTGGTATCCTTGGTGAATACATATGTGTCTGTTGTCAGTTTGTGATTTGTTCTGCACTTTCTCGTATGTCACTCAATCCCACTATATATGCGTACGGTACGAAATGTTCACAGAGGCATTCCTACCATAAGGTGTCACGGATGACTGAACAATTTTAGAAATTGCGAAAGACGTGGTGCATTTGGCAAATTTTGATTCGTCCAAAAGGGTCGCAAAAGGAGTCTTCCATGACCACTCGGCTTCTGAAAAACCTTCTTCGTGCAAACATTGACGGAGTCGATGATGGGGTCGCTTCTGCTCGGGACCTCTGACCGCTTCTGCAGCTTCTCCTTTTTTGGTTTGGCGGCTTTCTCACGACAGTGACAAGAGCAAGTCGTTTGAGTCTCACGTAAACGAAAAGACATTCCAACAACAGGTCACGCAATACAAAACAAAACAAGCACTTACTGTGGTCCATCATTCGGCTAGTTCTCGCTTTGACAAAAACTTTCCCAAGAGATTCGTTCGTTCAAGAGATTCGTTTAGTTCAGTAAGCATTACTAGCATAGTACATTCAAGACAACAACAACAACAACAACAACAACAAGATCAACAACAACAGCAACAATCATATTATGTCGTCCATGGATTGGGGATCCGATGGAAGTGACTATGGTTCCCTCATGATGGAAGATGATGACGCCTCCATGTCTTCGTCCCAAGATTCACTCTCGTCCTCCTTTGAACCCGAGTTTCTTCCCATATTGCCCAAACCCAATTGGCCCGATCCCAGTTTGATATCGGTGGAGCAATTGGACAAGATGATTACGACTCATTTGCGGAATTCTACGTTGCGAAGAGCCTTGACGCAAATTGATACTAGCGGCGTCGTTTTCATGCCCCACTTTTCGGAACCTTCGCTCATTCCAGAAGGATACTTTACCAATTCAGAGGTGCTGGACGAAGCCCAAGACAAGTTGCGTCGGACTCCCAAGTTGACCATGAAGACCTGTGGGACCATGTTGCATTACGCCTGTCACGATCCCGATTCCAAGCGGGGGGAAGAAAAAATCAAGAGGATTTTGAAAGCTGCCAAAACGGTGGATTTGTCCGTGGCGAGAATATGTTCCATCAACGAAGTGCATTTGGTGCCACGCAACAATGGAAGGTGGGAGGAATTGGAAGATCCAGACGATGAAAAACAGGGATTTGGAACGACTCGAAATACACCCTTTTATACTCTACTCCGAGCAAGAAAGCTTGGTGCGATTCGGATTCTGGCGAGTGCCTGGCCTCGAATTGTGAATCTGCGGGATATCCGCAAGCAAGAGGGATACAGTGTGTATGGAGAAACCTACACAACGCTTTTGGAATTGATTTACGATCACTTTGCACCGGCCAAGGAAGCTTGCAATGACTTGGCCATTGTAGAGACCATTCTAGAATTTGCCGAACGAACTCCGCTGGGGGCCAGAGGATTGGTAGCGACTAGTTTCCGATGGCCCACTGGATTCCATTGGCAAGAAGGAGAAGACATGTGCGAACACGAAGAAGAACTATGTACTGTGGTGCACATTTGCTTGTCCTGTCGAAAGGAACAACCCGAATTGATCACTCCCATAATACGGGCGTGGCCAGAAGCACTCATCCATTGTGGTGACATGATGGAGGAACAGGGATCTTATCCACTTCATATCGTATGGAAGAACCCAACGAGTTATGGGCTCGCGGTACAGTTTACGGAAAATCTATTGTCCAATTCAGTAATCGAGGGTGTGGCAACTGCTCTTTTGAATACCAATGTTGATGGAAAACTTGGTCTAGCGAAAGTCTTGCAAACCATGCCCGTTCCAATGACACCTGAAAACCAACGATTACGGAAACGGTTGATTCACTTTATGGAATCGTTGCGAGATAAGAAGGACGAAAAGGGAAGGACCTTGTTGCACTACATTGCAGCCAACGAATGCCGACCAAATGCACGAGAACTATACTTTCAACAACTCAAATTTAGTGACGAATACTGGAGGCAGACGGGACGAGGAAACGCTTCGTTGGATATTCCAGAACTCCCACCGGCAGGAATTCTAGCGTGGAACAAGGAAAAGCACAAACTTCAAGAACGCAATGACATCTACAAGGCACAAGTCATTAATTGGATTTTGAGAGATGACCCAGAACTTGCCTACGTCCAAGACAAGGATGGACTGAACCCATTTCATTACGCATTGAAACAAGGAATGACCTGGAATGCGGGTTTGGAAGCTCTGGTCAATGATTTGCCGGAATGGGCCGAGAGTTATACCAAGCAAGGATTGCTCCCATATCAACTAGCAGCCACGCAAACACCCAGTGATGGAGAACTCGATACGATTTATCACTTATTGAAATTCGTTGGAAGGATGTAGGCATTGTCCTAGGACTGCGTGTACCGGTAATAAAGAATCAATGATGGAATGAAGGATAGAACAAGAGAAAAAGCATTTTTGTTAATGTAAGCTATACTAGATATCTTTTTGACCATTATTATAATACTAATGTATTGAAAAATATTGATACTCGTATTCAGTCAATCATTCATTCATCGAGAGGATGAAAACTTCTTCGTGTTGCTATTCTCTAAATCAAAAAGGCATTCTGTAATTTTGCAATCAATTCTTTCTCGAGCGATCTTGGAACTGCCAGGTACGTCTCACTTCGAAGCAAGACTTGTTTGCCTTCTTCCAAGGCATCCTCCAGAGACATTCTTCCACAATCAATCCCGTCCACAATAATCTTGTCGTCCACACCAATGGATGCAAGAGAAGTCTTGTCTTCCATCCAAGTAAAGTGCACTTGTTCACCTAGGGGCCATATGGAAACAATGTGATCCTCATCAGTAGCAACGTCTTTTGGATTTGCAAAGGCAAGTTGGCAGGAAGCATCCACCTTCATGGGGCGATCCTTGAGTTTGGCGTCAATGACATCCAGATCCCCGGATGATAGAATGGAAGATTTCAACACGGAGACATCCTGGTCGGTTCGGAGCACTGAGACTTGAAGCTGATTGTCCAATGGTGCTGCCATTTGCTGATACAAAAGACGATAATCACTGGCAACCACTGCGTGCAGAAATCGACGATCGCATTGATTCTCTATAATTTCCAACGCTTGATCGACCATCAGTTGCCTGCTCACCGCAGCAGATCCAACAGCAGCTTGTTTCGTCACTGCGCCTTCCAAAACAAAGTCCTTGTTTAGAACAAGTGCCGAAGAGGCCCCAACCATGGCAAGTGCAGAAGAAATCATTAGGTTTCGTCGTTGTTCATCTTGTACAGTGGCAGCAGCAGCATCAGCTGAAGTTGGGTCAGATGCATGAAGATTCCACGTCAACCGGGACTTGGAATAATCATCTGCTGGAACAAAGCTACTAGTCGCTGTGAATAGAACCGACAATGCCAATGCGAAAATTTTTTGGTAAAGCATCGTTAGAATGAATCGCTTTCTTCAGTTGATATCTACCGGTAGCACTGGTGATAGTCTCCTGCATCTACACCGGTATTATATAAAAATTATTCTCTCTCCAACTCAGAAAGTTCTGCGCTTTTTTATATAGCACACGTATTATATTATACAAAAATACTAGGCGCACGTGCTTTTTCAAATTTGCCGTTTTTTGAGAGTTTGGATTTGATGTCTCACATTTTTCGTTCGTTGCAACAACCACATCCATTCAGATCCTTCCAAAGACGACCACTCACCCATGATTCGCCACATCCAAGAACATCCAAGAGCCAAAGAAGCCCAGGCTCGACTTCCCATCAAGAAGCGCAAGCTCCGAGATAATTCTTATGTGAAATCCATCAACGAACGACCTCGGCAAAACAAGAAATTGACCCAACAAGTAGCAACGAATCCATCCGCTGGAAGGTCTGCTACCATCTCTAGTGATGCAACCATGGATGCCATTATACAAGATATCAACCAGCTCCTGTGCTCTGGCATAGGCAAGTCCAACCGCAAAAAGCGCCTAAAGAAAACCAAAAAACGTTGGAGGACCGAACTTGGAATGTCCAAGGTTCAGTTTTCCAACGGAGTGTGGCATCTAGCCCGAAACAAGGCCAATGTTCAGATCCAGTTTGAAAACAAAATAATTTTGAACAGCCCCTTGCTTGTCGACGAACCAAGAGACGCTACCGACTCCTCAAGTTCTATTTCGACAGAATCATCTACAAACACAATTCTGGACGCTCCCTTCACGGTCCCAGATACAAATGACGAAGATGATACCAAGGTTCTAGGGATGCGTCCAGCTGTTGATCAGGAGGGCTCTTGGATTAATCTGTTCCATCCTAGTGTTTGGGGTTTGGGAACATCGATGTGGGGGTAGGGATGTACCAGTGTCATTTTCATTAGACCAAGAAAGAAGGAGTGATTCATGTTGAACTCTTCTTCGCGTTTTTGTGTTCCATAGCCGTAAATTACCAATTTGTACTCTAGAGATACTTTAGAAGAAAAACCTGTTTACTTTTAGTCATCATAGAACATGGTTCTGAAATCACCATCCGTGTACTTGTATCCTTCTGGCAAAGGGCTTATTGATGTGACACGGACGACACCAAGTTCTTCCACACCTAGTACGGCCTTCAGTTCGTTGCCTAAGAAGTTTCTCACCGTGTCAGCTGAAGGTCTTTGTTCGGGATCATGTTTCCAACACATCTCGATCGCCTTTCTGATCGCTCGAATGCCACGATCCGAGCTTTTCAAAATCTTTTCGGGAAATGGCGACCGTCGCCCTTGCATCAACTCTTTTATTCCTTTACTCACGCCTTGGGTTTCAAAAAGCCATTTCATTGTCAAAATATAATACATTACGTTCCCAAGAGTGTAGACGTCACTCTTTTCCAAAAGGACGTTTTGATTTCTTGGACGATTCACTTTGAGAGAAATCTCTTCGGGCGATCGTATCAGTTTATACTGTTTGGGAGAGCATGAGATCAAGACCGGTGAGGCGAATTCAGAATATGAGCCAAAGGAGATGGATCCAACCATTCGTCCTTACATGATCACTGTAACCATTGTAGGCTTTGCAGACTTCGTGCGAAGTTTTATTCTTTGTCTGGAAATGAGCCAGGTGAAAGTCGTTCAGTTTGTAGATACCGTCAACAAAAATGAACTGGTGACAGCAGATATCATTGTGCACAAGTGACACTAGACCATCATTTTCAAAAGTATGCATATCTGCCACTCCGGAAGCAAGTTGATAGACAATCTTCAGTTTGTCCACCACAGGTAGCGTATCCTCGCCCCGGAGACGTGTCGTTTTTATCAAGTCATGTGTGGCACCGCCATCCAAACCAGGTTCAATAACTTGTGAAAGCTGCTCGAAAATGTCAATGAGTATCAATTTAATCTTGAAAGGGTACCAAGAATTTGAGAACTACAACTTACGCCGCAAAATCCAAAAATATCCAAGACATATGGCGATGCTTGTAACCTCTCCATGGCCATGCCGTCCTTTCTTGCTTTCTCAAATGATCGCTCTTCAATATCTTTCTTGTATCTGACGAAGATATTATCATGTCTATGAGCCATAGTGTTGTCGAAATGCAATCAAGTCAGGAAATACGTACTTTGGTATCTTCAAAACGACCCAGTCGTTACCATTATCGAGAATCTTGAATGCACAGCGAGACCCACCACCTACGAAATTGGAAACATGAAGGGACAAGTGCTGGTTAGAACAAGATTCATTGGCAGTAATTTGGCAAAGTTGCAACTTACAGTTGATGAATACTACTGAACCACTTTCAGGTCTCATATTCACTTCATGAACATTGTTGCAGACAGGAAACGTTCTCGTCTGCCATTCATGCATTGGTTGACAGGTCGGTTCGTACTCGTCTTCTTCGGAGCTCGAGGAACCAGCTTCTTTGGGCGCTTTGGTAGGTTCGAGATTTGGGACCGTTTCAAGGTTCTGAGTCGTCACAGAATTAGATTCGGCATCATATTGAAGGATCCTAGGATGGTTTCTCCGGGAGAACATTGTTCGCTCAGCACCGCTTGCAGGTTTTCTTACAGCTATTGTTGCAGCTTTCATAGAAGAATTGATTTGTGCTTCTAGAGGTGATGAAATAATATTGACGTCTGACACTATCTGGAATGGTAGAATTGAAGCAGCGGAAATTAGTCCCAGAATCGACGTGATTCTGCAGCAGTGCGCTCTGGTCTGACTCTTTTCATTTTTTGCCATCTGGTAAATGCGGCGATCGCTGTGTCTTGTGAGAGATCGATCCTCTAAAGCGTCAACAGGCTTCTTTCATCAGTGCTGAAAATGACAGCAGAGCGAAAATTTGAAATTCTTAGCTCTGAAAACTGACTCCCTCGATCGACCTGAAGAAACTAACTCAGATCCTGTTGTGCCCTATCTGCAATTGGAATTCCATCATCTACTGTAGCCTCACCCTTTGAACATACTGTTGAAATCACTGTCACTATACCGATATCCCACAGGTAAAGGCTCGATTGAATCCACACGCACGATACCCAAATCTTTCACCCCAAGCACTGCTTGGAGCTCCTTTCCAAGGAATTGTCGGACTTCTTTGGCTGTCGGTCTTTCACCAGGATCGTGTGTCCAACACATTTCGATTGCCTTTCTCATCGCCCGAGTTGCTCTATCCTGGCTCTGTAGAATGCTCTCTGGAAACGGTGATCGTTCTCCCGTAGTGATTTTCAACGCAGCAACTGCTGTTGAAACCTCCTGGAACAGCCAATGCATCGTGAACACGTAGTACATGACATTTCCTAGAGTGTAGACATCAGTCTTTTCAAGAAGGGTTTTTGATTGTTTCGTCTGGCCTAGTTTGTAGGCAATCTCCTCGGGCGAGCGAATTACTTTGTACTGTAGCAGAAGAACAAAGGAAGGCGAAGTGAGTAAAGTTGACATCAAAAGCCAAATGCACGAACTACTACCAACGTACCCAGTCACTGTATCCATTATGTGACGGGCAAACTTCCTGTGTTTTTCGATTCTTTCTCTGGAACTGGGACAAGTGGAAATCATTCAGCTTGTATACCTCTTTCGTGAGGATGAACTGGTGGCAGCAAATATCATTGTGTACAAGAGACACAAGACCATCATTCTCGAAGCTATGCATGTCAGCGACCCCAGAAGCAATCTGGTACAAAATCTTCATCCTGTCGATCGTTGAAAGAGTTTCACCACCTTTGAGTCTCGTTGTCTTGATCAAGTCGTGTAGGGCACCACCCCCCTCGTCACCAGGCTCTATCACTTGGGACAGCTATGAAAAGATTGTTAGCAATTTGTTTTCCAGAAGTGAAAGTTTGTGCCAGTGCAAGACTTACGCCACAGTATCCATAAATATCCAAAATGTATGGAGAAGCTTGGAGCCGTTCCATGGCCATCCCATCATGCCTGGCGTCTTCGTATCTATAGGGAACAAATTCCTTCTTGAATCTGAGACATTGAAAGTGTTGAGACAAATGAGCTAGAGTATGATTGCACCAACGGTGCACACGAGAACTCACTTTGACATCTTCAACACGACTTCTTGGCTTTGATCCTGGATTCGAAAGGCACATCGGTCTCCACCGCCTTTTGCAAAGAAACAAAGAGAAATATACATTAGAACAAAATGGTGAATGCATTTTATGACATTATCAACGCACGATCGCTTACATGCAATGAACTGCACTGATCCAGTTTCCGGTTGTAATGATAGTTCATGGCTTAAGTTGCAGTTGGGAAATATTCGTGTTTGCCAATCATGCATTGGCTGGCATATCTCGGCGTCATCATCTCTGCTGCTGCTACTACTTTTGTTTGGAAACGACTCGGCAGCAGGTTCAAGTTTCGTCGGTATTTTGGGCTCTGCTAGAGAAGAACCCGTCTTAACAACATTGGTTTCGACATCGTAATAGAGAAATCGTGGATGTTCTCGTGCTGGAAATTTCGCTCGGACCTTCGGCATTTCATTGTACATGCTATAGAGATTTGATTTTGAGTTCTTGCCAGTTGCAGTGGTCTGTGGATTCCATGGGAAACAGAAAATGAAGAGAAAGCAAATAAATGCCAGTAGAATTGTCTTTCCTGTTAAATTGTGGTATAATGTGGACAATCTGCTTCTTTGAGCTATCTTGTTGTTTGCATCCGATGCCATGATACAATACTGTTTGTTGTCAGCAATCTCGGATGCGCTATAAAACATTGTTGTCGAAGATGATTTCTTGTCTTTGTTGCAGTCGATTGGGTCTTCACATCAACGTACACATAACGGACGGGAGGTGCGCTCATCTCCCGTCCACGATCCAGAGTGGATCGCTGATTTTGAAACAAGGATAGAGATTTTGATTCCCGCGGCTCCCGCATGATTCACACCTGAGTTTTGAAGTACTAACAACCGTTTTTCACAACCTTCCCGCGTGTTTACTCACAGTCACAAACTTGAAATCGCTTGATTTCATAGATTCGTAATGCTCGATACAACAAATCTTTGGTCTGACATGGCTTCTCGTTGGACTACAGCTTTCCTGATTGTAGCCATCTTTGGTGGAAGCGCCTTCATTTGTGAGAACCGGAAGCAGGCTTTCGGTATGGCTATCTTATTGGGCTCGGTCGCTTTTTTCGAAATGGTTCATGCAGTTGTGAAGCGTCTCTTGTTCCCTGATTCTGAAGATCCTAGCACCTGGGCAAAGGATCAAGAATCCAAGAATTCAACCAAGGGATACGTTGAAGAGGTGCCCACCAAGCACCCCGACGAGATTCGCTACAAACATCCATCTATGGGGACACAAACAAGAGAAGCGGAAACATTTCACGACGCTATGGACAAATCCTTTATTTTCTCTCCAAACAAAGTTCAGGCTGCAAAGAAAAGCCCTAATACCAAACAGAATATGAAGAACTCTGAGAAACGGGCACTGGCCATCCATCGCGCCAAACAATCCATGAAAGAGGATAAACTGAAAGTAGAAGCCGCCAAGAAGAAAAAGGCTGTCGAAATGCGCCGAGGCGTCTGATCACCTACTACTAGACACGAACCATAAGCACCAATAAATACTAATTGTAACAACTAATTCAATCCATTTCTATTCTATTTCAGACTTCGTCCTGGTATGGTGATTGCTTTTGAATCAAAGGTTTTCTTTGGGGAGTATGATAGACACTCACACTATCTTGGTCTCCAGCAGAAACAGACGAAGACGTAGGGAAAACATCAAAGAGACCCTTGTTTGACTTCTTTAATGGACGGAAATGTGAAAACCATCCCCGATTGCGTCTTCGGCCTTCGGTAATCATGAGGGTGAAACTACGGATGGCTCGTTCACTCGCTCTTCGCGGGTGTGGAAATGCTAGAGGCCATGCCCAGTGATGGAGAATCTCTGCTGCTAGCTCATCATAAGCTTTGGCATAGAGTTGGATAAGATCGACATTCTGAAGCCGCTTCTTCCTCTTGGATTTCTTTCCGACAGGTGGATTTAGCATCAGATGGAGACTATGTGAGACGGCGGCAAAGGCAGACTCGAGAACGTAGGGTATCGTTGCAGGACTCATGGCCATGGCTTGATCATATTTCTCAGCCACCAAAGCTACATAATGTGCGGATATGCCATCATCCGACGTTGTGGACGAGATGGTGAAAAGTATGTCGGCAGACAGTTTCTGAAGCATCCCAGCTGCCGCCTCGTGTAACGCTCCCTGTGTACCCAGGTCGAGTTGTCGGCTCAATGCTTGCCAGAAGACTGAGATAAATGCAGTTATTCCTGCAATGATAGCAGCATAGACGCGGCCATCGGTCTCGACTTTTAGAGTTGTCTCAAAAACAAAAATGACCATGCCTGTCATGAGAGTAAGAGTGATGGAGGGCGCAAACAAGAACCAAGTGTCGATCACTCTCATATGCTCCGCTGTAAGTTTGTGCATCAGTCGATTTTGCTCCAGTGCCACGAAAAAGTTCTTCAGCATTGTTGCAGGGTTGTTGGAGGAATGAGTAATGGCATAACTTTTTCGAGTTCCTCTTTGGTTCATTTTCCGTAGCTTGCTTGAAGTGACAGATCCAAAAATTGATGTATCATCCTTGCCAGGATCCATCGACGGCATAGGACGGACTTGCTTTCTTCCAAAGGATGGACTCGAGGCTACTTCCATATCTGGAGTGCCAGGGTGTTTGGCTCGTCGCACGGCCGGAGGACCAGCATGTGTCAACCGACTTGGACTGTAATTTCTGTCATCTCTGGCTTTGGCAAGGTTATTGTAGAGAGTGTAAGGGAAGGTCAGATCACTTACACCACTGCTGCTTGTCCCGTTGGTCTTTGAATCAACTGGAAGTTGTGGCATTGGTGTCTGTTGATGTTCCACCTGGATTCTGTTGTATGCAGTGTGCTGACCGCCTGAAGATTGTGAGGCTTGCGCCTCGGCAGACGTTTTCGATGACTCTTCCTTTACAACGTCCAATCGATGACCAAGGTGATTTCTGTAGCCCCTTTGCTGTTCATATGATGACTCGTCTGTGTAGGAGTCGTCCGCGAATACATGATCCAGACTCTCTCCACTTGGAAATGCTCCTGCTCGGTTCCAAGCATGTTGCTCTTCTTCACTAGGAGGGGTTGGTGGTGATGGAGGATGAGACTTCTTGTAAGACCGAAAGAGGTACTGGCTGACAGTTCCCTCCCTGTCTTGGCGTTCTTGGTCCATCATTGTTAGACCTGTAAAATCTGAATTGGCAATGATATTCATACCAGTAAAATTCTTTGTGACATGTTCCACCTCGCAAGTCAGGTCGCATTCTCATGTTTGGTACGAAAAAACAACATGTGCCAACGTGAAACGAAAACTATATTTATAACACGAAGAAAATCTTTCCATGTGCAAAGACAACCACATACGGACGAGAGGAAAGAGCCTGGCCAATTTTGCGATATTTTTAGACCAGCGTCTGAGTCACGCAGTGGCAGTCTGTCCTGACAAGAGTTACTCTTGGTCCTGATCCCCAACCCGACTATCAAGGGTCGGACGAAGCAAGACGTCGGAACCGATTCAAGCATCCAATCACTCTTGATCCAATCATCAGTCAAAAGAAAACATTGTAATCTTCTCTTTTAGCACATCACATCACCATGGCTTACAGAAAGTCACTGCAGTCTCTTCTGCTCACTTTTTCTCTTGCATCGATAACATCAGCTCTATCAACGAAAAATCTTCCAGATAGTCAGTTGATCGACCGAAGAAAATCTCCAGCATTGTGGCGAGAAGACTTGGCGCCTGATGATGATGTTTCAAGGTCAAGCACCAGACGATTGGTTCAGAGAGCACCAGAAGTCATGAGCCCAGTGGGAGGGTGGCCTCAGCTACAGGCAGCAATTGGAAATGGTGCCGATTCGATCTACCTTGGCTTGTCAGCCTTTTCAGCACGCGCACGGGCAGCAAATTTTGATCCTGACGAAGAGCTTCCAGAGGCAGTTGCTATCTGCCATGATGCAGGCGTCAAGGTATATGTTGCGCTCAATACACTAATATTTGATCACGAACTAGAAGAGGTCGAAGAACTGATACGAGCTTGTGCGAGGGCAAAAGTTGACGCTTTGATCGTTCAAGATTTGGGTCTGGCCAAATTAGCACGAGCTGTGGCTCCCAATTTGGAACTCCATGCATCAACGCAACAGACAGTGACTTCCGCAGATGGCGCTGCCTTTTGTGAGGATCTCTTGGATAGCTCTAGAATTGTGTTGGGACGCGAATTATCGGTGGCAGAAATCGACAATGTTAGTGCTAATTTGGATCCAGATATCGAAATTGAGACTTTTGTGCACGGTGCCTTGTGTGTCTCATATTCTGGGCAGTGCTTCAGCTCTGAGTTTGTGGGTGGTCGTTCTGCAAATCGCGGACAGTGTGCACAAGCTTGTCGCCTACCGTATGGATTGATTGACAACGGTGAACTCAAGGAATTAGGCGATTTCAGCTACCTGCTGTCGCCTCAAGACTTGTGTGGGGTTGACCAAGTCCCTCAGTTGCTGGAATCGCATGTGAGCTGCCTAAAGATTGAAGGGCGTTTAAAGGATGCAGCATATGTCTCTGCTACCACGAGGGCGTATCGTAATGCTGTCGATGATGCTTGGAAGAAATACTGTGACAAACATAACATTCCAGCTGGAGCCATGCGACAACTAGACTCAAGAGAGACTGTTTCACGAGAAGAGCTTGCTCAAATTTTTTCGAGAGGACAAGACGAGCAAAATAATGGCCTTTCACCCGGATTCTTCGAGGGTTCTGCGCACCAACGTCTAGTCCGAGGTCGCTCGCCACGGCATCGGGGAGTTCATGTCGGACGTGTTGGCGAAGGATCGTCGTCGAAGACGGGGCTTATCGTTCAATCAGATCACTTTGATCGTCTAGACCTCAAGTTGGGCGATGGGATTGTCGTGGATCGTGGATTGGCGCAAGAAGAAGAGTTGGGCGGAGCTATATATGATATTCGACATGATCATAATAACGACTGTGTCATTCTGCACTTTTCCAAGGATGTAGAGCGGAAATGGAAAAAGCTTGATGATGGAGCTCGAAAAGGTTTTGGGTCCGGGACGGAACTTGCACCAGAAGGAGCACATGTGTGGAAGACTAGTGACGCGAAGGTAGACAAGAAGATGAAACGGCTGAGTGAATCTGGTGCTCCACGAAACACTGCGCGGGTCTCTGTCTCCGGATCCATTGGATCGCCTCTGAAGGTTGAAATCATGGATGGTAAGGGAAACATGGGCATTGGAGTGTCGCCTGGAGAATTGGCGCTGCCAGAAAAGGGTGGATTGAATGTCAAAAGCGTCAAGAAAGCAATCGGAACACTTGGAAATACCCAATGGACGATTGAAGAAGGAATTGATATGGATGATTTGGGAGACAATGTTTGGTGCCCCGTATCCTGGATCAAAGAAGCAAGAAGGCAAGCGGTCTTGGAATTGGAGGCCCAAACTGAAACGGAAGATGCCCCACTGAGTGAGCTCCACTTTGATGTGACGAGCAGCCTGATGAAAAAGATGAAGTTAGAAGAGTCGTCAGAAGATGAGGCAATGATTCCACGAGTTGTAGTACTTGCTCGGAATTATGGACAAGTCGAAAGCCTCTGCACAATGATCGAGAATGGAGTTGGAATCAGCGAGGTCATCGTCGATTTCTTGGAGGTTGATGGCATGGAGAAAGCTGTATCAAGGTTACGAGAAACACGAGTTCGAACAGTTGTGGCAAGTCCGCGAGTCATCAAACCAAATGAATCGGGCATCTGGCGAACACTACTTCGTTTGGAGCCAGATGCATTGCTAGTCCGTTCAACTGGATTGTTGTATCGGATGATGAAACTGGGTGGACCAGGCGCTCAGGCGTCAATCAAGACCACTGAAGACGAAGAGCAACTAGTCACGATTCCCGAATTAATCGGAGATTTCTCATTGAACGTTGCCAACGCGCTGACGGCATGGGAACTACTGCAGTACGGATGCTCCAGAGTGACTGCATCATACGATCTTAGTGCGAATGGTATCACAGAATTACTCAAGTCAGTTGGATCGAAAAATGCGGGAAATGTGGAAGTTGTGGCCCACACGCATCTTCCAATCTTTCACACGGAACACTGTGTCTTTGCACGTTTCTTGAGCAATGGTGACAGTTACTTAGACTGTGGCCATGCATGCACGCGACATAATGTACATCTGCGAGATCAAGGCGGTGCGGACAACTTGGTACTTGCTGATATGGGTTGCCGCAATACTGTATTTTCGGCGCAGGCTCAGTCAGGGGCACACTCGCTTTCTGATTGGAGAAGTGCTGGGGCCAACTCCTTCCGTATTGAACTCGTGGACGAATCCGACAAGGATATTCAGACCATTGTACAGGGATACATTGACGTGTTGAATGGTGAACTTAGGCCAAACATGCTTTGGGAAGAGTTGGAAGATGTTCGTGACAGCAATGGACGGAAAGGGGGCGTTTCTTTTGGATCGCTTCGTAATGGGGTAGAACGAAGAGCTGGGGAAATCGTATAACTCTTTCCATCAGTTCATGGCCTACAAAGATCGAAGTTTTGTCTAGAAGCAAGAAATGATTCCCTACTTCGATGAGCGCCTAATGATAGATCCACAGTTGTCTCTCAGCCCTGCCTTGGCCATACCGGTATACTCGTACGTACTATTTATTTTCCTCTCAATCTTTAGTTCCCCCTTTGGTCCGTCCACCCCTCCCCTAACACCGATTTCATTACACCACACAAAGAAACAACGCATTGCATGATGAAACGACGCAGACCTTCTAGAAATCCCTCTTGTCTTGGAAGGCTAGCACTGGGATGCATCTTATTATGTCAAAAACAAACATCAGCGTTTACTTCCAGGCCTCATGCCGGCGTAGGACTCGACATTCACGCGTGGAAGATCCCATGCTCTTCGTGGCCAACAAGGAAGAATGATTTACGAAGGCCCAAATGTCGGCAATTTTTTTCACATCCAGCTACGTCAGCGGGTTGGGAGAGCCCTGACGCTGGTGCAAAGAGACGGCCTCGATGGGCAAGAAGTTGGATGCCGACATGGCTATTTAATCTGCGACCATCCGTTCAGATCGCTGCTCTCCTATTGACCTATTTGTTGCACATTACTGTACTTTGTCAGAGGTCGATTCACTTTCCCGTTCAACTCATTCCAAATGAACGAGGCCATTTTCAGAGTATTGGTTTGGACTCGTAAGTTTCGTGGTTTGAAAGATTTTCCGATTTTTACAGTCGTCGTCGGCATCTGACGTTATCTTTCTTCTTTTTTCCAGGGTTGCAGGAATGGTTTCCTTGGCCATCTACCAATATATAAGAAGGCTTAGCAAAAGTGCTAAGAGCAATGTTTCCAACGTAGAAAGCAGCGACGCGGTTGAACTAGCGAGTACCGTCCCATCCCTCTTGTCAACCCCAACCCTTGAGGAATCTCCTTGGAAGAGTGTTTTCAACTCGAAATTTGCTGAACTTAGCTCGTTCCTGGCGTTCTGTGCCCTGGTACTAGGTTATTTTTCAACTGGTAGATTCAGCATTTTCTGGGAGGACGCATTCTACTACATTGCAAACTTCTATCCAATGACAATAGCAATGCACCGATCGTTGTGTGTCCTTTTCGGTCACCTTAGCTGGATAGCCATTGGCTTTGTGATTCTTCGGGCAATTCCCCGTCCACAGAATCTATTCAAGAATCAATGGTACACTCGAAAGTTCCGCGGTGCGCAGTGGCTATGGTGGACACTTGGGGGCTACTTTGTGTCATCATGGTTCTTCAACATAGCTGATTTTACAAATCAATGCGTCCTGCCTCTTCCGATCCTAGAAGAAGCCCAAAATTCTGTTGTCTCTCAATTAATCAATCCAGAATTCAACGACTGGATCGCTTCGGCGGTAGGATACATTGCTCCATGCATAACTGCCCCTTGGTGGGAGGAAGTCCTCTATCGTGGTTTTCTTTTACCCGCATTCACTTTGCGGATGAAATTCAAATGGGCTGTCTTTTTAAATGGGATAATTTTCTCAGCCCATCACATGTCAATTACGGGTGCTATCCCGCTCGCTGTGTTGGCTTGGACCTGGTGCATCGTCTACGCCAAAAGTGGAAATCTATTGTCAACAATTCTGATTCACACCATGTGGAACTCAAGGATATTCATTGGTAGCTGGTTTGGTTTATAATCGAGCTATTTGCTATATTTCACATGAACTAGAATAAACACTTTTATATCATGATTTACGCGGTCTATTCTATGCAAGAAGTGCCTCAACAAATTCTGGTCGGAAGTGAACAAACAAACCACCTCTATTCCCCCTCGTGATCCTGATGTCATCGTCCATATACAGAAACTCTAGGAAGCCACCCTTTCTTTTCAAAAAGAAAAGATTAAGAGTGGGCAACTTCCACCACTTAAATGTCGCTTTTTCAATGTCACAACCAATTCTTCGTAGAACAATTTTTCCGTCTTCTGTTTTCGAGTAAGCATCAGTAGAAGGGGAATACTGTTCACAAAATGGTTAGTGGACACGAATTTACAAAATTCAATCCTATGCACACTGCATGAATCTCACCTTCACCCTGGAATAAACACGACCCTTCTTCAAGACGTTGACGCCTACTTGAAACGTCATGGAATCGACATCGAAGGTATTGATAGGGAAGCCTTTGTATTCTCCCTTCTCTGCGGCCTTCTGAAAACTGGAAGATTTGGAGCCTTGCTTCGTGAGAACTTCTGCCCAATCCCCGTCAACTAGATCAGCTTGAAATCCTTTTCCTTCGGCGTACAGAAGAGTTGCCAGTGCCTCGATCTTTTCATCATTGGTCTCGTCCGATGTGACTTTTTTGTCAGCAGATTTGATGCCGTCAATAATGGTCTTAACCAATTCTTCTTTGGGATTGCCGCAAAGCTGTTGCATATTGTAGTAGCCTCCACACTTGACAACGTTCATGTTCTCTGGAAGGAGACCCTTCAAGCCTGCAAACTTCTCCTTGAGTTCTTGTGAAGCATCGATAGAGGTAGCATGGAAAGCTGTCGTTTGTCGTGTGGGATGCAAGTTGACAAAGCAGCTTCCAAGTTGGAAAGTTGCGAGTGAAGAAAGAAACAGTGTTGCGAATCTCATGATAAACCAGAACGAAGGAGTGATAGCTAAGTTCGCTTGGTGTATTTCTATTATTCACACCGTCAAGTCTTATTTTGGCCACCTACTGTGTGCTGGCTTTGAGAACTTCAAACTGCGAGGTGAGTCAGTTCATGTTTCAACACAATTTCAATCCCGCGAAAGAGGCGAAAAAATCACTCGAGAGATCGTCGTCGAGCCAAAAGCATTCGAACCTTCCGGAAGAATGTGAGCTTCCCTATCCTTTGTAATACCCTTAAAACTGGTGCCTTCACAGAACTGCGATAGGTCAGTTGGATCAATTCTATCACACCCCGGAAAGGACGCAATATTGGATTCTCATCATCGTCCGAGCTGTATTCGAGAGCAAGGGTCGACGCTGCTTGCATGGCTGCCTCTGACTGAACTTCACACCGAGCCTTGGATACCGAAGCTGCAGCTGCAAACAATGCGGAAAGTGCAGGGAAGGCTGCGACCACAACCATCTCGCTTGTGAGACTACCGAGTGTGCCTGCAGCAGAGAGGGACTCGAGGAATGGCAATTCAACAATGGCTGCTGTCGCTGCAGCACACAGGCCAGAGAGTGCAGAGGTAAACGGCAAGATGGCAGCGGATCTTGTTCCTTGGTTGGCGTATGTGTCACATACAGCAGCACTTCTTGCCTTGACGGCACAGGCATCTGTAGCCCTCGCAAGAACATCTTCGCATTTGGTGAGTAAGTAGGCAGTTTGGGCGGCTGCCAAAGCAGTCACAATGATACTCTTTGTATTAAAATCAGCACCAGGAATCAAAACGCCGACAAATGGTGCAGGGAGAACATTGAGGAATAGACTTCTCCACTTCTTTTGCGATGACTCGGATTTGTTCTTGATTTGTTCTGGCGATGATGTCCATGTTCGTCCAACCAATCCAGAACGGGCAAACCGACGATTTCCGACCGATGTCGCTCGTCGTGCAAACAGCCTCGTATCCTGTAAAGCAAGACCTGCGACTGCCGCTGACAAAACACTGATAATGGGACAAGCTAGATAAAGTTCTCCCAAGATGAACGTATCTGCATTTTCCAAAAGAACTGGGACGAGCAGAGATAGTGTCGTTGCTGTCGCACTGACACCAACGCACAAGGGAGTAATGGCTTTGGCACGTTCCGCATTGGCTAGAAATCCTTCCGCTTCAGCTGCACATACAATTGTGGCGGCAGCTACTTCTTTACCATCTGCAACAGAAACACGACCAACATATTCGGCACCAATGCCAATGGCGGCAGAAACTGACAATCATAATGTTAGGGGTTGGAAGATGTTTTGTCATTGGTTCAACAAGGTTCCGATCGGATAGATATATTATACTTACAAGCAGCAGACGTAGGTGCGAGGAACTCTGTCAATTCGCCTCCCATGATAAATGGACCAGAAGCTGCTGCAGTTACGGAGAGACTTAACATGATGAATTCCAACTTTGTCAGTTGGGGTTGTTGACCAGCCTGGTCGTCCAGCATTTGCATATCCAATTCTAGATTCTTCAGAGCAGACCAAACTTGTTCTTCCCGCTTGTTCCTGGAAGAAAGCTGGTAGTTTGGGCGTAACACAGATGATTGTTGATCCAGCACTTGTTTGGATCTTTGTTTGAATACGTCACCGCCGGTTCCGGCGACGTTTTTGGGGCTATTTTCGTAGTCTTGATCCCTTACATCGGCATATCCTACGTCTTTACTCTCTGCCACTTTTGATGCCATTCTTTGTACTTGTCTCAAGGCACTTTCTCCAGTTTGTTCTGACCAATCGGATAGGGAACTCATTCTCACCACGCTTCCATGGTGATGGCCGGAATTCCGACGAGCAATGATCCTGGGTGGAAGATTCTTGGAATCGAATGCTGATGTGATGCTAGAGGTGAACAAGCACTGCACCGTTGGAATACTGAATGACAATGATAACAATAGTAGCAAAATGGAGGCTGATGCAGGTAAGACGCAATGCATCTTAACTAGTTGATGTGAGGATGCGACGGCAGATATTGCTCGATGAGATTTCATCTGCTTCAGTCGAAGCACATCCATCAAAATGCATGCATATTTGACTCAACTGACTGACTGACTCGACTCAAACACCTCGACCCATTTGACTTTCCTGTACAGCACCATCTTGGTTACTTTTCTGTCTTATATTATTCTCTACTGTACCTATATTGATTACCAATACTCTTGATGGTATTAAATTAACGCTGGAAATATGCACAGGCACCGCAGGTACTTGGACAGTCGTATGAAACCTGGAAGAGTTGACACAAATATGAGTACTTCTCGAGGTTCTCCGTTAGGAACGCGCACACTGGTGCCGATGGATTGTCCACGCAATCAGCGGTCGGTGATTCTCTATCCATGTCATTGCCGCCTCCTTCAATGAGATCATTTTGTCCAGTACTAAGGTCTTCCTCGTTAACTTCGGGGCTTGGTGCGTCTGTTGGAGGTGTGAACTCATTTTTTGGTTCATTCGGATCATCCGGTACAGATAGACCAATGAAAAGTGTGTCATTGAATATTCCACTACCAGCTGCAAGTGAAATCATGTTTCCGTCTGAAAAGGTTGCTGTAACTTCATACGAACCGTTTCCATATTTGCAGCACATTCCGTCCCCAAATGAGTCCATCAGTTTCATCTCATAATCACCAGGAAGCAGATGAAGTGTCTCTGAGAATGATTCCATCCCAGAAAAGGCACCCTCATAATGTCTATGTAGTACCTGTGAGCTACGAATGAACTCAAGGCTAACTTCTTCGGGATAGTTGTCAAAGACAAGTGATATTTGCACCGGAAGAGATCCTTCAGGTGGCGGCGTTGGTGCTGGTGTTGGCTCTCCTCTACAGCTCCCTGGCTTCGTATCAGAAAGATCACATATCTGCTCGCTGATCCAGTCAAGGCTACCACTGACACGAGCATAAACGCCGGGGTAGTCTGCATGGCCGCAGCCGTATCTACCGAGAGACAAAAGAAGCGGTGTTAGTGTTCTATCAAACCGTTTCATGTCCACTCTGCCAACCAACCTATCACTCACCCCCATGAAACCACACCGATTTGTACACCGAATTCGTCAATGATTGGGCCACCTAACAATGTCGCTACTGTTAGTTGGTCATTTCATTGCAGTAGTGCCAAATGAAAGTTTGTTGGAATGACTTACCAGAATCTCCTTGACAGCTGTCCTTTCCACCTTCTGTCGTTCCAGCGCAGAACATGTTTTCTTCCGTAACTTCTCTACCATATCTTGCATCACATTCTTCGATAGAATACGCCTTCACATTGACTTCCATTAGAGTATCGCTTCCACCAGTTGCCGCTTCTTCTTCGAGTCCGAAACCCATCACAGTCAGCATTTCCTGAGCTGCTGGACTTGATGCATGTTGATTCAGTGTGACAGGAGTTATGGAAACTGGACTGTCCAACTTCATAATCATATAATCGTTCTCCATGGAAGTATCGTTAAAGTTTGGATGGATTCTCCGTTCCACGATCATTCGTCCTTGTGCTCCAGGCACTGTGTCGTCGAATCGCAGATGTGAACCAATAATGACGTCGTTGTACTCAATAAGATCGCAGTGAGCAGCTGATAGCAGGATATCTTCGTGTATCAGCGAAGCTCCGCATCCATGCCACTGCACAAAGAATGGATATTGACCCGCAGGTGCATCATTGCCACCAATGATTCTGGATTGAAATGCCCAGTGTTTCTTGACAGGTTTTTGTCGTTTCTTGGACGATTTTTCTCTTCTCAATCCATTCTGGCTCTTTACAGGGCCACTAGAGATGACAAATAGAGCTAGTGTTACAATCCAATGCCTCATGTTCCTTTTGTATTATCATTTTGTGATGGCAGTCCAGGGAAGATGCTTGCACCGTTGTTTTCAGTTTACACTGTGTTACGAATGAGGTTTTCTTGCTCGTGTCCTTAAGTATTTTTGGCAAGATTAATGAATCCCGCTTGATTTACCGTGTGTTTCACATGTTGTTGCAATCTCGTCACCGCGATCAACTGTTCCACCGATTACTTTGATACCTTACAGTAGCTAATGTGTTTCAAGAATGAGATTGCTACTACGGTACGTGAGATTCCTGCCTATTTCCGCCTACTCGTCCCGTATCAAACACAAGCTGATCCTCTCATGATTGCAGATAGATGTGACATATGTGTGCTGTTGGTGACGAGGGAAGGATTATAATATCATATGTACAAGGTGATGGTGGATGGTCTAAAGCATATTCATTCTTTTACACGATAATTTTACTTTGTTTAAGATAGAAGTGAGTCAAGGCTATCGGAAACATCGGCAAGTGGGTCAGAACCATCATCGTCATCTCCATTCAAACCGTCTAGAGAATCACCCAATCCAAGGACAATATCTCTGGCAGTCTTTTCTCTTGCTTGACGTTCTTCCTCCATCTTTCGGTGGTACTCCTTTGCGGTATCTTCGGCATTGTCAAAGACATTTTGTGGATCATCGAGCATATCACCTGGTTCCATTTCTAGTGTCTTCGTGCTCAACGCAATTCGGCCATTGACCTTATCGTGGTCAATGATCATGCACTTAATTTGCATACCTGGTTGAAGAACCTTCTCGAGGTCTTCGATTCTCTTGAAAGAGATTTGAGAGATGTGCAAAAGACCGGACATTCCACCTACTTCGATGAAGGCACCGTATGGCTTCAATGCCTTGACAAGACCACTGACAACATCACCTCGGCTGAGGTCAGCCATTTGTGTCTCAACAACTGCCTTTCTGTTGGAAACAACAAGCTTGTTATTTTCTTGGTTGACCTCAAGGAACTTGAGCTTCAAAGTTTGGCCAACAAGATCATCAGTGGGCAATTGTCCAGCAAGGTGGGATCCTGGAAGGAAGGCACGAAGTCCCTCAACAAGACAGATGGCTCCACCACGGTTAACTCCGATGACTTCAGCCTCCAAGATAGCGTCGTTGTTTTGCAATTCCTGAACAGTTTCCCATGCAGAACGGTATTGAATTCTACGGCGACTGACAAGAAGTTGTCCATTTTCGTCCTCGTCAGAGATAATTTGGAAATCAAGTTCGGTATCCAATTCGACCAAGTCAGAAAGCTCGGAACCTGGTGGTTGGATAAGAGCGGCTTCTGTCTCCGGCAAAAAGGCGGATGCCTTGGCACCAATATCTACAAGAGCACCTCCATTGGAGTATTCAACGCAAAATCCCTTGACGATAGCATGGCGCTCGAAGCTATATTCTGTGTTTGCAACAGCACTTCCGAAATCATCGTACGAGAACTCCAAATCATCAGTAGCGATATCAGGTCGGAATCCCTTATACTTGGACTTCAAGGTGTCGAATCGGGTGGGTCCACGGACCTTGGTCTCACTGGCTTCAGCAGGAGCCTCGGCAACAGCAGAGTTGAGGGCAACACTGCTTCGGATGCTTCAGTTTCCATCACAGAACGAAATTGATTGATATCTGATATTAGTACTTGATCTACAGGAAGACTGACGTGTACACGGACGATGACAGACGAAAACAAGCCGACATCAAAAACAACAACGCGAAGAGGACCTTCCAAATCATCAAGTCAAGCAGAGCACCAAATCATCCATGAAAACAAATTCAAAGGCTTACCTTGGTCCGGAGACACTGAAGGCAGTGGCTGTGGCAAAAAAGGCGGCGAAAGCCGTAGCTGTGCAGAACTTCATCGTGATAGGCACAGCTTCTTTCGAAAATTGATGGGAAAGGGAAATTCCTTCTTCAGGTTGCGGTCGACGAGGGGGCGGTGAGGGATGTGCGGTCTGATGGCTCGCTTCTAGTTTCAGGGTGTTGCGTAGAAAATGTACCACAAATCAAGCAGATACGAACCATCAATCACCATTTTGGCAAGGAAGGTAAAGGGGACAAATGGACAGGCGACTGACGTGCGTCAGTTGTCACATCAATGTCGTACCCCATCTTGATGTGATGGATGTGTTGGTTTCTTGTTTCTTCACCGCTCCACGTTGAACAAACGAATTCGAAAGAGGAAAAGAGGAATACGTTGTTGTAGTAGTTGTCAAAGAAATAATTGACGATACTACTACAAACATGAAAACTACAATTTTGTTGACGCAGCTTTTGCTGAATATTGAGACGCTGCAAGCTTTCTCGCCTAGCCTTCAGAGAAGCACCTTGACTCGTCAATCACAGCCTTCTTCTACCCGTGTCTTTTCGCAATGGGATGACGAGGAAGAAGAGATCCTTCAAAAATCCACTTTCGATGAAGCTGGAGTTGCATTGACGGATGAAGAAGAGCAAAAGAGGATTGCCGAAATGGGCGACGATACCAACGAAGACGTAAGTTCCGTTGTTGATTCCGTTTTGATTTCATCCATTGAACTTGTTTTGCTGATGAAGTTACTCTCCATATCCAATCTATAGTATAGCACCGATGATATTTCCCGAGTAAGAGAAGCTATTCGGCAACGAACTGAGGCTTTGGGAATGGAACGATCGAAAGTGTCTGTCGAGGCCATCCAAGCCGCTCAAGAAAGAGCAAAATCAGCAGTTGAAAATAATTTATCTGGAGCATCGCAATTAGACCTGAGTCAAATCACCGAAAACGCACCGCGGGGAGAGGACGCTGATAATATTCCGGCAATGTTTTACGACCCAGAAACTGAGATGACAAAGGAAGAAATGATTGAGGCAGATCCAGATAGTCAGTTGAATTTTTATGATCAAGTTATGAAGGAAATCACATCATCAACATGGCCATCTCCTGGTGCCGCCCTCAAAGAAGTTTTCGTCCTAATCTTTGTGGGCGCTGCTTCAACTGCTCTCATCATCAATTGGGATAATTTCCTTCGAGAGACGTATACTAACTTTGGAATGATTCCAACGGAGGAGCAAATCATGCAAGGATCCGAAAACATGGTTCTGCCCGATGGGTGGACAAATGGAATGTCGGAAGACGACTTTATGAACTTCCGTGAGGAACAGGGCAAATCATCGTCTCCTTCTGTAGAAGCAATCAAGCAAGGTTTCCCAGAATTGTAAGGAGCGTACATTGTTGAAGGCCGCCGGGGTTAATTTGAGAGCAACATTTGCACGGTGAACTATCCGACAGTCAATGCACAAGTAAATAGAGAATACATCAAAGAAATGCAGCTGTATTAGTATCATCTGCTGGAATTATAGTCGCTAAAATATTGTGTGACTGATCGATCGATTGATGGATTGATGGATTGATGCCCTTGTTGCATCATGATGATTCATGTTACCTGCAGTAAATGATGAACTACTCTTTGGGCACGTTTGTCTAGCGATCCACCTCCCACCTATTGAATCGATATCTTTGTGACTCCATAACTTGGACTCTCAGAATATGAGAGCTACAGAAGTCCAAAGGCTCGTGCCATTATTCCGGCGAATACCATCCACAAAGTCAACGTCAGCATTTGAGCTCGCTTCCATACGACACTGTAGGCCAGATTTGTTTGCGAAATCTGGATTGCTAGCTGAGGAGGAGTGAGTCCAAACGACAATTTGTTGAGGATCAAGCGAGCGCCAAAGTTGAGAGTCCAAAGAATCCTCTTGACAGTCAAGAGGCCTCCTGATTGACCGTATTGGAATGGAGCTCCATGTGTCGCAATCTTGACAAGAGCTTTCGTCTGGGGTTCAAAGGCAAAGAAAAGAGAAACTTTGTGAGCATTTATCTCCGATACATACGATGGAATACTCAAAAGTATCCCAATACATACCTCTGGCTTTCGAGCCTTGGCATACGAAGTTGCCATTTCTCCTGGCGTCTCGTTGTTCGTCAAGGCTTCATCTAGTGCTACGACATCCTCGAGCCCTGAATTGACACCCTCGCCAAGGTCTGGTGGAAATGTGTGTGCTGCATCTCCCAATATGATAACGGCAGCGTTTCCTGTGTGCGATTGAACCTGCAACTCGGGAGAATACTGGACGGGAGGCAACGTCAGACCATCATTAGCAGCAAAACGATCAAACTCTTCCTGCTCGATCATGGGGGTATCGGATCCGAAGTCTAGACGAGGAAATGCTTCAGAAAACCATTCCTTGAGCTTGTTGCCATCGCGAATCTCCCAAATGTCGTGCTTGGCGAGACGAATGACGTTCATCGCACGGGATGGAACCTCCCTACAAGGCAAAATCCCCAACGACATGGCTGTTTTTGGAGACTTGAATTGTGATCGAAGAGCATGGAACGTTTGAGTGTTGAATGGAATCTGATACTCAGTACCATCACCAACCGGAATCTTAGCCTTTGGGTTCATGTGAAGGGTCTTGAACTTTAAGCCAGAGGAAGGCGAGCTATGAAAATGCATGTGTGAGAGAGGCCGCAAAGGCGATGATAGATGCCATCTGTCATCACGAGAGGAGGAGGGGAATCTATGGTACTTACTTCCATCTCTTGACTTGGAATCCTTTCGGTTTCCCGTTGACCCAGTTGGAAAGTGAAGATTCCGGCTTGCTCAATGATTCTCGGACAGCCGAGTTCATACCGTCAGCTGCAATGAGGATGGAGGACTTGTATTCCTTGCGCACCAGTGATCCATATTCATCCTTCGATTCTGTGCAAACGATAATTTCCGAGTCTGATTCAGTCTTGACGCCTCGACAGGAAACTCCATTAACCAGAGTGATATTCTCCGTTTTTGTAGCTGCATCCAGCAAAATCTTGGTGAACTCATGTCGTGGGACCCAGAACCTTTCCCCACTGGGTCTAAAAATCGTAATCTCCTTTGGTTCCAAGTCTACCACCTCCTTAGGGTCGGCGGGGATGGAAACTAGTTGGGTAGGTCCTTGCACGCCCACACCGCGTTCCTTCAGTGGTTCATGGAGTAACGATGGAAAGAGCTTGGTCAAACGTTGGCCTCGCTCACCAATCAGAAATGGATACCCCTTGCGTGGATCATATACATCAATGCGCTCCGCTGACTCCAGAACGGTAACTTGGTATCCATGTCGCTTGGCCAACACAAGAGCTGACGCCAATCCAACTGGACCCGAACCAACAACGGTAGCCGTCTTGAAGCCTGAGACGACAACACAAAGCAAGCAACCAAGACCAAGGATTGAAAGAATCATTCCTGGTCGAAGATTGAAAAGATCGCTCCGAAGGATTTCTTCCTGAATTCGGTTGTTGGAATGGAATGAAGAAATGATGATGATTCCATTGCACGGTATTGCGTTTATTATTATATTGCGTCATCGTTGGAGAAATCGACCAAGCCGACTCAGTGTCTCCATTTTACAAACCATTTTCTAACGTAGACGGAAGAAAGCGGTCGAACCAATGGACTCAATAGTGACTCCATGAACGACGGTAGGGCGACCGTCATCTCAGTATTGCACCAGCAACCTAAGTCCGATCTACACATATCGAACTTGTGTGCAAGTATACTGGCAGAAAGAAAACACCAAGCAGAAGAACCCGAAAAGAAGGCGCCAGTTGGCTATCTTCGATAGGCAACTCAAACTCACCATCATCCTTTGGAACAACGTGTTCAAGATGGTATTGTCAGCGCAACAACAACGAACCATGTAAGTTTTTAATTGTCATCGCGTGTAGATGGAATGGGACACTATATGTTTAATGATTCAATGAATAAATCCAAGGCAATGCAATGCTGAGAGAAATGGATTGGATGATGATGTTTCTCAACTTGACTGATATTATTGATTGATTCTTTTCCTTCTTGATTACAATTGCAGTAAACTCTTGACTGCCTTTTCCACTGTTGGTGTCACAGTGCAGGCAGTCTTCTTTTCCGAGTATCACATCGAGGGACACGAAGGCGAACCGCACATATTTTCTGGCATTCAGCGGGACGCCCAAGACTGGGTGGATCGCAAGATTTACAACATTGACACGAGCAAGTTAAAGGCCGAGTCGTTACAACAACAACAAAAACAAAGGACTCCCCCGAAGAGCTCATGAAAGGAAAAAAGAAACGAGACTGATGGAAACAATGAATGAATCCAGCATGAAAAACTTGTTTTGTAAATTAGCGATGAACTGGTAATGCATTATATATTAATATATCATATATTATGCAGCAGAAATGAAAAGATCCTCAAAGAGTCGGTCGTCCAGAGATGGGTGCATCATAATTTTGTGGAGACTATAAGCCAGAAAAGAAGAATCGTCATCTGGACAATGATTCGCCTCTAGTAACGTAACGAAGTTTGAACATGTGTTTTCAAACTTGTGCTAAAAACTTTAGAGAACTCTAGTGCTCTAAACACGACAAGCAGAAGGACATTGTGCGTTTGTTCTTCTCATATCAGCCATGTCGAATGATGATCCAAGGTAATGACATATGATCATTATTCAGGAGATTGAAAACGATACCAGCTTTTTGTTTGGTGCGTGCAACAACGTGCAACATTGTACATTTGAAATAAATCATCTATTTTCCTTTGTTATCTTGCACAAATTGAATGTACTTGGCCAAATCCATAACGTGTTTCTTGTCGAAATCATATCGTCGCTTTTCTTGCAATCGCTTGCGCTTCATCCATGCCTTTTCGTGTTTGTCATTATACGAGTGGAGTGCCAACAAGCCTTCTCCATCGGATCTTCGTTGCTCTTGAAATCTATTGACCACCAATCCGGGGTCCTCGTGCTTGACCTTTCCCTTGCGATCCCGTCGCACCCGAACCACTTCTTGCCAGTAGCCTCGCTGTTGTTGTTCAAGGGCGATGATGGTATTATTGGGGATTCGTTTGGTTGCGGCTAATCTCAACGCCATATTTCTGTACTGTCTTTGTGTGTGTGTGTGAAATGGGTGATTCTATTGGATAAATGGAATGAAAAAGATGTCGGTTTGGTAGTCGTCGTTGATGTTTGATGCGCTACACAACAAATAACTCATGATGCCTCGTTCAGCGAAAAGTTTGTCGTGCGTTCGTCGTCCGTTTTACGCACAAGACACGTACTTTCTTACGTCGTTCAGCGAGAAGAACGGATCGACGATGCCGACGATGAGGCCTTGATCCAGCATCGGCATTCAAGCCTCAACAAACTTCTCCTTTGTTGATTTTTCTAGGTGAGTGTTTATCAATAAGATGGAGCAACTGTGGTTTCCATTCAAGCTTTAGAACAATTACTTGTTTAGGTACTTTGTCCGGATTTTTTTGGCGGACTGGAACGGAAACTATCCGCTTGCAACCTCTTGTTGGTTGGTTGGTTGGTTGGTCAGTCAGTCAGTCATTTGAGAAAGTCCATTGCGCTAACTCTTGCCTTTTTCCCTTTTTTGCTTTTGACTTGTTACAAACAATCTGTCGCAATCACGCTGTCTCTCGCTCTCTTCAAATTGCGCCGCAGAATAAGCAAGGATGTTCTCCTCATTTTCTCGCGCATCCTCAATGGCCATTCGCCGGGTTGCCGTCCGAGGCTTTGCTTCGGAGGCTTCTCACAAGCCCGTCATTCAAATTTACGGCATCCACGCCCGTTACGCCAACGCCACATACATGGCCGCCTCCAAGGCCGGTGTTTTGGAAAAGGTCGAGGGTGAACTCGCTGGGTTGGCCAAGAGCGCGGAAGAGTCTGCTGCCTTTGCCGGTTTCTTGGAGAATCCCATGATTCCTCGCGACGAAAAGTCGAAACAAATTGAGGACATGCTCAAGACCAAGGTTTCTCCCATCACTCTCAACCTTTGCACCACTTTGGCTGGAAACGCCAAATTGATTGATCTTCCCAAGGTTGCTGACACTTATGCAAGATTGATGAAGGCCAAGCGAGGACAAGTCGATGCCGTCATCATTAGTGCCGAGGCTTTGACTTCCCAACAATCCAGCCAAATCGCTGCCGCCATCAAGGCATCCACCAAGGATGCCAAGGAGGTCGTTATTACTTCTGAAGTTGATGCTTCCATCATTGGAGGAATCCAAGTGCAAATTGGAGATCAATTCTTGGATCTTTCCGTCAAGTCGCGCATTGAGGAAATCTCCCGAACTCCCATCTAAACTACCTATTTGACTTGTGAATGGGTATTAATAATAGTACCAAGAAAACTAATAAGAATAGAAGTGGACCTTTTTCCCATCTTGCAACTTGCAGTCGACTTGCAGGGTAGTGTATAGATGAGATACAGTAGTATTGGTGTTGCCATGAGGGCGGGACAACGAAAAAGATACATGAATATGTGCAAGAACAATGCAATGGCCCGCAAACGGCACATGGCAACGGTAAAGACAAGACACCATCCCGAGACGGCTCAGTATACTCATGGTACTATCGGAGATACAAGAGTCAAAGACTATTTTAATACAATCGGAGACATTATTTATCCAAGTGTCAGCAGTGAGAACTTGTTGTTTATTACAACAGCCAAACAAAGCGCAAATAGTCTATTCCATTTGCAGGGAGAGATTGTAAAAAAGTCCGCAGTCTGCGATCTACTAGCACGGCCTCCTTTCGAGACACTCCTTTGAAAAGGAACAGGAAACCAACCGCCTTGCGATTGCCGATTCTCGTCTGCTGTCTTTATTTTCTTCCTCATCTCATCCTCCTCCTCCGCTGATTGATTGGAAATATGCCATGCTCATCTATGATCATAATATTATTATACAAATGGATTCAATATGCTTATATGCTGCTTCCCAAGAACCATTCTTATTGTTGCTTTCGTTCTTGTTGTTCTTCCTGTCGCTTTTCCTCTTGATATTCGCTGAGCAATTCCTTGGCTCTGTAAATCTTGGACTGCAAATAAAAACTGCCTCCTTTGGAAACATCATTGGCGGCAAAGTATCGGTCAAATTGCTAATAATAGAAACAAGCAAACAGACAAACAGGAAACATAGGTGAGTTGAGTATATCTGCCAATCACATTCAAATCGAGGTCAAATCATAAAAGCATTCCAATACACCGTTCCAATAAGAAAGAAGGACACATCAACTCTTCCTTCCAGTTCAAAACGTCGTCCACAAAAGCATTCAACTTCCACAGCAATCAATCCATGTGTTGCTTACTTTCTGAACCGCCTCAGGAGTTGCCTCCGCTTCCGCCAAGTTGAGCACTTGTAAGGCTTCTGACCGACTAATCTTCTTGCCAAATACTGGTGCCGCTGCTTCCGTCGCATCCACACCCGACTTTCGGGCATTCCTCAAGGCTTGTGAATAGGCAGCTGGGATGGTACGGGCCAAGACGGCAATCACAGGGACGACGATTTGGGCGAGAATCCGAGCGAGGGGTCCGGCAGCCATTTTTGTTTATTCGTTTTTGCTGTTGTTGTTGGTGCTAAAGTGTAGATGTGTGTGAACTGTAGGTTCTTGATTGTTCAGTGAACTTTTGCTAGTCACAGGTCAAACAAATAATGCCAAAATGAATGATACAATACCAACACGACTTCGTGATGTTGTTGGTTTGGCAGATGTTTTGTGATGAGAAAGGAGAAACGATGAAAGGAAAGAAATCGAAGGAAGCGCAGACGTGGTTTTTTCACGTTGCGCGAAAATGTGCGCGACTTTGGAGCAATGACTGACTGACTGACTGCTGTGTGCGTGCAACGGATATCCAAATGGGAAACCAATGTTAGTACAACAACACGAAACGCAAGTCTCAATTTGATTCATCAGTTGACACACAAACGTGTGTGACGACACACAAGTTGCAACCAAGAATTTGAGACCTTGGAGACATACGCAACACTTCCATCTTGTCACCACACACAACGTGCGATTGAAAAAACGGAGAGAAAAAAGTGAGGCATTGAAAACGGTTCCTATAGTCATTTTTTTTCTTAATCTTTCCTTGAATCAATCATCAATATGGCTTCTGGCGGTCCTCCTCCTGCCTTTGGCTTTCGACCGCCTCCGCCACCCAATGGCGGTGGTCCATTCCGTCCTCCACCACCACCTGGGCGGACATCATCGTATGATTCTGAAGGAGAGGAAGGTGGCGCATTGACTTCTACCATTAATTTGGTCACATCGGCGGCGAACATGTTGTTTAAACCTCCTCCACCTCCTTCCAGTGGTAATGCTCCGCCACCGCCACAATCGATGCCACCACCAAGGCAGCCCCCAGCTCCTATTGAAGCGACAAACTCCATGTTGGATACACCAGCCGCTGCGTTTCAGGCTCCTCCTCCTGAACTAGACCTGAGGACGACTCCACGGAGTCAGAGTAACACGCCTCAAAGAATGACGACCATCAGTGGAGTTCCGCAAGCTGCTATCCCAACCATGCCCTCCTTGTCAGCAACGCCAACGCAGTTTCCTCCACCGAGATCCACGGCCGAAGGGTTGTTTGGGTCCAGTACTGAGCCTACTTCCACCATGATGCCACAACCAGGAGCGTCACCAATGGCAGCAGCCATGGCAGCAGCGAGTACTAGTAGTCCACAAAATGTGTTTCAGGCACCACCACCACCTGGCAATGCAGCGAGTGGGTTTCAAGGGCCATCACCCATCATGCCACAACCAGGAGCGTCACCGATGGCAGCAGCCATGGCAGCAGTGAGTACTAGTAGTCCACAAAATGTGTTTCAGGCACCACCACCACCTGGCAATGCAGCTAGCGGGTTTCAAGGGCCACCACCCATCATGCCACAACCAGGAGCGTCACCGATGGCAGCAGCCATGGCAGCAGCGAGTAGTACTACTACCACACCACCCTCAAGCTTTCAACCGCCATCGTCGCCGGCAAACAATAATAATACACAACAAAAAGTACGGGGAGTCATCAATGCGGTTGCGGTTGCCAACAAATTCATGAAGATGAGCCCCAAGAGGAACCAAACAGCTTCACCAGTACCCCCCGCTTCTGCTGGAGGATTTCAGCCACCACCATCCTCGGATGCTCCCACATTGCGTGGAACCATTGGCGCTGTGGCAGTAGCCAACAAGTTTATGAGCATGGCAAACAACAACAAGTCTAAAACGAAAGAACAAGAACCACCAGCATCTCCAAAGCCAACGAGTCCAAGCCCATTGCGGGGTGTAGTCAATGCCGTGGCAGTGGCCAATAAGTTTATGAAAATGAAGAAGTCAGCGGATGATGAACCACCAGAAGGAAGAGACAATGGGCAACAATTTCAGGACAAACAGCAGGCATCACCAGCGCAACAGCTTCGAGGAGCGGTCAATGCAGTCAAGTTGACAAACACGTTGAAGGGTGGTTCAGAAAGTAGTACTCAAGACAAACAGCAGCCATCACCAGCCCAACAGCTTCGAGGAGCGGTAAATGCTGTCAAGTTAACAAATACGTTGAAGGGTGGTTCAGAGGAGCCAGCGTCACCAGCGCAACAGCTTCGAGGAGCAGTCGATGCTGTCAAGTTGACAAACACATTGAAGGGCCCAAAGGAGCCATCATCACCAGCACAACAACTTCGAGGAGCAGTCAATGCTGTCAAGTTGACAAACACATTGAAGGGCCCAAAGGAGCCCGCATCACCAGCACAACAACTTCGAGGAGCAGTCAATGCTGTCAAGTTGACAAACACATTGAAGGGCCCAAAGGAGCCAGCATCACCAGCACAACAGCTTCGAGGAGCAGTCAATGCAGTCAAGTTGTCAAACACATTGAAGGGCCCAGAGGAGCCAGCATCACCAGCACAGCAACTTCGAGGGGCAGTGACAACCGTCACGGCTTCCAACAGTTTGGGGGCTTCCTCTCCAAAAAGGCCACCAATTCAAAAGTTTACACCACCACCATCGCCGCGAGTACACCAGGTGTCAACGAGGAGCCCAAAGACGCCATTGATCGCCAATACATTGCCACCAAGCAGCAGCAGCAGTCAGACGACGACGCCCATTCGAAAGTTGAATTTACCTACTCCCTCTCCACGTGCCCGCACGTTGGTTGCTGGTATTACAACCACGCCGCATCGTCAACTCCGACTTCCTCCAAAGTCTAGTAGTACCACCTCTACCAGCAAGAATACTACACCGAGATCCAAATTTCGATTGCCGCCGCCTCGTACAAAGTCGACGACACCTGAGCCAGTGGTTAATCTCAAACCAAAGGTGGACGAAGCACCATCGATGCCAGAAACATCAGCAGCAAGCACTAGTAGCACTACTGCTGCTCCAGGCGGTGAAACAATAGCGACGCAAGCAGAGAATAGTACTTCAGCGGAATCCAAGTCCACCGAACAGTCTGCTGCAGCCGTCGAGGAAGCCCCAACACCAGCTTCTGCTTTTATGGAACCACCCAAACCAGCGGAGGATGCGTTGCCCGAAGGATGGGTCGCAACGAAGGACCCAACACTGGGAAAAATCTATTACTACAATACTGAGACTCAAGAAACCTCGTGGGAAAAACCGTTTCCGCAAGCGCCATCGACAGATAACACGATTGAAGTCTTGTCCCAATTGAACAAAACGTCTACGGAGGCGACTGCTATTTCGTCTGCGGCACCAGTGGAAGAGGAAGAACCGCAAACACACGATGCTACTGAGTGGTCCGAAGTCACGGATCCTGCTAGTGGAGAGGTATATTACTACAACGTAGTGACTCAGGAAACCTCGTGGGATCGTCCAGCAGCCATGGACCAACCACCTGTCAAGGAAAGTGAGACAGTGTCCGCGGCAGACTCCAAGGAGGAAATGCTGGCAGAAGAGTCCGTTGAGGAGACAGTTGCAGCGTCTTTGCCACAAGCACCAGCGACCGATAATACGATCGAAGTCTTGTCCCAATTGAACAAGAAATCTGCTGCAGCAACTGCTATTTCGACTGCACCATCTGTGGAAGAGGAAGAAACGGAGGCAAAATATGAGTGGTCCGCAGTCACAGATCCTGTCAGTGGAGAGGTGTATTATTATAACGTGGTGACACAGGAAACCTCTTGGGATCGTCCAGCAGCCATGGACCAACCTGCGAAGGAAAGTGAAGCAGTTTTACCCGCATCAGATTCTAAGGAAGAGATCTCAGCAGACGAGTCCATTGAGAATACATTTGCAGAATTGAATGCCGAGTTTGGTTACGTGGATCCTTCGGAAACCGCAGACGAAAAGGAGGAAGAACCCACGCCCGCTGGTTCAGTAACAGAAGAGAAAGATGCACTTCCAGACGGCTGGACCGAAGTGGTTGATCCATCGAGTGGTGAAACCTACTATTACAATCCCGCCACACAGGAAACATCCTGGGAAATGCCAGCAGAGGAACCGAAAGCGACCAAGGTAACCGAGGCTCCATCCACGGATACGACGATGGAAGTCCTGTCGTCAATGTCGCAGCAACCCGAAGAATTGGCAGTACCAGCACTGGGCGAATCACCAGAGGACGATGGCGATTTGCCAGACGGCTGGGAAGAGGTTGTTGATCCAAATAGTGGAGATGTTTACTATTTCAATTCTGGTTCTAACGAAACATCGTGGGAGCGCCCAGGTGCCGAGCCAGCAAACGAAAAAAGTGGCGAAGTGGAAGTGGTAGCATCAGAGGAGATGAAGTCATCAGCCCCAGCGGTGGAAGAAGCAGCAGAAGAGACTGCTGGCTTAGCTACAGAGTGGGAAGAAGTTATTGATCCAAATAGTGGTGATATCTATTATTTCAATTCTGTAACCAACGAAACGTCGTGGGAGCGTCCAAGCGTAGAACAAATGAATGGAGACAGTGTCGAGTTGGAACCAACGGCATCAGAAGATGTCCAGCTGGAAGAGCCATCAGAGCTGGGTGTTGATCCCTTGGTTGTCGCAAGTGAATCAGAGGACGCAGAAGCTGATACTGAATCGAGTGATCTTCCTGAGAACTGGACCGAGGCTGTAGATGAGTCTTCCGGTCAGACGTATTTCTACAATTCTCTGACAGAGGAGACATCCTGGGAAAGACCAACGAACGACGAAGCCGTGCTTGAAGAGCAGGAAGAGATACACGAGGACGACCCAGATAAAAATGTCGTTTCAGATTTCAAAACTGGTGCAGGGTTGAATACTGCTGTTGAAGACTCAGTTTTTCCTGCTGATTGGATCGAAGCAGTGGACGAATCTAGTGGACAGACTTACTACTACAACACTGCAACTCAAGAGACTTCTTGGGAGAAACCACTGATTACCTCAGATTTACGAGACGAGGTTGCAGCCGATGCGACCGACGACCGTAGCGAAACCGAAGATAAACAAGAGGACGCAGCTGTGAATGAGACCACACCAGAGACTGATGACGGTCTTCCATCAGATTGGATTGAGACGGAGGATGGAAATGGTCAAGTGTACTATTACAACACCGTCACCAACGAAACTTCTTGGGAAAGACCGCGGAATGAAAGAGATGAAGATAGAGGTGTTGACGAGGTCGAGCAAGAGGGAGATAAAGCCGAGGCTGATGGTGTCGATATTGACGAGGGCGATAATGTTATGGATGAGGATCCAGCAGACGATCAAGATGAACTTCCAAGCGATTGGGTTGAAGCAGTCGATGAGTCGACTGGACAGACGTACTACTACAACACAGTGACTCAAGAAACAGCTTGGGAGAGGCCTCCAATGGCCTCAGATGGACAAGAAAAAGATGCTGGTGACGCAGATGAAGCAGAATATTCTACTGCTGAAGATGACCAAACTGATGGTGTTGTGGATGACAGTACGCCAACCACCGAAGATGAGATGCCTGCTGATTGGATCGAAGCAGTGGACGAATCTAGTGGACAGACTTACTACTACAACACTGCGACTCAAGAGACTTCTTGGGAGAAACCACTGACTACCTCAGATGCACGAGACGAGGTTGCAGCCGATGCGACCGACGACCGTAGCGAAACCGAAGAAAATCAAGAGGACGCAGCTGTGAATGAGACCACACCAGAGACTGATGAAGGTCTTCCATCAGATTGGATTGAGACGGAGGATGGAAATGGTCAAGTGTACTATTACAACACCGTCACCAACGAAACTTCTTGGGAAAGACCGCGGAATGAAAGAGATGAAGATAGAGGTGTCGACGAGGTCGAGCAAGAGGGAGATCAAACTGAGGCAGATGCTAGTGATGATGACGAGGGCGGCAATGTCACGGGTGATTACCATGACCAAAAAGGCGATGATGCTGATACAGATGAAGCCGAAGATCATTCTGCTGCTGAAGATGCCAAAGCTTCTGCGGCCGCGGATGAGAGTACGCCAGCTACCGAAGATGAGATGCCTACTGATTGGATCGAAGCAGTGGACGAATCTAGTGGAAAGACTTACTACTACAACACTGCGACTCAAGAAACATCTTGGGAAAAGCCATCTAGTTCTGTTTTAGAGGATGAATCTGAAGCTGTTGAGCAGGAGGAAAAGGCAGCGGAAGTCACTGATGAACATGACGATCTGAATGCTGAAGTAGACGCTGAAGAAGCGGACGAACAACAGCTTCTAGGTGATTGGGTCGAAGCTGTTGATGAACAGAATGGCCAAACTTACTACTATAATCCAGTGACACAAGAAACGTCCTGGGAGAAGCCCATTGTTGATTCGGCTGAAAAAGCAGAGGCACAAGAAGAAATCCCAGTTGAAAGTAGTGAAGCAGAAGAAGTTCCCGAAGAAACGGATGCTGGTGATGCTGCAGGCGATTGGACGGAAGCAGTAGACGAATCTACTGGCCAAACGTACTATTACAATGCCCGCACTGAAGAGACTACTTGGGAAAAGCCACTAGTACTTCAAGAAGAAGACGAGGGTCATGAGGAGCACATTGGTGACGACACTGATGGCGATGCCGAACCGAGTGCTGAAGCCGAAGATCAGAATCTGGCCGACGAATGGATTGAAGCTGTTGACGAATCGACTGGCCAGACATACTACTACAACACGGTGACCCAAGAGACATCTTGGGAAAAGCCGTCTTCTTTGATCACCAGTAACGAGAGTGAAGAAGTCGCAGATGGCGATGGCGAAAGCGAAAACTCTTTCGACGGCCAGGAAAGTGACAATATGAAAGGAGCCGGGGAACGAAGTCATCCAACCAATGATGTGTCGGAGAGCACAGATATTTCTGCACATGACCCTGACGATGATGCACCGACCACAGTTCTTCCTGAGTGTTGGACTTCAGCGATTGACGAAAGGACAGGAAAGACATACTACTTCAACTCGTTGACCCAGGAGACGTCTTGGGAATTTCCGCGGGGCAGTTCGGATGGTGAAGCTAGTGTGGGGTCAAGTGAAGAGCAAGACGTGACTGATTCAGTTCCTGCTGAGACACCTGTGGAAAAGGAGGACGAAGACCTTCCAGAAAACTGGTCAAAGGAGATCGATGAGACAACATTGAAGATTTACTACTACAACAATGTCACGCACGAATCATCATGGAAAAAGCCTGGTGTTGAAACAGATGCCGATGTTCAAGACAGCGAACATACAGAAACGGAACATTCGGAACACGATCCCGATTTACAAGCGAGTGACGATATGTGCAAGAAAGAAGGAGAAGACCAACGAAATGAAGATGGCGAGACTCCTCAAGTTGACTGGATTGAAGCCGTTGACGAGGCTAGCGGACAGACCTACTTCTACAACACAGTCACTGGAGAAACTTCTTGGGAAAAGCCGGTTGAACTGATGCAATCTGACGACGAGGGTGACAAAGACGAAGCGGACGATGGAGCCGATAACGATATCGACGACGCTGCTCCGACCAATACCGAAGACGACAACGAGCAGGACGAAGGACCTGGGCTTCCCGTCAACTGGACCGAGGCGGTCGACGAATCGAATGGGCAGACTTACTACTACAATACAGAGACGCAAGAAACTTCTTGGGAAAAGCCTGTTTTCACACCATCGGAAACTTTAAATGACATCGCCGACGAGAATGAATTGCCTGCTGAGGAGTTTGAAGGCGAAGTTCAAGATGCGAGCCCTTCCCCTACAGTTGATGAACCCGACATGCGCCATGGAGAGAGCGGGTTTCCATCCGACTGGACTGAAGTCGTTGATGAGGCTAGTGGCCAGTTTTACTATTATAATTCAGTTACGCAAGAAACATCCTGGACGAAGCCTTCTGTGGCATTGGACGACGCTGCACCCGAAGCTGCGATAGACGAAATGTTACCTTTGACAGATAGTGCCGCTGAAGAATCCAGCATCCATTTTGAAGAGCCCGAATCAGAAAAGGTAGTTGATGCGGACAATAAGGAGCTTCCCGAGGATTGGATTGAAGCCGTCGATGAGGGCAACGGGAAAACTTATTATTACAACACTGTCACTCAAGAAACTTCCTGGGAAAGTCCTAACGCTGCTTTGGAAGAAGAGATTGCAGCAACGCCCGAGAGCAATGAGAATCTTCTAGATGAGTCCGTTGCGGCACCGGAAGCGGCCGAAACGAATGACCTGGTGGTGGCCAAAGCAACCGAAAACATTCCAGGAGACGACCTTCCAAGTGACTGGATCGAAGCTGCTGACGAGTCTAGTGGACAAACATATTACTACAACACTGTTACCCAGGAAACATCTTGGGAGAAGCCTTCTATCACCCTGAAGGAGGCTGTATCTGATGTTGCTGATGAAACCCCAAATGCTGCGATTGAAAACGCTACCGACACAGAAGATGCAGCCACTGACGGGTCTGAGGATAATAGAGCTAAAGAGGACGAAGCCGAAGATCACGGAGAAGAGCTTTCGGGCGATTGGATTGAAACAGTTGACGAAGCCAGTGGGCAAACCTACTATTTCAATACTGTCACACAGGAGACATCCTGGAAAAAGCCATCCAAAACTGTCGAAGAAGACGAAGATGTAGTAGACGAGAAGAATAAGCACGTTGGAGGCGATGGTGTCGTGGAGCAAGCAGATGCCGTAGAAGGGAAAATGGAGTCCGACAACGATGACCTTCCAAGTGACTGGATTGAATCCATGGATGAATCAAGCGGACGACCTTACTACTATAACACTGTCACCCAAGAGACTTCGTGGGATAGGCCGTCTTCAAACACTGCTATGGAGGATGCAGCTGAGGTTGCTGACGAAATTCAAGATACACTGGTTGAGAATCCTGCTGATGCCGACGTTGGTGAGCCTCTGACTACTGAAACCGCAGTTTCGGAAGGCATAGTGCAAGAAGAAGATCCCCAACGTGAGTGGATCGAAACCGTCGACGAGTCCACGGGGCAAGTGTACTACTTCAACACTGTAACGCAAGAAACTTCCTGGGAAAAGCCTTCCTCTTTGCAGCCAGCAGATAAGGGGCACGAGGAAGACAGCAGTGGAATTGCTGACGAGACACTATTTTCTGAAAAGAGGATGGAAGATGACGCCATTGATGTGGACAAAACAGATGCCGCGATGGGGAATAGTCTTGATGTGTCGCAAGAATCCCTGCCTAGTGGTTGGGTCGAAGTCGTTGATGAAGATTCTGGAAATGTGTATTTTTACAACTCAGAGACCAATGAAACTTCATGGGAGAAACCTTCGACGGAACCTTCTGAGCCAATAGCTGAGAGTCTGCCCAATGTGTTGGCTGATGAAGAAGACATCGTAGGAGAGGCATCCAATCAAGAGTGGGAAATAGTTGATGAGCCAAAGGATGATATTGTGATAATGGATGATACCAAGGATACAGATGTTGATCTTGCAACACACATTGCCAATCTATGCGACGAGCGTGGAGGTGTTGGTATTATTGGACCTTTGAGCTTATCTGAGGACGATGCAGTTCTTTCATATATCAAATTGAAGTATGAGAATACACGAAATCCACTGTGGGGTTTGATTGACATCGCAGCACGGTCAAGAGGAAGGCTTCGAAGCGAAGATGGCGTTGCTGATAGAAACAGTCCAGAATCTTCGATTGTTGAACTACTGCTTAGAGAGTCAAATGGGAAATCCCCTGCTGCCCCATCGTCGAAACAGCAACAAAGTCCGTCTCCAGCGGAAGAAGGTAAGTGAGAATATTGAGTCATGTGATGAATGTGACTTCGTGGCTGACAACATGTTTCCGTCTTTCCATTGCAGATGACGATCTCAGAATGGAACGAGTTCAGAGTCTGTTGCTCCGAGGAAACCGAGTGGAAGCAGTGAAGGAAGCAGTCGAGTGCCAAGACTTTGCTACCGCACTGTTGGTTGCAAGTATGTGTGACCCCGAGACCTACAAATTTGCTGCCAAAGCATATGCAGAAAATGTCTTCGTCGGAGGTTCTCCAATGTATACACTTGGGATGCTTTTCTCAGGTTCGATTCAAGTGCCTTCAGAATCGTCCTCAAACAGTTTCTGGGGGATCGGTGCTAACGAGTTGAACTCAACTTGGAAAAAGCACCTTGCCGCAGTTATTAGCAATCGCACTGCTGGTTGGGACCGTGTTGTCCTTTCTCTGGGTGACAGATTAAGAGAGATTGGTGCAATTGAAGGAGCGCATTTCTGTTACATGGTCTGTGGCTGCCCTTTCACTGACCCACTGGACCCAACTACGCGAGTATCGCTTCTGGGTTGCGATCATGTCGATAAGTCGGTCGTTTGCCTGGCAACAAATGCTGCAATCGATTCATTCTATCAAACCGAAGCGTACGAGTGGGCAAAGCGTAGAGGAAACAAAAATGCTACAATCAAGACTTTCCAACCGTTCAAGGTGATTTTCGCGACATCCTTGGTCGATTTTGGCTTTGAAGATTCTGCTAGCCTATTTACTCTGGGAATTCGTCACTGTTCTGATATCCCTTCAGCTGAGCCAATCGACCTCGCAGGAGAGCAATGGGGGCAGGTTTTTGAAGATACCAATGCCTTAGCTGGTGCTTTTTGTGCTCTTGAGATGCGCCTGGATTTGGTTCCTGACCAAGACGAACCTGAATACGACCACGTCGAGGATGAGGTACCGCCTGCATTTGAGGGTGAAAGGCCTGCTGCAATGAATCCAGATGATTCTTACGCGGAAGAAAATCGGGATGCAGTCAATTCAACCTTGAACTTGACGGATAACGACGCCACTTTTGTTACTGCGGCTTCCAATCTTATGGAAAAGCCCGGATTCTCCATGACTCCTCAAAGGGAGACACCACAAGCACCAACAGCCGAAGCCATGGTGCTGCAAGAACCAGATGGCATGGTACCACCTCAGGTCGAACGGTTGTCGACCGTTGCTCCACCCGTGGCGCCATTGAAAGAGGATGTATCTAGAAAGCGCACCCAAGCAATGCCGCCACAAATGCCACCTACACCGACAGCGCGAAACAATGCGAGCAATAACGAGGACGTGTCCACCCCAATGCCTGCAGATCCTACTACCGCTGCTGCAATGCCAGCCATGACGCCACAAGAAACCATGAAACAACCTGAGAAAGCGCCGAGCACTGCCCCATCAGTTATGATGGGCAAGAAGAGCGACGCCAAGGTTAACAAGAAGAGTGCACCATCATCTACCGAGAAGCCCCGCAGTGGAGGACTGTTGAGTGGCTTTCGAAGCATGATGATCAAGCGCTTCAATAAAGATGCAGTGGAATGCAGCTTGCCTGACAATGAAGAAAAGGCTTATTATGACGAGAAGTTGAAAAGATGGGTCTTCCCCGGTGATGATTTGGACGAGTTGGCCAAGCCCATGGCCCCACCACCTCTCATGCCAAGTGGAGGAGACTCCAAGCCAGCTATAGAGCCTGAACCAAAGCCCGATAGTAATGATCCGTTGGCGGCCATGATGGCACCACCGTCCCGGCGACCTGCCGCATTGCGTCGCCCAGGTGCAACTCCTTCTATGCCACCAGGTGGCGGTGGAATGCCTCCGATGCCGGGAATGCCACCTATGATGATGCCGGGAATGCCTTCTCCTGCAGCTGGAGGAGGAGCTGCTGCCCCACCTCAATTTGCTGTTTTTACGCCATCCAAGAAAGAAAAGGAACAAACGAAGGAGGAAGAATAAAATGATAACACTATCAAAGCTAATATTGCGATACGAATGTGTTGTTGTTTTTAAAAATGTCTGGTTATTAGCTGATTTGTACCAGTTGATCATTCATCTAAAACACCTTAGAATATTTACTTCTTTTTCGAAAAAGGAAGCTTCTTCATCCATGAAAACCGTGCAGTCCCTCCCGGTGTTGCCGGGGACTGAGGTGATAACCCCGGACCAAGATCCTTGCATGGAGAAGGCGGGCTGACTGCGCCAAGGTCTCCTTTTGATGAAAACAGATCCGACTGACTACCGCTAGTCTCCTTGATCTTCTCGATTTTTGGTTCCCACTTGCCTCTGAGCGGCTCTTCAGGATCATCGGGACTACCAGGATTCGATCGTACAGAAGCACTCAGAGTCGATCGAAGGGAAGAGTCAAGTACAGCCTCAGTAATGTCGGAGACGACGGTTGCATTGTCCTCGTCGAATTCCAGGATATCGCCCTCATCAATTCGTTTCTTCTTTTTCGGAATATTTCTCTTCCGAAAGCTGGATGGCAAGGTGGATGGTTCAACCAATCCCAACTTGTTTGTCTTCAAAATACCGCTGGGTGAACCAAATGGAAGCTGCAAATCCAGTGGGTCCACTGTAGAGCGTTTTCCTTTCAGATGCGACGTTGGCGTTGTAGTCCAACGTGCTTCACCCAAGTCAAGCTTGTATATCTGAGCACCGTTGGGTGTGGAGTTTCGTAGTGGCGACTTTTTGCTATGTCGCTTTTTTCTTGGAGTTGTTACGCCATTGTCCCCATCAAATGGCTCATGAACGTCATTTTTGTACCTTTGCGGTGACATGGCTACCAGCTGCTCGAGGGTTTGACCCTTGCACGAAACCTCAAGTTGCGAAGCTTCGTCATCTGATTGCAATTTTTCCCGCATAAAGAAGGGCAAGCGCTCCACACTCCGTGGAACATCTCCTGGACTATTTTCAATGTCGTCGTGACCTTCATCGTCAGATTTCGAAGTATCCTTTCTAGAGCGCCTTGGTCTCCTTCCTCCCGACCGAGATCGTCTCTTTTCTCCATCTGGAACCTCGACAACATCTGGACCTCCTATTTTGGTCACGTCACATTCTTTGGGTGCTGCGGCTGCAGGTTTACGCCCTTTTCTCGGGCTCTTCACCGCATGAAGAGGCCTCTTTTCACCCCAATCCTTACTGCCAGACCGTTTCTCGACTGGAAGTTGCTGGAGTTGCTGAAACCGATGGCTGCCGTCCAAGGAAAGCCGAAGAGACACCGACATGCTATCCGACAAGGACCACCGTCTGGTGGTAGATTTACTCAGGCAATAGCTACCCTCATCTTCAATTGTGTCCAATTCCAAATCTGCCAATCGGCTATCGGGGAAATCTTGCCAGTGCTTCGATTTTCGTTCTAGTGATACCGACCTTGGCTTCTGCGATGGTGTCACTGTAGTAGGAACGGACATTCGTTGACCACCTCCAGGTATGCGTTGAATCTGATTAAATCTTTGTAGATTGGACAGAGTCTTGCTCTGCTTGGCCTCTGGCAGCTGTTGATGCGATGATGAATTGAAAAATGATGGGAAATGTGTTAGCATACATCTATTGCACCATCTATTTGCAAATGCCAATCACCACTCTTTTTTTCAACATCAAATATAAAAAACAAGCTTACCTTTGATGCATCCGAATGACTGCGCTGCATTCGTTCCGAAAACAATAATTCATCCCGCATAGATTGCATCAAATCATCCTTATTGTTGCTGCCCTTTCCACCAGCAGAAGACATGTCAGCCAAGACACCAGACCGGCCCGATGTCAATAATAGGTCATCAAAGAGTTCCGCCCGTTTGGCCGCTCGTGATGCCGAAGTACTTCGTCGTTTCGGTGTTCTCGTTTGAGGAAGAGAAGAAAGTGCCGTTTTTGCTGCTGCTGCTGCTGCTTCCTTGGATTTGGTTTCCAAAAAGGCTTCAATGACATCAATATCACTTTCACTGAGTGTAAATATCTTTTCTTCGCCTTGAATCGACAAAGATACGACATGGCCATCACTCAAAGACTGTGCAGAAGATGATGTGGATTCAGAAGCGAAGGATTTGGCTCGTCCACTGCTGGCACTGAAGCGTCCACTGCTGGTACTACTGCGTCGTTGTCCTGCTGTCATGGACGATCGAGAAGATTCATCCAGGAGAGCCATTAATGATTTGGGCCTTATTTTTTCACCGGACGAGTCGCGTCGTTGTCCTCCTGGAGTCGTCCCGTCTTTGTTCTCACTCGTTGGTTCGTCATTCAATAATATGTATTCGTCCTCATCGTTGTCGTTGTCGTCGTCATTTTTGACCCGCGTCGCATTTCGTGATCGGCCACGGGCTCTTGATCGAATCGACTCAATGGGACCTTTGGGCACTCTCGAATCATTAATGATTTGATCCAAAAAGGCTTCAATTTCAGATGCGCCTTTGGATTTGGCACTGCGGCTACGACCACGAGGTTCCTGCTGCTGGCCTTTCCAGCTCCCTTCCATGGTCGAATCTCCATCCGAGTCAAAATCATCATCATCACTAGCCATGGTGGGAACACTGTGATTTCGTTTCAGCAAATTCCGCCTTGATGGCATGGGTCGCCGATTCGTAGTCGTAGTAACTTGCAACTGATGGCTACTGCTATTGTTGCTGTCAACGCCAAGTAGGATATCACTGCCAATAAGACTATCGTCCTTTGTCGATTTGGAAATCGTATGCGCGGATTGTGACAATGCATCCTTCTTTCTTTTATTTTTGGATTTCTTGGACTTTTTGCTTTTCCTGCTCGAATTTGTGGAGTGGTTGCTTATCGCAAGAGGATCAAGAGACTTTTTCTTCTTCTTTTTCTTTTTGCTACCCGCTGAACTCTTACTAGTATCAAGACTCTTGAGCGAAATTGGTTTAGCATTGGCAATGTCCAAGCCGCTGATTTGCCGCTTGGGTTTCAGGGGGGACTTGTCCACCATGATGAAAGCAGTTTGAATCTCTTCTGGAGGTAGAATGGTATCGAGAGAGTAATCAACAACCGTCATTAACCGTCCAGTCTAGCCTTATCGTGCTTGTGTGTGTGTGTGTGTGTGTGTGTGTGCACTTGATCTTCACCTGCTTGTGGTAATGTTAGGACGCAAAGTGAAGAGTGAAGTGCGTGGGCTGTGCAGTGCTGACATCAACGGATCGGTTTTTGCAAACGCCAAAATAGGAAGCGCCATGTATCGTGTTTCCGATGCAGCGTCCGTTTCGCCAGATTTTCGATAGAATATTTATGGTTACCTGGAACTTCGATAGCATAATTGTTTTATGCTTTGTTCTCTTTCAACGGTTTGAATCGCATAATTGTTTGACTTTAGAATTATCGTACGAAACATAAAAGATATATAAGGAGAAATTGCCGCAGACAAATGACCCAAGTGTGGAAGCAGTACAGTAGTAAAAAGCTCCCACGCACCCCATAAAGAGCTTTCTCCCTCACCAGGAGCTTTCTGCTTTCGGACAGCAGAAAAAAAGGCCTCGGAAAATTCCGTCCTTTTGTTCGCTAAACGAAAAAGTGCCTGCAGTGAAAAAAAATCAGAGAGGAACAGCGCGACAACATCTTCAATCTTGTCAGTTGTCAATTTTCACTACAAACAATACGCTCACTCGTTATTATTGCTACCAACTAATACATTGTCTACCTTCTGTAGACAACAATTTTAAAGCAATATGGCAATGAAACTAAGAGGCGCCATTCAAAAGCTCACGGAAGATCCAGAACTGAAAGATATTTCCTTAATTGCCGCTTCCGATGTCGACCTGGAAATTGATTCCTTTTTGGTATGCTTGCGGAAAAGTCGGATACAAAAGGTGATTGTTTGGACGGATTTCTTATCCTGTTTGGAAGAAGATAAGATGCTCGAGTTCTTGCAATTATTACAGCATCTGAGTCACCTCCAAGAGCTCATTTTCAAGTCATCTTCACGGTTTCACGTGGAAATAATACCGGGCGAAGGTCTCTTGTCGATTCGAGAGATTTCGTGTCTCAAACGATTGGTCTTTGAGGATATGCAAGTGACGGCACTCCAAACTGGATTCATTCAATCATTGAGTGATGCCTTGGAAAATCATACATCCGTACAAGAAGTAGTCCTATCCAATTTTTTTAGCAACGACTGGGCCAATACAGAAGACAATACCTTGGATCCCTTGTTTTTGGCCATGTCGACCATTCCCAATTTGGAACGTCTCACTTTTACGGGATGTGGAGGATGTGCACTGAACTGTCAACAAGTATCATTAGTGTCCACTAGAGCACTGGCGGCAGTCTTTCAAAATGCCTCTATAAAGGAACTTCAGCTCTCATTTTTGGAATTGGACGACCCACAATTTGAAACCATTGCCATGGAAGTGGCGAAAAATACTTCCATCAACTCTTTGGCATTGGATTATCATAATTTGGCCGAATATGGATTTTGTAAACTAATGGCTGCCATGGAGACGAATCGACACGTCAAGAATTTGTCGTTGCGGTCCTTGTGGAATATTGGAAGAAGGGGATTTGAGGAAGCAATGAAGATGCTCCGGCACAACTATTGGATTGAATCCTTATCCGTCACAGCATCACCCTCTCAACAAGCGGAAATTGATCTGTATTCGAGGATGAATACGGCTGGCCGAAGCTTATTAAGAGAACCAGGGACTTCGATGAGTCAATGGCTGGATGTATTGGCAGCGAATAGTGACGATATCGATGTAGTCCGAAGCCTTTTGAAAGAAATTCCAGATCTCTGTAAAGTGGCTACGCAATCATGATACAAATAATGATAATGATAATACTTTTGTTATTGGCCTGGTGGGGAATAGGTGAAGGACCTATATGTACCTTGGACAACAATAACTACAAATGGTGGATACTAGAATGCTGTCGTAGCCTGGGCCTGCATTCGACGACTTTTGCTGCTGAGCAGAGGAATATTACTATTCCGTACGCACCAGGGGTGTTTGCTATCAGACTCTAGTGTATATTGTAATACACCAAACACTCTATAAAGTTTATACATTGCGCCTGTGGGAGTGTACTCTACTTCTAACACTCTTTCAAATCTCCGTGATCCAGTGACAAAAGTTCCACCATGTCGTCTGTCCGTATGCTCACCAGGTCACAAGAAATAAGTAGATGAGAAATTTGTCATCGAAGAATGACCGACCAAGAATGAATCTAATTTCCGGAGTGAGCAAACCAAGACACACGATTGCTGCACCTATAGTATTCCGTTCGGCGTACCTGTAGGCAATCGAATAATACATAATACCTTACAAAGAATCAAAAGACTGATCCATTGATTTCCTTCATCACGCTTCCCATACAAGAAAAAGATGAAAATATTATTCGGCTTGCTAGCAACCGCTCTGCCCATTCTCACGGAGGGAGCAGACTGTACCTTTTGCTTCAACGATGACGAAGTTTCCAACCTGGGTGCCGCCACTCCCAACATGGCTACCATCAAACGATCCTGTTTGGATCTAAAGGCAGAGTATGAAGTCCGAAAGGAGTCTCTCAGCAAGAATGGAGCCGAAAAGCGGTGCGTTGAATTTCAATTGGAGGGATATCAAACTGGGTGCTGCAACCAATTCAACCCAGATGGTTGTGGAATCTGTCCCGATGGCAGTCCTCCTGGTGAAGGTTATGTCGTTCCCACGGAAGGATCGGGTGATCCTAATCCCGAAGAGTGTGAGGGATACTCGTTCCAACCCTATTCGAGCAATGGAATCTTTACGGAAGGAAGTTGTGCAGACACTCGGGCCCAACGTAGTGCCTTTTACTGTGGCTGTCCTGGACAATACCAACAAGTCTTTCTCTGTCCCGACAAGCGTCCTCCTGGTCGAAGAAGACGGGGAGATTTCACTAGAAGTGAAAACTGTGGACAAACCGAATATTTGTTTTCGCTGTTCAAGGAGTTTGAAATTACCGATATCAACATGGATTTTGGATTTCACTACCAAGCTTGGTGCGAATGTAATGACCACGAGGGTAATCAAGTCGTCTTGGAGAATGAATTCAACTGTCCATTCTGTCCCGATGGTGTTGACATTAAGGAAGGCTTCCACGATGTTGTCTTTAATGAAGACACTGCACTCGTGGACATTAATGGAAAGTACGATTACCGACGCACCTGTGCCCAAGTGGCCGACTTTACTCGGTATGTCACCACCAAATTTCGGTGCAGTAACGAGAATATTGAAATTGCCAGACAATTCTGTTGCCCAGCACCGGGTCTTGGTGTGACCTTTGGACTTTTCATTACTGGAATTGTCATGGTGCAAAACTTGTTCTTTTAGAAAACAATTTGAAAGCGGAAATTGAGGATAGGATATTGTGGGGGAAGTATGAGTGCAAGACATTATTAGCAAAGAGTCTTTACTGAACGCAGCGTTAACATACTAAGAAATTAATGTATTTTTTATGTAGTTTGCAAACCTGACTCATGTCCTACTGTACCTGTAGTCATCCTAATCTAAAGGCCCGAGATTCGATGTATGGCTATTATACTAGTTCAGCGAGGTCAGCATTCTATGATTCTCACATAAAGCATATTACTATTCTTCTTATCGTTTTCATACTTGATTATATTAATATTTAGGCTTCAGCAAGGTCAGCATTCTTTGAACCACAGGTACCATGATTTTCACACACTAGTATATTACTATTATTGTTACTGTTTTCATACTTGATTATATTATTATATTTAGGCTTCAATAACAGCACCAGTGGAAGGCTTGAGGATTTCGCACTTTCCTCCAGCACCTTCAATGGCCTCACGGGCACTCTTGGTGAAGGCATGTGCTTGGACAGTGATGTCCTTGGCGGTGAATTCGTTTCTGCCAGTAACAATCTTGTGGATACCGTACTTGGCCTTGGAGATGGCCTTGGCCTCGAAAAGGGATTCGACTGAGAACAAGAGAAAGTAAGAGAAAGCAACAAAAGTATGTGAGAACAAAAAGTGCCATGCATCATAGTCAATCAACACATTTTAACATTGGCATGCTTACAGTTGCAGGTAGATCCTGGGGCAACGTCGTTAAGTTCGTCAAGCTTGATAATATTGTAAATCTTTCGCTTGTGTCCAGGTCCCAAAGGCTTTCCAACGAACTTGGGAAGACGTCTGTACAAGGGTTGTTGTCCACCCTCGAATCCAGGTCGGACCGATCGTCCAGAACGAGACTTTTGTCCACGCATACCGAAACCGCAAGTGGCACCTTGTCCAGCGGCGATACCACGTCCCTTTCTCTTTCTGCGGTGCTTGGAACCGGGAGCTGGTCGGAGGTTGTACTCGGTGAATTCAAAGTTATCAAGGTCGTTGATGGCGGATTCATCAGCTTGTCTGCGCTTCCAGTCGAAAATCTTCATACTAAGAGAAGAAGAGGACTTTGGAACCGAAGTCAAAGATTGGCTTCGTGGAACGAAACTGGAGGTCAAAGCATCTGATAAGAAAGAGATGGAAAGAACAACACATTAATGTCAGAAAACGATTAAACAATATAGTATCCAAATGAAAAAAACACAGACAACCATTAACAACCAGAGGAACAAAGGGTGGATAATTTCCTTTCGTGGAGTTCATTGTTGCCGTATTCTTCCAAACCAACAGCAACAAGAACAACTCAAAATGCCGAGAAAGATAAGGGGCATCAACCATCACCCGTTAGCTACTATATTTCGACCCCAAATTCCGCTAGTTGAAGGTTGTCGACATTGTATTGATCAGTGCATACCTGAGGAGGCGAATAGCGCAACGAGTACAAGAAGAAAGGACTTCATGTTGTTTTCTATAGGTGTGTATCAACGTTCATAGAAACCGAGTATCGTTGATGGCTGTTCGCTACCAGGCGGCAACGTGATCCTACGTACCACTGACGACTGATGGGGAACCTCTGATCCACAGAAAAAAAGAGAAAACATCGCAGAAGGTTTGATGGCTGACGCATGTCAAGCGGTAAGTGTGCTGGTCTGTCTGCTGTACGCAATTCATTTTGAGATGGATCAGAAACAGTCCTTTCTATCATCAAATCATCACCACAATCTTGCTTCCACGTGAAACTAGAGTGAGAGACTTCTCTACCGATCGGTTCCAGCGCACGTTAGTTGCGCTTGGATGAAACGATGAGAGGTGTGTGAGAAGAATTCATATTATTTGTAGATCAAGGCAACGTTTCAAAATACTCGGCAGCTATTTTCGAGTGTCAACATCAACAAAATTACACATAAATTCTGGACGGATTGTCACTAAGTGCCTCGATAGCTCAGTTGGGAGAGCGTCAGACTGAAGATCTGAAGGCCCTGTGTTCGATTCACAGTCGAGGCAATACTTTTGCATGCTCCGGAGTATGTTTTGGTCCATATGGTGTTTGCACTACCGTTACCACTACCAATGTGTCGGGAAGCACTCACTATTATTATACCCATTAGTTCTGTAAAATTCTGCATGAAATGATTTGATTGATTATTGGCGAAGCCTCGTCCTTTTGACATGCATAGGACAAACGGGAGAATAAATCTCTGCCGTCACCCGCCCGCCCGCCCGTCATTTTTGGCCACTTCGTGTTCTTGAAGTCATCTCAGATTTGACAACACGGTGCTGCTGAAAACGAACGCTTATCGTATACTCAGCACACCATCGGAATGTCCACCACATCGTCTGTGGACAGTGCTAATCAAGCGGCAGATTTTTTACCAGAAACGAATGAAGCGACAGTAGTGGACGAAATGAAAGAAGAAAAGCACAACGAAGCAGACGAGAAGCAGCAACAAGAAGCTGGGGAATCTGAAGAGACACAAAAAGTTCAAAATGAAGAGGCTCTAGCGCAAACAATGTCACTGGATGTGGCATATAAATCCCTTGAGATGATCCGGAAAGTCAATTTGCAAGTCGAATTTGGTAGAGAAATTGAAGACACAGAATGCGTATTGTCTCTGCGACAGGCTAGAGAGGCACCCGAACTGATGCCAGGAACCCAAAGTCGATTCCGGCGATGGGTTTCCGAGAAGTCAGTCCCCAAGGCAAGCCCATGCTTGACCTGTGGAACTCCAGTTTCGAAGGCTTTTCGATCCCCTGAGTTCGCAAGGCAAAACATTGTCGTTTGCGTAGATTGTGCCAATCTCTTCTCTCTTGACTACCTAATGAAAAATATTGTCCACTCAGAGGTGGATTCTATAGATTCTACAGAAACAAGGAAAAGAAAGATGAATCATATGCTAGAGGTAAGCCAAACAATACCGCTTTTTGCACCAAAAATCTAGGCAAATGCCAATCGAATTCGCTATTTTTATCCCCATGGCTGATCAGCAAATGGAAAATCATAACCTTTGCCCTTTGCTCCTTGAAACAGGTATATGATAGGGCTCTTTTGATACTGACGTATTCCGTTCAATTCATTGACGACGTTGTCGTAGCTCTTGAACAGAACACTTCCAGACACAACAAGGTTGGATTGGGTAGCAGTGCAACTGGAATGGTGTCTGGTGGGTTGGGTGTGGCAGCTGCGGCAACTATTTTCACTCCTGTTGGGCCTCCATTATTGCTGGCTAGCATTCTCTTTGGAAGCGGTGCTGCAGCTGCGGATGCTGCTAGTGAGGCGGTCAATTATCGCGGCGAACCCAACAAAATGGCTGACAGAATACTGACGCTCAATTCTATTATCGGCTGCATCTCACGTCTACCAGCTACGATCGACATGGAAACGACAGCAGAAGAAGAGGATGTCATACACACGGCAGAAGGTCAAGCATCGTTGCACTGGAGAAGGACGGCCATGAACGGATTAAAGCCACTTACAGCAGGAGCCCTATCTGCTGTCTCCATTTTTACAGAAGCGCGTGAGATGAAAAGCACTGGTATGTGAAATATTCAAACCGTCACGCGACCATTTGGAATTTGTTTGGTTCTAATCGAAGTTGCTGTGCTTGTCATGTCTTTTTGAACATATTTGTTTTGTTTGACAGTGGCCAAGATCCGAGCTGGTAATCCGTGCGAAAAGGCGGAGCGACTGAAGCAAGTGAAAGAAAACGTTCCATTCCTTCCGAAAACAGACATCTTGTCCAATCAGTTGCAAGGTGCCCTTCGCCGACAACATGAAATTGCCAGCAGTCAGAATGAAACAAAGTCTTCCACAGATGAGGTAACAACTACAGCTGATGAAGCTACTGCTGATGACGATACTGCCAGTACATGAAGTAATGCGCAACAACCAAAAAGAAAAAAAGATTCCCTAATGAAACAGTTGATTATACATCAAGTATGCATGTTTCTCGAGACCATTGATCTTTAATTAGGTTTGTTACTTCACACTTCCAGATACTGCCATGTAGTTACTCGTCTCCAACAATCATGTTAGTGATTTCCCTGTAGTCAATCTTTCCATCTGCTTGTTTCCTCTGCCATCTCTTCTGGACTCAATGCTTCTCCCATATGGTACTCGTACCTATACTCTTGATGGTACACAAGAAATGCCTGAATTCTGTGAAAGGAATTTTACCACTTCCATCTTGGTCAAAGACACAGAAGGAATCAATTAACAAATCCTCCAATCGTTATCTCCATTTCCGGGACAACGACTTTCTGGAAGGCATGTCAAAATCCTAGGCTGGCCCTTCCATAATTGTTTTCCTTTGAGCTCTGCCGCCCTTGCCTATCTCTGTGAGCTCAGCGACCTTGCCAAACTCTGTAGGTTTCATTGTTGATACGCACACACATTAGATGGTTCGTGAGTATATCGTTATACATCTGAAGGAGACTGTCCGATCTTTTAAAGCAACCGGTCGGTATTCTTAATTTGCTGCTTGTCATCTATGAATCTTTGCCATCATGGCTAGTCCGTTGGTTGATTGTTGTGTCGACATTACTGGTGGGACATTGGGCGCTTCCTTTCAGCCTCCAAAATATCTCTTACTTGCATACGAGATCAGAATCATATCGCTCATTCTTTTCTGTTTCATACAAAAGCAAAGCATTCGTCAAACAGAATCAAGTCTTCAGCGACTTACAAGCAAGATTTTCATCTACTTCTCGGATCTGCGCCATGCTCCATTCGCCGATTGCATCATACAGTACTGAATTTCGTTTGCCGGTATGTATCATTGCGGTGTGACAGTCATTCTTACGGTATGAATGGTCATCGTGTCAACTGTCATGTTGGCTACCATTGCACGGTTCAATCATTCGTGACATCATGCATAGGTACCACTATCCCAGTTAACCTGGACACTCAGCATTCTCATGCCATCGTTCCATTCAGTCGTGGCCCTGTACCGGTATACAGTAGGTATGTTAGAAGACAGATGTGACATGTTTTTAATCACCTGCTCATTCGTGACATTGTTGGACGGCATCAACACGCGCGATGCACCGATGGAATTCCAACAGACTGCCAACGAGCAAGGTTTCACCGAATAATCTTTATCCCTGCTGGTGGCTGCATCACCTTACTTCCTGATCGCTAGTCTGCGACAAGCAGGTACTCTAAAGTCGGAACGATGGCATTGGATTTCCCAAGCCTATCGCCAAGCCTATCGCCAGTCTCACTACCACTGGTATGAACAACACCATTGAAACGCTCCAAAAAATGGATGTGCCGTGGTGCAAACCAATTTTGTGGTATACCCCGTATCGCCAGATCCTTAGCAAGATACTCCGAAGCTCGTGCTCGAAATTTGGATTTAAAGGTGGAGTCGGACAGGTGCGCAATATGCCGTTATAGTTTAGCCTTGTAATCGTATTCAACGGTAAAAATCGCCATAGTACCACATTTGAATCTAGATCTTGTCACGACAAATCAGCCTCTACGTACTGGCAAGTACGATTGGTAGGCTAATATTCTATCCCGTTTGAATCCGGAAGCTCGGGGGCACGTGCATTAATAAGTCAGAAACGCTACCACAATGGAAAAGCCAATACCGTACTGCCTGTAGTTAGCACCGGCATCGCATCGCATCGTATCGCATCACGTCTTATCGTATCGTATCACACACACGTCAAGAGGTCGTTCACTTGAAAGTCTTGATTGATTGATTGATTGATTGATTGATTCGGAAGCAAAAAGCAAGCAGCGATACCCTTCCCAACGTAAGCATTCGCTTGTATCGCGTAAACACGTACAGGAAACCTACGATTGGGACTGAATTCGGTGACGAAAGACGACTGCCAACAGGAGGGAACTCCAAGAAGAAATTGATTACACAAAATGGCAAGCTTACCTGCGCAACAACAACAGCAGCAACAACAACAGCCACAACAAGGTAATCCCATTTCCCCTCCACGTTACCCAACTCCTGGATCCAATCCAACCTCTCCCGCCACAACCACGCAACGAACCATGATTGGAACTCAACCAGTCGTGCCTATATCCATGTTTGTGGACAATGTGATGCCGCCTCCATCCGCACAGCGAAGTCAATCGTATACTGGAGGATATAATCCATATGGTCCTCCTGGTGGTGGTGCGATTTCGGCGACTCGTCAAAGTCGACCTTCGGCAAGAAGTCCTACGCACACAACTCACCAAAGTCTGATTGGATTTGATCCGTTGGCTCCAGGAAGCAACCACAATGGAAGCAACCACCAACGACCTCCCACTTCTCTGGCTCCACTTTCTCCGTTGTCACCTAGAATTCAAATGGCCATGAGTACGTCACCCATGGGTACCTCTCCCATGGTTTCACCAACCAAGAAGTCACATAGAGGAGTTCAATCATTCGATGCGGTGGATTTGATGGGTGTCAACGATATTGCAATAGAACAAGAACGAATACGCCAGGAACACAATCAAAAGATGAGAGCTCAGACGGTGGATGTTGTCACCAATGGCAAACCAGCACCCGCAGCAACATTGTCGCCCAAGCCTCCCACACACACGGCCACTCCCAGCGGTGGAAAAGAGGGAAAAGGGGGCAAGTCCAAATCGCCAAATCGCAAAGGACGCATATCGGGCATGACAGGCATGTTCAAAAAAGATAAGCGAGACAAGGACAAGAAGGAAGTCCCTGCCCGCACTAGTTCCATGATTGAAAAGAACAAGCCGCCACCGGCACCAACCACCATGTCTCTTCCCAACACTCCTCGATCCTCTGGTGCACAAACTACCGAACAACAACGCTTGAGCATGTATCCAGGAATTGCCTCGGACCTAATGGACTTAAAACTTGGTAATCTTGACTTGCCTCAGTTGGCCAAACCTTCCCCCACTTCCTTTTTGACGGGCAAGGAAGACGAAGTCGTTCGCACCTCCGGCGAAGCGGCCCCCTTTCAAATGGAAATTCCGGGATTGCCCGAGATTCTCGTGGTGGGTCAATTGAACTTGTTTGTCGATACCTACCGATTGACGGATCAAAATTTTGATCTCCAAGAGTGGGTGGGTTACTCTCGAATGGATCTGCGGGCCGTCAGCATTCCACAGCACATTCCCATTGCCCAAGCAATTTTGGATTGTGGGGACGATGTTTCGATTCGGGGCGTCGTTTCCAAGGGATCGGACGAAGACCGACTAGAGTGTGTCATTTTTGAAGGACAACGACAATTTCTTGCGGTCTTTATGGGAACCCGCGAAGAACAAGCCAAGGGTGTTTCCAAAAATAAAAAGAAGGCGGTTCCAATGGATTCGGCTCATAAAAACGTCGAAGTGTATGAAGGATACTTGGAAGAATACATCAAGTTGGAAAAAGACGTCTTTACTATTTTGGACAAATTGACTGACGAAGAACCCTTTTGCGATGTCGCCTTTTCTGGATATTCCTTTGGAGGAGCCATGGCCACTTTAGGAGCCTTCCGGTATGCCAATGCCCGACCAGCTACTCGAGTCAGCTGTTTGACCATGGCATCACCCAAGGCTGGCTTGGCCAAATTTCAAGAACTTGTCAATTCACAACCGAATTTGAAGGTCATGCGCCTCGAATTGGGACAAGATGGAAAGTGCCAATTGCCCGGAGTCGGTGGTTCTCACGTTGGTCACACTTTGGTATTGAATGGATCCCTCGGCAACAAGTCAGAAAAGGTTACCCAACCCGTTCTGGCGTATGAATTTGATGCACCCAAACCGAAAAAGTTTGGTACCAAGAATCCTTCTTTGCAAGCATATGTGACAGCCGTGGAAGAAATTGCTCGCTTGAAACTCAAGTGGGTCAAGGATTTTGTCGGCCATTCTGGAAAGGGGGTCGTGGTCAACAACGAATCCCGATTAGTAGTTTAGAATTGAATGCGGGGGAAGTATATCATCTCCCACCTACCTATTATAATTATAATAATAAGATATCTATAGAGTATTACAGTATTATGAGCTACAGTACAGCGATGCCTCGACGATTTCTTCCTCTTCCATGCAATCGAAAGAGTCGAGTATTGGTTCAAAAATTCAAAACCAAGAAGTGCATTGCAGTTGTGAAGTATTCTGTGTTGATCCAACAGAAAATGATTGACAGGCAATGAAATGGCTTCGAACTACAAATTCTCCAAAGGGGAAATCGAATAAGATACTGCTGAAATGTCTGCTGACAGCTGCAATCTTCGACTTGCTTGCTTTTCACACGTGCACTCTCCTGGACGTCGAAACAGCAACACGCAAGTCATCATCATTGGGGCGGAACAAAGTCATGTCTCCAGAATCGACAGTATCCTCAGGTTCCTTCGACATTAACAAGATGGAAATGAGTGAAGTGATTCGAATGTATTCAAGATCATCGTATCAGCATCCTCTCTTTGATCCTCTACAAGACGGCAAGGCGAAGGAACACAGAAGGGACGATGCAGCGAGTCCAATTTCCAACAGCGATTCCACACTTGGAATATTGCAAGACCTCGGATTCAGTCAGTCCAACATCGATTCAGAAGGGTTTGGTAAAAAGCTGCCACTGTGGAGTCAGATTATTGATAATTATGGAGACAGACCCGTCGTCCTTGGCTTGGAACGATGTCAAGCCTACCGAGAGACGGTGCCTGTTGCGAAACGAATTGTGGGACTGGCAGGTCTATTTTCTTCTGGCACCAATGTTATGCATCACTTGCTACTCAATAATTGCAAGCCCCCAGAAGGAGGACAAAAACCGCAAAGAAGTTTTCAATGGCAGGTACCATGGTAAGTCCTACCACCAAGGAGACTCTTGTGAGGAGTACGTTGTGCTGCCATGACGGCTCTGCTAACTTCGCCTCCTTACTACCTTCTTCGCAGGGGAAAGCACCACCCAGCTGATACAAGAATGAAATATGCGGCTAGAGATCGTGAATTTCTGAACCAAACGGCGGTCCTGCCAGTCGTGACGGTTCGGCATCCCATTACCTGGTTGAATGCTTTATGTCGCCACGGATATTCCTTGCATTGGGATCACAATCCTGATTTGTGCGACGCCACCTTGCGACTCGATCAAGCAGTACATGCTAAATTTGGATACACCAACCAAAGCATTGTATATGACTCGTTGATCGATGTCTGGAAAGATTGGAATCTCGCGTATTTTCAACAGCGCAAGTATCCACTCCTGATGACTCGATTGGAGGACATTGTGTACCACCCCAAACAAGTGGTGGAGGAAGTTTGCCATTGTATCGGTGGGAAATTGCATTCTGATAGACCATTTTCTGTCTTTGTCAGCTCGATGAACGACGGCAAAGGACACGGAGAACATCGAAGCAGCGGACTTCTATCTACATTTGTTAAGTTTGCAAAGCCCATGAAGGAATTGAGCGACAAATTCAGCAATGACGATTGGGACATAGTGAAGACAGTGCTACAAGACGACAGTCATTTACTATCTTCTTTGAACTATCGAATGCCCAAAGGTTGAATGAAGGGAGAAAAGGAAACGGAAACGTGTTCTTATCTAGCTTTGTGTGGTTATCAAATTGTTAATGCTCCAATGAATCCAAGCCGCTTCTTCCATAGCTCCCGATACTCCTCAGGTATAGCCTCCGACTCTTCCAAATCGACCCTACCATCCTTGTTGGCGTCGGCAAATCGCGACACCATGAAAAGTTTCATTGCTTTGTCTACGTCCTCTTTCGGGATTAATGCAAACCACCGTTTTAAGGATACGGTGGCTCCATTGGCATAATCTAGAATATCTTGCTTGTTGTAAGTCGCAGTAGGTGTGGCTGGAATGCTCACCATTAAATTTTTGAGATTGATCATGGTATCCTCCACTAGATTGAATCGTTCTTGCTGGTCCAGTTGGACATAATTCGGTAGCTCTTGTGGATCGTACTTGATTTTGTTGGTATATGTCAAGGCAATACCAGCATAGAGATTGCGCTCGGACATGACAGCTCCCTTGAAAAATTGTTCCAGTCGTTTCTTTATCAGAGGATATTTGGATTCGTCTTCAGCCGCTATGGCCACGGCTTGAATCGCCAATTGAAATTCACAAAACGGCTCCAAGTATTCCACTCCTGGCCATTTCTGGACCCGGGCTGTATCATATGCAAAGCTAGGAGAAGGACTCGATGTCAGGATTCCAGCTCCTGAGACAATTCCGCCCAAGGTTTGTGTGACAAAGCTCCTACGATCCGATTGGTCTCGGATTGGTGATGTTTGCGAACTCGTCGAGAATGCTTCAATGGGCACCTCAAGACTGGCAATCAAAAAGCCAAGAAGACACAAGCTCTTCCACGATGAATTCATTGTCGCTATCCTGTTGCTCTAATGTTGTTTATTGCTTGGAAAGTGTAGTTGTAATTGTGAAGATTCACGAATGAATACTGAATCATCATCATCCGATCAACAAATCGATCCGAAATCATTGAAATCAAAACTTCAAGAAGGCTAAACAAGTACCCAAAACAAGATGTAGGCTACGCTGAAGTCTGAAGTTGCAACAAAGGGGGCGCAAGATGATGCATACCAGTACTATATCAGAACGGCAATAGCTGCTAGCCATGAACTGTCCCTTGGAAAAGGTAAAAAGATAGCGTAGCATCATTGGATGATTTTGTTCAAATAGTATTGGTCCTACTGCACCTTGAGGTAGACTAGGCAGGCTAGCTATAGAGGGCCTATTCCAGTAAATTCAAGACGCTTCTTCCATAAGGTTCGGTATTCTTCTGGCACTGCTTGAAGCTCTTCCACATCTACCTTACCGTCCTTGTTGGCATCTGCTGATCGGGCAGCCTCGTATAACTCCTTAGCCCGGTCCACCTCGGCGGTGGCAATCAGAGAAAACCACCTTCGCATGCAAGCTGTCGCCCCGTTGGCAAAATCTGAGATATCTTGCTTGTTCACAGTGGCGTCAGGGGTCGATGGAAGACTGATATATAGATTTCGTAGATTGTCAAGAGCATTTTCCATCAGATCGAATCGTTCTTGTTGGTCCAACCTGGCGTATTCCTGTATTTCATTGGGATCGTATTGGATTTGTGTGGTATACGACAAGGCGACTCCCGCATACACATTGCGTTCCGAATAAATGGTGCCCTTGAAAAACTTTTCCAATCGCTGCTGGAGCGAAGCATATTGTGACTCGTCTTCGGATGCCTTGGCGATGGCTTCGAATGAGAGTTTCAGTTCATAGACTGGTTCCAAGTATTCTACCCCTGGCCACTTCTGCACTCGAGCTGTGGAAGATGCAACGCTCGGCGTTGGGTTAGAAACTAGGATTCCCGCTCCAGAGATAATTCCACCCAAAGTTTGTGCGATATATTGACGGCGACTGGATTGTTGGACAACTGGTGGTGGTGATGACGACGTCAGTTTACGTTTTTGCGATGATGCAGAGAATGCATCCACAGGGGCTGCAAGATAAACAGATGCAGCCAATATCCACAATATCCCTCTCTTTGATGGATTCATTATCGTCTTTGTCCCCGTCTTCTTGTCAGCGATCTTTCAGGTGTCTGGTTCTCTTCTCCAGATCTGACGAAAAATTGATGGTTTGCCTTCCATGGATCCGGGTTCTTCCACATACGTTCCAAGGAAAAACATTCCAAAATTATTGACACTCATCAACGTCAGAATAAGCACTTTTGAACACATTATAGACGACAGAAGCAACATATAATGACAGTACAACGGATACTTGGCTTCTCAAGCAGTCTCGTAAAGGTGCTGTGTATCTTGGGCTGCTATATCAACCTCAGCCATGCTTTGGCTAGCCCTGTTTCGGACCGTGCGATAGCTCTCAACAACATGAAATTTCCTCGAACATGGGTCCCAATTGCGTCCACCTATGAATTGGATCCGGATCGGCCTACGCCAGTGGAGTTTTTGGGCCAGAAATTTGCCACCTACCAAGATAATGACGGTAATTGGGTTGTATTAGATGATGCCTGTCCCCATCGATTGGCACCCTTCTCGGAAGGTCGAGTCGATCGGGAAACGAATCGATTGCAGTGTTCGTATCATGGCTGGGAATTCAACTCGGAGGGTACCTGTATGAAGATTCCCCAAATGACCGAGGAGATGCAAGCGCAAGTACCGGCGAAACGATCGTGCGCTACCACGTACCCGGTACAAGTAGTCAAAAATATTCTGTTCATTTGGCCATGGGAGGAAGATTGTTTATCAGTATTGGGCAATCCCAATGCCCAACCCGAAGGAATTTTGAAGGGATTTCCTGAGGATCCGTCTACCTATACTCGTGATCTACCCTATGGTTGGGATACGCTAGTTGAAAACTTGATTGATCCCAGTCACGTTCCCTTTGCACATCACGGTATGCAAGGAAAGAGAACAGATGCAATTCCCATCAACATGACAGTCCCCGAGGACAAAGGTGAAGCAGGCTTTTCGTTTGAATGGGAAGACCGAACTATGGGAATGATGCGCAGTGGAGGTGGTGAATTCCGAGCACCCTTCTTGGTAAATTATGACGCCAAATTCATGACGGAAACACCCCGTCCATTTCGATTATCGTCCCTTTGCATTCCCACCAAGCCAGGATGGTCACGGGGTATCATCATTACTTGGAAGAGTGAAGACAATGAAAAGGCTGATAGGGAGGCCATGAATCCAGCCGAAGTAGAGTTGGCTGCGTTATCTGCCACCAAACAAACGAAGAAGAAAAAGAGTCTCATTGGCATGATATTCGCGAACTTGCCCATTTGGTTGTCTCATCAACTGAGCAATAAATTCTTGGACTCCGATTTGGCCTTTTTGCACTTTCAAGAACAGGAGCGGGGAAAACGGGCTGATTATTTCATGCCAGCTCCTGCGGATCGCTGCATTAGCGCGCTTCGAAAATGGATTGACAAGTATACCAGCGAAGATGTAGTAGGACCCCTTCCCACCTCCTTGCCACGGTCGGCCATGTTCGATAGGTGGTCCCAACACACATCCCATTGCAAACATTGTCAGCAAGGATTGGTGACTTTGCAAAAGATTCGAAGGTCGAGCTATATCACGTTAGCCTTGTCCGTCTTGGGAATCAACAAACATTGGGTACCCAAGATCACAGCACTCTTATCACTCGGAGTTTGGAGGATAGTTTCCAAGTTGGAGAATTCATTCCGAGAAGGAGAATTCAAACACTATGAGAATCACTAATAATCAGCATAATGATAGATGTGACTAATACATACGCTAAATAGCATATGAAAGATTGATTAATTGATTGATTCGAATCCTCGGTCACGAGACGTCCGACGAACACTTCGACTACTTCCAAACACGGCCAACGACAGACAACAGACAACGTGAACAAGTCTCAACTTCAAGTTGTTTCCTGTCGCATTGTTCAGAGCAAACCCAAACAGAGCACAGCAAGAAGAAGCTGGTTGCAATGCATCACATGATGCGGCGTAAATCAAAGGGAAACGCACTTTCTCCTAGTGGAAGCCTTGGCAGCAACGATGGTATCAATGGTCACTGCCTGCCGACGCTTTGCGCCGACTCGCCGTCATTGTCAATGTCGTCATCCTCATCTCCCAAACAACAGTCGCGAAGTAGAATACGGATGCCCAAAACGCGGCGACCATTCCAAAAGATTCTATTGGATAGAAAAGTTTGGATACGAATACTCCTGGTCAGTCTCTTGTTTTGGAAACGCTATGCTATACGTCGACAGTGTCATCGATATTTGGCTTTTTACCTTGCTTGGAGAGCTGATACAGTAGATGGGAGTCTTTGGAGGGGCACACTGCCGAGTTACCAATGGAAAGCTGCTACTTTAAAAAATGTCCAAGCTGATCTCGTTGTTTCTCATTGCGACTTGCCCTTGGATTGGATCTTTAAGTGGACCAAAGCAATCACTTTTGACAAAATTACGGTGATTTCCAAATGCGGAAAACCAGTAGAGGGAGCACCACCGAATGCAAACATTGTCACACTACCAAATCTAGGACGCTGTGATCAATCCTATGCTCATTATCTGTTGAATCACTATGATGATTATGGGGAATATGATGCTCCTGCTGCTGATAAGGAGGGTCAAGATCATCGAAAAGACAAACTCATTGTCTTTACCAAAGACAATGACAATATGAATCGAGACATTGTCAGTCGACATCGAAGTTTTGAAGAAATGGTCACAATTGCCCAATCTACTGGGTTTGCATGTCAAGAAGAACAACTCTGGGGATATTCCCCGGACCACTATTTCAAGATTTGTCAACCATCAGCCTACATGAACTGGACGGCGATGGCACCCTACTCGAGAGACACGTATGTCCGTCTGCCTCGAGACGACGCTTCTGAATTCCCCAGTCGCAATGGCAAAACGCTAAAAGACTACATTCTAAAACTCAACATTCCAGCACCCGAATCGGACATCGCACCCATGTGCTTTGGTGGTAACTTTTTGTTCAACGCCAAGTACCTACGGCAGCATCCAAAGGAACTATGGGAACGCCTAGAAAAGTCGCTAAGTCGAGGGAACAATATTGCGGAAGGGCATTATGCCGAACGACTGTGGGCTCACTTGTTGTCACCACCATTATCACACGCAAAGGTCCAGGAAATTTTAAAGCAGCACGATTCTGCGGCTTGTCCAATAGAAGTAAATCGGGCTGGAGTCCTTACCAAATAGAACTATTGTAAATTAATAAAAGCTAATACTTTTTCACATGCTGGAAGATTGAAGGTCCGATCTCATCTTGGAACAAGAAATATATATGAGAACCAAAAGGTGGTACCGGTACGAGACCTTAGGCATCGAACCGAACAGCTATGTTTTCGTGATTCGTGATTCATTTTCACAAGACCCATCACTGCGTCTGTCAATCTACCATGCATCTGATGTGGGTAGATCCGTTGAGAAAATCCTCGCTCTTTTTTTCAATCTGCTTTTTCTTCCGGTGCCGAAGGATTTTCGGTAGCAGTGCCGAAGGATCAATCTTACTGTACCTTCCGTAGCTCATTCAGTTTAGTATTGAAGACTTGCAATCTCTCGACTATTAGAATAAAAGAAAGACAGATAACATGGTGCTTCATCATCAACACGGAGTGAAAGGAGTTTACAGAGGAGGTGAATGGCTCGATATCGAAGATTGTGACGAGGTCTTTACCGGCATTGAAGACCAATGCTCCGGTTGCAAGATTGAAGGAGCATGCCCACGATCCCGTTCTCGTCCCAATGCTTCTTCCAAAAAGAGTAAGGGAACTGATTACGATGTGGTGATTATTGGTGCCGGCTGCGTTGGTGCCGCTGTGGCACGTGAGCTGTCAAGATATGACCTGACTGTCTTGATGGTGGAGGCTGCCGACGATGTGACGCAGGGTGCCACCAAGGGGAACTCGGGTATTGTCCATGCCGGATATGATGACAAGCCAGGTACCAATCGTTCCAAGTATTGCTGGCCAGGAAACCAAATGTTTCCTCAATTGGACAGAGAACTCAATTTTGGATATCAAAAGAATGGAAGTCTGGTCTTGGCCACCAATAATGATGAAGTCAAAATCTTGAACGACCTGTTGAAGCGAGGAGAAACCAATGGAGTCAAGAATCTAAGAATCATTGATAAGAAGGAGCTCTTTGAAATGGAGAAATTTGTCAATCCCAAGTCGATTGCGGCCTTGTATTCTCCAGATGCTGGAAATGTAATTCCATATGTAAGTAAATGCCTCCGAGCTGCCGCTGCTTATTCTTAATTTTGGATTGTGGTGCTACAAACATGTACACATCAAACACTCACTCCCTGCAACTTTCTCCATCTCACACAAATACCACCACGATAATTAGGAATTTACCATTGCCTTGGCCGAAAATGCCGTGGACAATGGAGTCGAACTTCGCATTCGTCGCGAAGTGACTACCATTCAACGTATTACTGATGGATTTGAACTAACAATGAACTATTGGGAGCCCAGGGACTATGCCATTTTCAAGAAGGATGGGGATCAGCGAAAGATTACAAAGGTCGAAATGTTCATTATTATTGTCTTCCCCATGGTGGGCATTGGCATTTCCTCATACTTGGGAATTATCCAACCTGAAAAGTTCATTCCCAAAATTGTGACATTCATGGCAGTCATGGTTGGTATTTCCATGCTCTTCAACTGGTATTTTGTTCCAGCCACCGTGTTTGTGCGAAGACACACAAATCTTATCCCTTTGGTCGCAAAGGCTGGCAAACTTGAAAGTGAAAAAGGTCCCAAAGTGACGGTTGCGGACATGAAGGTGGGTGGCAGTGGATCCAAGGAGATTCAAAAAGGACTCACCATGGAGAATGAAAAGGTCACGGCCAAATTCGTCATTAACTGTGCAGGAAGTTATTCCGACCAGATTGCTCGAATGATTGGTGACAAGAGCTTCAAAATCAAGCCACGACTTGGAGATTATCTACTGTTGAATCGTAACCAAGGACATCTTACGACTAGGACACTATTCCCATGCCCCGATCCTGTGTTGGGCAAGGGAGTCTTGGTACAAACAACACTTTGGGGGAACTTGATCTTGGGGCCAACGGCTAGAGACACCAGCGATCCTGCTGCATGGGGAATGAAGCGAAACGAAATTCAGCACTACATTTTGAGCAAGTGCAAGAACTTGCTCGCAGACTTTGATCCCAAGGAGACAATTCACGCATTTTGTGGAGCCCGCGCAAAAAGTGACAGAGGTGATTGGATCATTGAAAACTCGTCAGTGGATGGCCGCATGATTCACGTGGCTGGAATTGATTCCCCTGGATTGGCCGGATCACCTGCTATTGCTTTGGAGGTGGTGCGACTTCTGGAAGAGTCTGGATGTGAATTAAAGAAGGACCCAACCTTCAACCCCAGGCGTGCACCCATCATCACACCTAAGAATGGTATGAGAGGTCTCAAGATGGGTGTAGTTGGACTGCATGATTCTTATGATCAAACCAACGAAGCCGTCATGGCCAAGAATGTTATTTGCAAGTGCGAAAAGGTGACAGAACTCGAAGTCGTCCGCGCCTTGCGTCGCAGTTTGCCCATTGACTCGTCTCAGGGCATTCGAAAACGGACCAGAGCCGGCATGGGACATTGCCAAGGAGATCCTAAGAACTACAATTGCGAGGCTCGTGTGAGAGCTATTATTGCACGAGAGACTGGCATGCCCATGCGCTTTGTCGGTGGCCGTCCATGGCCAGCCACTTCCACCTTGATGCAAAGATGGCCGCAGGAAGAGGAGTTGAATGAACTAGAGCGTCTGAAGATGTAAAGAAAGTTTATAGGAGTAGTTGGAAGACTGTGAGAAAAAATAGGTATATATTTTTAGCATAATTGGACCACTATTAATTGAATAGGTATGTCTTTAGCAATGGTACAGGTTTTAACGTAATGGTATGGTAAGAACATGGTGCCAGGTTGCACGATGTCGACGACTCGTCGGATTACTTTTCAAGTCCCATGTCACGCTCGGCACGCAGTCTTGTGAGGGATCCGGGATGTCATCACTTACAAATCCCGGAAAAATGATGAGAACCTGAATCAAAAGTGATGTGAGACGTGAGACCGCATGTCACGTATCACAGATCCCACATAGTCATAGAAACCACCATGACAAAAAGTGATACTGATAGTGATAATACAGATCTGGAATCCCCTAGTACAGAGGATTCCACGAAAGGTTCTAAGGAGAATCCGACAAAGAAGTCTAGTTGGAGGTTGCCAGTCACACAGCGAACCTTGCATATTCTCTTCTTTGGAACTCTTGTTGGTCTTCTAGTTTGTTTAGGAATTGGGTTGTATTCCTTGAAGCGGCTGGAAGACGCTAAAGTGGTAGAAGACGAATCGCCCGAGGCTCCCCCGAAAGCGACAAAGGGAGACGATGACGACCTCGCATTCGATATCCGACCACCTTCTTATAGCATCAAAACTGATGTTCCTACAGTCGCACCGTCGGAAACAAGAGTTGACAATGCATCACCACCACCATCAGTTAACGTAAAAGGGGAGAATTTATTGCAAGAACTTCGGTCCATCTTTGGTCAAGAGATTGCAATCAAGATACAAAATCGTAACTCACCACTCAATAAGTCCTACACTTGGATTATTGACCAGGACGAATACGTCAAGACCAATCCAAATGCGGCAACGGTACAAAGATTCATGCTTGCTGCATTTTACTATGCGACGGGAGGTCGCAGGGCAAGATCAACGTGGAATCTATGTAGTGCGGTGCCTGTTAGGACTAGTCGAGGGGATGAAAACAGGGATACTTCCTTGCCGATTCGTTGCGTCTTTGAGGAAGGCGAAAGTGTATGTGCCTTCCTAGACGAGTTCCGAGAGTGTCCAGAGTACTATCAAGACTGGGAAATGCCTCCAACTGCTCCAAAGAAAAGGTGGCTGTCAAATTCCTTTGAATGCGATTGGTATGGGATATCGTGTAACGATGATGGGGAGGTCTATCAGATAGCTCTACCTAACAATGGGCTTGAAGGATCTCTTATTCCCGAGATGACTGCATTGGAAAAGCTGACTCACATCAATCTAGATTATAACTCTATCGGTGGCCCAATGCCATCTCTGAACAAGATGGACATTCACGAACTTTCGCTTGCTTGGAATAGTATTGTGGGCAGACTGGAACTCTCGGACCAATGGCCGAATCTAGAACGGCTTGTACTCGGAGATGGCAACAATCTCAACATCAGCATCAGCCCGCGGTTTGGTCTTAACGAGAAGCTTGGAAACCTTGACTTGAGCGGGAATAATATCGATTCTGGGTTGCCAGGAGATCAAGCCGCTTACAACTGGGGCGTTTTGACTGACTTGAGACTCGCAAACTGCAACCTTGGTGGAAGCCTCCCAGACGGCTTAAGCGGTTTGTCAAACCTTGTGTCTTTGGACGTTCAGCAGAACAGATTGACCGGTAACTTGCCATCTTTGCTGTGGAAATTTGCCAACTTGCAATCGCTTCGTTTGGAATACAATTATTTTCACGGCACACTGAGCAGCGAGATTGGGAATTTGATTAATTTGCGGAAACTGTCGATTGTCGACATTGGATTAACTGGCACCTTGCCGTCAGAATTCTCGAAATTGCAAAAGCTAGAGTCTGTGTCGCTTCAACACAATGCCTTCCGGAGTCCAGTTCCAGCTGCAATGTGCAGCACCCAAATTATGCCAGAACTTCATACCCTTGAAGCTGATTGTGGATGGCGTGGTTTTGGCTGCACTTGTTGCACCTTGTGCTGCGAAGCCATCGTCTTTGACCCAAACAAGTGTCACAGTCAGTGACGCGAAGGATAATCCAGATCCTTCATTTGAAATAATATACTTCATTGAATCTTTTTCTATTGATCATTGTCGTTCCATTCGATGCCATTCTTCACTAATGCCTTGCCAGGTGGTGGATAGTTCCAGGGATGGTGGCATCACTTCTGATGTCAGCTGTTGAACTCCAGGAAGCAATGCTTTGGCATCGTCGAGAGTTGTACTGCTGCAAAAGTCTTCAATCCAGACCAAAATTGCAAATGCAATGGTCTGTTCAAAGCTATCTTCATTTTCATCTTGCCCTTTCATAATGTAACCAAGTTGGTACCAATGTGCCAACCTTTGCACTGTTCGAGAATAGACCGAGCTACTGAGAGGATTGTTGTTTCTTGGCGATCCCCCCACCAGAATATACAATGGAGACGGGATTGTTGTCAACAGCAGGGATCGTATTCGTTCTTGCTTCCAAACATGAAGAAAATACATGGCATCTGGCTGCACAATAATATCACTATTGAATTTGGTGTTTAGAAACTCCATCTCGTCCGCGCCCCTACAATCCACCACAATGGCAGCAAATTCTTCCATTGCTCTCTCGTCGTGGTCAAGTATGGACGTGGCACGAACTGTGACTCTAATTTTCGTCCCGCCAAGAGCATCATTGACCAGAATTTGCAATCTTTGTGGCCATTCGCTGTCCATTTCTGATTTGGATAGGAGAATAATAATTTCAATTCGCTTAGGAGTCATGATTCGGTTGGCCAGGTTTTGAATCTGTGCAATGGAAGGATAATTCTGTATTTGTCTCTTCATCACTGACGGACGCAGCTTCTTTTTTACAGATCCTAGCCCAAGCCGACTCCATATATAAGTTGCGGATGCATCAGCAAGTCGGTGACAAATTGGATGATGGTTCTTGTCGATACCATTGAATTTTGGCAGAGTGGTGTCAAGCGTAGTCACTGATTTTGTTGCGTCCTGTATACTTAGGCATTTCGAGCTATTCTTATTATTTTTTGTTGTGGACGTGGAGAAGAATAGAAACGTCAACAGGATGACGGCACTGACGACAAGACTCCATGAATGCCTTGCAATATGATGCATTACCGGTAGGTGCAGTAGAAAGAGGAAGGATGAACTTTTAACTTGGACTCACAAATTATTCGCAGAAGAGGAGAAGGCCAGACTTTTTCGAAGGCCAGACGCCGATCAATGGATGGGTGGTACCAGGTACCGGTACCTGGTACCGGAACGGTACGAGTACCACTTTATTTTTTATTGCACTACTGTACCGTACTGGTATGGGACGGTGTTCCCACACTTTCAGCTGTCAGTTCCCGATCAGTGAAGATGGAGAAGCTCGTGCAAGTTTCTAATTAAAGACAGTTTCGTGGCTTTTGCCACACACAATGGTTCCTAGTGTTTCCATGGCGGGTCCTTCTTGATCCAAACGTTCTCAAGCCATTCTGGGACCTCGGTGACAATTATGCCCTACAGAGACTAACCATCTGCTTTTCGGTCCACACACTACCACCGACCACCGACATAAGTGGGTCCCAAACGAAGCTGTATGTAAAACTGCCCTGATGTGCAGGAACTCAAGCGACTTTCTGACGTTAAATAAACTATCTATTGTCATCCCAAAATGAGAAAAAGTCATTCGAAGCAAAAAATGTCTCTTGGTGGGAGAAAGTATAATATTCCAACCACTTTTTTAAAAAATATCATTTTATTCCGATCAGTTCAAAAAAATGGTGTCACACTCTTCCTCTTGTAAGCTAGTTGTATTGGTGATTCTGGCCCTGCAGATTAATCTATTTGCTACAGCGTTTGACGGTGGTGATGATGTCAATATTGTGCTGAAGTCACCCCATCAGGCTCCGTCTGATCAGGACATGGAGGAGGAACCACTATCGTGCCATCGACTGAGGATGAGCATTCCACGGCATTTACATCCAGAAGCTCTGAAGTCTGGAAGGTGTGCTGGAATTGATAACCAAGGAGGAATCTGGTCATGCCCTCAGGACCGCCAACCAAAACGCAGTGATTTCCACTTTGGATTGCACTGTGAGGATATGGAGTTGTTGTTTTCATTGTACAGCGCAGATGAAATGGCGGGTCTTCCGCAAGACATTTTTGGGTTTGACTATCAGTCATGGTGCAAGTGCCCCAATAACAACAACAATGTCATTGACAATAACACCAACGGCAATGCTCACAACAGCAACAACAACTTGGGTTGCGATCTATGCACTAACGGAATGATTCTGAATCAAAATGTTCAGGACAGTATTTTTAATGGTGAAACTGCTGCTGATAAAAGGTTCCAGCTTACTTGTGCGGAAGCCGCCGAATATGCCCGGTATATTACCAATGAAGAAAGGTGCGAGGATGCCTTAGATCAAGCGAGAGCCTTTTGCTGCGAGATACCACCAGAATCCTCAACGACTACACATCCACCACCAAGTCAGGATAATATGACTTCTTATGATGTCCAACTGACCATTGGTCTAATGTTGACAGTGGTTGGTCTTTCCACCTTTTTGGTGCACGGCTCACTGCGAGCCTTG